ATTTTCCCCCCCCCCCCCCCCCCCCCAATCCCGGTCTTCTATCACAAGCCCTTCACGAGATTGATATGTTGGAACCCGAGGAATCGTATTTTCTTTTTTTGACATGTGATATGCATAGATGGGATGTTGGTTGGTAAGGGTGCGTGGATTTATTTATTTATAGGAATTGTTTTGTTTGTTTCTTCTCTCCCCCGGGGGGTCTGGGGTGGAAGAAAAAGGGAAAGGGGGGGCGGGGGGAATGAAAGAAAGACACAATTATATAAACCCACAGCCTTGTTGCAAAATAATCATTCATTCATAGGTGTATATTCTTCTGTATTTAGTTGGTACTGTAAGGTAAGGTAGGCTTCGGCCCCGTTACCAAGTACGTAAGTAAGTCTAGTTTCATAAACACTCTAAGGTCATTCATCAATAATGCCTGCCTGCTTGCTTGCTTGCTTTGCTTGCTTGCTTTGCCCATTTCATGCCTTGCCCTGCCCTGCCTGCCCAAGAAAGGATTCTCCCATCCAGAAAAAAATAGAAAAACAGAAAAATAGAAACAAAACGCCTTGTAAAGAGAAAAGCGGCAGCAGCAGCAGCAGCATAGCAGTTCAAAAAGAATACATACATATATATAGACAATACAGACAGACAGACGGGGTCGCGTTCTCAGTCGGCGCCGGTGCTGCTCGAATCGAAGTTCTTCTCCCAGATACTTCGGAGGATGGCGGTTACGCCATCATCTTCCCCTCCTCCTCCCCTCTCGCTCGCATCCCCAGGACTGCTGGCTTGCGCAGCAGCAGCATCGTAGCTTGATCTGCCTCCCCCTCCTCCTCCTCCTCCTCCATTGCTAGTACTACTAGCTGGCCCCTTGCCCCGCATCCGCGACTCCTTGGGACTCTGGCTATGTCCACCACCAACACCATACCGGCCCGCTCCCGCCGCCGCAGCGCCATCCTTCTTCGGGATCCTTCGCATCTTCTCCATGCCCGGCAGCTTCTCCAAGCGCTTGAGCGCGATCCCGACGGGGTCCTGATGTCGTCTCACCACGAGGTATTCCAGGCCCGTCCGCTCGAGCTGGAGCTTGAGCCGCGGATCCCGCCCATCGTAACCGGCGCCGTGCAGGCCTGAGAGAGCACCCATCCCGACGCCCGGCGCCATCTGCTGCGGTTCGATATTCGAGCTCGCGCGCTGCAGCCAGAGCTTCTGCTGGGTTCGCGACTGCTGCGGGGGGATGTACGCGTGAGGCTGGGTGGATTTGCGGCTTCGGGGGGCGAGCGCGCTCTCTTCGCTATCGTCATCTCTGTTATTACACCGTGCTGCTAGATTGCCCATTGATTGTGTTCTCTTGACTTCTTCCGCGAGGTGTTTGGCGTCCTGTGATAAGTTCTTGTGGTGGTGTAGGAAGGGGGAGTTCTCGCTCGGCGTGCCTGAGCCTCCAACGAATCGCGACACGACCTCATCTTTGCTGCCAACATTCGGCGTGCTGTTGACGGAGGGAGGGCCTTGGCTCTTCATGTCGTCTGGTAAGTAACCGGCGGTCGTAGGTGTAGCGGTAGCGAGCGACATCTTTGTTGTGTTGAGCGAGGGCGTGCGCTGTAACAGTCGTTCCGTGATGATCTTGCCTTCTGTTGAGTGGCGCGCGTGGTGCTGCTCGCTCGATCCATCAGTCGTCCGGGTCGGAGGGTGGGATTGGACAGGAGATTGATGTTGCGAATTGTCAGCGCTGGGTTTCGCAGACGACTGATTGCTCGACACGGCAGAGCGCGATGCGGATCGAGACAGGGCTGGCGACGCCGACGAACTTGCTTCTTCCCAGCCGTCCTCTTGATCCTGATCCTGATCCTGATTGCTGCCGATTTCAAAATGCACCGAGGCTGGCCTCCTCACCTGGACCTCTTTGAGTTTCCTTGGCACGTCGGCGGTGGATCGATTGCGCCTCAGATTGGCATGCGACGAATTCTTCTTCAGGGTTGTGGCCGAGGAGTTCTTCGTCAGCTTTCTCATGTCCGTATGTGACCCCTCATTGCCATGTGCTTTCGTGGTGAGCTTGGGCAGGCCCTTGCTGCTCGACGAGGCCCTCGTATGGATTCGCCCTGTGCTAACGACGTGCTTGTGGCCCTTCTGCTTGGTCTGCTGCGGTGGAGTCGTCGAGGGAGAATGTGTCTGGCTGTGGGTCGAGCTGGTCGATCGATGATGGCCACCGGGCGCTGGACGCTGGTGCGCTGGACCTGGAGCTGGAGCTGGAGCAGGCGCTGGCGCTGGAGTGGGAGCTGGCGCATTGTCCGACGGCATCCTGGACGTCCCTTTACTCGTGCGATTGATTCATCTGCAGCTTTATTTGCTTCTGGCTGAGTTGCCGCGGCTGGGTGGTGGAGGTTGAATCGTGGACCGGTCGCTCTGCCGCTTGGGTGCGCGCTGGGCGGGCCCCTTATTTAGGCCCGACGAACCGTACGGGCTCGACCATTTATCCATTGCGTAACCTCCGCTCCCAGGATTTGCGGCTTTGAAGACACGAGCTGCGATTTGATGATTTTTGAAGAGGGCAATCGAGAGAAACGCACGGCGGCCTCCTCTATTCTCTGCACTCTGGTCCTGACGAGGCAGCAGGCTTCGGCTTACGAGACAAAGACAGGGACTCGCTTTGCTTCCGAGGATTTCAGGTGTCGACAAGTTCTCAGTCACCAGATTATCTACTGCTTTCAAAATGCTATTTATTTCACACTCAGAATGCATCAGTTTTGTACTTTCAGAATACTCTGTATTCGTGTCGACTGCTCGGTGTCATAGTAGGTAGTATATACAGCAATAGCGACATTAGCTAAACGCCACCCAATTTATATTTATCCCCCGTCACAATTTCAAATCTCAATTTCGCGCGCTCTGGCCTATCTAAACTTGTGGACCAGCCTTGATGACATCCTCAGTAGCCTCCGACGAGTACTTCTTGAAGTTCTCGTTGAAGAGAGTGCCAAGCTTCTTCACTTCCGCCTTGAAGCTCTCGTGGCCTTGAGTCCAGGCATTGCTTGGGTTCAACAGCTCAGCTGGGACACCAGGGCAAGTCTTGGGCACGGCAAGGTTGAAGGTCTCGTATGTCTCGTACTCCACGTTCGCGAGCTCACCAGAGTGGATCGCATCGAGAATGGCACGGGTGTACTTCAATCTACGCTTTATTAGCAGGAATCCTCATCAGGTGAAATTCTGTACTTACGGGCAACGCTTGCCACCAGTGGCAGCGCCAGCTCCAACCCATCCGGTGTTCAACAACCAGGCGTTAGCCTTGTGTTGCTCAATCTTCTCAGCCAACATCTTAGCGTAGCGCATTGGGTGCAGAGCCAAGAAGGGTTGGGCGAAGCAAGAGGAGAAGGTGGCTTGTGGCTCGGTGACACCATCTTCGGTACCGGCCATCTTGGAGGTGTAACCGGAGATGAAGTGGAACATGGTTTGTGCGGAGTTAAGCTTTGAGATGGGGGGGAGGACACCACGGGCGTCGCAGGTGAGGAGGATGATGTTGCTGGGGTGTTTTTCTGAGAGGCAAGGAATCTTGGCGTTCTCAATGAACTCGATGGGGTAAGCGCATCGAGTGTTCTCAGTAAGAGTCGCATCGTCGTAGTCGACGACACGGGTGACTGGGTCGAAAACAACGTTCTCGAGAACTGAACCGAATCGGATGGCACCATAGATATCTGGTTCCTTCTCGGCCGAGAGACCAATGCACTTGGCGTAGCACTATGAAATGTCAGCAATGGCCAAATGACGGGTTTTCGAAAATGCACATACTCCACCCTCGATGTTGAAAACACCACGGTCACTCCAGCAGTGCTCATCATCACCGATCAACGCACGGTTAGGGTCAGCTGACAGGGTGGTCTTGCCAGTACCGGAAAGACCGAAGAAAACGGTGACATCGCCGTTCTTGCCCTCGTTTGCTGAGGAGTGAAGGGTCAAAACGTTGTGCTTCACGGGCATCTCGTAGAAGAGGACAGTGAAAACACCCTTCTTCATCTCTCCGGCGTACTCGGTACCGAGAATAACCATCTCCTTCTCGGCAAAGTTGATGGCGACTGAGGTTCCTGAGGTCATACCCTCAGTGTATCTGTTGGCAGGGAAGGACCCGGCGTTGTAGATGGTGTAATCTGGGTGGAAGTGCTCAAGGTCTTTTCGGTCAGGACGGATGAGCATGTTGCGCATGAAAAGAGCGTGGTATGCACGAGCGCACACGACTCGGACCTTGATCCGGTACTTCTCGTCCCATCCTGCAAAACCGTCGACGACGTAGATGCGATTTCTGGTGTTGAGGTAGTCGATGGCACGTTCTCGGTTGATTCTCCAGACCTAGCACGACGGGGTTAGCATCTTGGCGGGATGTGGAGGAGGCGGAAGCGGAAGCGAAAGCGAAAGCGAAAACAAGCGACGGCACGTGGCGCATCACCGAAAATGGCTGCCGAGGGGGAAGCGCGCGCCATGACATAAGCCGGGTGCCCGCTTCCTTTACCCCGCATTCTCAGGCAAAGCAACCCGTTCGGTTCGGGCAGCGGGTGGCCAAAGGGAAAAACATAGTTCCAGGCCAAATTCCCATGACGTCTTTCCTAACGACCCGAGGCAGCGGACGATCGTGCAGGACGAACGGAAACAATTGGTTTCCCGAACGCCGACGATTCTGCAGGGTGCAGGTTCGCAGAACGTCGTGGGACGAGCCAAGGAAAACTGCAAAGACAAAGGGACGTTGCGAAATATAGACCTACCTCAGGAGTCATGGGCTTGTTGACAGGACCCCACTGTTACGCCAGTTAGCAATGTTATGTAGAGCACCGGCGAGAGAAATCGTACCCAGATGTCGTTCTCTGATGATGGCTCCTTGACGACACGCTTGTCTAAGGGTGATCGTCCAGTCTTTGCTCCCGAGTATGCTGTGAGAGCGCCAGAGGATGTGATGGCAGAGCCGGTCTCGTAGACGAGGGCATCTTCGTAGAGGGCGGCGACACTGGGGTTGGGGATCTATTGGCACGGGTTAGCATATGAAGCTGCCGCTGGGTCCAGATAATACATACGATGGCTACACGGTCGTAGTCGATGTGTGCCTTCTCGTGAAGCTCGTTCTCGAGCTCAGTGTGCTCCTGTTGCGGGGTAACGCCACCAGGGTGCAGACCTGCTGGTTGTTAGAATCTCGACGTTCTTTCAAACCGTAGATCGCAGAGATAGATCTAGCAGAGGGATACGAACTGGTGCGGTTGACGCTGGCGCTGACGGCGACCACTACAAACTGTCAGCTCGAAATGCCACGCTGTAGAGCACGAAGGGATGACCACTGACTGTTGCGGAGACTTGTAGAGTGGTAGTTGGAGGTTCGAGTTGCAAGAAGTTGAGATTTGGGACCAAGGTGTCGAGGATCGGGGTGTGGAGAGGAAGGTCGAATGATGGGGAGTCCTGCGGCGGCAGTGCCTTTTAAAGGAGCAGCTGAAGCTTCATTCATGGTCATGTTTCGGCAGTAGTAAGGGCAGAGATGCTTCGTGAGGCCAGGCCGGCGTGAGGATTGTGTGGAGAGGGATCCAGAGCTGGCGGGTCCCACGACGAATGGGGGCGACGTGATTGGCCGCCACGCCCGAACGAGTACGTGCAGTATCGATATTCGGGGACTTTCGGAGAGCTGCGTCGGGAAGAATCGGTCTTGCGCGTGTCGCAGGCCTGGGCAACGAAGCTGGACCGTATCCGGGTGTTGGTTGACTGACAAGCAATGGCTAGCAATGGCTAAGCATGCCTGTCTCACGATATCTTGACGGGGCACATCATTTCCTGCCGCGAATAATCCCTCCCTGTCTCAGATGCCCAACTGCAACTTCTACCAGCATCTACCCCGCTCCCGGACCGCATCGGGAATCGGGGAGGACCTTGGCCCTTGGGTGTTGCGCTGCTATGGAGACCGATGATGCTGATGATGATGCTGGTGCTGGGAGCGGATGATGCTATACGTCTTGCTCAATCGTTCAAGTCAGCGCGGTTCTGGCTATCGTGCAAGAGTGTACCAACCATGACGTACCGCTGTCCCAGGCCCTCCGTTCCGTTCCCTCGCACAAGGTTCACACTTCACACTTCACACTTCACACCTCCCTTATCTCGATATCTGGAATAGGGGAGAGACTGCGAGTATAGCAGTCCGCAGTACCTGGTCCACCCGAGGAAGGGTTGGCACCCGTCTCCTCGTCTCCGAAGAGCCCAATAATCTCTCTCAGAACTTAATCAACTATACACAGCCACATCGGGTGAACTCTTACCAGACCGTTCATCGGGTAACGCTTCCATCGGGCCGGATCCGACGCCTACCTCCGCATCTACGTGAATCAGCTCCTTTTTGAGGAGAACAGCGTCTCGGTCTTGGTCTGGAGTTCAAGCGGGGTCGTCTGCTGCGGATACACTTTCCTACGGGTGTTCTCCAGACTCTCTGGATGTTTACATTGTCTCTCCGTATCGCCCTTCTGCATTTATTGTCTTGAGCCATATCTCAGAAATAAATACCGCAAGTTCCAGTGTCATGACTAAGGTTGGACAGTGCCTGGAGGATGTCCTCCGTACTCCTCCGTACTGTTTCATTCGTGAAATGACGATTGCTGCCAGATCTGCTCGTGCTCTTCTGGTGTTAATAAGCTGCCCTGTCATTGCAACACTAGCTCCATTTCTCCTTACTCAACTTCCAATATTCGGCGAAACTCGCGCTCTGCAGGCTTTTGTATCAAATTATCTTTATTCCCGGGCTACCTTTATTTCTCGGTTCTACCAAGCCAGAGTTCGGTAACTTTGGCTAGGTATCCCTTCAACCAGGGAGTCTCTAATGGAACAGCACAATCAAAGCCGTGCTCTTTGCCAGGCTCAACATGTAAAGTGACCTTCTCCCCGCCAAACTTCGCCTTTGCCGCAGCTTCCCACCGAAGGCTTCCCTCAACTGGTACGGCAGTGTCCTCCTCTCCATGAAGAATCAACGTATACGGCATATCACTGGCCCTCTCTAGCAACTTCCACGCATTGAGCCTCTCATCCGTTCCATAGTATTTCGCTATGTCACCGCTCTGGGCCAGCGGAATGGTTATATCCATCCTTTCGGGCGGAAACGCAGCGGTGACGATTTTCCCAGGCTGTATGGATTTCAAGTGATTCTGTACAACGGATTCCGGACCGGGCGCTATTCCCAGGATGGGCTTTTCACGCTTGGGGGCAAGGTCGATATAAGGATACATGGAAATAACGGCTTTGATGAAGCCAGAAGGCTGCCAGAATCCAGAAAGCAGAGAGATCGCACCTCCAGCGCTCTCGCCATGGACAATAACCTTGGTTAAATCGGCTTCGACTCCTGGCTTTCTATCGTTGAGGAATGGTTGGAGATCTTTTCGTATCCAGTCCCAGAAATCCAAGACGTCCTCGCGCATGTCTAAGCCTGTAGACTCGGGAAGAAGGCGGTAGTCCCCAGTCACAATGATGGCCGAATGAAGCAGGCAGTAGTCCAATGCCCATGGTGGATACCAGTCAGGAAACAGGCTAGCACCAGTGATCTGGAGGACGGTGAGAGGTGTTCTTGAAAATATCTTGAATCTTCAAGGGGAGAAACTTACAAAGAATCCACCGTGGAACTTCACAACAATAGGGTGTTTCCCAGAAGAAATATTTTTCGGGGTCAGGACATAAGCTTTGATCTCCTGGTTATTGACGACTTTGTAGGCTGTCTCGGATATGTCGAACTTGGCGTACAGAGGGGAATCCATCTTGCTTGGATTTCTAGAAAACCTAGTTCGAGGATGGAGGGGAAGGGGTCCGGGGTCCCGTCTGGAATCTTATCTATTGGTAGGTACCGACTTTTACTCCGTCGGGAGATAGCTAGGGGGACCTGTTAGACTTGTATCTTTAGAGGCTTGGCCACCCCTCTTTTGACATACAAGACTTACTGACCCTTGAACACACGACTGTACAAGAAAGATATATAATGGTAGCTGACTAATCCTTACTAAAAGCTGCGGGGACACTGATGCCTGATGGAGATAAAGGACAACTCCATTTGACGCAACATTTGCGCCTCGCGGATCTAAGCGACGCTTGAAATACATATCTAACTTTGTATTCTGTGTACAAAGCCCAATAACCAACTTCTGTATACAAGTGCCACGGTGTCTAATAAAAGAATCTCATGCTAAATCTAGAACTGCGGAGTAGAGGGGTTTAGACCTTATAAATCCATGGGGATGAGGGGTATTCGGGTAATGCCCGTGCAGCCGTGTGGGCGTCGGCAGCACTAGACATCTGGCGGTGATGGTGGAAACTTGAAAGGCCAAAAATAAATTTAGGCGGTTTCCTACCCCATCGTAGACAACTTACCGAGTATTGTTATGTTTCGTTTTCTCCCCCCTGAGATGGCCAAGAAAGGGGGTTCGTCACATGCATGCAGATTGATTAGTCACCCTCACCTCCAGACGTTCCCTCAGCGATCTCAATCAGCTTCATCGAGCGGCACGGGCAGCCTGAGCCCAAGGCAACAGCAGCAGCCTAGTGGTTGAATAACATACAATGAAAATCGCTTCAAGAACCATTCCTAAATCCATCCCCAAAACCATCACAACTTTGTCTATCCAAGCTAGAAGCTTCAGAGCCATGGCCTCTACCACGGCAGCAGTGCCAAGTGGCCCAAGCAGCGACGTTGAAGAGTTCGGACGTCTTTTGAAATCTTCAAAGCGGGTTCTTGCACTGTGTGGAGCAGGACTCTCCGCATCATCTGGGCTGGACACATTCCGGGGCGCAGGAGGGATGTGGAGGAATCATCAAGCCGCCACGCTTGCTACTCCTGAAGCCTTCGAGCGAGACCCGGGACTTGTTTGGCTCTTCTACTCCTATCGGAGGCATAAGGCACTACAGGCTTCTCCCAATGCCGGACATTATGCTTTAGTTGAGCTATCAAAGAAGATGCCAGGTTTCATCACGCTTACGCAGAATGTTGACGGTAGGTACCTCCTCAACTTTCTCTCTCTTCGTTAGGCAGATATCTATCTATTTGAGGGCTATCATGTGACGACCCTCCTCCAACTCTTCTTTCATATCCCCTATCTATCAAACTGCCATCCCAACGCCCAGAACCCCTCACTAATAACAACCCCCCCAAACAGGACTCTCCCAACGAGCAAACCACCCCCGCGAACAACTCAAACTGCTCCACGGTTCCCTCTTCGACATCAAATGTTTCAACTGCACCTACGTCCAACAAAACAACTACGACGACCCTCTCGACCCGATCCTCGCCATCGACTCCCCCTCCGATGACCGCCTCGCCACATCCAAGACCTCGATCGCTGCGCGCGCCGCCTATCTGGACCCCGCGACCCCGCCCACCATCGCGCCCGCCGACCTGCCGCACTGTCCCTCCTGCAAGACGGGCCTGCTGCGGCCCGGCGTCGTCTGGTTCGGCGAGGAACTGCCCGCGGATACGCTGCGCGAGGTTCAGACGTTCATCGATCAGGGCCCTATCGATCTCATCATGGTCATTGGTACGACGGCCACTGTCTACCCGGCCGCGGGCTACGTGGCGCGCGCGAGAGCCAAGGGCGCGAAAGTCGCCCTGGTTAATATGGACGCTGGTGAACTGGGCGCGATTGGGTCTTTGAATAAGGGAGATTTTTTGTTCGAGGGTGATGCGGCGAAGATCTTGCCCGAGATTTTGAAGCCTGTTATTGGGGAGTTGAAGCTGTAGGAAGACGGAGTAAGTGGGGTGCACGAGGTTGGAAGCGTTGCTGGGATATCGGTATTTGATTGGTATAGGGCAGATGGAATTACTTTGCTATAAAAGCGTCATGACATTGCAATTTGAGGGATAAAGGTCTAAGGTTAGCTAGCTTAAATATTCGGGAGCACAGGGAGCACATGGGATAGATAGATACACAATGGGGAGGTAGCTAGCTTATTTTCGCAAAGACGTTTCTGGGTTGTGCCCATGACGATTGACCAGGAAACACTTGACTCGAAGGCATTTCTGACTGAATCTATCCACCCCCAAAACTCTCAAACTCACCCTCTGACCCGTGTCTAGTGTACATGAAGTCCTCCATGTAATGCAAGCCGTCTCTCATTCACCCTTAACCAGGTGCCCTTTCCAGGTTGTAAAGTTTGACCATCATTGTTCTTCATTTAAGCAGCTTCTTCCGTGATCAACTTGGTGATCTTGCCAATCGCGATGGTTTGTCCCTTGAACGTATATTAGGTTTTGCAATGTGTGTGTACGAGGGATATATGGCTTACCTGGTCTCGCAACGTGAACCGTCCTAATTGTGGGTAGTCCTCGAACTTCTCGACGCAAACAGATCCTGTTCCACCAATCACCTCTATCCGTGCAATGATGCTATCGCCCTTCTTCGCATGTGATGGTGGGAGTTTGCTCTTTCTACCAGTTCCCTTTTGCAGTTTGTGAAGCAATGCCGAGAATGTGACTTCCTCAATCGCGGAATGAACGTGCATGACACAATCAAATCCAGCGGATAGAATGCTCTTCAACTCCAAGACGCGAATCTGGGCCTCGAAAGCAGAGACGCAATGTACGAGACGCTTTGGCGAACATAGGACAAAGCCAGGCAGGATATCTTCTTCTTCGACGCCCCGCAACCGCAGTCGAGCTTGGTCTCCACATTGTGCGGCAGGCACTTCATCCTCGGTCTCACCATATACTGCGGCGACCTCGACCTTGTCTCGGTTTGGCATCAATATCAAGGACATGCCCTTCTTCACAACACCTGACTCGATCTTTCCCTCGACAATAGTTCCCATATCACGATATTTACCGTTAACTGGCATCATGAATGGGGCGTTGACTTTCCGTTCCAGCGTAGTCATATTGTCGAGATACTCGAGGAGAGACGGTCCATCGTAGTATGGTGCAAGACCTGCAGGAATTCGGTCCTTGATACCGATCGTTTGTTGTGCTGCGATGGGCATGAAGAAAACGTCCGTCTTGAGATTGTAGCCAACTCCCTTGAGGAATTGGCCCAGTTTTGTGGTGCACTCTTGGTAACGCTTCTCAGACCATTCTACCGTAGGATCGTCCATCTTGTTGATCACGACAACAAGTTTGTTCACTCCTTGGGTCTTTGCCAGCATAGCGTGCTCCCGGGTTTGACCTCCCTTCTCGAATCCTGTCTCGTACTCTCCTTTTCGTGCAGAGATGACGAGAATTCCGACATCTGCTTGAGAGGCTCCACCAATCATGCTGGGCACGTATGTCTTGTGTCCCGGAGCATCCAAGATACTATATCTTCGCTTCTCTGTTTCGAAAAATCCACGACCAACTTCTACAGTCTTTCCCTTGGATCTCTCTTCTTTTGTCAAATCCAATGCCCATGAGAGGTACCATGTCTCACGGCCCATCTCTTTAGCTTCTTTCTTGTTCTTCTCCATAGTTCGCTCGTCCACCATACCAGTCGCGTAGAGGATAGATCCTCCAAGGGTTGATTTACCAGCGTCGACATGGCCAATGAAGATGATGTTCACATGCTCTTTGCCGTAAATTTCTTTCAGTGTCTCCTCATCAACATCAGCCTGCTGCTCTTTCTCAACGATGTCGGCATCACGAGCAGCCTTCTTTTCAGCAGCACGCGAAGGGCTCGATCGGCCAGAAGAAGGCGTTGGCGAGGTTTTCCCACTGGCAGAGGTTGTGCTCTTCTCCGTCTTCTCGATGGCCTTTGCAGCAGTGACCTTAGCACCTTCCTGTGCGGCCGGAGCAGGCTCTTTTTTCGGCTCTTCCTTCTTGGCTGTGGCCGGTGTTGTACCTATCGAGAGGACCTTGGCCTTTGGTTTAGGTGCATCCCCGCCGATGCTGAGAACTTGTGGTGCTCCCTCCTTTGTGGTCACAGGCTTGTTCAGATCTGATGATCCTGATGAACCGTCTGTTGGTCGTTTCGCAATCACAGGAGTTTGTCGAGGCGCTTGCTGTGATGCTGCCGGAACTGCTTGTGGTTGTTGTGCGTATCCGGGATATTGCTGTGCTAGATTGATGCCGTTAGAAAATGTGTAACTGAGCGTAACAAAACACCAAGAAAAAGATCTCCGAAGTTAACTATGGTAGAATTCTGTGGCAGAGACTGATTGGAATAGAGCAAGTGGGAGAGAATAGTTACCGTATCCTTGGTTGTAGCCACCTTGATTGTAGCCTCCATACCCGCCTTGTTGGTACTGGTTGTAGCCTTGCTGGCCGTACTGAGGATAGCCACCATAAGCCCCTTGGTTGTAGTAGTTCTGATATGCCGCTTGATCGAAACCCCCTCCATATGGTTGGAAAGGCTGGCCGGGTTGGAAAGATTGTGCGCCAGGCTGGAACGAGTTTGCGCCCGGGCGGAACGAGGGTTGTTGCGGAGTGCTGTTGAGGTTCATCTGCTGAGTTTGTCTCGAGAGGTTATCCTCCTGGGCGGCAGGATCATCTTCCCACGAGTTGAGGTCCGACATGGTTGCTCTGACAAGGCGGGGGAGTTTTGTTTGGCGGGTTCAAAAATGTGTTGTCGAGATGTGGGAAGGTTGGGGCTAGAGGCGGGAGGATTTATCGCGGGGTCGTTAAAGAGACGGTACCTGTTGAATGATGATTTGTTCGAGGGCTCACGCTTCGTCAAAAGGGAGCAGCCAAGACGGCTAAGTTCTGGGCTAAAGGTATCGCTGGACTTGGAGCAGCTCCTCGTTGAAGACCCGGTATATCTCTGATTGTCCCGCTGCCGCGATAAAGGTTTGATTGAGAGCGTCTCTTCTTTTCTCTTCGCTGGAGACTCTTCAAAGCACTAGTGTTGTGGGCGTTGAACCGTTGTCCAATCAGAAACCTTGTGTCCTCCCGACTTGATACTGAGAGCCTGAGATCGTGTTGACCCGCAACGTGTGTGTGAACCCGTACATAAACCAACAAGAGATGGCGATGGTTGATCTTTCTGACTGATATCTATGCGGAATACATCCTTCAAGAATACCTGATATTTTCAGACCTTTCTGACCCTGCGACGACCATGGAGGCCTTCTTGGGCAAGGTACTGTACAAGTTCCGTTGGCTTCAAGATCACGTGCTTACCATAATGATATCCAGATCACCCAGCAGGCTATGAACTATGCTATCAGGTAAGTACCGGACCTGTATAGTCTCATTATGAGTTACTGATTGTCTCTCAGATCTGGTATCTCTATCACAGCTTCATATGCCATCAGCCAGACGTCAAGACTTCTCAAGGTATGGAGACCCATTGCCACTTCAGGGGTAGTGTGAGTGACTGTAGTTATCTAGACCGTTGAGGACAATGCCGATTATCAAGAGCTTCATAGCCTACAGGAACGCCTTGACAGCAAGATCAGAGTAAGCGCAACATGCAAGGAAGCCACTTTCCGATACCTATGCCGACAAGCTTCTTGTTATTCCCATATCCTGGATCTCACTGACAGCTAAACCTAGATTGTCTCTCCGGCTATTGATATGATAGAGCTCATGTATCTATCCCTGACCCTATTACTGTTTCCTTGCTATCATAGGACTGACGAATTCTAGCTCGGCAAGAGGCAATACAACTTTAGAATCAGCAGTCACACTGACCAAGGCTCTTCGTTGGGACATCCAATCTCTTGGTACTCGGCTTGAAAAGGCAGCCAGTGCCGAAGAGTCATCAAGGAGAAATAACAAAAGTGCCAAATCCAAAGCAGCACATACAGTCGAGATCCGGCAGATTGCCCAAGACATTCGAAGACTCCTCATACGTATTGAAGATGCGGTTCCTCTCATCAACCTTGCTATTACCACCTCAGGTGCCAATCTGTCGACAACCCTTCCTGCTTCTGTATCGCCCTCAAGATTATTGCAGGCTAGCACTTTTCTCACTGCGGGCGACACGAAGTATTCAATGAATCCAAACGTATCGGTTCAGGTTGGGCCAACCTTTACGCTATCAGTGTATATGCTCTTCGCTGGTCACGTCTACAGAGCACATGATGAAACGGATAGTATGAGAGATACGACTTGGAAAGAAGCGATACACAAAGCGAGGGTGAAACTTGTCCGAACTCCCCTTCATTCTGCAGTAGAGCCAGGGCGCTCGAATACACCTGTTGTTCAATCTATTGAAGGCGTGCAAGAACCCTCAATTCCAGGGGAAGGAAAGGCAAACGAATTCGCATACCAGCTTGAGATAATCGAAGATTTCAATGACGATCGAGTCCATTCATTTGATGAAGATGGACCTCAGCCAGGACCCTACGATGACGTCGAGCTTGCTGGCATTCGAGAGTTTTTGCCAATATATCAGATTTCTAAAATCTTTTATGCAGATACTGGAAAGATACTAAATATCGGCAGCGCGGGCGAGACGAATAATCCCGTGCTACTCCTGAAGCGAGATATCAATGCCCTTCCACCACGAAGAATGATGCGAGACGATGAAACCAACTATGAGTTGAATGAGGAACCTGAAATTGTTAAACCCTCCGAAGAAGAGGACGAGGAGGATGAATCTCAGGATATAATTGATCAGCAACTACATCGAGAAAGCTCAGTTCATGTATACGACGAGGAAGCGGACGAGCCACACACCGAATCCCCAGGAGCCTGGCAGTTTCCACCTAATTTGGACCCAGAATGGATAGCTCTAGAAGTATACACCGAAGCGGAAGAGGAATCAAGCTCTGATGATGGACAAGACGGGCAAGACGTGAACGACGACTCTGCCTACTCATCGCCCCGCCCAAGCTCATCGGGAGAGGGTGACAGTCTTGTAGCCGGACTGGCTGATCTGAATATCGATCCGGAATCATCACCTCGTGCATCAGCTTCAGGTAGTCAAGTCGCAAGCTCTGCCCCCTTGCACGCCTCTATATCCCCCAAATCCTCACCGTTTGGTCCTATCCGATCCTCACTCTCTCTCCTCGAGATGTTGATCCGCCTAACCTCACTTCAACAATTCCAGCAAGCATCCCACCTCTCCATCCCCGACGAGCTCCTCACATTCTTCCTCGAAGAATCATCGACTACCGGTGCGGGAGGAAACGGCGATGAACGTCGACGGGCGCGCCGCGAAGCACGGCAAAAAGTCGGCTTCGACCCTTATGATGAAAGCCCTGTGAAGAGACACGGCGAGGATTATCAATACCAGAACCAAGAAGCATACCGAGAGAGTTCCCGCGGAGGTACTCCATACGACGACTACGACCAGGGCGGATACCGTGTCGAAAGCCCTCGATGGCAAAGACAGCGGAGCATGACACCGCAGCGAACGCCCGAGCCTTGGTTCCCCCGGACTCGAGAACCTACTCCCGGTTCCTCGGCCCGAATGACACCGAACGTACGGCCCTCTTCGCCGGTGTCCCCGTATCGACCGCCTCCCAGAAAAGCAACGAGGCCTCTGGACCGTGTGAAGCAGGCCCGGGGCGTGAACGCTGCGAGTCCGCTTGGGAGGGGGATAAGTGTTGAAACTGATTCGACGCTGGGTACGAGCCCAGGGTCCCCGACGCTTGTCAATAGCAAGGATAAGGCGGAGGCGGTCTAAATTGCAGTTTTCCAACATGAAGATGACGGTTAGAGATAGGTAGTTAGAGAATTAAACGAATGATACCCCTAACTCATGACTTACGGACAAAGGTTATCATATCTAGAGGTTTGCTAGAACGATGCTTGCTAATTGTGTATACCGGGTAACAGCTCATAGGTATTGGATGCACGTATACATAACATTACTCTTTGTTGCTTCATTATTCATTGTGGTCAGAAGCCTTCATATAGAAATAAAATCTACCGTTTCTAACCATAAAGTACCGTAACCCCCGCATAACCTTAATGACCAAATCGTGGGTATCTCTCCACCAAACGCCGTGAGTCCGTCTAGATCCTTTTATCCCAAGCGCCCAGACATGAATAATAATACACCCATCAGTCAGAATCATAATCCACCAAGGCGACCGCGGACTGATTAGTTTGAATTGCAGGCTTGGGTTCCGGCGCTGGCCGCTTTCTCTTAACGCCTGCCAACAGCGGCTTCGGAGATGGTTTGAGCGCAAGGAACGGATCCATAGCCGCTCTCGTATTGCCCGAGATCTCTGCAACAATATCTGCAGTTTTCTTCTTCGCCAGATCTTCCGCCTTTCGTCTCCTAGAACCCTTAGCGGTTTGGGGTTTTTGTTTCGACGTTGTTTCTTGGCTTGAAAACAGGGGCTTGGAGATAGCTTTCGCCATAGCCTTCTCATGATCCACTCCACCGAACTCGATAAGTTGAGCTCTTCGCGCATCATCCTCATGTTCAGGCAGCAGGTCCAGTCCAAGACTCATCTTATCCTGCAGCGCAGCCGTAACGCTCGCTTCCTTCTCCCTGATCTTCCTCCCCTCTCTGAATGTTTTCCTCAACTTCCGATTCTGCTCATAGGGATCCTCCCAATGCTGCTCGGACAACTCTTGTAATTCCTCTAGGCGTTTCTTACTATGCTCCAACCGCATCCTATCCTCCACCTTCCCTTCCAACGCAGCAAACGCATTGTTCCTTAACTTCTCCCTCTCCTCCTCCGTCAGAACCTTGATATCCCCCTCTTCAACCTTATCCTCGCCCAGATCCCTCTTCCTCGCGCCCTCCGTAACCACATACGCTGTATTTTTCGGATCCGTACGGATCTCAATCCAGCCCCCGCAGCTCGTGTGCTTCATGCGGAAGCTATAGATGGGCGTCGAGTAGTAGTTCCCGACTTTCTTCTTCTCGGCATTGAAACGTACGCCTTGGCCTATGATCGTGGGCTTGGGGCAATTTGTGCACCAGATGGGATACGGCATTTCGAAGCGGACCGTTAGGATCCCTTGGGAGATTTTGTTGGCCCGCGAGCCCAGGGCATGCTTTCCGTGGAGCTTGTTGCCACTGATCACCCCTTCGTGCTCGGGTGGGACATAACGTCCCATATTAAAGCCCTGCATTTTGGGGGGAGTTGGAAGTGGTAATGCTTTGTTGAGCGGTTTGTGAACTGAGATCGAGGCGGCGACTTGGAAGCCCCGATACTGGGCTGACTAGCTTATCGTCCCGTGACTTCAGTTTTGCGAAACCATCATGATAATTTCACACCGCTGATATACTAGAGAGCACCATTTGCCTTCAGAGCCCACATCTTGCCTTGACCTGGACTCTCTACAGCTAGCATGATACGGCGTTACCTTATATACTGCCATATTAACAACTCACTAGGGGTTTATTATCCAAAGTAAACTAGAATTCCTGTCAAAGAAACCCCCAAAATTAGAGTGGCAGCCGAAAGGGGTGGCGATCACGTGCGAGGTATACAAACTGTGGGGTCGACCGCGAGCGTCTCCAAGCCCGCGACGCGACCAGGAGGATTTTAATGATCTTGTCAACGCCGCCAATTACCCAGCAGCTGCGAATGAAAGCATCGAGCACGAATTGAATCTCTACTCCTCTTACTTAATACGTCAAGAAACCAACTATGGAGCCCTCGGAATCCAGATCTACGTCCGCCCTGGCCTCCTACAGCGCAGAAGAGCTCTCCCCGCTTGAACAAGATGTGCTTGATGAATATGAGCGGCTAGCAGAGAATATGAAGAAGGTATGGCAGCCTTTTGATTCCCCGCAGTTTCCAAATTCAATTCTTTCTACCTGGATGTTGGGGGGATGGTGCTAATGTCTCTTCTTTTGGCGGGTGGAATAGTTGGCGAGTCTGCTGGACAATATGGCAGGCAAACCAACGGCGGAGATCCTGGATGGGTTGAGGCAGTTGGAGCGCAAGACGAGTCTGGTGTTCACGTTGCTGAAGGCAAGTGTTTATAGCATTGTGCTGCAGCAAGAGATCTATTCGCGGGACCAGGAGGGCGGGGAGGAGTGAAGAGTGGTAGAGTTTCTGATGCTCTGTGGAGCCAATCATCGGGAATACGCAGTCCAGACCGAGCCTCATGTCCAATGTGGCTGGACTGGAGCGTATGGAGCACTGCCGTTTGAATATGGTGACGAATAAGGACGAGGGATGAAGGATTTCACGGCGTTTGGAAGGTTCAGAGATACCCGGTAGAGTGGGAAGAGAAGGAAGAGAAGTGGAAGAGAAAGAAGGGATGACTCTTATAAGGGACTGTCTTCGCCCACGCTTATGCTACGCCTGTCGAGACATCTTCCATACAATACTAGTACAAATGCGATGAAATATACACTACAACTATACACGACCTCCATAATACACTTTCCGCACATCCACAAGCTTCTTCCCCAGTCCTCGTGCAACCTCGTCTGGTATCCTTTGCTTCATCAATGCTTGGTATGCGGCTTTAACGGTGTTCATTTTGTTGCGGGATCGTGGTACTCGTGCGGCGAGGTCGTGGATGCCAGCTGCTCGAGCCATTTCGAAGATGATGTGTTGGCAGCGAAGGCCAAATCCTGTAATCCATGAGTTTGTGCGTTAAGTGTTACAAATGGGATCAACTTACCTGGTGGTCTTGCCATAAGTTGCACTTTTACAGCAGACACCTTTCCTTCCACCTCCCCATAGACCGTCCGGTCCTCATATCGAGGAACTGGCTGCATGTTGCGAATAGCTGCAATTCTAGCAAGATTGAGAGTGTTTTCCATTTCTTGCCCCTTGGCCTGGCCAACGCCCAGTCTGCCATTCCCGTTCCCAGCAATTGCAAGGACGAGCACACTCTGAATCTTGCCCAGTCGAGTTTGGTTGGTGACATAGTTTATCACCAATGTTTTTACTCGAAGTTTCATGATATCATCCATGGTCAATCCTGTCTGTTTGCGCAGCTGTTTATAGACCCCAAGCTGGTCTCGCGCGTTTTCATCGTCTTCTTCTTGTGCCGCCTCCTTTTTGACTGCTGGGGTGTCATCTAAAGAGAAGTCCTTCGGGAGAGCAGGCGCAAGCAGGCTTTGCCCGGCTGGTAAAGGACCATTCGTGCCCATGTATGATGGTGCTTCGTAGTCTGCCCGCAAAAGATTGAGTCGAGTGGGGTTAAACTGTTGGTCTCCAGCTTGTAAAGTCTTCTCTGCATCCTCCTCTGAAACGTTGCCACCTTGTGGAGGCTTCCTCACCGGTGGTGGATTCTCCTTATCGAGTTTGTGGAAATAATCACTGAATGACCGCCCTAATTCCTCCTCGGTCATGAACCTGGTATTGGGATCTTCGGGCGTTTCATCTTGGGGTCTCTTGTCGACCACATTTCGGTAGTGTCTGAAATCATCGAGATATGGTAATGTTCCAGCATCAGTCCGAACGACACCTTGACGATCGAGGTCCTCTGGACGAATGGCCGCCTCTCCGGCTTCAATCGCTCGAATCTGCTCGGGTGTATATTTCTTCGCCAGGAGTGCTTTCTCTTCCTCCGAGTATGCTCTGAACAGTTCTTGAGGCGGTGGCATAGGCTTGTCGACGAGGCCCATGTCAGCAGCCTTGATATTGGGGAACCTGGGTCTTCGTCTTTCGCATAGGTTGGGAGAGGTGTGGAAATTCCGACAGCGCACGCGTGGCCGCACTGTCGGGATGGGAGGGTGAGAGAAAAGACATCTTGCAGGCCGTGAGACGCTCATCACTGCTGATGTGTTCGGAGATCCTCCGCACACCTTTCAATGGCCCAATGCAGCTTGTCTACTTTTTCTGTACCTCTGCACGCGAGGATTCGGATACTTTTCGATCGCCGCTTACCTAAGCAATGGTTAGCCATCCAATCACGACCAAGCGTGGGGTTAAAGGGGCTATAGGTACCTGGGTACTTCAGGTGCTTGGAATTGGGACAATTGAAGTAAACCTTGTTTTTATATCATCTTATTTGCAATATACTATGGTTTACTCCGTTATAAACCTGATGGTAATTGAGCACTCTTACTTCTACAACCAATAGACCCGTGATTATGCAAGGTATTTATTCTCATTTGCCTTCGAGGCATGATCTCTACTGCTTCATTCCGCGCTCCTCTATAACTGTGACAGCTATGTAGCTGTGTCTTTATCCCGACATCAGACCGGACCATGAAGTTTCCTTTAAGCCCCCGACTCTCCATGGTTCGCGGCTGTGTTACCGAAGTAGAATACATCTATCCATTGGAATAATCAATGATATTCGTGATCCATCCATCCTATCCTTTGGCAGCAGCATCGTCATCTTCATCGTCGTCGCTATAACTCGGCAGCTTCAAGTATGTCTCTGGAGCTTTGACGGGCTCTAGGACTACGTATAGGCCCGCCCTCTTCTTAACGAATCTTTTTGCATTATTCTCTCGTGCTCGACCCTCCTCAATAGGTTGATCTTCTACCGAAGGCGTGACTTGCGTACCATTAGCATCGGTAAGCCAGGAAAGCGGTATCTCTGGATCAGACTTTTCGGTAGCTGCTGTTGTCACTGTCAGATTTCCGCCAATAAGTAATTTAAATTGCCTGGAATAGTGAGAATAGAAGAAGAGACCTACCCAAAGAAGTTCCCCTCGGTCCATCGCCCATATGCCAAGCAAGAGGTATGAGATGAGCTTTGTTGATGTGGTCCCGCCACTCCTCTTCCGATTTAAATGTGAACGCCTTATCCACAAGCTTAGACGATTTACTCGCACTGTCCGCAACTTTGCGGATTGTACTACAATTACCCCATAGACAAGGCAATTTACCAGAATGCTCCCTCTTTTTATGCACATTGAATAGATGAGCGCGCAGAGTCTCCAGATTATGGAGTTCAGCGGGACATTCTTTCCATTCACACAAGAATGGGATAAACTTGCGTTCAGGAGGAGGGGTCTCATCATCGGACTCAGGCTCAGGCAATTTCACGGTTCGGGCACGGCGTTTCTTGGTACTTTGTCCTTTAGATGCAGCAGCAGCTGCTGCTTCCGGAGTCTTGAATGGCCGACCTATCTTCTTTCGCGCTGGTTCTGGAGCTGGCGTGGTTTCAGAGATTTTGGGGGGTCGAAGCCTCTTCTTTGGCGTTAAAGAAGGCTGCTCGACTGTCGTGGGCGTGGGATTCTTCCGAGGACGACTAATACGTGGTGTTGATGCACTCGAGCCACTAGAGGCAGGCCCTCCGCCCTCTCCATCATCGCTCCCAATCAATCCAGAAACTCGAGGGTTGAAAACTGGGCCTTTCGGGGGGGTAGAGGTAATCACGACGGCAAAGCTGCGGGATTGGGATCCCGGTGTGGTGGCATTGCGTAGTAAACTTGGGCGAGAAGGTATCGACGTTGACAGTCGAGATGCTCCATGCGGAGCTGAGGAGAATCCACCTCGGGGTGGTTTTATCGCACTATGAACAGGAGTCTTCTGGGAGACTCCTTTCATTGACCCGTCCACTGATGCCATGTTAACAGATTCCGGAGCCCCACCTTGGGGTACATCTATTAAGTCTGAACGAAGAGTGGAAAGATCCGAAGTATCATCCACTTCCTTGAATCGGGACTTGAGCACTTCCAGATGCGCATTCAACCCTTTCTCAGATGGATGGAGCCCTACCGCACGGAGAACATCACGTGCTATCGTGTTGGGGTTGTACTCAGATCGACGAATGGCAGTGCTCGGGTCGATCCGTTTAACAATGTCTACAGAGTTGCGGGAGGAACTAGATGATTCATCCTCTCGCGATGGTTCGCGGTGCGGAGTGGATGAGGGCGGTGGGATAAGTTTATCGGTCTGAGGTGGAGGTTGTGTTTTCCAGGTTGCTGTTCGTCGCGGGTTTAGCTCAGACCCGCCGTAGTCCGCAACCGCGTTCTGCGAGGCCACCGGGCCATTATTACTCGAATTACGAATCCTATTGGCAGAAGGCAATGGACCGTCTTCTGTAAGGTCAATAACCTCAGAGGCCTTTCCTTTGTTAACTGCCATCTCTGTCCCAGTTTGAGGTCGAATTTGAGTCGAATTTCTCCATGCTGGAGAGTTAAGATCTCGCATACCAAATAGTGAATTTTTATCACGTGACGTGTTCCCCTTTCCATTTTCGCAGGCCCCATTGGCAATTGCCATAGGGGAGGGATGCGCATGGGTGTGCTTAGTTTGCTCTTGTTCATCCAATAAATGTCTTCCCTGGCCTATCCCGGAAGGGAACTGCTTCGGCAGGTCGCCCCTGGATTGCGAATCAACGACAGGCCATCTCTGCATATAGGGACCTGGCGGCGCTGAACTCGAAGGAGGTTGATAGATGTCGGCATACGGCTTGTTTACTTCTCCGTGGGAAGATGAGGCTTTACTGGATATTGGTGAAACAAGAGTTTTATCCGGTATTTGATGGTGTTGCCTCAAGGATTGATCCGACTGGGAGCTCGTATATGGCTGGGGAAATAGCCAGTCTAGTTGAGCCTCTATCTGACTTTCCTTTTCACCGGCGGTTTGCCGACTCATGGCTCTGCCTTTGGCATATACTTTGACTGCCTCTTGATTTGTCGACGTATGGCTGGACGACTGGGATTTCAATTCCGTTGTAGAACGGCCGCTTGACTGAGATGGATGGGTGCCACTGCCCACAAGATGGCCCAACCTAACTGGCAACTGCTCGTTGGCCGCTCTCCCATGATCGAACGTCCTCTTATAAGGACGAGTGAGTACCTTTTCAGCCTCTGATAAACTGATATGGTAAGCCCCATGTGGATCCCTACTAACATCCATTGCGGGCGGTACAGCTGATCGATGAGACTGATATGTGGAAGGGCCGGAGGCGGACATCGATGGAACTAAGCGTGAGATCAACGCTGGGTCTTCTAATACAGCAAGCCCTTCGCCGTTTGAGAGACGCCCAATCCCTTCAGTGCGCGACGACCGAGGGAAGTGATTCGCTCCAACAAGATCCTGGGTGTCAGGTCCATTTTGAAGGTGGCGCCTCGTTGGCGAAGATGTAACTGCCTTCGCCTTGTCGCCTGATGCCCTCCAGGACAAGATGTTTGATCGTTCGTCCATCCAGAAACCTGTACGGTGGTACTATTTGAGAGAAGCCATGACGGGGATGCCAGACGTTTGTAGGCGTGGTATGCCCAGCCCTGGATGGATGAAGAGTCTTTGAGGCAATTCTACCAGGCTTGGTTTGTACTAAAAGCAAGGTTATCTATAGATCTTTCAAGATTCACCAAGGAACGACAAAGGCGACATCTCTCTTTTGGGGCTGAGAGCTCGCAAGCGGCGGGGAGGAAGACTTACATGAAAACAAACGAGAGCGTGCCCTGGATCACGGACAGAGGGCTCGGCACCTCGAGCACAAAGCTCCGATAAGACAGACCTCTGGTCAATAAAACTTAAGATATGTCTTGAGTTTCCTGCTCTCTCATGGAATAGGTAAGGCCTTTTTTCAAGGGCGAGTCACGGGTTGATCAGGTGAAGAAAGTGCGCTTTCGTCGAGACAGACTTCCGTATTCGGGGAATGCGGCCGCTCTACGGTAAGGTACATTATCCGCGCTGTCCATCCTATCTAAACTCTTCCCAAACTCTCCCAACCACCATTCCTTTTGCATCAAACATCACGCCCTCATCTCTCAGTAATTTTCTCTTCTTATGATCATTCAAACCCTCCTCCCCATTGCGGCCCCAGCTCCCCTTAAATCCACCAATCCCGCCACCACTGGCTAATACACGATGACACGGAACATGCGGTGCAAAAGGGTTGTTTTTCAGTGCGTTCCCTACCGCTCTCGGAGAGGAGGATAGGTGTTTTGATATCGCGGCGTACGTAGTGTAACGGCCTCGCGGAACCTGGCATAGTACTGTGAGGACCTTCTTTTGGAAAGACGTCTTGTGGCAAAGAGCGATTTTCTTGAGGTAGGGTGTGAGATCTTCTGGCTGGTCCTTCCTCTGTATATCAGTCGGAGGAACTTGCTGTAGGTTTCCTTGCCGGATCCCAATGTTTTTTCCATCCCCTTCCAAACAGTCTGTACCTTGCTCTATGTCACGCTTCCGCTTCCCAAGATTTGTAGCAGCGTCTCTGCCGCTGGTCTTCCTGGCTGCTTCCTCTCCCTTGCGCCTTAATTCCGGACTTTTGTTATCCAACTCTACAAGATCTGCTTCCCCGTTCAATATCTGTCTTTCCAACTTAGCAGGCGCTTCCAACTGCTCCTCTGGAATATTTCTGAACCCCGGGTTCTTGACACTGGACATTAAGCCATTGGCTTCGACAGTGGGGTCGAGTGGAGCGCAATGGCCATTCTGCACCGGTGATATGGGCTTTAGCAATTGTTAATCAGTGGCGATCAATGGAAATCTTAAACTTAATATACCTACTTCGGCCAGTGATCTTGATGATGCGGCTGTGGGAGCCTCGCATTCCTTCAGTGACTCGGGCAGTTGATCTGCCTGATCTCCCATTCTTGATGTGCCAGGAGGGAAGAAGGGACAAGTTCTCTCCAAACACTGTTGCATATTGTTATGAATCTTGATCGACATAGCTGATTTGTCTCTTTTTGAAGTGAGATGTGGTAACAGTATATGATTTAGAAAGTCTAGGTAGGTATGAGGCGAGAGACGCGTAAAGTGATGACACGGGATAGCACGAAGTCACGTGAGCTCACTCAGCCGTGCTCGCTACACATTCCCATTTAGTGGCAAAAAGCCACCAAAAAGCTGAATACATACAGCACAGAACCAAAAAAGGGGAAATAAAACAACGCAATGAACAAACCCATCCTACCCATATCCAAAAAAAAAAATAAAAAATAAAAAGGTCGACGCTCAACCCACACCCTGCATCCAAACCACACAACAAGTGTAATCCAATACCGCCACACCACGGTGAAGATCTCTCTGCAGAGTGAAGCCTCCCTGAAGAAGTTACCTTCATTGCTTAGGGCCCCGCCAGCATCGTGAGTTACCTACACGAGTGGGGAACCACCGCAGTGTTCGGACTGGGCACTGTTGGCGGCGTCGTGAGACCAGATGAATGCAGATTTGTGGTATTCTGATATCTTCCCGCTTTGTGACCATGACAGCCGAGAGTAAAACTGCTTATTCTGTTTTATACATACCTGCGGGCCGATCTACGGTGGCCGCTCGGCTAATTGTTTATCCGCCCCTTTACCCCTATCCCTCTCTGGAGATTTTGTGGATTTAATTGAATGGCTAACACGATCGATGTTTAGATGCAGTTCAGATATATATGTATGGCAAAAAGGATTGATTGGAAGGGAGCTGCCAACAGCCGTGAGGCCAGTAGTATACTATGAAAGCTTTTCCCATCTCCTCCTGTCCTGTCCGCGGCCCGCCAGGCCATCCATCCATCCATTCCCTTCATTACAACACAGACGTCGTCGTATCGCCTTTCTATCCCTTCCCTTCCTTCATATTGTTTGCAAAGTAACGCCTCTCGAAGTTGACCAAAGACAATAAACTAATAGATAAATAGGCGTACTCAAGGTTGAGTCATTAAGGACAGTAAGAAGTAGAGTACAGGCGGCCAGGTCTCCACCACACCTAGTCCAGGAAAAGAATCATAAATCGTAGCCTTGAAGCTGCTTTCTGACGTCCAAGTACTTCATACCAAGAATGCAAGAATCGGCTCCCTTTGAAAGAGCGGTTGAATTGAAGTGGAGAAGGGTATCGAAGGGTATGATAACGAAGATTAAACGCCATTGTTATGTGTATGCAAGGTGAATGCTAGTGGAGCTTAGATCATTCCTCCATCCTCCTGGCTCATGGCACCCTTGACATCCCTCGGATGTCTTTCAATCATGTTGCCATTCCCGCTGAGATTGGCATTCGAAGCAGCAGGACTAGTAGCCGCATTTCTATTCATGTTCCAGACTGGCGGCACGCTTTCATATGGGCTTGGCTCATATGGCTTTGTAAAGTCTGCTATGGGCGACGTTGTATTCCGCCCACGGCTGGCGCTTCGAAGTCGTTCAGCAGCACGTGTGAAGCGTCCGGAGATACTGTTGTCATTTTCGCTGCGACCACGGCTGTGACTAGCGGCTGAGTCTCGTCCAAATGGTTGCTGGGGTGGAGCCGAGCCACTTTGATTAGGGCTACTGGCCTTCTCTTCTTCTTCGTCCATCACAATCTCTATGACTTGCGATCCTTGAGATGAGACCCCGGAGACGATTGAGTTTGTGTTAGGATCATTGTGGCGGTAAAGAGGTGCAATAGGAGCTGGAGGTGGGGGAGGAGGTGTTGCGAGATGCTGCAATTCCTTGAGTATCGGTGGTGCTGGAGGAGGCGGTGGGGGTGGGGGAGTGAGATTGTCATTTGAAGGATTGAGAGACTGAGTGTTCGCCTCGATGGTCTCGTCAATTCCACTCATCATGGCCGGATTACCAGTCGAGTAGACTGGATTGTTGTTTCTGGTTTCATAGCCTAATGTTCCTGGCTGGGAGTCTCCGGGGTTAATTTTTCGCAACGAGTAAGACTGCGACGGTCTTTGGAAACTCGAGTCTTGCCCTCGTCGTCTAGAACTTGGTGGCAATGCGGCCTGGAAAGCTGGGTGTAACGGGAGAGCGGCAGGTAGTGCAGGTGGTGAGTTGGGTTCTTCAGGAATTGGAGCAGAAGCAGAACGCGGTGGTACACGTCTAGAGGGGCCCTGGTAGACTGACTTCGGAAGAGGTGCAAGATTCTCAAAGGCACTGTTGTAGGAAAGAGTGTTGGAGTTTCCCCAGGATGGCGGTTGAATATTATCGAACTTCACCGGAATCTCAGGAACATCGGGAACATCTCTGCCCTCGGGGTCATATTTGGGATGCCGCATTGCTCTTGGCGTAGCTGGAAGACCGATTTGTGGACCTGAGCTATTAGAATCACCGAAGTGGTCTTGTGTTGATTGTGTGTTCACAGGGGAGGCAGTCTGACTGCGGCTGTGTTGGGTTTGATTGTGCCTCGGAGGGGGAGACGTTGTGCCTCTGAAGAACTCCTGGGGTGTCCCGGGTTGATAGCTCATCGGAGACAATCTAGCAAGCTCCTCGGGATGAACAATTGGGGGGACAGATGGTCTACGGGCGAGAGACTTCCGCCTCTCTTCAAGTTCACGAGCCGCTTGCTCCTTCTTGAGAGTTCTCTCGTCTTTAATCCGGTTGAGATCGCCAGCTTTCGCCTCGGACGCTCGCCTGGAATGAGATGATTCCAGTTCCCGACGATCCCATTTCAGCTGTGAGTCCTGTTCCTTCCGCACCCTGCTGGCATCTCTTTCACCCGGTCTCCGGCTAGATGATCGATCACGTCGTCTTCTGTCTGGGGAACCTTCACGAGCCGTACCACGCTCCCTGAGTCGGCTGGTACTTCTTTGTCGAGATCTAAACCGCATCTGATCCTTGACCGCTCGCTTGAGGTCATCTTCATCCTCATCATCGTCCGCCTGGTACAGCTTTGCTTGAGGAGACATTGGCAACGGAGATGACGGTGAGCGTATCACGGATCCTTCGCGAATATTGCCTCTTCCACGAGTGTCCAGAAGGGTTAGACGAGTGTCAGGGCTACGGCGGCGACTACTGTTTCGACTTGTCACCCGGCTCCCAGGCTTGCTGGCCGTCTGTAAACGTGCCACAGGCTCAGGGGATGACCGGCGAACTCTGCTGGATGGCTTCGAAGCTCTGGATTTTGGATCATCTCCCTTTCTTGTTGACTCGGTGGTGTCATCGCCGTATCCGACCGCTCCGAGACCTCTGAGATCTTCGGGCGACATGGGCAGAGGTGATGTGGGCGAACGCTTAGCTGGTTTGATATAACGAGCAGCCGTACGTCCGCGGTCTTCTGACGGTTCTCGTGCCTTAGCCCTTCGGCTGCTACTGTGAGCTCTTCCTGATTTTTCATGTCTCTCACGGCTACTATGTCGAGCTCGGCGCCTTCCGGAGTGGTATTGTGCCGACTCCAAACTACTGATGTACTGGTCAAGACTCCTCCCAGTTACACTTGGGCTATGGTTTCCTGTGCTTTTATAGCTTCTGGCTCCAAGTGATGAGTGCGAAACCACCGATCCAGCAGCAGAGCGTGGACCGCGAAACCTTGCAGACGTGGCTGATTGGTCAGGAGATGTCATGTAATCGCCAGTGAGGATGGATTCCATCGGCGGCCATTGGATTTGGAGACCATCAGGTTTACGGTCGCGGGATCCATTCCGCGCACGGGCATCCCGCTTTATAGCAGTAAAGGTCTCTGGAGATGGTGAGGGCAGTGGGTTTGAAGTCTTCTCTCTGTTCTTCTCCATCATCGGGCTTGCAGTAGCAGCTCGATTTGTTGGAGGCGGATTATACTTCGCTGAACTAAGTTGCATAATTTCAACAGGTTGTGATATATTCCGCTCATGACCACGAGAACGGTTTTCGGTACCTGAGCCAGCAGCCACGGGCGTTGTTGGTTCTAGACTCCTACGAGGGATGACATCGGACGGAGTTTCGCCGATTGAAGGAAGACGCTGTCTCGTGAATCCACCAGGCGTTGCAGTACGGGCGGATGCTGGAGTGTTATACGCACTCCGATGACCAGGTCGGAGGAGAGCGGTATGTGCTGTATTACCTCCAGGTGAAATGGCAGATTCTGCAATGGGTGTCACTCCACCTATAGCACTGGCACCGATAGGAGTCCGATCATCCTCACCCGCTCCGAAGAACTTTGCTTTTGCGGATTTATCGCCGAACGAGGTAATGAGCTTCAAGGCAGATGTTTTCGCAATACTGCGCTGAGGGCCCCTTGCTCCAGGTGGAGACAAAGGAGGACTGAGAAGTTCTGGAATGCCCTGGTTTTGAAGTTGTGAAAACGTTGCTGCTTGCGCAGTTGGCGAGAACCACGGTTCAGAAGATTCAGATCCAGTACAAGAGAAACATCTTATCGCCAACTGTTGTTGACTGTGCTGGACTGCCCACTCGCCCCATTTTCTGACTAGTTCTGCTTGCCTCTGCCAGTCGGCAGGGAAAACTAAACATGTCAAAATCAGCGCCTCCATGTACCGTTTATGCGAGACGTAAATCTCGATGGCATCATTCCGATCCCCCATTCCAATCATGATCGTAGCAGCAGTGTGTACGTCTCCCTTTTCAAGCAATCGTTGAACGAATGCTCCAGCAACTTTGGTCTGTGAGGCGTGACCGCCGATCCCACTGAGTGCTAGAAGCATCCAATCGGACGAGGTCATCGACTCTGAGCTCGAAGCCATGATATCGGTATCGATGTCTCCGAGCCACTTGGCTAGAAGAAGACGGGATGGGGACCCCACGGGATGTCTGTTCATCTCATCCTGGATCAAGTCCTCAGCCTCACCGTCCCAACCGAAGATCGTACTGAGCATCTGTCGACGGAGGTCATTATTTGTGAGATGCCGATTGTCCAAAACCTGTGGATGCCGGTACGGAATATCGCTTAACCTGGATTTCGTGAATTTGAAGAGGTCAATAACCTTCGCTTCGTCCGGGCTGCGAAGGACCTCCTGGCGTAACCGAGAACCTCTTGGTCGGGATCGATGCGACGCATTTGAGTGGGAACTCAGACTGCTCATTGAATAAGAGTCGCGGCTTGAAGCCAATGATGGTTCTCGAATAGAATGAAGCGAGGAGCCAAATGACATACTGGTCGCTTCACTGAGGCCACGGGATACGACTGAAGAGTGCTTGCGGTATTGCCGATATGGCTGAGACCCAGCAGATGATCTTGAGTTTATCGAGACACCAGAGTTGGACGATGCACGGCTCCTTGATGAAACGGGGCTCAGAGTATCGGCACGGTCTGTACCAGCATCTTGTCGTTCCTGCTCTAACTTGTCCATCTCTCTAGCGATTCTCGCCAAGGGCGACATATGATCTTCATCGCTCTCGGATATGTCGATATTGATGGGCACTGCCGAAAGTTCAACGCCTGATGTAGACGCCGGTGCATTCTGCCCTGATTGCTCCTCAATAGACACAGGTGGTGAAGGAGGTAGGAGATTCGCTGGATGCTGCACATTTGCCACCATCACAGGGGGGGAGTTGAGGTCAAACTGCTGGGCCGTGTTATTACGGCCTAGTGTGAATAAAGTGGCGCCTGGCCCATAAACAGCAAGACCCCTAATGTGATCAAGGGTCGGTACCGATTCATAGGTAACATGTTTAGTTCGCACATCCCATGATGACGTTTCTCTGTGTTGAGGCTGTGTCAGTTTGTCTTGCTAAGCGCGCGCATCAACCATGCAGATTTGAGACCATTGTACTGACCCTTCGGAGTATTGAATGATGCGACCATTTTTAGACCATCCTAGCCAATTTGGGCCTGTAAAATAATTTTCTGTCCGTTTTAGGACTCTCACAACTTTTGCTGTGTCGCTGCTTGTGGGGGATTTTGCTATACTCCAAACTCGAAGGTCCCCATCATTTGTCTGTACAGCCAGCATATCTGACTTCTGGCGCGAAGAAGAAGCATGCCATGCCAATGTAACAATGGGTGACGGGCCCCTTGAGGTGGAAAGATTGTGAAGGATTGTAAATCTTGGCTGTAGAGATGCGATCATGAGGGAGCCGTTCGAATATCTAAACGAATCAGCTATGACTTCAAAAAGTGTAGGTAGATGAGAAATACCCAATAGCATATGTTCTGCAATCGGCAGCTGGTGCTAAAGCTGTGATTGGAATCTGGTCTATCGTCCTCGCAGAAATGTGTTCAGATGTTGTAGGTTCAAACAAAATCACACTTCCTTGGGTATTTCCTATAGAGAATCAGCAGACGGTCTATAGGGCGCCAGATACAAAACATACCAAAAGCAACATTGCCGTTGCGCATCCATGCGGCTACGGTAAGGTTCTCATAAGATGCGAATCTTGCAATCTCATCGCCGGTCATGCAGTCCCATACAATCGCCGTTTGCCCTGCATCGTAGCTCACGACCAACCTTCCAGAACCCCTCTCACTGACCGTATCCGCTGCTAATAGCTGTATATCCTCCGTGTGCCGCGAAAATCTCCGTTCGATTTTCAGAGTATCATGGTGGCAACATACAATCGAACTTCCCTGAGCATACAGGAACATGGACGCCGTCGCAGCGCATGGCTCAAAATCGCGAGTGCCCTTTGTCGGACTCGGAGGCATGGTTGAACTGAGCTCAGCCAGCGTGGCTAACCTTCCCTTAGAATTCGTAGAGCTTCTTGAGCTCATCGATAGAGAGCGGTTCCTTGCTGCTGACATAGTGACAACGAGGACACCCCGCTCGCTATCTGCAATACGGAAAAAGCGCAATTATCAGTCGGCTGATTGCATAGGACGCATATTCCGAGAGAATCGTCACCGAAACCACATGTGGTCCCAAACTTGGGAGACCCGAGAGGTTTTGTGAAAGGTCACTCAGGAGTAGTTGGAAAAGAGAGAGCCACTTACAAAGTCAACGTCTATTACCGCCCTGCCAGCGTTTGCGGTCCTGCGGGTACAGGGCTGATCACAATCCACGCCCAGCTCTTCTCGATCGTCACATGGAGGTACTGGATGCCGACGTCAGTTCAATATATGTATGTACCGAATTAACGGCCTATGCGTCTGCTGTGTAGCTGCGAACAGCTGTAATGCGTGGCCGTGGAATCTTTTCTTGACTTGTGAAGCAAAAAAACAGGAGAAACGTGGAGGTACAATGGGGAGAGATGGGACAAGTAGCACGGGACCTCGTGGGAGCTACAAGATGTTCATGGATTTGCAGATATCGCCTCGTCTGGGCCCAACGAGACGCAAGAAATGATATTTTGGCGCTTGAATGGGGGGCCAAAAGAGCCAAACGATGATCTTGAACGCTTCTAGAGATACAGACTGGAGGATAGCCCCGAGGGGTCGTATATGGCTTCATCAGCGTTGCCAGAGCAGAGCGCCTAATCAGAGGTGCTCAGTGCTGTCACTGGATGATCCGAGGACAGAATTAGATATGCATCTCCATGGGATCGGGTGCGGATGCATTCGGCTCATCTCAGAGCGCCGAGTAAGAGCTCAGGATGCCAGGATGCGAAAGCCACCACAGACCGCTTCAGCGACCCTGCCGGTGTGGAGGATAACTAGCATGGTCCCTCCATGCTTTGGTGGCTCAAATTCAATGCGAGATCTCCTCACACGAAATCAAGTGTAGAGTGACTGGACAAGAATCCCGTACTCGTGACAAGACGTTGCTTCAATCACACATGGATCACGAATCAAAAAAAGGAAAGTGACAGATGGCTGCAAGACGACGAATAGTACGGAATAGAGAAAGGCGAGTCGAGTGCCGGAGTCCACTATTCACGGCGAAGTCATAAGAGCCAGAGAAATGGTCGTGAGAGGTTTAGGTTGCGACATGCGTTCTCGAGATGCCATTCGATGGAGGCTTAGAATGAGTGGTGGTCTGGGTTGTATCGTTGGCCAACGAGACGAACAGGGCGGGGGTTCGCTAGTAGCGCCTCGTCGAAAAAGGGACGACAAGGCATTGATAGGCTGGATGACAACAGGATGCATGCACAATCAGTCACAACTTCGTCCTATCATACCTCAAGGTCCCCAAGTATCAAGGATTTGGAAGAACCTACGCCGTATTGTCGAGTTGTCGGGTTGTCGAGTTGTCGAGTCCGTAGTACCGCGTGCCCACCTCAAATCCTTCTGAACAAAGGTATTGAAGGAGGGATATAAGCGCCTACAAAGGCATTATGAGCGGTGTCATTTCTTTGTTGTCGTCCTTATAAGTCATCAAGCCTCGGACTGTTCCATCGCGGCTCTCATTCCAAGTAAATATATACTATACCATCAGCGTCTTGCGCACGACTGCCCCTCGTACCGTAAAGTACGTATGTATTATACGTGGAGTAGGACGAAATCCTCCACCGCCATCAGGGACTCAACAGCTGGAGAGAAAAACGAGGGGTTGGCGTGGTATGGCGTCCAAAGCCTGCGCCGAGATGTTTCCCAAGCACAAGCCCAACCGGTCAATAGCTCCTCCTCCTTCCCACGTTTCCATCAGCCATGCGGAGTAATATTCCAATTACCTGTTGAGCAAGCAAAGAGGCATCTTGTGCTGGAACGGCTGACACTATTCATGACCGTATCTCTCCCTCTCGGATAGCTTCCGCCTCTATCGTTATCTCGAGAAGGGCAGCCTTGGCTCTGTGAATTGCCCAGGATTATCAGGATTATCGTGTCGGCATGTGCGACATCGAGGGCTCTCCCGCCTGCACGAGTGTCAAAGCTTCCGCTGGCACAGCACGCAGCTGGCCGAAGATCCTTCTCTCGGGCGGGGTAAGAGCGCAAAAGAGCCTGGATAGTGGCCGTCGCGGATTCCTTGGACACCGGACGAGCACCTTGAGTATGTATGGTGCATCGTGGAGGTCAAAGCAGCTCCCCTGCGATGCCTGCAAAGTATCCTGTCCTCTCAGCTGCAATAATGTAATGTACCTGGAGGGGCTTTGAGATAGGTAGGTACCTGCGTGAACTGAGTGTTTCCTCGCACCTTACGGGGGGGTGTGATGTTGGTGTGATGTATATTCCATCCACCATTCCACGTATCGCATCGCATCGCTTCTTCGAGGCATGGGCATGACGGCACGAAGGGACAAACCCAGACTACGGAGGATCTGAGAGGCAACGGCCCGGGACGTCTGGGTCGATTGTGCGAAGATAAGTGAAAATCCGCATTGTCGAATTATCTCATTGGCTGGCTTTCGAAGCTTTTGCGTGATTACTGTGATGTGGATGAATGATGCCGTCTCTAGCTGCGCTCTTTAACCGCCGGCGCTATGTCCCGGATCCCCTCCCAGGCTCTTCCCCGCCCCTGGCCGTCCCTGGTCTTCTCCCCAAATCCTCAGCAACGCCAGCCTCATTATTATTATGATGAGGCGTATTCCTCGTCGTTATCCCCCGGGGCAAGTCTACATTGATCAATGATTCACTTTGCATGCCCATCATGCCATGATGCTGGGTTTCAAGACACATACGACCGGGATACGTGAACCAAGGGTATTGTGCTTCGTACTATTATGGCTATATGTGACGAGACTCCTCTTGTCTCGATCGCTCTTCATTAATGCTCTAAGCCCGCCACGCACTCTGTACTACAACAGCTGGCTGTCTCCGACTCTTCTTCATTCACATCTCAAATACGTGATTGTGATCTGATTCTCGTCACGTCAGAGCAACTGAGCGACTCGAGCCCCGAGGCCTGAGCCAAGGTTCCGTTCCTCTTCCCTGCTCCGCTCTGCCCAACCCTGCCAAAGCTCCACACGATGACGGCGGCTCATGGCCCGTCCCTTCAGTAGCTTTGTAGCGCGGTCGACCGGCGCCCGACATACTTCGGAGTATGAGATGGCATGACTTCTAACGAAAATGCCCCCTGAGCGGTATACCAAACGCCTCATTTTGGATGATCGTTGACCCTGAGTCCCTTCATACCCGTCTGCATAAAAGGGGAGCTTGGAGCTTGACGAATCCAAGATCGACGTCGGTTTACCTTCCTTGGTAATGGGTTGCTTGCTTCAAATTTGAAGGGGGTTCCCTGTCTTCCAACGTCCAGGTCGGTTGTCCTTCAGACTTCCAACAGTTCTGCATCCAAGTCCGGGCGGCTTCCTCAACAATAACCCTGAAATAACCCTGAAACTCATTATGCGAAAAGGCACTCATTCCTCCTTAATCTTTGCAAAAAGAATCTGGTATCTGGTATCTGGTATCACGAATCAGTATCATGGCAGATGTCAATATCCACATGTGAACACCAGACTTACCAAACATAGGAACCCAACGCACTCCACCACGGCACAACGCCTCATTCCACAACCTCCAAGATCGGGCTCATGTGCTTATTGCTAGACCCGCTGCGCGACTTCTTCGAACTGGAACTGCCACTCCTACTCCGGCGTTTTCTCTCCTTCTTTGCCTTTTCCTGCGCGATCAACTCCCGCATCAGCGCGCCGGTATCGACCACCACCTGCGCTTGGCGCAGGGTGGGTGACGCATCAAGAGAGCGAGGGCCAAGTGGCGTCACGACAGGCGTGCAGTCCTGTTCGGCATCGTCAAAGACGGCGGGGAAGAGATCCTCCAGGTCGTCGTCCGAGATAAATGAAGAGGCCATCTCGCTCTGGTCCTCGTCGCTGGAGGTCGAGGAGAGCGAGGCTCTTCGTGGCCATGAGGGGTACGCACAGGAGGGGGACTGCGGCCACGAGCTGGAGGTCGACGGGATGTCCATCGGGGACGTAGCGTAGCTGCTCCGGGATGGGGAAGGCGAAAATGAGAAATGCATGATGGCAGTAGTGATATTCTCTGTATTCTGCTCTTGCTGGGGAGTATTTATCGTGGATAAGGGCCAATCTGTGAGATCGGTCGCGGTATAAATCTTCGCAGACCGCGTCGCAACGTATCACCGAGGGTAGAATGTAACCGTAAGTCTCGCGTCAGCAACGATATGATATGCTCGGTGTTGTTCAAGTCGGCAGGTCACTGATTTATATATCTTTCCGGTTCCAAGTTCAGGAGAAAAAGCAAGCGAAGAAGAAAGGGGGGATTATAGATTAAGATTAGTTTTGTTGATTGCTCTGCTCTGTGTTTGCAGAGGAGATACGTTCATATGAATCATCACATATGACAGCCTGCGACGCGGCGGTGTCTCCCCCACTCGACGCGTTGATCAGCCGCCCTGGGCTCGCGGAAGGCGGAAGCACAGGACTTTCAGGCGGTGACTGAGCCACGGGCATCAACACGACAACAACAGCCCAAGTTCCGGCCACTAGAAAGCCTTCTCCCACAACCCTCACATCTTGAACCGGCTGACACCGCTCACGCCCACCAGTCACAGGAATCGCGTTCAGCACATCGGGACTGACCGCCTCGCAGCAGCGGAACGATACGCTCCAGCGGGTTGTGGCGTATGATGAACATTTGAAGTTCGAGCCCGCTATTTTCACCGCCGTTTCATGAAATGCCTTTTCGTGACTGGTTGGCGGTTTCGGCATCTCGATTCTAATTCGGGCTCTTCCGGAAATTCTATGCCCACTGCCGGCCGGATGTGCTTCCAGCCTTCTAGAAAGCTTTCCCGTCACCACTTCTTACGGAGTACGCAGTAATAATTCTGGTACAGCGTGGCCCGCAGAGTTACCAGCAAGATAGGTAGCCAACACATCCGGACTCCAACACGTTGACAGCTTGGGCGCGGCCAGATGCAGTGGCCTTCATTCCATGCCCCGTTCCTCTGGATCGAGGGAATGTTTGATATCGCTTGATAAAAGGGAACCCTTATCAACCCTTGGTCCAAAGCCCTTTCCCAGGCCTCAAGTATAGAAGTTGGTGGCATAACAGGATCGGGCTTCTTTTTTCGGGTGGTGCCGGGCCCTTGCGTGGGGTTCGAGTGGGATGTACAAACCCCACGACCTAAAGTGCTCAAACCAAAATACAAATCTTCTTGCGAACGCCGGGGGGGCTGCAATTACCGTTGTAATGAATTCAAATAATAAGTTCCCGTTGGCTGAAATCCATTATGGCCAAAGTATTATGAATATGAGAAATCAACATCCCATTCCTTGGCAGGATTTCGAGGGCGCGAAGAAATGGACAAACAAACCCTTTGACTGTCTCCATTCGTTTGTGACTCATTACCTTGGCTCCTTTATAAGGACTCTGTTTGGGGAAGGTTTGCGAATAGAACGTCCAGGGTCCCAATCATAAGCGACAGCTCCCGCAAACTCTCTCGTCCTCTTCCATGATAAGGATGACAACCCCTTACAAATCGGATCGAGGCATAGCGATTGTGACATGTGCAATGCTACGATACGATGGTTTGACGAGGCCTCTTTGCGCTGCATCCAGTCCTTGATTGCCCTTCGCGCTGAGTGGAACTGGATGTGATGAAGCGACCAAGGAAATAGTAGAAGAGCTCGGTTTGCAAACAAATACGACGTATAAATCCTGCGCCACACTTTGACCACCTCGACGGGCGCTTACCCCACGATCGCTTTGGCGCTGCTTAGGCCTTCACACGATGTGTTATACGCGTGAGTCTAATCACATGACTGTAGATAACGGAAATTCACGAGGGGTCGCATCATTCCAATTTGGGTTGAAGGGGGTTGCGTCCGAGCTTTGAATTTCAACAGGACAATGGATCAGTCTATATATGCAGAGGACGGGCGTAAGTCTCAAGACAAATAACTAGGTATGTCCTTGAGATGTAAATACATCGTCAGGTGCGGTTTCGCGGGGAAGGCTTGGGAGCATACACTTGATATGATTGAGGTGATATGAAAAAGAGGGTATTTTGCTCTTCTACTTCGAAACAAGACAGAAGCGTGAGGACAAACTTAGTTGAATGATATGCGAGGAGTGTTCGTGACCGAGGTTCGATAGTTATTCTGTCAAAGACTCCGGTCCAGATCTTGGGAATAGGCACGGTATTGATACAATTGAAAACTGCAGGATGGCACGAATTATTCCGAGTTCATTCAGCAAGGCAGCTATATCTTGCAAGTCTCTCGGTGGACGTCGCATTAATGCATTATCCTTGGAGTATGCGTTCAAGACGTCTCTTTACTCGAGTCGACCCTATTGAGAACAGCAACGCCTTCCACATGGCTCGTTTGCGGGAAGAAATCAAATCCTCTGAGTGACTCGATTCCGTACCTCGTACCATCCTGTTCTAATCCCCGGACAAGGACTCCCACATCTCTAGCCTGGGTATGTACGTTGCAACTGACATATACGACTCTCCTTGGCCCGAATTTCAGAAGCTGCCTCAGAAAACTCTCGTCGCACCCTTTCCGAGGCGGATCGATGACTACTACAGTCTCATCGGCAGGGAACTTCACGGATTTGAAAAGCTCGGAGGCGTCTGCATCGATGAACGTACATCTTGAAGGGGGAAGATTGTTGAGTTCTGCATTATGCCGTGCGGAAGTGATCGATGCGCTGGAGACATCTATCCCGATGGAGGAAGTGAAAAGGGAAGATAATGTTATTGTAAAGAGACCGGAGCCAGAATATGCGTCGATTAAATATTTGATTTCGGGTTGTTTGGCTTGGGAGAGAGATTTTGGAGGCAGGATATGATCGCGGATGTATTGAGTAAATTTTGGAAGGATCGAGTTGTTGTTTTGGAAGAATGACCCAGCGATGCTAGTGAAAACAAAATCGTCAATATACTCGGTTGATGTAGCGTTATTATCCGTAATGCAGGTTTTGAAGTCAGTGTGAGTGGGCGTGACGCATTTGATGGTATCTGGGGGCGATTCAGAAGCTGTTTCGTCTCCATTTGATACTCTCCTCGTGCTTTCTCGCAATAGAATTGTTGCACCCTTCTGATACTTCTCCAGTTCAGCAGCCACTCGTGCTCTTTCTCGTTTCATGCCCATTCTGACGGCATCTGTGCCAATTGGGCAATCTTCGATATCAAGCGTCTTTCTCGGACCCTTTTCCATGAAGCCAATGTTTGGTACCTTATCAAAGGACTTCTTCACTCCTCTCTGTTTATCCGCTTTGCTCACGTAGCCCGGAGGTCCATCAAAATGTGGAGTAAGTTTGGTGCGATATCCATATTGCAAAGGACTTCCAATAGTGTCCTCAATAATCGGTACCAGCTCTGGGGGTAGCTGCGAAAAGTTTTTGTATGCCTTCTCAACAATTGTCTTCTTATGTTTGAGTTGGGTCGAATAATCGAGCATCTGAAACTGACACCCTGAGCATGTGCTGAAGTATTTGCAGTTGATTCGAGTATCGTCTCGCAGAGGCGAAGGCTCCACCACAGAAATAAAGTCGGCGAGCGAATAATGTTCGTCTTCGAAATGTTTGACAACTTTCACCTTCACTGTATCACCAGGGGCAGTAAATGGCACAACATATATCTGGTCCGAAGAGGGATGTCGCGCAAGCCCATCGCCGGTAGAGGAGAGCTCGACGACCTTAACCTCAATTTCCGTAAACGGTTCAGGCAAATGTTGCTCAGCTGTGCCATTGGTAACAGGCTGATCTCCATTCTCAGTTGATGAAACTTGAGATACTTCGATGCCTATATTCTCTGCAGCTTTGGTGTTTTCGAGAGGAGTCTTCTTCGGGGTATCTGATAGCTTCTGTGCTGCGAACAAGGCCCGAACATCTGCGAGCAGGACTTCTTGACTTGATCCTTCCTGTATGGGTTTCTCCTTCCTCGTTCTCTGTCTTTTAGAGCTCCTTCCACCTTGGAGTGGTCTCTTCCTGTCCTTCTGCTCATTGACGCCGACTTTCCGGATTGGTGGACTTTGCATAGAGGATTCCATGATAGAGGTGAAGGCGCGAATGGGGCCAGGTCGACGGAAGATGTTTGAATTGGGGATTCTAGGGGCGAGCCTAGACCAATGGAACATTAGAGTAGAAAGAGTGGTCCCTGAAAACAAAAGATAATTACCAGATTCTTCTGCACCACTTGCGGTCTCCTACAGAGTAGGTAGTCGTCGCCCGCGCTGGTACATTCAGATAAATACTCCGACTGTAAATAATTTTCGATTTTTGCGACGGAGTTTTGAATGGCCGCCCCGGGTCTAACCTATTGAGGACTAGATAAACGTCATAGGCTTGTGGAAGAGGCCACAGGCAGCCTACCCTCCCTTAAACTTTCCTTTTTTCAATCTTTAACCAAAAGACGGACAGGTGGCCGAGTGGTTATGGCGTGGGCTTCAAGAACATTTCTTGCTTTGTGTAACACACAAGAGTATTTCCATAGGGTAACCTGCAGGGGTTCGAATCCCCTCCTGTTCATAGTTCACTGTTTCTAAGCAGTGTACAAATTTTTGCCGCCCTTTTTCTTTTGCCCCGTCTATGTTGCTATTGTACCTACCTACCTAGGTACTGAAGGTGAGAGACAGTCCCGACAAAGCGGCACGCACGGGGTGACATCCCGATGCCCCTATGCAAATGGCCACGGTGCTGTATGGGTTTTCTTCAATTTTATTTTATTCTTTGCTCTATTTGATTCGTCATCTACAAGACGCCTGGGGACCAAAGACCATCAAGGACAATAAATTACATTTCCTCCTTGAGAACCAGGTAGCCTCGCCTCAATTACAGATAAACAAATTTAAATATATTGTTGGGTTTCCAGAATCAAGTTATGGCAAATACATATATATATATCGATTGAGAAGGGTTGCTCAATATAGACTATTCTATATTATTACCTGCCCAAGTTCACAATAGTCTTGTCCAAAGGAGATAGCTTTCGAGACATGGCTATAGGACGAATACTCAGAAGGGATAAAAATGGGTACATTGTCTATTTGCTTGGAAACCGAATCTACATTATTGGCTTGACCTGTACCCCATGATCTGTTGAGATGACCTTGCATTGTCTCTTGGCGTCAGTCTGTCCGCATTGATCCCCAAGGCAACAACAATAATAAAGATCCGCCAGACTGTAGCAAAGCACAACGATCTTCATGATTCCGCACGAGGCGTCATAGTGGGCACCTGATAGGTAGTCGGCTCCTCAGCTCTGTACACGAAGGAACCGAGCGGCGGGGTTACAGACAAGGACACTGGTCCTTATTGCATGCACGTCAGCCTTGCGATCCTCATGAACAGGCATCAAGAAATGGCGCTCCCGAAACGCTACATAATAAATCACTCAATGGGATAGATCCCATAGCTACATAAACACCTTTATTCTTCTTGGATCAGAATAATTGAATTAAAGCATTCAGAGTACTCGAGCGATGCTTCAGTCGCCCCTCGTTCCAAACAATTGAGCGCCCAATACCAATATTCTTGCTCCTCAAATTTCTCAAAATGGTACAACCATCTACATCGATGAATCCGAAAAGCATCGGTCCGTCTCCTAGAAGCACGACATCTTCTATTGACATCTCACCATCCCCCTTCCAAGAGCCTCGATCACGCACTCCGCGGCGAACAGTCAGCGGTTCCATAAGGTCTTCTTCATCATGGCGAAGTTCAGATTCCTTTTCACTGTCCTCCATGGATTTCGAAATGACCGAGATGTCCAGATCCGCAAGTCATAGGTCGCCCCTGAAGGAGTTGGAATACAGGCATGGCGGAAATAGGAGCAGGGAGGCAAGCCTAAGCAGGCCAATGCGCCAGGGGCCAGATCAGGGGTCGACAAGGAGGCATAGACATCAGCCAAAGATGAACCTTTATACTGAATGCGGGAGACACTCGGATGAATGGTTATTTGGAGGGTTTTCGGTGAGCGACGCTGTAAGAAAGATTTGGGAAAGAAAGGAATAGACTGATAATTGGGACGGGATACTCTGAACAGCAAGAACTGTTATTTTAAGTACTCGAACCAGCTGCGATGGTTTGAATCTGAAAGAACGAGATACTTCCTGGGAGAAGCGGTGTATATATTTACAGCAAGGGATAGTGTAAGTCCGGGTTTGTAACGAGTTCTGGAACAAGAACAGAAGTGCAACACTTGAAAATAAGGCATACTTGTATAGAAACTGTTCTGCATACCACACATGGACATATAAATAGCAAGCGTATAAAATGTTGGCTTATATAAGGTAGACAAAAACAATAGAGTCAGAAAGAAGACCGGGGAGTATCCAGCCTTATATCGACGCTGGGATTTGACTTGTCCAAACCGTCTAAACAATGATAACATTGGAATACCTGCAATCGTTTTCATTTGATGTCGAAGGGACCGTAAAAGATCGAGAAGTATAGGAGGGTTCTAGGGGAGCACTGGGTGCAACATTTTCATGTACCAAGAATTTATGTTCGAGGTTACATGAGAGGAGCGCTGAGAATGACGCATTCAACACGATGATTTTGGCTTGGTTTTCAAGTTCTCAACAGGCCTGTTGTAAGGTAACTTGTCAATTCACGCGGATAGCGGTCGGGAATGTTTAGCTAAAGTCCTAGTCCCATTTTAGACTAGGTCATCATCACATGATTCACTTCCTTCTTCTGCAGTTCTTGCTCTTGTTCTCAACTTGTCAATCGATATCAGGTAATAAGTGCTCACCTGCTGCAATCATTTGAGTCGCACAGAGTCCGGTATGATTATTAACCCGAGGCCGTCAGTCATTGTCAAGTTCTATTAACAGATATCTCTGCCGTCTCTAACAATAGTTTCTCTGGATTTCATTACATTTTCTCGAATCACTTCCAATGAAGCCAACCCGCATTGAAAGAGGGAACATATGCGCTAGTTCCGTCGTTCACAAATGGCCATTGTTCCCGATTTTCTCGATTGGCCGCTGGTGGTTTATTATGATGAAAAAACTTCTTACATCTTCAACCATGGGTCCCGTCCCGTACGGCCTCATGGCCCAAGGAACGATATCCTCCCTCCACCTTGTCAGAGTTCACTAGTGGAACAGCTCAAAAGCTATATGTAGATCCAGGATCATCTGTCCGGCAGGAGCCTGGCCATCGTATTATTACTTGCGACCGCCATGGACCAAGAGGTTCTAATGACGCTAATGGGCACGACGGCAATGCCACCAGCCAAACTTTTCTCATCTCATCTCCTGTATTTTGGCTTGCAGTTCTTTTATTTTGGTTCAAGGTGTTCATATGCTATCACAACTCACGTTGAGCCTCTAGCCCGCTCTCCCTTTTGCGGAAAAGGGAGGAGAAAGCGTAGAGGGGGTTCGGGTGCTGTTCAGCATGTGTAGCATCATTTGTCTTTACCCTCTTAGGATCAATGAGAATCCTGTAGTAAGACGGCTCCGATGACATTAAGAACCCGTTTTTGTATATCATGACAGCTTTCGCCGTTGACCGGCTTTGTTGAGCGTCCTCGCAGCTTGTCTCCTTTCGAGTTCTACGAGGTCTTCCGATTTATTGCTTCGGTTACAATTGTTTAATCCCATTTCTACACAATGGCATACTTGATCCTCCAAGCTGCTGCATCTTTGTTCTTTGTACGATTTGTACGGGCTGGACTGGACTACTCATACGATCCGAGTGCCGGGTATGTTGCGATCAACAAACGGGAGCCACAAATACCTACGAACTTGCCAGATGGTTGGAAATACAGTGGCTGCTACACCGAGGGAAAGAATGGACGAGCCCTCACTTATCAACAAGCTGATGGAGGCGCCAACACCGTTGAGTCATGCATACATGCCTGCATCGCGGCTGGCTATCCTGTTGCCGGGATGGAGTATTCGTCACAATGCTTCTGTGACCGCATCCTTCACGGCGGCGCTGCTCGGATAGATGATTCCAAGTGCAATATGCCTTGTGCCGGAAATGCCAACGAGATGTGCGGCTCTCAGAATATCCTTAGTATCTACAACACTGGAGAATTGACGAATGTCGAGCAAATCACATCTCAAACAACCGACTTGCCAGGCAACTGGGAATACCAGGGATGTTACACCGACTCAATAGGCAAACATGGATTGATTTGGCAGAGCATTTTACCAAATAACAACAGTGCCACAACCTGCCTTAACCTCTGTGCTGAGTATGGATACTCGGCTGCTGGCATGGAGTACAGCATGGAGGGTTACTGTGGCGATGACTCCAACCTCATTGCTTCTGGGTCGACTAAAGCTCCTGAAAGTGATTGCCGCGCTAGATGCAGTGGTGATCCCAGCCACAACTGCGGTGGCGGACTGAGACTTTCCTACTACAAATGGACAGGAACCCCTCTCAACGTGTGGCATACCCCCAATGGCCCCGATAAGGGCTCATACGAATTTCTCATTGGCGGTGTCGTGATACCCCTCATCACTACTACTGGAATCAATAACAAGGTCGTGTTCATGGAAAAGTCAGGAACAGGTCCACCTAATACGACGGGTACCTACGAACTGGATCTCGCGTTCATCAACGACTTTTCCAAAGCATGGAGACCGTTGCACGTCAAGACTGATATATTCTGCTCTGCCGCAGTCACCTTGCCAGATAAAGCTGGAAGACAGCTGAATGTTGGAGGCTGGGCTGGTATTTCAACGCATGGTGTCAGACTTTACTGGCCCGACGGATCCCCCGGCGTTCCAGGTGTCAACGATTGGCAAGAAAATAGCAACGAAATTGCCCTTCTTGCCCAACGTTGGTACCCATCTGCCATGGTTATGGCTAACGGCTCAGTCCTCGTCATAGGAGGAGAGATTGGTTCTAACGCTCTCCCATCTCCTTCTTGCGAAATTCTACCCAGACCACCCGGAGGATACCTCAAATATCTTGAATGGCTTGAGCGTACCGACCCCAACAATCTCTACCCATTTTTATCCATCCTTCCGAGCGGTGGTATCTTCGTTATGTATTATAACGAAGCTCGTATCATCGACGAAGTAACCTTCGACACCATAAAAACCCTTCCTAATATTCCGGGTTCCGTCAACAACCCCCTTTCTGGTCGAACCTATCCTCTTGAAGGTACCGCCGTTCTCATGCCACAACACCCACCATACTCGGATCCACTCACTGTTCTGGTATGTGGCGGTTCGGCCAATGGAAACGCTATGGCTGTCGACAATTGCGTATCTACGCAACCTGAGCTTCCAGATCCAAAATGGGTAATCGAACGCATGCCTTCCCAGAGAGTCATGTCGTGCATATGTGCTCTCCCTGACGGGACCTACCTGATTATCAACGGTGCAAAGCATGGCGTTGCAGGCTTCGCTCTCGCCAGAGATCCCAACAAGGTCGCAGTTCTCTATGACCCAACCCTGCCCGTCAATCAGCGATTCTCCATAATGGCCGACACCCCTGTGGCTCGTCTCTATCACTCCGAGGCCTTGCTACTTCCAGACGGGCGTGTCCTCATCTCCGGCTCTGATCCCGAAGACGGAATCCACCCACAAGAATACCGCGTGGAAGTGTTCAACCCGCCATACGCTCTCTCCGGAGCCACCCCACCATCATTCACCATCAGCAAAAGGGACTGGAACTACAACGAAGGCAACATCGCGATCATCGCTAACATCCCATCAGGCAATCTGGGAGGCGTGCGCGTATCCATGATGTCTGCCGTGTCGAGCACCCACGGCAACTCCATGGGCCAGCGCACCCTCTTCCTCCCAGTGACATGTTCCGGTCCCGCGGGCTCAGCGACCTGCGTACTTACCGCGCCTCCGACAGCACATGTCGCCCCGCCTGGCTGGTACCAGATATTTGTGCTTGACGGGAAGAGACCCGGGCATTCCAACTGGATCCGTATCGGTGGCTCGATTGCCGATTCGGCTGGTCTAGGTAATTGGCCCGCTTTCCCTGATTTCAAGACTCCGGGCCTGGGACCTGTTGACCTTTAATATGCCGAGGGCGGATTTCTAGATTGAGCTTTCGTCCTTCATGATGGCTGCAGTCCTGGTGGATAATCAGAAACACATGGTGAGAAAACCATCTCTGAGTTAGGTTGACATTGGAGGATGTTTGTTTTTGAAAGATATAGATAGATAATGAAGTTCACAACGAACTTATAAGTACCATATTAATACCTTATTATTTTAAATCAAACAGCCAAACTCAACCTCTATTAATCTTCCACTGAGCCCCAAAGCGCCCTTCCTAGTACTGATACACACAATCCAATTAATTACCCTCTCCTTTCCAAGAATCCCAAGCTTCAACTCGATATAGCAACCAATCCCACCTGGATCCCAACCAACAAATACCACCATGATTAAGGTAACCCACCCATCTCTCACGTTCCAAAACGTCCTTCCATTAAACAAACAGTAAAATCTCGAACCCGCCAAATTCTTAATCTCAACCTATTAAATCATCCCAAGAACTAATCTCTCTCTACACCCTATCCTACCTTCCTTTGCAACAGCAAGTCCTGGGCCCAAAACAACCCCTAGGGAAAACCCGGAAAGACGTCGACGTTGGGTATGGATTCTGGGACGACGGTGGTAGGAGTGTCGCTGCGCGGTCTTGGGTTTGTGTGCGCTTCGGGAGGCGGGGAGACGCCGATGTGAGGGGCGCAGGGGCTGCTGGAGTCTGGTATTGGGAAGGGACGACAGCAGGGGATTGCGTGGATGGGGAGGGCGAGGAGCGCGGTGATGAGGGTGAGGTGAAGAAGCATGTTGGAGTTCAGGGGGTGGGTTTTGGGTTTTGGGAGGAAGGGAGTTGAGGAAGGGCGTTGAGGGAGGTGTGTTTGAGCTATAGCAGGGTTTGGAAGGAAATGAATATTATAAAGGGTGGATGGGAAGAAGAAGAGAGATTATCACTTAGGGTTTGGATTTAGGCAGACGCCGGCTGCTAGCAGTACGGTTCCATGAATTGAGGGAATAGCTTCGTATTCCAATGACCCAGTCACAGGGAAGTAATATACTTACCAAGCTAGTATATACTCCGTACCCCGTGAAGTTACATGAACAACTCGAATAAGCTCTATAGAGCAATATCAATAGTCTCGAGAAATCCCTACTCAAACTCCAGTGATGTAGACCCAAATGCATGGCCAAGCCCCAAACCTAAACTCCAGTCCCTTCGACCAAGTGACCAACAGGGTATTCAACTCTTCAGAGCCTCTAAGCGACCCCGCATCTGATCTAACATTGCCTCTGCCTCCTCGTCGTTTTCGTCCTCCAGGCCGGGTTCCTGTACGGGTGTAGAAGTGACAGGCGTAGCCCCGACCTTGCCCATCTTGTCCTGCAAGATCTCCCCAAGGACCTTATCGACCTCCGATTCGGCCTCCTCGTCGTCCTCCTCCAACTGGTCTGGCATGCTGTCCCCGACCATCTCTTCTATTATACCCGCCTTGACTAACTCTTGACTCAATTCTTGCATTGTGCCCATCAGTTGCGGTAGCCGTACAAGACTATTGATATCCTTCATGATGCCCACACTCGCCCGAATGCTCCCCTCGATCTTCCTCACCGCAAAGGCCTCGGTGACCTGCATCGCAACGCTATTCAGTTGCGCCTTCGAGGTGATGAGTCTCTGTGTGGTTTTCCGTGTGCGGATAAGCTCGCGGGCAAAAATCCGGGTCTCTTGCGCGGCCTGTTTGGCCTGGGCAGGATTCCGCTGCGCGCGGCGGTTGGCTGCTATTATGAGGCTCTTGGTCTTGTTCTCCACGGCTTTCAGGTTCGCGATATCGCGATCCAGCTTGCGGGTATTCTGTCGTATGAGCTGATTGCATTTCCGGACCTACGATTCGCTATTAGCGGACTTGAGCTTCTGCATATCGTGAAAGATATGCTGACCTGCGCCTGCGGATCAGGCTTCCAGAAGACGGCTTTGATAGACTCCATGGTGGTTATACGATGGGTGGGGGAATGGGGTCGCAGAGAGGCGCTCTGCAGCCAAGCCGAGCAAAGAACGGCCCCGAAATCTTCAGCTGTATCTTCTCAATGAAACGCGGCAGAGAGAAGGAAAGCCCTTGTTGTGGAATTGCGTTCAAAGGCGGAGAAACAGATGCGCGGTTGACTGCGCAAGGTATAGTAGGCAAGGTCAATATGCCGGGCGGTGACGTTTGGCTTTGGTTTGCTGTCCAGGTCCTCTTGGACCGAGAGCCTCAAAACGTGGGGCAAAGAGGACAGAAAGGGAGAGAGACATGTGCGTTGCCTTCAGGTCCATGTGAATTGCATATAAATAATAAATAGTAAATAATAAATAATAAATTCACACACATCTAAAGCAAGGTACCCAAGTATCTCTTCTCCTTTCTCTCCCCCGATAACTGAGTTCTGCCTGAGCGCGAGGTCGTAAACCCCCCAGTTCTTTCTCCTTCGCAAGGATTCCATCAGGCCCAACCGTCCAGCCTCGCAACCCACAACTCCAACTACTGGCAACCAAAGCTCCCCGAAAACATTTCATTTCATCCACCACAATAAATCACTTCCTTCACCCACAAACCAAGAGACACCTACTGTTAATCTAAATCTTGCTCTACCCGATTCCTTCGACGATTACCTTCATCTAAACATGTCTGCCCCACAGACCCCCGAAGGTAAGGCTCCCAAGGAGCTCCTCTGGCGCCTCTGCCCCCCTCTTAAGAGCTCCTCCAGCTCCAACAGGCTACGGCCTAGCTAGCTTGTCGCTGAATGAGCTGGAGCTGTTTCCAATAACGCATATTGCATCACGCTGCGAGCGCTCTTCAATGGCATAGCTAACACTGTCTCTACCTAGTCCTCTGGGCCCAGCGCTCAAACCAGACGGAGCCAGCAAAGAACCTGATCTACCTCACCATCACCGTTCCTGATGTCAAGCCCGCAAACCTTAAGCTCGACCTCAAGCCACAAGGACTCACCTTCACAGGCTACTCCGAGTCCCTCAAGCGGACATACCACGTCGAGCTCGAATTCTACGCTGAGATTGATCCAAAGGAGAGCAAGATCAACCACACCGCCAAGAATGTCGAGATGGTTCTGCGAAAGAAGGAGCCGAGAGAGGAGTTCTGGCCAAGATTGTTGAAGGATGCAAAGAAGGTCCACTTCCTGAAGACCGACTTCGACAAATGGGTCGATGAGGATGAACAAGATGAGGCACCTGAGGACGACCTGGGAGCGATGGGAGGCATGGGTACGTAACTGTATGCCCGCCCCGATGTTGGAAATCAAGCTGACGGTTCTGCAGGTGGAATGCCAGGTATGGGAGATATGAGCAGCATGATGGGCGGTGCTGGCGGAGTAAGTATTCCCTGACCTACTCTCGCTCTGGGTAGAGACATGGGCGTGCTCTCAAAGACATGTCGAAAACTAGAGCCTTCTCCTACTAGATAAACATGATTCTAATATTAGAAACAGGACTTCGGCGGAATCGACTTCAGCAAGCTTGGAGGAGCTGGAATGGACGGAGGCGAGGGGGAAGATGAAGATGACGATGACGATGATGAGATGCCAGCCCTTGAGGGCGAGGGCGAGGGGGAAAAGGCTGAGGGCTCCACAAAAGCAAAGATTGAGGAAGTTGCTTAGATTCGGTCTGGGGGTACAAAGGAGACTCGAATCTTGGTACGGGGCGGGGTTTTTTCCAGCGTGCTCAAGGGTCACAAAAGGCATGTCTATTGACGAACACATCAAGATTGATGGTTTAATTAGGTGAAGTTTACACATTTTTGTGATATTCTTTCAGAGAGAAAAAAAAAAGCAGTTCCTTCCTGGCGTTCATTTATTGTGCATCCAGTGATAGGCTCGACATGTGAGTGGACCCAAGGTATTTGTTGTGTTTTATATTCCAACAATTCTCTTTCCAACACTCCATGCATACCCCTTACTTCCACAAACTTCCCATTCCAAATATCACCCAACCTCAGCAGCATCCATCCAGAGACAAACTCACAAAAGATAAAAAAATGATAAGAAAGTAATTCCCCTTCCTTTTCTCTTCCTCCCATCCCATCCCATACCCATCCCCAAAAATCTCCCCCAAACACTCCATCCATCACACACAATGGCATCCCCGAACGCACACTCCCACTCCCACTCACATTCCTCTCCACACCATCAAAACGGCGTGGTCGTCGAAGTCTACACCGCGACGCACGCAGCCGACTTCTCCCGCCGCGGGGCCTGCATCACAGCCCTGCCGGCCGACGAACCCTACCCTCCGCCACCAATCACGCGCGTCCCGCACAGGATCGCTTCTGCTTCTGCTTCTGCTACTGCTGCGGCGGTTAGCGATAAGAAGAAGATTATTGAAGATCGTGAGATGAATTGATGAATGATGGAGAGAGTTGGGTTTGTGAGGTGAGAATCTGGGGGGAGGGGAAATGGGGGAGTGGGGGAGTGGGAAGGAGATGAGATGAGAGGGGAGGGGAGAATGGATGATGGCTGATCTTTCTTTTTGGGTGCTGGGTAGTTTTGGCTGGGTGTTGAAATTGTGCGAGGGATGAGGATGATGATGATGATGATGATAATGAATACCTATTTGATGAGTAAAGGAATAATTAATGGCTGTGATCAGGTATATATATACGGGTATACTACATGCAGATATATATATACAAGAGGTTCTTGTCAAGAAGAAGCGCTTTCAATAAACGCCGCCTGGATCTATAAGCTACAGTATCTGCGTGTATTCCGTCCCTAGGCGCTTTTACCCAGAAGCAGGCTCTCTATCTTCCTAGAAGTTTTGCGTCGTGATGGAATTCTGTTGATGATACGATAGCATGGGGGCATTCTATTGTATTCCAGACCCTCAAATTAGATACCTGATTTCCATACGACAGTTGTCTATCTCTCGCTCTATAGCTGCTACCTTACTTACCTTATATTGAACTGCTTCTTCGTATTTCGCAGCTATGATATAGATATTTCCAAGCAGATTGACGAACGGAGTCATCTTAATCTCGCGATACCACAAACGCACATGTTGAAGCTTGAGGTCTCTCTAGGATTTTAACATGGCGTATGTCCTAGCTAACTTGTTCCCAAGCTCAACCCAATAGACATACAGCCAGCCCCAAACTCCCAGCGAGCTTCAAGGACTACTTTCGTATTTGCACGATATGGACATCGTTGACACCGCCCTTCTTCAGGGCTGTCCGACATATAACGAGCTGCATCGCTCGTAACCATGACGGATGGAAAAAGACTGTTTTCTGGTTCGTGACCAAGCGCGTGGTGAATCGAGACCGCGGTGATTGCATGCAGCCGGCGCTAATAGAATAGGTAGCTTTGGATTCTCCACCGGTGGTTCTGGTGTTTATGGTGTTGCTGGAGCTGGAATTCATGGTCTCGATCTGGGTGCCTTTCACGTGTGGCATGATAGGTAGCTTCGTGAAGAGTTGTTGGGCTTGCAGGATATGATCATTGACAGGTGGTATTATGGTGTCGTGCTCCCGTTCTGGAATACGATCCGAGGAAGGAGCAGGAAAACTCGTCTTGACTGATGGATCTAATGAGGCTGTTGAGCAGGTGATGCAATCCTAGATCAAGAAGTATTGGGACTTAGACGCTGCAATATTGACCATATTGGACCTATTGGCTCTTCAGTCTCTCCAACTCCCTTTTCTTCATTTCCTCTTGTCGCTTCACCCTCGCTGGAGTCCAGCCTCTTCTCTCGCCGGTTATCTTCCACCCAGGCAAGCCATCCGGCATGCCCAAATCCTTCAACGTCTTGAGTTCCACTAGGCTATACTCATCCTTGTTCTTTCTATCAAAGCAGAAAGGCTCTTTTAACGCCACAGGTGGATTGGTAATAACCCTGACATCCCTCCTTAGGTTTTTTGAAGCGCTATGCAGCATCAACGGATGCATCAATATCACATCGCCTACCTCGCCGGTCATTTCAAAGAAACTCTCGTCCCGAGTCCGGGATGGATCTTTGGCCAGATCGTTCCAAAAATTACGACCTTCAAAAGCTGCGTGTTCGGGGTCATTGACTGACTTCAGCCATGGAGTAACTCCTTCCGGGTGATCGTACTGTCTCCGATTAATTCAGAGCTTGATGTATTTGAGGGCAGGACAGTACCAAGTGTTTTGCAATATGCTTGATCCCATCTGTACAAACCACTGTCCCACCACCTTTCTGTAGATGGAGTTAGCGGCGGGAGTCTCGACAGAAGAGAGTAAGAGCCGTAAAACATGCTCTCCGACTAAACTAAAGTCAGAAGCAAAGAGTAATTCACCGGTACGATATCACTCCACAGTGGAATAACAAGCAGGGCCTGCTCCCTCGAATCCAAAAAATGGACAAAGAAATCCCCATCGTTATGCCACCCCCACAGATCCTTCCGCAGATCCAGGCGGTCCTCCGCTTTGTACTCGGGCTTGCCCAGATTGACGATGAAGGCGTCGCCCCACCCGCCAAAGCTCTCCCAGATGCGGTCCGCCCCGCCCAGCAGCTGGCACATCGCCGCCCACGCCTTCGGCGCGAACTCCGACACGGCGACTTGCCGGTGCCGCGGCATGTGTGTGGTCTCGGCCGTCCATGTCGTCTTGTCCGTCGGCGACATGCCCAGCCGCGTCCACATATCCGCCGTGAACTCAGCGGCCTGTTCCCGCGTGAAGCATTTCTCAATCTTCGTGAACCCGTACTCCAGGAACTGCTCCTTTTGGGCTTCGGTTAGGACGTAGTCTGGATTGACGGCTGATTTGGCTAGTGCCGGGTTGGGCTTGGATGTGGGCGTGGATTTGAGGAAGTCGGGCTTGACGGGCCGGTTGGGGAGAAGGCGCTTCAAAGAAGAGCCGATATCCTTGTGGTCTTTGACGGGTGGAGAGGACGTGGTGGACATTTTGGTGCAGAGTTAGAACTTGTTATATTGAAGTAGTTAGTAGTTCATACAGTACGAACCGTGGAGTCGTGGGTCGCATCTATCTGGCGGGGCAAAGCGGGACGGGCACACGGGCCACGGATTTAAGATATGATCTGCGGAGTAAGGTATATCACGTGGCTCTCACAGAACTGTAAAACCACGTGATAGATTCAACATCACCTCTCCTCCCAGTCTACCTTAAGGGACCGTACCTACTGATGCATTATTCTCTTGTCCCAGATGCTTATTGATATAGGTACCTTAACAACCCTAAATATGAAAACGTGCATTAACAGATAATAATATTCATATTCTAGACACCTTCAATCTGTTCAACTGGACCAGACCGTCAGTCAGATGGACGAGCACGCGAAATGATACCATCGGCTAAGATCGACCATCAGGGGGTCATACAGAGGTACGGCCACCACCGATTTGCAGAGAGCTGGTCTCGCGCAGAAACATCAACCGTGATCATCTCGACCGCAGATGGCATTTGAAACCCCATTAAAGGCGTCATTGATAGTTTCCTCGCGATTCCTCCGTCAGATAACTACAGAGCGCCGCCGCCGATGAGGCTGTCGGCCTCTGGGAAAGATGCTCCTCCAGATATCCCAATGCGGCGATTCACACACACGCGTGGGTACCGACGCCTTGCATCTGCACCCGAGACGTCCTCGAGCTCTGCCACCGACGACTTTGCAACGGACTCGGATTCTCCTGCACTTGACGAAGAGGATGGGGACTTGAATAAGGATGAGGCACATGTTACAGCCAGATTGCTCGGCCGTAAGCCGCGAGCTCTAGGTGCTCCAGGGAATGAGAAGAGGTTCTGGTTCCAAAGATCAAAGACTTCCTACGACCCCGACACGATTGCAACTCAGCCTTCTGTATTTGATGACCCGGAGCTTGCGGACGCATACTGGCCAAGCGATGAGTGGGAAAATATCCATCGATTCGATCCCGATGAACGCTGGACGTGGGGCGAGGAGCACCGGTTGACCCGGAAGCTCGATGTCAAAATTATGGCCTTTGCTGCGGTCATGTTCATGGCGCTGGAATTAGATAGATCAAATATCTCGCAGGCCTTGACGGATAATTTCTTAGAGGATCTGGGAATGACAACTAACGACTATAATTTGGGAAACACGCTCTTCAAACTAGCCTTTCTATGCGCAGAGCTTCCCTCTCAGCTGCTTGCCAAATGGGTCGGCCCAGATATCTGGGTACCTACACAAATGGTTCATCACAACCTTCTTCTTGGTAGGGCGCAGCTGCTAACCCATTGCCCCTAGGTGCTATGGTCAATTGTGGGGTCTGCACAATTCTACTTGAAAGGGAGAGCATCATTCCTAGCCTGCCGAGCACTTCTCGGGATGCTCCAAGGCGGTTTCATCCCCGAAGTAAGATCCCAGTTACGCGAATCAGAACAGATATTGACTGGAGCTTCAGGTCATCCTATATCTGTCTTACTTCTATAAGCACCACGAGCTCTCGCTGCGACTCGGCTTCTTTTGGACTGCCGCGGCGTTCGCGGATGTGCTGGGAGGATTCCTTGCCTTTGGGCTGTTGCATCTCCGTGGGGTAGAAGGACAAGCAGGATGGAGATGGCTCTTTCTTACTGAGGTATGAATGCCTATCATGGTGGGAACCCCATACTTATAGGGTCAAGGGCCTTCTCACTCTCGTCGTCGGACTTCTCGCCTACGTCCTCATGCCATCGAGTCCAACATCAACAGCAAGCTGGTTCCGCGGAAAGAACGGGTGGTTCACCGAGCGAGAGGAAAAGATCATGGTCAACCGCATAATCCGGGAAGACCCAAGTAAAAGTTCCATGCACAACCGGGAACCTCTTACCCCAGCACTGCTCTGGCAGAGTATGAAGGATTACGACCTTTGGCCGATATACATCCTCGGCTTAACCTTTCAGACCCCAATGACAGCCCCATCCAATTACCTGACGCTTTCACTGAGAGGGCTCGGCTTCGATACCTTCAAAACGAATTTGCTGGTTATCCCGAGCAAAGTTCTCCATGTCATAAATATGCTTGGTCTTACCTACGCTAGTGAGGTATTTGGGGAACTTACCATCATTTCATTGATTGGCCAAATTTGGGCTCTTCCTTTCCTCATATTGATCAATGTCTTTGATATCAACGAAATGAACAAGTGGGTCGCCTGGGGAGTAATGACGGCTTTTCTCTGCTACCCATCCGGTGAGCATTTGAGCCCGTCTCCCTTCAGAATTCTTGGACACTAACAAGCATTGCTAGCTCATCCAATCCAAGTAGGTTGGAACTCTCGAAATTCTAATACGGTACGCGCGAGAACAGTCTCCGCCGCTCTTTATAATATGAGCGTCCAAACGTCTGGAATCATCGCGGCAAATATTTATCGGAAAGACGATGCACCGCGCTATCAGCGGGGAAACCACGTTCTCCTCTCTCTCCTCATAATCAATATCTTCTTGTACTTGGGAACAAAACTGTACTATATGAAGAGAAATGCGTATCGTGATAGGAAATGGGCCGCTATGACCGAGGATGAGAGGTTGGATTACCAGGCGAACACGACTGACGAGGGGAACAAGAGGCTGGATTTTAGATTTGCCCATTGAGGAGGATTTAATATAAGAGACATCATAAATTAGAGTCTCGTGTAATGGTTGCGAGGATAGCCGGAGGGGCATAGGCGATCAAACGTGTCGTCCCAAGGTACATCGGTCAACGTTTAGGTTTGGGAAGCATTGATGAACCAGCATGCAAGTCGAACTCACACGGTTCGCACTTCGTCATCATCACGGAAGACCAGAGGTAATTGGTGAATCAATTCTTCCATTTCGATGTATGAGACGCGCAGCCTGGTAATCCCCGAATACAATCTGAATAGTAACCCGTCGCCGAGAAGCTTTATTGTATGACGAATCTGATATATCCCCCACACCCATACCCATGATGAAAAGCCTCGAGATCTCGATTCCAAAGCAAGGCGCAGCAGCAATAATACAAATCGCAGTAAGGCGTCGAAAAACGGAAATGTGTCGTATCAAGTCTGATGATCTATCGATCCTACTTCAGATGCACTCCAGCTTAGGCTTCATGAGAAGCTCACTGAATACTGCTTAGCAAACTTGATCATGGACATCATCAGTGCAACTTACCATGATCTCATCGTCCATTGGAGCATCGCCATTAGTAGCAGGGGCAGCCCCGTTGGTAGCACCGCTAGTCTCGGCTCCAGTGGCAGCACCCTGTTCGAAATAATCTGCCATCTCAGAGTCAAGCTCCTCAGCGGTCTTCTTGGCTGGGCGAGAGTTACGACCTCCACGTCCACGGCCTCGAGCATTCTTGCCACGGTTACCTGTACCTGCGGCACCAGTCGCCTTCGTCGCTGCAGCTGACTTTGGTTGGACTTTTGGCTGACTATTGCGTGTGTTAGGCTATGATTCCGAAGAGGAGGGAATGAGACTTACGCAATGCGCTCACTGAGGGCCTTGGGAGGCGGAATTGCGGCGGCGCGGCTGGCGTCAAGGATGACATCGATCTGACACTCGTTAGTCCTGTATAAACCTTGCAAGAACAGAACCAAGACATACCTTCATTGGCTTTCCATCGACGAGGAGACCGTTGAGTGCCTCAACAGCCTTCGAAGCGCCGTCGGCACGTGCAAATGAAATGGTTGCAATACCGCGGCTGACTCCTCCAGGTCCGTATGAGATCTCAACTCGCTTGATAGGTCCAATAGACTTGACAAAGTATTCCTATTCGTTCAAAAAGGTTCGTTAGTCAACTGAAAATCGTTCATATCATTCGGACCGTTGGAATCCCGCGTCGACACTCGCTACGAAAGGAAATGTAACCAAGAACCAGATCACGCCTTCCTCGGTATTAACAAAAGCCAGCAACAGCGAGCAAGCAGTGGGCGTTAGTAGGTTCGCAGTCACGTTTCCATATCATGGTGATTGTTCCAGGAATCCAAAGTATCCCAAGACCACCATCATAACTAGACCAGTCCGGTTGCCGAAAGCCATCTTCCCCAGACATTGTAAAGATTGGATCGGCTAGTTACGCCAGCTCCCGTAACATCTTGTCCGGATTCAATGTAGGACAAAGGCGGAAAGAGATAGGTCGAGATCTGTGGTCGGTATGATAGTTGGTGAAGGGATTCACAACGATTGGAATCGCCAGTTCTTGTCGGAGAGATGCGAACCAATAGAGATCTGGAATCGAGATTGCTTCATGATGCGCTGCGCTGCTTGCTCCACTGCTTTGCTCGCTGAGGCTCGATCTCGCTTATAGCCAAAGTACAATCCCTTTGCAAAGCTTTGTTGGCACAAGGTGCCTTTTAAAGCAACGCCATCATCGTGTCTGCACTACGTTCTTGTTCGGGTGCTTGCCAGGCTACCCATAAGAACTATAACATTTGTGCGACACTGACATGCTCAACTTCAATCCAGTAATGCTCCAAGATGACTGTGGGCAGAACTGGAGAGGAGACGGTCGGATGAGGCTACCCAGTATACATAAATCAGGAACATCGCTTAACGATTGTTCGTGATCACACCGACGGGATGATATATTCGACGGTGATGGAAGATCTCGACAAAAGTCCAAGGGCTAAGACAGCCTCATCGGTAACATACCTTAATCTGGGCTTCGTTCACATCCTTCGGCTGGTGATAGTATTAGAAGACGTTCTGAACGGCAGAGTTTGGAGTGCACATACCAAGTTGCTAACTTGAATTCTGCTGTCGCCACTTCCAACTGATGGTCCTGTTGGGATTGCCTTCACGGCGCCTTTGGCTTGCTTTGGGTTCTTCTTGACGCCTCCAACGGGAGCAGTGGCAGTGGTGGTTCGGCCGGGTTGAGCAGAACGACGACGTCCACGTCCCTTGCCTCGGATGACAGAGCGCTTGTTTGCGGAGAGTATCTCATCGAGAGATTGGTCGAGTTTTCCAGACATTTTCGCTGATGTTTTGTGGTATGCTTTTGAAAGGAAAGGGAGCTGGTTATGTTATCGAACCGTTAGGATCAGCAGTACGACGCAGAGGAATGACCGACAGCAGGTCGATCGGCGTTCGAGGAGCGATGGATTAGAGGGCTGGCTGACTCTGAACTTGATGCGCGATTTCGCGTGTTGCCTGGAGGAATAAGGCTGGATTTTGCGACGCGCGACTTAAAAAGTGGCAATAGAAACGCGGCTACCGAAGTTGGATGAAGCTCGCGCTGATGGCTTATTAAAGGAGATTTTGTGACGAGGGAGCGTATCGAAGATGGAAGTGGAAGGTTGGGCTTTGTCTGGGGAAGAAGTTGGGGTTGGTTTGATGTTGGAGATGAAGAGGAATGAAGTTACGAAGCTGGAGGCTGGCGTAAGAATGAAGTGGACAGATCGCGCTAGGTCACTTTTGTATACATCACGTGACCTCACCACCACCTAACAGGCGCGAAAGTTTGAAGAGTGAATAATAGTATATTGACGTGCCCTTTCGCACTCTCGATTTAAGATTAAGTCTCTAGTTCAATTCCACGTAGATTCGAGAGAGGATGTCTCGAGACCTTTTCCGGATAACCTGTAACCTAGCAGATGGTCTGAATTACTAAAATCAAAGCCATCACTCAGCATCTCCCCTCTCCTCAACTCCAGCTTTACCTCCAAAAAAGCAAGCAGGAACAAAAAAGAAAAAAAGAAAAAAAAAAGACATACAACAGCAGGTATTCGCTGGTGGTCACCCACCCAACTACTAATCTGCCGATCTGAAGCTTGAGTATGGCAGAGCGGACGGGATGCCCTATTTTCTTCAGTCTATGGTCGTATGTACCAGATTTTGGCTTATTGCAACTGATACATACGATCTAAATATTTCAAAAAAGGAGGGGGAAAAGACGCCGGAAACTACCTACCTATCTACCAAATTAGCAGAAGCGGAATCTGGGACATTCATGTCCCCATGCTTCGCGAGGGAGGTGCTAATAGCAGGGGTTATTAAGATGTGCGGGAGTGAGGAGAGCTCTTCTTTGCTCTTCAAGGAGAGAGATGCTAGAGCTTTGGTAGGTCAGGAGTGTAATAAAGGGGGAAGACGTAGCGGGCTACTTACTGTATATGCTAGGGATTATTACCTACAGTAGCTCACTAGATCTGAGATATGCTGGGCTGGGTCCGCAGTTGATTTTGGTTTGGAGCTTTGCGGATTTTCTTTGTTGTTTCATCGGCCATGCTATTAGGCCGGTCTATCGTACAATAAGGTATCTCATCATCCATACTTTCGTTCCCCTCCCTTCCCCCTTTTACCCTCCCCTATCCCCCTTCCCCTCCATTTCGCCCCCAGCACTCTCCACCCTCTCATTGTAACAAAACGCACGCCTGAAAAAGAAACGCTGAATATATATAGAGAATCCAGATATACATAACAGAGCGGAAACATGCTGTCCCCGGAACGGGAAGATAAGGGAAAGTACTATGCGAATCAGAATGCCGATGCTAGAATGCATACAGGTATAGAACTCAGTGCTGCCGCCATGCGTTGATCAGTCAATGGTATATGGTTCATACAAGCGTGATAGACAGAAATGTATAAAAGCCGAAAGGAAGAGGAAAGAAAGGTATCACAGGTGTGCTTGTCGGATTTTATATAGTTGATTTTTGAAAGCCCGGAAGATTCGTAAAGAAAAGAAATTGTCCAGGAAAGCGCGTGTTGTGAGCTAGGTATGGACATTATAGGTTCATCGTAGAAGCGTAGAACGGGAATCAATAGGGATTCCATTATATGTATCGTTTAAAACGTGAACTCTAGAAGAGGCCGTCGGTTCGATAAATTCGTTAAGGGGCGTATTCCTAAGGGGAAATATTTCGGTTAGAAGCGTTTGTTGAAGCGAAGCTTTCGAGAGTGATTGATTGGTATATTTTTGGATAGACTTTTCGTAAGTTGCTGAAAGTGTAAATCATGGATCGTAACCAGGAAACATGCGTAGATCGATCGAATTTTACGGATTAGAACGCGGTTGAGCTCCCGCTGTCTCCTTTACCACGGATTCCCTAGGAGGAACCATTTGAGTTGTAGGTCCTTGCGGTTCTCCTGGGTTAAACATACGCGGCGGAGGAAGTTGAGTTTGCGGTTGGGTCGTTGGTGGCCTGGCCTCGAATTCGCCATACTGTGGTTGAGCTCCTATCGTCGCTGAGGAACCGGCTTCGCCTGGCTTGTAGTCCTTTTGGGATGAGCTTGAATCCGGAAACCGCTGCTTCTCGCCAGACTGATCATAAACCTCGCCCTCAGCCGGCCTACTTCGCATGCTCTCAAATGGTGCTGGTGCGCTTGGCTCCGAAGCAGTACTCTCGCCCGTTCCTGAGCTTTGCATAGGCGCTGCAGGAGTTCTTGCGGGATGGATAATGGTTTCTCTCTGTACCATTGATTCGGGATCTCGAGGTGGAAGCCCTGAAGCCTTAGATCTCGGCGTAGACGCCTTCGATGGCGGTATAACTTCACCTCTAGCAACTAACTCCGCGTTCCGCGCCTCTACCTCAGCTTTTGAAGGGCGACCCCGCTTCTTTGGCTGTTGACCTGGTTGGGCAGAGGAAAACGAGAGCGGTGATTGACCATTCGAAGAGGGCTTAGGTTGGATGACTCGTTGAGCACCTATTGTAGTATCCCCAGATTGCCGTCGTTTTGGAGGAGGAGCTGATGCGAAAGGATCGAGAGATTCCGGTGGGGGTTTTCGTTTGGGAAGAGCGCCAGACATCGCATGGACTGGATAGTTTGGCGGGAAGCTCGAGGATTGACCAGCTCGGAGAGCGTCCCACGCGTCCATGCATGACTTCAGATTGCGGCCTATAAAAGTGGTTAATCCATGAAGATGATCTTCGAATCTGTGGGTTCTCTGCTGTAGCGATGTGTTGGAAGCAATGTAGCCCTTGCACCAGGCTTGGGATAAAGGGGCTGCGGCAAAGGCAGAGGGACCTACCAAGAGGGAGAAGCATCTGAGTCCATGCCGGCTGCACATTCCCTTCCTCCAGAAAACTTAATATCTTTTCCACCGGGATTGGGCTTGTCTTAATGACTTCTGCGAGGACAAAGCGCTGTTCGCGGGGGGGAGATGTTAGTTAATAAGACGCGACATAGATATGCGACAGACGGGGTATGGGAAGTGCTATCAACCAGGTGCTTGAAGTGATATAGAGAGCGCTTTGGCCGCTACAACTTCTATATCTCCTGCCCGATCCTCTTCTCTCTGATCTACGTCTACATACCTTCTCAGCGTCGGAAAACGGGAGCTCCATGACGGCGGCGCCTGGATATGCTGAAGGAGTGGAAGTGTTGGCGCGAGAAAGGAGTACTGGAGGGCGCACGTTGCACGGGGAAGAGGACAGGAGGGAGAGTGGATGAAGGAGGCAGGGCAGGAGAGGGATTCGAGAAGCATTAAGTATCCAGGAGGTATCTATCAACTTGGCCGGGCCCAGGGAGCGTGGAGAGGTGGTGAAAGAGCGTCAGGCCGTGAGGACCTCGCGAGGGGCCAAACAGTGAAGGCTGAATTGGGTCAGGTCCAGGGGCGGGGCGAGGGAGGTTGAAGAGCAGCACGCAACAGGCAAAGAGAGCGAGTTCATTATACAAAGAAAAGGAGCAAATGCCAGTCAGTCGTGCCTCCGCATGTGCAGCGGGCAGGACGCAGGACACAGGACAGGACGCAGGACGCGGAAGGGCCAGGTTCTGCTGTTCTGCCGTTCTGTTCTGTTCGCTGCACGCGCATCCGCTCGAGGCCGCCGTACTCAGGCAGGCTAGCCGCAACGGCACATGTACAAGTCTCAGATAGATTTCCAACTCCTCTTCTCCCACAACTCCTCTTCCACCACCATCAACCGTCGTTGCCCTCGATCCAGACGAGGCGTGGTGTCCCTGAGAAACACCAGAGTTAAGGGGAGCCGATGTCCCTGCTGATTGGCTGCTCTTGCTCCGCTGCGCTGGCCTTGCAGCTCAGCACTGGGGAGACCACATTGGCAGAGACTCACGCGCCCATGGCCAATCAGCCTCCAGGAACCGCCTCAGCTTCCTAGCGGCGTCGCGGTCTGTCGTCTAGAAGCACGACCAACCCTATTCTCCGTCCCATTTCCCCATATTGGTATCTGTAAGGCTGGATCACCCGCGACCCGCCGATGCGCTATGGAGCCTCACTCCGACCTCGAGACATCATACTTTGATATCTATCAGCAACCGTCGCCGACCACTTCGACGGGCGGGATTTGGTTGGGCTGGGAGCCGTTGACAGGGCGCTCGCTATAGCCCTCCGAGCAGCCGTATCTGCGGCCAAGCTGCGACTTCGCAGTCTGACCCTCTGCATACGACGAGACGTTCTCTCTTGAAGCGTCAGGAACTTCCAAAGAGTTGCCCGCGGCCTCTATAATCGACCTTCTACCTGGGACATGGCCTTTTCATATATTAACAAAACCCTTTGTGGGGCAACGGTCTCGACGCCAATGCAGAATGTGCTGTCACCCGCTCATAGGCATGAAGGTCCAGTCTATCCACCCAATCCCTAACCTTTCCCATGACTGACGTTGCGGATAGATTGGAGAGAGGCATCACGCCCGTTATCTTTTCTTTTACCCGACTTGATCACGACAGCAGAATGTTGGCGGGGCTTGGGGGACGATTGCTGGCCAACCACTGCGGATCCAATAGGTGATGCCCAAGCGGACTCACGTACACGCTTCTCTCACTGGGATTCTACATCTGTTTTTGCTATAGAAGGAGCTGGGACATTACAAAGAGCATCATGGCCCGGCTACCTTGTTACATGTTCCCGTAGACATTGAAGATGGTACGCTCTTATGTTATACTGACAGTAGGTGAGATGCGGGCAATGCCCTAGCAGACGATTTTCAAAGATCCAACAGAAAAGCAACATATTTTTCGAACTCCAGTTACAGATCCCGTAAGTCATATCTTTTCCAACTCGACACAGTGTATTTCGAGGAGGGATGAAATTGGTTGGCACCGAGTCTTTTTGCGGTGTTGCGGCTGTCGCTGCTAGCATACATATATACTTTCAACAGTCAACAGTCAAGAAGGGTCATCCTTCCTGAGAGTGCGGACCACTCCACGATAGCTTCACAAACATTCACGGGGCATGGAATGGTCACCGTGAGATGGGAGCGCAACTTTGTTCAGAATTCCAGAGGACGGCATTTGCCGGCGCTTATTCTGAGCCTCTCCAAATTATGTATTTTCCTCATCTTGTTCATAGTAATTCAAAGCAATGCAACCGACAGCATATGGCCAGGTGCAAAAGTGAATATTGATATGGGAGCGCGTTACCAGCGGCAACAGGTATTTTGAGTTGGAGTGGCGATGCGGTACATATAATATCGGGACCGGCCAAACCTCTCTATTCCATCATATCTTCCCGTCTTCGGCCTTTCGACTCCTCCACACCCTGGATCCAATCCTTTTACTACCGCGGAGGGCCTCAATGATTGCACCCGCAATTACTCGCACGTCTTCGAACCCCTCACCTCCAAACTCCGCGCCGCCATCCTTACCTTTCTGTCTCGACAACGTGTCTGCTAGACACAACCTCTCCCTTTACTGCAATAACTGCCGCCAACGAGGGCGTATCGCAGACTGAGATTCTGCTCTGCAGCTTCTGTTATTCCCATTAACAGACTGCGTGTATTGTTAATTAAGGCGTCGGTGGCGCTGTCCGGACTAAGACTTGTCCCGAGTCGAGACTCTGGGTTCTCCGTTTCGAGCGCGAATACCCGCGCCCTCGCAACACTAACACAACTCTGCCATAACGAGCATACATTGCAATGGCAGACGATACGCGGGATATCAAAGATGAGGCCATCGATGAGGCAGTCGATGAGGCGCTTGGGGGGATGAAGCTGGAGGAAGAGGTCTCCCCAGTAGTTGATGAGAGTGCGGTCAATGGTACAATCGCGCAAGCACACACGCCCAACGGCACGAAAGAGTCTGCCTCCACAACGCCAGGATCTTCTAAATCTGAATCACCGACACCAACCAAGGAACAGAGTGCAAGCCGAACACCTAAGTCCGAGGATATGGAGGGAGAGGAGGAGAAGGGGGAGGAGACCATCGGTGGTGATATTACGGTCACAGTCGAGCCGGGCAAAGCACCAAAATTGCTACGAAAATCAGGACAAAAAGTAATCTCACGTCCACCGGCCCTTTTCGACCACCTCCCAGATGTCACGGAAGAGGCTACGAAGGTATTCCAAGTAATCAAGGATTGTATCTACGGATCCAAGTACATGGGATATTCAGAGCACGACGCCCTGGATTGTGACTGCTCAGAGGAGTGGAGTAAGTATATCCGATGATTCCAAATCGCGACATGCTGATACTCTTTCCAGGAGATGGCGCGAACCACGCATGCGGAGAAGATTCGGATTGTATCAACCGTGCGACAAAAATGGAATGTGTAGACGAAGACTGCAATTGTGGCAGAGGGTGTCAAAACCAACGCTTCCAGCGCAAACAGTACGCCGATGTCTCTGTGATCAAGACAGAGAAAAAAGGCTATGGTTTGCGGGTGAACACTGACCTGCAGCCCAACGATTTTATTTTCGAGTACATTGGCGAGGTCATCAATGAGCCAACGTTTAGACGGCGCACCATTCAGTACGATGAGGAGGGTATCAAGCATTTCTATTTTATGTCCCTCACGAAGAACGAATTCGTCGACGCAACGAAGAAAGGCAACCTGGGGCGATTCTGCAACCATTCCTGCAATCCAAACTGCTACGTGGATAAATGGGTTGTCGGCGAGAAACTCCGCATGGGCATTTTTGCCGAGCGACACATCAAAGCTGGCGAGGAGCTGGTGTTCAACTACAACGTTGATCGCTATGGCGCCGACCCCCAACCATGCTACTGCGGCGAGCCAAATTGTACAGGCTACATCGGAGGCAAAACCCAGACTGAGCGTGCAACAAAATTGTCGCATGCGACAATTGAAGCTCTTGGTATTGACGATGGTGATGGATGGGATACTGCTGTCGCTAAGCGACCCCGGAAAAAGAAGACTGGCGAAGACGACGAGGAATATGTCAACAACGTCCAGCCAAAGGGACTCGATGAGGAGGGTGTCCGAAAGGTCATGGCAACTCTCATGCAGTGTAAAGAGAAATGGATTGCTGTCAAACTTCTCGACCGTATCCAACGCTGCGGCGATGACAAAGTCCGAAACAGGGTGGTGCAAATGCATGGCTACCAAATACTTCGCTCCACATTAACCACCTGGAAAGATGACCACAATGTCGTCCTCCAAATCCTCGATATTCTTTACAAATTTCCGCGTCTCACTCGAAATAAAATCTCCGACTCAAAAATCGAAGCTACGGTGGAAACACTCGTGAATTCTGAACACGAAGATGTTGCATTTGAAGCGAAGAGATTGATAGAAGAATGGAGCAAACTCGAAGTGGCTTACCGAATTCCACGCAAGAAGTTCGATCCAACAGCAGCGCCCATTTTCGAGCGACGAAATACAGAGCCGTCCCAGCCTGCAAAAGAGACTTCGACCTCTGCAATTGTCGCTCCTACTGGTCCCCGCAATACCGCTCCTCGGAGCTTCCCACCTTCGAGACCTCCAATTAGGAGACCGTTCAATCCATTGCCTGCAGGCTGGTTCACAGCTATGGATGCCAATGGCGTTCCATATTATTACAGTAAAACGGGCCAAACCCAATGGACAAGACCTTTATACCCCGCACCTGAACCACCGCCACCGCCTAAACAACCACCGAAGAGTGTTCAGACGGCAAAGGCGTTGCAAGATATTATCGACAGCATTACGAAGCCCGATCCTTCATCACAGACTCCTCAAAGCTCGCTCCAGACTTCTAATTCGACACCTACCAAGGAAAAGAAGAAAAAGTCCGAGAAATGGCGATCTCTTCCCCAGGAGAAGCAGATGAAGCTCTACGAAAATACCGCAAGTCATCTCTCCCTTTTGCCTCTAACAAGCCACTAATAAATAGCAGCTCTTCCCTCACATTAAGCACGTTATGAAGAAATTTACCTCGCAACTCCCGAAAGACGACCTCAAAAAGTTTGCCAAAGAAGTAGGCAAGAAACTTGTAGCATCGGATTTCAAGAACAATCGCGTCGAAGATCCAACAAAGATCAGTGAGAAACAGGAGAAGAAAGTCAAAAAATATGTGAGGGAATATTTTGAGAAGGCCGTCGAGAAGAAAAAAGCCATTGACAAGAAAAAGAGGGAGAAGGAAAGGCTCAATGGTGTTAAGGACACTTCTAAGGATAAGGATGATGAGAAGACCAGAGAGCTTAACGTGAACGGAGATACTGCCCAAGTGGACAGTATAAAGGCAGAGGAGGCGAAAGAGGACAGTGACATAGAGATGTCTGACAACGAGGAAGACAAAGCTCTCATTGCTTCTTTTGCTCAACGATCGCCTTCTGCCCCCGCTACACCAGCCGAATCCTCTTCGGATCTGAAACGCAAGCGGGAAGACGAATTCGATACCGTCGGTAACGATAGCGAGTCCAGTAAACGTCTTAAAGAAGAAGACAACCTTGAAAACGGCATCTCGCCACCTCCACCTCCACCGCCTCCGCCTTCTGGGGAGATGCCTGATGTGATGGCTTCACAAGAGGATGAAGACATACACATACACCATGCGAAGGAGGAAACGGAAGAAGAAAAGGAGCTGCGCCTGCAAGAAGAGGCCTTGATGCGTGAGAATGAAGAAGCGCTGATGCGTGAGAACGAAGAGGCGCTGATGATGGATCTTAACGGTTCACTAAAAGCCGAGGAGAAAGACGGCAAGCTACGCGATCATATTGCAATGCGTTATCCGGTGAGCGAATTGGTGGATATTCAACCTGTGGAGTTGAATGGTGGAAAGGATGGAGCCGAGGAAGGCATGAAGGTTGAGCATGAGCGGAAGGGTGTTCTCAGCCATTAAGGATGCTATGGCTCCGGCTTCTTGTAGGCGAAACAAGACGGAGCAAAGCATAGACCTTTGTACTCGTGTATCATAAGCATCGGCGTCAGTTGGGGGTTTATTTGCACTTGCATATCGGGGGCGTTGCACGGCCGTTGAGCAGGTCTAGCATTCGGGCTCTGAGACTATCAACACCGCGCTGTGTTCAGCGAGATGAGGCGAGAAAGGCTTCGAGGACGAGATATTTAATGCAATGACACCAAACAATAAAAGCCTTATCGCTGTCAACGTGAAGTTTCTCTTTTATGGATTCTCTAATCTTGAGATCCGCTTGGGGTTTGCCTCTTATTATTTTATTTTATTATTAGTTTTATCATTCTGCCCCTGAGGCATTCTCGTCTGTCATTAGCATGACATGACGTCTCTCCAACGAACACTCGGCTCCACTTGTCAAATTAGGCCTAGCCCGCCACGACATATATAGCACGTCTCGAACTCGAGGATATACGTAAAGATACATCGTTCATCTTGTGTTGAGAGTTTTCTCTTTGGAAAGCCGTCCCTGAAGAGCATTTCTCTTCGCAATTTGCAGAGATCGCCCTATCTACATTGGGTACTGAAGTCCCGCTCTTCCATTGAGCTTAAAGGTAAGCTTCAACGCTCTATTTACGATAAGATAACGCCCCTGGTTAGTACTGTCTCCAGGGATGCAACTGACCCCACTTCTACAGACTCATACATAAACACTCCCACCGCTCTCTTTTCTCCAACACACTGTGCAATTCCTCTCTTTACAAGAATATGGCGTCTCTCCGAGCAGCGACGCGGTTGCGTCCCCTGGCTGTCAATGCCCCAAGATCGATCCAATCCATTCGAGCACGACGCCCCTACGCCGTAGCTGCAGCGGTCAAGCCCACCTCTTCCTCCAGCGAGCAACCCTTCTTCCCCGGTGAGCCCAAAGCACCCGTTGTTAAAACTGCGATCCCGGGTCCGCAGAGCCAGGCAGCGATCAAGGAATTGGATAATGTATTTGACACGAGGAGCTTGAATATGCTGGCCAATTACCAGAAGAGCATTGGGAATTATATCGCGGATCCCGATGGAAATCTCTTGTTGGATGTGTAGGTTTAACTCTGATTTCCATTGGGTTTTGGTGAGATGCGTGGTGAATCAGGGGACTGATAGTTATAGCTACGCACAAATCGCTTCTATCCCAGTTGGCTACAACAACCCAGCACTCCATGCTACCGCCTTGAGCGAACAAATGGCATCTGCGCTGATCAACCGTCCCGCCTTGGGAAACTTCCCTTCCCATGATTGGGCCTCTATCCTCGAGACCGGTGTCCTCAAGGTAGCACCAAAGGGACTGAACCAGGTCTTCACTGCCATGGCTGGGTCCGATGCCAACGAGACAGCCTACAAGGCAGCCTTTATGTATCGCCGCCAACAAGAGCGCGGTGGTGCAAATGTTGAGTTTTCGGCAGAGGAACTTTCATCCTCAATGGTGAACCAAGCTCCCGGCGCTCCTGAATTATCAATCTTGAGTTTCAAGACAGCTTTCCATGGACGACTCTTTGGATCGCTGTCTACGACGAGATCGAAGCCGATCCATAAACTCGATATCCCTGCCTTCAATTGGCCACAAGCTACTTTCCCTCTGCTCAAATACCCCTTAGAGGACCACGTCGAAGAGAACGCACGCATAGAGCAGGAAGCATTAGCAGATGTCGAGCGTTTAATCACTACCCATCCCCTTCCACCCTGCGCCGTGGTCGTCGAGCCTATCCAATCCGAGGGCGGCGACAACCACGCCTCGCCAGCCTTCTTCCGCGGCCTGCGTGCCCTCACAAAGAAACATAACGTCCTCCTGATCGTTGACGAGGTGCAGACCGGCGTCGGCGCCACCGGCAAGTTCTGGGCACACGAACACTGGGATCTCGAGACCCCGCCCGACATGGTAACCTTCAGCAAGAAAGCCCAAACCGCCGGCTACTACTTCGGCAACCCAGAGCTCCGACCCAACAAGCCATACCGCCAATTCAACACATGGATGGGCGACCCAGCCCACGCGCTCATCTTCCGCGCCATCATCCAAGAGATCGAGCGCCTGGATCTCGTCAACCACACTGCCAAGGTCGGTGACTACCTCTACTCGGGTATCGAAAGTCTTGCGCAGAAGTACCCCGGCGAGTTCATGAACCTGCGTGGCAAGGGCAGGGGAACCTTCATCGCGTTTGACAGCCCCCGCAGAGACGAGTTCCTGAAGAAGGCGAAGAGCGTCGGTGTCAATATTGGCGGTTGTGGAAACAGCGCTGTCCGCCTGCGTCCTATGCTCGTTTTCCAGAAGCATCATGCGGACATTCTCCTCGATGCCATGGAGAAGATCGTCAAGTCGTAAGGAGGCCGAGGATTCTACAACTAAGGGAGTAGTGGATGGGAAGGAAAGAAGGAGGCAATTAATAGCGAGCAAAAAGCATCAGTCACGGCCGGGGATTCCCGCTTTCAGTTTTCTTTTGCAATTCGAGGTTGCTTTGCTGCGTATGATGGACGATACGAGAGCAGAAGCACATTCAAAAAAGCATCCAGAATTAGCGCTCTTAATGGGTTCCAATGAATACGAAAAATTACATATCCTGAAGCTCTGCATTACAGTGACTTTTCACCGCATATCTCATCCCCCCACCATAGTGATTTTCCTTCTGGACTAGTGAGTCCCTCTTTGTCTGGTATGTATGTAGGTATGTAAAACTTGAAATTGTTCGGCAGAATCTAGTAGGTTTATTCTCTTCCTTTCTGTCCTACCTCAGGTACCTTACCCAGGTAGGGAACTTTGAATCATAGGTGGAAAAAAAAAGGGGGGGGGGGAGAGCACGTGACCATATTTCCCTGGATGTCCATGTTAGTATATACTAAATCAAGGCAAGTTCCTTCTCGATAGCCGTGAATATTCTCTCAATAGCCGTGAATCAAGGGTTGAAGCAAAATGCGCAAAGCAGTTGTGTCGTTTGATGTCATTCGGCAAGTCTTGTACAGCACGTTGCTCAAATCATAAAATCTCTAATAAGCATGAGCAAGATATCAAAAGGGCATCATCCTCCAGAAAGAAACGCCAGAACTCCATTTTTCCTTCCAGCTGTTCAGGTCTCCAAGCCCCTTTGAACTCAGTCTTTAAGACCTACTCCGAACTCCTCATATAATTCCCCGATCCTGACTCCCCGATTCTCTGCGATCATGCCGATGAGTCCCTGTCCGATATCACGGATATCGTTATACTCGTGCAGGAGCTTGATGTGCTTCTTTACCGTCGCGGCCGCGGGGTAGCTACTCCGGTATTAGTTTTGGTTCTTGTGGTTTAGTCGTGGATGAGGGTGAGAAGGGGGGAGGGGGTGTCTTGGGTGGAAGGTACTTACTTCAATTCTTGCGAGACTTCTTGGAGCTTTGCACGCGTTTGGGCAATTTCTTGCTCGAGTGCTGCGTTGCGGGCTTGTAGGGAGGACTTGGTTGTGTGTCAGTTTCTTTGCACCATTGAGCGGAATACATCAGGAAACGCTTCTAGGTTGGTGGGGGGAGACATATGAGAAGTCGTGGATGGTTGGGGATTTAAGTGGAAGAATGCAACGTACGATCTTCATAGCCTTCAACTCAGCCATCAGGACATCCTTATTTTGTGGGGTTTCTGGAGCCTTGAACGTTGCGCTTGGTGCCTTGACCTCTTTTGGCGGACTTGATTTCAGCTCGTCTGGTTTTGCGGGAAGAGAGGGGGCCTCTTCTGATATAGGAGCTTGCGGGACCGTGGCTGCTGTATCTGATGTGTCCAGATGTGAGGCTATAGCCGTTGCAGAGGGCGCAGTACTTGGCAGGTTTTCATCATTGTCTTTTGATAGAGGATTTGTGTCCGTTTTTTCAAAAGGTGCGGGAGCCTGAGTCGTCTTGGCTGGTGCACTAAGCAGCTCCACTGGGGTCCATACAGAAGGCGCTGTGCTAGGAAGTTCTTCATCCTTGGTTGCAATCGTCGTAGATTCGATCGATGAAATGTTTGAGACTGGTTCAGCAGCAGTGATTGAGGGATTGGAAGCTTCTAAGTTGATAGAGGAAGCTACTAACTCAGATGGCACATTTCCCCCTTGCTCGACAGGCAAAGTATGAGTGAAAACAGCGCCTTCAGCAGCGGGTAATGCATCTGATGTGATTTTAGTTCTGCTGATCTTCGTAGAGGAACTAATGGTGTTGAAGAGCTGTGTGTTTTCGGTTGGGGCAGCTGGTAAAGAAGTACTTGTTTCATTGGAAGCAATTTCCTGAATCCCATCAAACTCAATAAGCTTATTCTGAAGCAGAACATTTCCCATATTATCATCTTTATTCCCCGGAGCCAGTTCATCAGTCACCATGACATTCGTCTCTAGTGGCTGGCCAGCTGACTGTTCAACCCCGCGAAACTCTGGTATCTGTGCACCACTCGTCTCGAAACCTATCTGCGTTCTCTCCTCCTTGACTGACAAATTATCAGAAACGTCCTCACTATCAGGAATCTCGCTCCCTAGCAGCTCTGCCTGACAGTGATCCCTGCCACCTTGTTTTAACGGAGGGAGTTCAGTATCATTACTCCCAGCCTGGGGCGCTGTCATTGATAAACCTTCCAATTCCGAAACCTCGTGATCTCCATTCTTGAACTCGAATACAGGCTCTAAGTCAACATCGTGACTTGTATGATGCAACGGGCCTTCAAGAGTTGCTTCCGGAACGGTGATTGGTGGATGGATCCCTACTGGATTTGATGCGTCGAAGACGGCGGTTTCTTCTGGGCTTGACGCAGACATTTTGACACAAGGTATATTATTGATAATGCCCGACTGTAATATTAAAAGAACGGGTATGAAGTTCTAGTGCTTTGATGCAGTTCAACCATTATTGAGGAGTTGATGTCGAGAGATGCTTCTAGCAATGGAAGCGAGGATATCAGTTGATCCACGTGACCATACCCCTGATACATGACCTACCTAGGTACCTAAGTAGGTACATTGCCGGACGATGAGGTTATTTAAAAACCTCATCTGGCAATTATATTGAATGTCGGTGAACATAATATCATATAATCTCTATCCTGATCACATCTAGTTCAGACAACAGATATTTCACCATACAAGTCCACCTGAAATACCCCTCTCGAGAAGATTCGTCCAGCGATACCTCTATGCCATCGGACGATGTATCTGCTCTTAATTTTGCTTTCAATCTATATAAATAATCGGGTATGTGTAGGAGGGAGCAGTTTGCAGCATTAGATCCTTTGAAAGCGGATTTTGGAGGGCTCGACTTGAGGGAAGGCAACCCGGGGAGGGAGGAAGTAATGGATTATGCGAGGAAATTACACATCATGAAAATGCAAGACCAAGCAATATAGAATTTGGTATAATTATTGCTTCTTCTTCTCCTTGGCCACTTTATTGGCCCCGCTCCCGTAGGGGTTCCTGCTCCAAACACGCCATAAACACCATCCAACCCACAAGAAGCCCAGGAGCACTACCCCAGCAGTGCCAAGCTCCACATATTTACTCTTATCCAAATCCAACACAGGTACAGTAATTGTATTTATCAGTGTATCCCCTTCAGGTGGAAGGTGATAGAACATTGTCTTCGGTCCAAACAATCCATCATATCCAAGGTTGACTCTATCAAACGGGTTGATGGGAAATTTGCTCCCTTCATCAGCGACACAAGCCCAGAACACTACTGGATATGGGATATGAAGAGGAGACTGCCCAGATGTCGAAGACGTTGGGGGTAGATAGCGGAGATGCAGAGGGATGGCAGCTGTCCACGGTTGTTCCGTCCACGGTTGCTCCGCCCCTGACGACGGAGGTGCAAGTTCGACGAGGACGGAAGAGCCCCAGAGAGTCATAGCATAGGCAGGGGCTTCGAGATCAACCGGAGTGGTGATGTAGTGTACAGCGGATAGGTTCTTAGACGCCAGTAAGAGTTGATCAGAAAGTTGGTATTTGTCTACGAATATTGCGCGGGGAAGGGTTAAGTGGGCGTGCAAGGAGCAGGAACGCTCTTCAGTGGGTGGTCTGCTGGAGCTTATTCCCAATTCTAATGTCGGATGCATACCGGTTGGTGTTAGAAAGGAAGCAGAAAATGTTGATCCTGTTGGGTGATGACGTGCGGGGAAGGAGAAGAGGGTAGGAGAGGGCTTTGTATCTTCCCCAACTACGGTTAGGAACCCTCCCAGAGAGAGCTCTTCCGGCTCCTTTGGAGATTCGACTGAGAGAATTCCAACCTCGAGACGGGTATTCTTGATCGTATTTTTAACGCTCAGGTGCCGGGTCTGGGGTGGCCAGAATGCTGTAATTGTGAGAGCATGCGATATTGTATCAAAGTCAATATCGACGGACGATGCATCGAGAAGACTTGAGATCCTTGAGAGACATTCCTGATCGGAGCTTTGACAGAGTTTGTGTTGGCCATATTCGACTAGGTCATGGAGACTCTCCAAAGGCTGGTAGTATTGTGTCGCTGCGGATAGAGCGAACCTCTCAACTGGGAGAGTGGTGAAGGACTTCTGAAAATCTTTTAGTCCCTGTGACAAAATTGGACAGCATATTTACCTCGGGTGACTGGCAATCAAGATCCCCAAATACTTTCTTCAGCATAGGACATAGCAGATTCCTGTAGAATGTAAGACTTCCATCGAGCGGAAAACTAGTCTTTAACTCACGAGCCATTGTTGTTTCGTTGGGGGGTGTAGAAGAGGTGAAGGCCGGGTGATAGCCTGGATACCAATGGCGCAATAGTGTTGTAATTGTTTGGGCTGACCCATCTTATATGAAGCTCGTGGCTCGCCTTGAGGACGCGGTACAGTTCTTGAGGAAGCTCATCGAAGCCGAATGTCACGCGGTCTTCACGAGCCGCCTTGAGTTCTTTGGTAGAGATTGAGTCGCTTGTGACCTCCAGCAATTTTGGATCAAGTGAGTCTTGAGGTTCCTGGAGGAAAGTGATTCTTTGACGCATCGTGGGCAATGAAGAGGTGTAGAGGGTGGAAGGACGAGGTCAACGAGCTTCGACTCAGCCGCGGGCGGCAGAATCAACACCCCTGAAAGGCGGTCAGCCCTATTGTAAACAGCTGGCACGTGATCTGCTGCAGGACGTAATCCCCGGGCCAGTGGCGGCCGCACGGCATAAGAGTACCTAAGTAAGTAGAGCAATCCATACTGTTGGCGATTGCCGGGGACTGCATTCTGCTATTTTGGCATTGTTATGTGGAAACAGAGAGTTTGATTCATGGGTAAGGAAAGGTTTTCCAGGGTATGCCAGTAGGTGCAGTGGAAATTCGCTACCCCAGACTTTCCCGGCATGACCCTCGAATCCAACGGCAAGCTGTGAATTCGTGTATTATTTACTACCGGCTTTTGGTATTCGGAACAGAGGAACGAGTACTATCTGGGAAGATGTAGCTTCAATTGAAAAGGTTCTGGAAGCTCTACCTAGCACGGCATTGTGGTAGTAGAAAACTCAGACCCCAAGGAAGGTCGGCGGCAGAAAGGAAGTGCTAGTCTACGGTGCCTAGGTAATTAGTTCTCCTACCTTACATGATTACATCGTTAGAACCGCGCTGCAGAAAAGGGTCGATATCTGCAGGTGAATAGGTGCCTTGATCAACCATAAGGCCAAGGACTTGCCTGCTCACTCCTGGCATGGTGAAATCGAAGTCAGCATAGAATCGCAGGAGTCTAAGGATAGATGTAGTCCTCCCTGGTAAACCCAAGCAACAATCAACAATCAAAGGCAAAGGATCTGTGGAGGGAGAGCATAAATAGAAGAAGACAATGAGAGAAATGAGAGACAATATGATGCCGGCGCTGTTATTCATGATCGTGGTATTGGTATTGTTGCAGTCCCCCGGCTCATTCACCCCGTCGACCAATCATCCGCGGTGCTGGCTCTACGGGTCGCTTAGCGCATTTTCAAATCTGGTCCCATCAATCCATCAATCCATCGACTTCTCCTCCCTATTGTCGGCGTATCCTACAATCCCAATTGAGGCTTTCTATTGATGGCAAAAGTCAACAATAGGGCCATCATCATCCTCGCGTAGATCTGGCGGGTTATTCGACCGTTCCCGTTGATCTCTGATCTTCTATTTCTTCTCGCCATCACTCGCGCAGAACCCTCTCTCGAACTTCTTCACTTACTTTTCCACACCCTCTCTTGTCATTGAATACCTACTTTTCTCCCACCCACAAACACTGACCCGTCATCTCGCGCTCCTAGATTCTTGTCAACAGAATCTTCCACTCAATCCAATTCCAATAGACATGGCGTCCAAAAAGCCCCAAGAGAGTCCCGGTGCTAGTCACGAGATGTCTATGTCGACAAGATCGAAGAGGATATTCTCCGAAGCCAGTTTTGTAGAGGACACTGAGCAAACACCGCCCAAGAAACTGCGCTCCGATGTTCCAGAAATCCAAGTCGAATCCGCAGCGAATTCGGACGACGAAACCCCCCAGCCTCCGCCTCCCATGAGAGCATCACGTGGCCGTGGCCGTGGTGGCCGCAGAGGTCGTGGTGGCAGAGGTAGGGGCAGTTCCGGACTTTTTGGAAGAGGCTCTACTGCTACAGATGCTCCACAAACTTCTGTAAAGGGAGGGCGTGGTAGAGGTGGTGGACGTGTCAAGAAGTCTACCAATGCTCGCATACAAGCCCTCTACCATAGGAAGAGGGCCCTCAGACTGCAATTCAAGCAGATCAGGTTCATTCAGAAAGATGCTCTACTTGAACTGGCTAATAGGTCTTTGCAATTTCTAACGGATCCCAAATATCACGAAACCCTTCCGGAGTTCCAAGAGACCATGAAGGCCCTTGATGAGAAATATCAACAAGTCGTTGACGGCCTCAACGCGAGATTGAAGATGGAAGAAGGTTACATCGACCGAAAGGCTGAGATGAACTCTGATCTTGTCAAGCGTCAATTTGCAGTAAGTCTACATCTCTACTCTTTCCCCGGGTAAGATCTAATCATTTTCCTCAGGCCAAGATTGAAGACCTCAAGGACACATACGAGTCTCGCATCAAGCAGCAAATGCTCTACGTAGTGCGCCAAGCGGAGACTGGTGGCACTGCTGAGACAACCCCCTTTCATCGTGGTGTAAGTTCTTCACCCTAACTCCTGAATTTTACTAACTTGGGCCCAGCTCCCTGGCGAGGTTGTCAAACATATTGACCGACCGCCAAGCATCGTGGACCCCATCGCCACTCCTTACCACCCTGGCGTAAGTTCTAGCCGTCTTCCGTTGTTGGCCATCACTAATTTACAATAAAAAGTTCTTGGAAGTTGAGACGAACCCTTACGTACCTGTAGTCCATCCTGCTGTTTGGTGGAAAGAAATTCTTGATAATGCTGGACGCGAAGCCTGGAGGATTGCGGAACGCAAACGCAAGCCCATTGAGGGTTTCGAACCAGAAGTAGAAAAGAAGAAGGGCGGTAGAAAGAGCAAGAACGCTTCTCCAGCAAAAGGAAAAGCCCAAGCTGAACCAACGGTGGCGCGTAAGAAGTCGTCACTCTATCGACCTGCTCTGGAAGAGACAGCTGCTCAGTCGAATGATGCTTCTGTTGCCGCTACACCTGTCGAGACTTCCGAGGCAGAACCTGATCAGGAATCAGCGCCCAATGCCGATGGCGACGAGCAGCCTATGGACAAGTATGGTGTCTATCTCCCTAAGAAACCAATCCCCCGAAATGGGGAGCCTCCCCAGAACAGATTTGTGCAAAAGCCTCACGTTACCTTTGAAGATGACGAGATTGGTGTAAGAGTACATCATTCGAAGAAGGTCCAGCAGGAGCACCTCTATCTAGGTAGCGATCCGTCCCCCAACCCTCACAGACTTCACTTCGATCAGTTTGTGCGGGGAGAGAACTCTGCCTTGAACCGCCCCGAAGATCTAGACGCTAAACTCGTCGAAATATACGGCGTTCACCCGACCTTTGGACTTCCTATTCCAGGATCTCGAAACCCTGATCCGTCTCCGACCGACTGGACCAAGGATTTGGAGCCTACATACCCTATTGTGTTCATCGATCCGCAGACAGGGGATGTCTCCCGCACATCCAGATCGGCTTGGATGATAGAAGCAGACCGCAAATGGGAATCTACAGATATGAGTGAGGCCACGAGGAGTAAGGTCCGGTCTGCCCTGGAGGTTTTATCTCCTCCCACTGCCCCTAAGGATGAGTTCCAGGACGAGTCCCTTGATGTGCAGGGTATTCACCAGTCTCTCATGAATGCCGTCAACTCGGCCCTTCTGGATGCTGTCAACTCTGTCCCTCCCCCATCACCACCGCCAGCCACCCCAGCTCGGCGTCCCTTCTACGACGCTGCACGCGACACCACAGGGCATATCCCATATCAGACTCCGTATAGCCAGCCCACAGCCCGGCAAGGGGGATCAACGCTGACAGCTCTTGCTGATGCCGCTGAGATTGCTCCTCGCCCTCATACCAGCGTTCAACAAGCTCCCGGATATGGAGTACAGTCGGAATGGATGTCAAATGTTCGCTCGTCGCGGTCAATGGAAGAGTTTCGTCGAGCCCCGCTTAACATGGGTGATGGCAGAATCTTATATCGGGACCAAAACCCGTATCAGATGGGACCTTCGCGAGTTCACCCGCCACCCCAAACTCAGCAGCAACTCCAACCTCAGCCGCAACTCCAGCCTCAGCCGCAGCTTCAACCCCAGCCGCAGCTTCAACCACAGCAGCAACTTCAGCCTCAACGGCAACTCCAACCACAGCCGCAATTCCAACCCCAGCAGCAAATGCAAGCTCAGCCACCGTTCCAACCTCAGCAGCAAATGCAAATGCAAATGCAAACTCCGCAGCCAATTCCGCCTCAAACTTTCTACCAGCAGACACCCCAGCCACAAGCACACTTTTCTCCACGAGGATTGCGCCCGCTGGCTCCGGCCCCACCGCTACCCCCTCCTCCTCCTCCCTCGCAGCAGTGGCCACGATTCCGGCGCCAGTAGAAAGCTATTTCCTATCTTTCGAGATGCTGTCACTGGATTTGGTCTGCCTTATTCATTGCATTGCGTTGCATTGCATTGCCTCCTGTTGATCTAAAGCATTGCGCTCTGGATCTCATGGAAGGTTTCTCTTCGTTGTACATCTTGATTTTACATATTGATCTGTGGATCCGGCCTTCATCACACTGCCTTTTTCGCATGGGTGCAAGGCGTAGGGGTCTGGGTCTTACGTATGGCGGCAACGACATGATCTCTTCATTACACGTACTGATCCTGCATACTTGTGGATCTGGTCTTCATCATACCACCTTGTTGGCATGAATATGAGGCGTTGCGGTCTGAGTCTTACACATGGGCCTTTATTTCGCATACGAATGGTGCATATTGAGTTGTGGATTTGGGTCTTCATCATACCATCTTCTTGCTGGCATGGATGCAAGGCGTTCCGGTCTGGATCTCGCACATGGGCTCTTTATTGCACATTGGTCATCTTGCTTTTGCACATTGATCTGCGGATCTCACGAGAGCGATATTGCTTTGCACTGTACTGTACTACAAAATAGGAGAAGAGCGGGCCTCTTGAATAGACGAATTTCTGCGCCACTGACCTTGGACTAATAAAGAATAAGACGGTTCCATTATGTGTCATAGAGAGGTAAGGTAATTGTGTCAGAGAGTAAAGTTAAGAGTAAGGTTTAAGGTTAAGAGTAAGAGTAATATTTCTATAGAGTCATTCATACCGCAGTAAATCGCCTATCAAAACCACATATCAATTTATACTCAGCCCCTGTCGGGCGACGGTTGAGGCCTGAGTCACTCGGACTGATACGTGATACGTGATACGATGCTTTACGGGAGAGCCCCGCTAGCGCGCACTCGGCCTTAGCGCAAGGGACCGCTGAAGGCGAGCGACGTCAAAAAGAAAGCTTCCACCTTTTTTCGCGACCATCACCAAGCAACGGAAAAACCTTACATCGCTCCTTTCTCCCCCTTCCCTCCCTTGCGTATTCCACCGTCCACCCTCGCTATAACCCAGGGAACCAGAAGTCAAAACCAGCCACCGATAGGGAGTTCATCATGGCGGTGCGTGCACAGTTCGAGAACTCGAATGAGTGAGTGTCGTGCCCCTCTTTTGCCCCGCCTTCCACCGCCAGAGGGCTTGAGGGCTTGCGGGATACGGTGCTGATGGAGGAGTGTGCAGAGTCGGGGTCTTCTCCACGTTGACGAATTCGTATGCGCTTGTTGCTGTTGGAGCCAGTGAGAATTTCTACAGGTACGGTGATTCCTGCGTGCGCGGCTCTATGTAGCCTTGGATCCTTCGCACATACCGGGCGTTTGCGGATAAGGCGGGAATGGTGCTGATATGGAGGGATGTACAGTGTCTTCGAGGCCGAACTTCAAGATGTTATCCCTATTTGCCATGCGACGATCGCGGGTACCAGAATTATTGGGCGGTTGACGGCGGGGTATGTTGTTCCCCCCAACCCTAAGGGCTTGAAGAGAGAGCTGCGATAGATGAGGTGCTGATATTGTGTGGGCATTAGAAACCGAAAGGGTCTGTTAGTACCAACCAACACGACGGACCAGGAATTACAGCATCTGAGGAATAGTTTACCGGACGAGGTCAAGATACAGGTTTGTTCCCTAACATACAAATCGAAGACCGGGGGTTAACATTCCCGGTAACCCAGAGGATAGAAGAGCGTCTCTCCGCTCTAGGCAACGTAATCGTATGTAACGACCACGTTGCCCTCGTACACCCCGATTTAGAGCGCGAAACCGAAGAGATCATCGCCGACGTGCTAGGCGTCGAAGTCTTCCGGCAAACCATCGCCGACAACGTCCTCGTCGGCTCTTACATGGCACTAAGCAACCAAGGCGGCATCGTGCACCCCAAAACCAACATTCAAGACCAGGACGAGCTGTCCAGCTTACTCCAAGTGCCCCTCGTGGCCGGGAGTGTGAATCGCGGCTCGAGCGTCGTCGGCGCCGGCATGGTGGTTAACGATTGGCTGGCGGTCACGGGCCTGGACACCACAGCGACGGAGCTGAGTGTTGTAGAGAGCGTGTTCAGGCTGGGCGAGGGCCAGGGACCGGGAGCGATAAATACGAGCTTGAAGGATACGATGGTGGAGAGTTTCTATTGATTGAATCTGCGGTTCTGGTTGTCTGTCTACTGCTGGGGGGTGGGAGTAGGTTTTTGAGAGGTCTTGGCCGGGTCGTGGATATGATGCAGGCTTGATTATACCATGGCTCGAGCAAGCTGATACTACTGAACTCTGTTTACGCAAGGCGTTGATGGCCCCGAATGAAAGAAAACTCTTCATCCTCAATCGCTTCCCGTCTTTGACAATGATGATGTCACGCGGTTTTCCCGCACATGTCCCTCGTGTGCGTGTGTGGAGATTCTTATATTTCCATCGTGAAATGGCATGTTGGTAATGTATCTATCTAGCTACTTAAAACCCCAAACGCCGCCTTTGCTACAGGATGAGAATACCTGGTCATTTACTCACCCATCTTAGCAGGACATACATCCATGTATATACGTCCAATAACAGCTATCAAATAAATCAACTCTCCCGCCCACTGCCACTCTGATTTCCATTACTGAACGATCCCGCCTCCTCACTCAACCCCCCATTTTCCCTCCCACTCACCAGCCCCTCCTCCACCACCACGCCCTCCGGGATCTCAACCTCGTCTTGAATACGACTCGTCAAGAACGCCGCGACCAGAGTCGACAGCCCGCCCGCCGCAAGCACGACGGCGATCGAGTGATCGCCGGGGGTGCCCCTCGGTTTCTGCAGGAATTTAAAGATGATGCTGCTCCCGACCGTAGCGAAGATCTGCGGCGACGAGACCGACATGTTGTGGATGCCGAGGACGATGCCCGCTTGGTCGGTGGTGTTGTTGTTGTTGTTATCGTCGGGGGAGGAGGCGCGCAAGCGCCGCACTTCCTCGAGCTTGCTGATCTCGGCGCTGATGATGGCGAAGGGCGCCCAGAGCGTGAGGGCCCAGGAAACGCCGACGATGCCGATGAGCGCGGTGGCGCCGCCGACGCTGCGCACGAAGAGCGTTGAGAACATGCACGTGGCGAAGATGAGGTGGGCGATGAGCCAGGCGCGGCGGAGCGTGAGCCAGGGGATCACGAGGTGGTCGAGGAAGCGCGAGAGGCGTGTGTGTTGTCCTCTCTGGGCGCGGAGGGAGGCGTTGGCGGGGCTGTCGTAGGAGGGCGCGATCAGGAAGGGGAGGAAGACGTTGGTCGCGAGCGAAGTGATGGCGTAGATGAGGAGGGCGAAGGTCCCTACCCTGGTGGCTTTTTCGTATAGCTTGTCGATCTCTTCGGGAGTCATGTTCGGATTGGCCTCGAGGAATGGCTGCACGTAGATATCACCGATGTAGGAACTGGAATAGAAGAGCTGGGGGAAGAAGCCCACCCAGGCGAAGAATTGCACCTCGCAGACTTTCCGGGTCTGAGGGGGAAGCCGCCGGATGGATTTGAAGACTTGTTTGAAGAAGGCAATCAGACCTCCTCTCCCTTTGGGGGGTGGGCCTTCGAGACTGGCATCACGTTCTCGGACTGTACCGATGCTGAGTGCAACGGTACTTCCCAAAGCTAGACTAGCTATCACGCAGAGCACTTTGAACTGCGTGTTTCCAAAGAACCAGAGGTGCTTCGGCAAATCGATATTCCCGGCAACGTATCCGATGATATTTCCGACTCCTAATACTCGACTTGCCATCGAATTCGCAGCCTCTTCGGAATCTTTTAGCTTCGTCAAAGAATATTTAAATGAGACTTACCTTGTTGATGGCTCGGACAACAGTCCAAGATGAAAGCTCTAATACCTGCTTGCACTTCGAGATGTCAGAACAGAAAGGTTGAAGGGTTCCGCGAATCCTACCAGTATTGATAGCGACATCTAGGACATAGACAAACAGAACTGCCACAACAATTATAGTAACCTTGACACCCTCCGATTCTCGATCTACCCCACATAATCCCAGAAATCCGCCCACAATCTCCCTGACCCATGCCAAAGCTAATAGCGAGATGATTGTCGCAGCTGATCCGGCGATCATGAATGGCGTCCGCTTTCCCCACGACGATCTGCAGTTATCGCTAAGGATGCCGACATAGGGTTGCACAATAGTTCCTGTCAACGGTCCTGCAATCCAGACCAAGGCCATGAGAGACTTGCTCAGACCCAAGGATAAAAGATATGGTGACCCATTGGACAGCTCTACCGCCCATGCCAATTGCAATCCTCCAATACTGATCGTCAAGAGTATCATATACCATAAGGGCTTTGTTTCAGAAGTTTCATCGCGATCGTGATGAACTGATCCGTCCTCAATGAGCCCTTCTTGCTCCTCGTCTCGGGTCGGAGAAAGTAGAGGGGACTCTTCATCTAGTGGTTTTGTGATTTCGTAGGTTGCTGGGTCTTGAGTTTCGCCGGACCTGTCTTGCTGCTCTCCAGCTACTGGAGAGGTTGGTTCTGGCGCCATGACTTATACCAAATCTTTGTTGCGTCTTATCGAGACTGCCCAAGCTAGATCAGCCAGGAAATGAATCTTGGGTCGTAATCAAAAGAGCTGGAGAATTGTCTGGAACGTCCTATATTCGTATGTCAGCTGGGGCGTTATCTATACATAGTGGGGGTTCCTCACAAGTCGGCAGGTGGCGCTTCAAGGGTTCAGTCGCATCACGAGAACGAAGCTTCCATACTAGCAGCCGATCATCAAAAGCTCCGTGATAGATCAGATGTCTCGGCTTAGGATTGGGAAGCATAGGAGAAGGAAACGATGTAGAAGAAAGGCTCGTAATCCATATATCACATCTAGAACCGGCACGTCGTTGACTCTGTACGGTAACCGTATACCCCCTGTCACGAAGCTCTGGGGTCTGGAATTGTGGAGATGAGGCGAACCACAACTTCTTCCTCAAAAAGGACAGTTGTTGATACCAAAACTAATAAATGCATGCTTCCTATTATCACTGAATCGAGTCTTTCTTCTTCTTTCCCTCAACATATCACAAGAGAAATCCAGAGCTGATCCACCGGGCCATTACCGGGAGTGTCGTCGTAGCGAGCCGCTACTCATATCAACTCCGGTCCCCACCGAAGCTCATTCTCCATACCTTAGCATACATCACGATCGTTACATGTGTCGTCCCCTCCCTCTTCGCTGCTCGTCGTTGAGCGATCAAGCCATCAAAGCTTAACCCGGGAACGACGCAAAGGCTGAAGCTATCAATATATCTTCAAGATGCGCTCGCAGGTGTCTGCGGTTATCGCCGGCGTGAGTTACGAGCTTCTAAGTAGGTCACGTTTGACGATCACAAGAGTCGGCGCATAAGCTAATGGTGGTTTCGCTGCAGAGAGAGCTTCCGAGGAAGATGGAGAAGAAGATGGTGGTGCGCATAAGCTTTGTGGAATCGACAAGACATATGGGACTGACTGCGCCTAGGCCCTGACACGTCTCAACGAGAGATCTTCTCATCATGGGCCCTCTTCATTATGATCATGCTCCTTATTGTAGCGCTTTTCACGAGTTACATGCTACAACAGAAGAGGGTTGAGGCCGTGCATGAAACAGTGATATCGATATTTGCTGGTGCGAAACCCAGTCTTGAAAAGCCTTTGGAGCTGCCTAACTGACGACTTGTAGGTATGACTGTTGGCCTGATTCTTCGACTAACCACCGGCACTTCGATCCAAAATCTAGTCAGCTTTGACTATCAGATATTTTTCAATCTTCTACTTCCTCCGATCATCCTCAATTCGGGCTACGAGCTACATCAGGCGAATTTCTTTCGGAACATCGGGACGATCTTGACTTTCGCATTCGCTGGAACGTTCATATCTGCCATTGTGCTAGGAATAGTCCTGTGGTTGTACACTCGCATCCCATTCGACGGCTTTGAAACCAATTTGACTTTCGTTGACGCAATCTCGGTGGGGGCAACACTTTCAGCTACCGACCCCGTTACTATCCTGGCGATTTTCAATACCTACAAAGTGGATCCAAAGCTATATACTGTCATTTTTGGAGAATCTATCCTGAATGATGCTGTTGCCATTGTACTGTTCGAGACGGCCCAACGGTATAAGGAGGGCGCTGCGGGAGGAACCCTAGGTTTCGTATCACTTCTTGAAGGTATCGGCATCTTCTTGGCCGTCTTCTTCGGGAGTTTGCTCATAGGAGTAATTATTGGCATTGCAACAGCGCTAGGTTTGAAGTACACATATGTCAGGAGGCTTCCGAAGATTGAGAGCTGTTTGATTGTCTTGGTTGCATATGCCAGTTATTTCTTTGCAAATGGCTTGCACATGTCTGGTAGGTGGAGAACGATTATTTCAAGATCCAACTAATATGTGTTAGGAATTGTTACTCTCCTTTTCTGTGGAATCACGCTTAAGCACTACGCGTACTACAACATGTCGCGTCGAACACAGCTCACCACGAAATACATCTTCCAGGTTCTGGCTCAGTTGTCGGAGAATTTTATATTCATCTACCTGGGATTGTCTCTGTTCACAGAGAGCCGGCTGGCATTCAAACCCCTTTTTATCATCGTGACTGTTATTGGAATCTGCATTGCACGATGGACGGCGGTATTCCCGCTCTCAAGAGCTATTAATTGGTTCATCAGATACAGAGCAAAGAGGAAGGGCAAGGATGTCGCAGATGAATTGCCCTATAGCTACCAAGTAATGTTATTCTGGGCGGGATTACGCGGAGCTGTAGGAGTGGCTCTAGCAGCTGGAATGATAGGGCCCAACGCGTGGGCTTTGAAAGCAACCGTTCTGGTAGTTGTTGTGCTTACGGTTATCATCTTCGGTGGAACGACGGCCCGCATGCTTGAGATACTGGGTATCAAAACAGGGGTGGTGGAAGAAATCGATAGCGACGACGAATTCGACATCGAGGCTGTTTCGGGAGGTGGCACCTACTTCAAGAATTCCGGAACAGTAGTCGGTAATATTCCAAGACGAGGAAGCGTATCAGTACCGCTGAATGGCCTTGGAAACTCAGGCAGACAAATTTATGCGAGCGGGAACAACAGCCCGCATAATAGACCCTCAAGTCTGAGTAGGAAAAATTCCAACGCGAGGAACACCACGCACGAGAGTGAGCAGGAGTTACTCAGAACAGAGAACGATTCCGACATCGATAGTGACACATCCGATCTTCCACCCGCAGCAAGACGATCCCCCCGACGAAGATCGAGACCAGACATCGACACAGATGTCAGCACTCCCTATCCCACATCTGGCCGTAATGAAACCCCGCAGCATATCACTGCGACAGGGGCAATCAGCCAGCTGTTTCATGGCACAGCCGATGATCACGCAGCATGGTTCAAGCAACTGGATGAAGAATTCATTAAACCGAAATTGTTGCTCGATGGTGGGAAAGGTACGCACGGTGGACCGAGTGGGAGTTAGTCTTTAGCACGGACAGGAGGGAATAAAACCAAGCGCTGGATAGGAGGCATAATGGTTGGAGTTCTGGCGTATGTATGTATTATATAAACCGATTTGGCCTGGTGCATGAGAGAGATTATTGCAGCAGAGAATTCGAAGTTTTGATCCTATTATCCACCTTAAAAATACCGAGTCTTTAAGGTTACTTGAACCTTTAAATCGCATGACAGGGAAGTTCAGGTAGTAAAGTATCGTTGAAAAGCAGGAGACCCAAACTGCGATTTGACGTGAGGACAGACAACAGATTCAAGGGAAAGATGCTGACAAGAACAATAAACCTAAAACAGTAAGGAGAAGGGTCAAAATGTCACTTTCCATCTAGTCTAAACCCAGTGCAACCGGATACCTGAGCCTGGATCGATGTCGACGTAGATAGTGTAGGTACCCCGTTACGTAGTTATGGATGGCATTGAAAACCGATTCAGGATACTATTTGTTGTTGATTCCACTTAACACACTCTTCGAACGTTACTCCTGATCCTCCGAAGATATCGAGAGCACTTCCAATCGTCAGATCCACTCGTCCTTTGCTGAGGTTCTTGACGTGATCCAGGTCTTGAAGATTTCTTCCGCCACCAGCATATGTCACTGGTATACTGCACCATTGTGCAAGCTTTTCGACAAGTTGCTCATCTATTCCCTTCTGGAGACCTTCGTTATCTGCTGCATGGATCAAAAACTCGGAGCAGTATGGTTCAAGCGATTTGATAGATTCTAGAGAGTTTAGTAACTGTACATGTTGGAAAAGCGGCCTTCTTACCTTCGTTGACTTCCATATCTGTGATGGTTTGCCATTTATTCATAGCTACGAACCAAGTATCGTCCTTCTTCCGGCAACTGAGATCAATGACAAGCTTCTCCTTGTCACCGTCGAGTGCTGCAAGGACCGAATTGAGCCGCTCTTGTGAAAACTTCCCTTCAGGGAAGAGGAAGGATGTAATTATGACCTACTGCTTAAGTCAGCGACTTTCTGTGATTTGGTATTCGTTTCGTGCAACTTCAAGAAGCTCTGAGAATAAGCCGGCTCTTCAAAGATGGTTGAGGCATACTCTTTCAGCACCCCATTCAATCCATTGCTTCGCATTCTTGTCTGTTATGCCTCCTCCAACTTGCAAACCTCCTTTCCACTCTGCCAATGCCTCTTTCGCTGCATCCTCGTTTCCGGGCCCTAGCATAATAACATGCGCCCCCTCTAATCCATTGTCCTTGTACAGTTTTGCAAAATGGCCTGCTGGTAGCTTTGATACGTAATTCGTCTTGAGATCTGCGGACGTAGTAGTCAATGTTCCTCCAACAATCTGCTTCACCTGTCCAGAATGCAGGTCGATGCAAGGTCGAAATTTGGTCATGGTTGTGGTCGAATGAGGGGGAGGGGAGGGGATCGCGGGGTGAAGTTTGTGCGAGGTTCGATATCGGGAAAACCTCGGCTTTTTGTTGGCCGACTCCAAATAATTTTTGACCGTGCAAAGAGAGACGCACTTCTCTCACAACCACCCAAGAATGGCGCCTACGTTAGGAAAGAGAAAGCGACGGACCGCCGAGGCCACTGAAGATAATCGAGAAGACGATGGTGAAGGTTCTGCGTCCTTGGAACTGGATGCGCAAGAGATATTCCGGCGGCATTTCGAGGCTCAATTCAAACCATTACCCGTAGTACAGAAGACCGTGAAAGAGCCAGAGGAGGCACCACCAGAAGACGAGTCAGAGGAGGATTCAGAGTGGGATGGCATTTCCGAGGAGGAGGAAACTACTGTCCAGGTAGTCGAGCATGTGGATGCGCATTCACAAATAGCGGCGATGTCGAAGGAGGAGCTCAAAGTATTCATGGTACTTCTTCTTTCTGCTTGCAATACCGGCTTTCACTGACTTAGAATCCAGAGCTCTAAACCACCTACAGCTCACGCAAAGCAACCCCTAATTCGCAACAAGGCTGGCACAGCGACAGAAGATGATGACGCCTCGGAAGCAGCTAATCTTAAGAAAGACTTAGCCCTCCAGCGCCTCCTCGCCGAATCCCACCTCCTTGACTCCGCTACCAATCCTACACTTAGTGGAAACAATCGACACAAGGCAACTGATCTACGACTTCAAGCATTGGGGTCCAAGATTTCGATATTGAAGCAGGAAAAGATGCCTATGTCGCACCGGAAAGGCATAATCGCCAAGCAGAACGAGAGGGAAGAGAAGAGGAGGAAGGAGGCTAAGGAGAATGGTATTATTCTAGAGAAGGCTAAATCGGCGAAGAAATTTGAAGGGAAGAGGGATAGAGGCGTTGGAGCACCAGCAGTGGGCAGATTCTCGGGCGGAACGCTGAAGTTAAGTAAGAAGGATATTATGGAAATCGAGGGCCCGAGGAGGAGCGCCTCTGGTAGGGGTGGTAGAGGAGGCGGAAGGGGTAGAGGGAAGCGGGGTCGATGATCATGATAATGGGCATTACGAGAAAACAAATTTCACGATACGCCTCACCTGTTCAACCGAGGAGGACAACCAGCCCCGAGCTTCATATCGGAGAAGGATTCATTGCACCGCCCGAGTATGTGGTCAACCAACCTGCTGGCGCCTTCGTTGCTTACAAAGAAGAGAGAGGGAGCTGGAAGACCTTCAAGATGTGGCACGGCGGTTGTTCGAACTAGCCACACACCAATTACTGCTGTCCATACCAGTGCTGGCCTGTTATAGAATTTGGCCAGATAATATCAAATGCCTGGATCCTGTCACCATGATAATCACGAATGAAGTCGCTGCGACATCTCTGACATACATCTTATCTTGTTGGAACTCAAGAACATATGAGCATTGATTATACCCTTCTCATACTACAACCCTATTTCAACCCTTCTTCTTTCGTGGTGGTTCAAGTGGATTAGGTTCCGTCCTTTGCCCTATTTTTCAGGCAGGATAACACTCGAAGCTCTCGGTTTTGTCATTGAAAGCCACATTGCCAAGCTCTGGGTTTGATAGGTCGTTCTCTCCATCTTGTGTTTGGTAGAAGTCTCCTGTGCAATTATAGTCCCTGCCAGAAAACTTACATTTAGCATTCACATATCCAAGTCCCGTTCTTCAAAGAGATCGGAAAGGATAACCTACTCATAAAGATTACAGTGAAAGCCGGTTGGCATAAAAATGAACGTCAAGTTGTTGTTCAGTGGCTCAAGTCCAGGATAGTCCGAGAAAGTATCTTTCATTCGGTGATTAGCCTGTATTCATGATTTGTGCTGAGCGATAAAACATACAGCAGATGTTGAAGTCAGCTTCTGGAGTGCCGCAGAATCCAGAGCCAATCGGCAGGCCGTCTGGCCCATTTGGGTATGACGAGTTGGTACACATTGCAGGCGTGACTGAGGACGTGGTTGAGCCCACTGTGCTGCTTTGGGTAATTGGGATCGTAAGCGCAAGGGCGCTGGCCAAACCCAGGACAGCGGCAAGGAGATGCATGGTCAGGGCAATGAATTGAAAGTCTTTGTGAACCCGTAAAGTCAGTTTGGGTGAAGTGGTGAAGTCAAAATGAATTGTTTGACAACTGAACCAGAAGAATTGGTTGCCTTTATACCATCTTCATTGACCTCTCGCTGCAGACTACGCAGCTTTTCATGACGTTGTCAGCGATACGAGAAGCTTTCGATTGCACCAATGGTCCGAATATGAGAATGGGAGTTCTCTCGAGGGCTTATTATGTGGCGTGAAAATGAGTGGCCATGGCCTTCTCTCCATGTACTACGCAGTATGTAAGCCTCCGAATACGATATCAAAAGGCCCGGCTGGATTACTGATGGTCTTTTATTTTCCTATCACAAGTCTGGTCATGGCCCGATGATTGATCATTATGTTTGATTCTGGATGGACAAATAACATGGCGAGGCCGAGGTCTGCAGAACGTCTCAAGGAAGACGGAGGCAAGACATGTGCGTTAAGTCTGCCCACTGTCCCCTAACTATGTGAGGATTATGTGGATAAGATGGAAAGAATTTCGATATTCAAGTTAGATCCTAGTCAAATCCAAGTATAGGGTTTCGAGTTCTCGATTGCGTTTGAGAGCCGCAACTCTCTTCTTATATCATTGACTTGCTAAAATTATGCTAATAATTGGCACTGAGGGACATTTTCAAGTCGACTAGTCTGATACACAGGAACCGTGGATGGATTTTCGTACAAATATAAGAAGATGGAGAGAGTTGGACTGAAGAAAGCTCAATATGTCTGGAATCGAGTTGGGTTATTTGTAATTGAAGGCAATGTAACATACTTTTGGAGATCTGCGTGACATCAATGGATTCAACGGATTCAACGGATTCAACCCCATCATTTATTTGCCTTGTATGATCACACCTCTTGTATAGGCACTCTTCTATAAAGGGCTTTCCATAAATCTCGTGGATCGAGCGTGAAAACAAAAAGAGGGGGGGGGGGGATTGTGCCTGATGATTTATGTCTGCTTTATTGGGTTTCCTCTCAGTCATCATTGCAAGCAAGTTTCAGTACTCTGTGCGGAGGTAGAGCATCTGCAGTTGGTTACATCATCTGTTCTCACCAACATCACGTCCAAAACATCAGTATCCCTCTCGCCAACTGCTTCTATACAGTATAATAGGAGTACCGATCAGACAATAGAGGATGATATAAATAGATAACGATATGTAGCGACTGTAATCCCATTGGTTATAATCTGGGATATTGTTAAACAAGAGGCAGATGGCTTCATCCACAGCTGTCCTAGATGTAACAGGATACATCTTTGATGGTTGCCTTCATTGGGATCTTGTGAGCTTTTGTGTTTCCTAGTCAAGTTGTAAGTTTGCGAGATGGACTACCGACTGTTCGGATCTGAAACAATAATAAAGATGTAACCGGCTTTTGACATATGAGAAATCAACCATAGATGTCTGTATTTTCCAGAGAGCGTAGGACCTACGACAACAAGTAGTAGCTTTCAAAGAAATTCAGGATCCTTGACCCAGCAAAACTCTTTGCCAAAAGCATGGCGTAGCGATACCATACATGGAAAAGTAAGTACTCGACTGTCAATAATCCGGACAGATGGCCGAGCTGGTTATGGCGCCAGGTTAAGGTTTCCTTAGCATACAGTTTCCTGGTCACGAAAGTGGCGTGGGTTCGAGTCCCACTCTGTTCATGTTGATCATTAAATTTTTTGAATTTTAAATTTTTTTCAATTTTTTTATTGCCTGTTTCCTTTTTCTCAGCCTCGTTGTCACGAATGATATTTTATGTGGCTTCACAGCAGACGTTGAGTGCGTTATTTGAAGGTGTGGGGGATCCTGCATCTTTAGCTCCTTTTTGTTTGTGAGGGTTGGTAATTCTGGCGGGGAGGGGAGGGGGGGTCGGCAACATGATAGGATCCGAGATTGGGCTCTTGCTTTTCATCTTAGAGGAGAATCAACATAGACTTATTACTCTTCTATCCTTTCTGTATCTTCCCTTGCTTATTTGCCTAAACTCCATGCTATCTTGCAGAAATTGAGATTGGGTGAGTTGCTTACTTATTGCTTGAGCTAGAGGCAGTCGAACATAAATTTTGTGAAGTTCTTCTAGGTAAGTATCGTTGGTGTAATGCTTTTTTGTAATGCTTTCTTGTAAAACACACAACTCATACTTCACAGAAGCAAAATACATTTTATACACCCCAAAACTTGTTTGGACAGCGTAGAGGAAAATTAGAGAGGAGTAAGGTACAGTATGTGGTCATGTGATCGCTTAATTCAGGGGTCCTTCAATTTCTTCCAATTTGCCCTCCGCTCAAAGGGCGCATGTGCAAACGTGAGATCATGTCTTCTTCGTTTGGTTTCGGTCCAATGAAGGCCTCTTTCGGCTGGGCGAGTTGCCTATTGACCAATCACAGGAACTTCATACCAAATTATCAGCGATCTCAGCGAATTCAGCTTCGCTACCATATGTCTCGAATATTTGGGAGATCCCTTACTTTCTGAAATCTTGCTGCATTTCTAGGCTTTCTTTGAACTCGGTAGCCTGAACAAACATGAATAAGTCTCCTATGGTTAGTCCTCCAGGAACGTCATGGACGTCCGGTGCAAGCTGGTCGAAACGCACGAAATTCACCGCGGTCATTGAGTTGGAAGACTGTCGACGTAGAGAGTACACACCCTGGGCGCTTGGGAGAAGGCAACAGCTACAAAGTTGGAGATACAAGACATATATATATATGGTGGGAGTCTCGTCATGAATACCTTCTCAACTGATCTTTGCTGCAGCACCTGCAGCACTGTGCGTGGGGCTTGCAGTAGTTTGAATAGCCAAGTTCGAGAGTAACCTCGTCGACGAACTGGCTGGTTGAATATGCGGCTTCGCTTCCAGATTCAATAGCAGAGTGTTGTGGATGACTTAAGATGACAGTATACTTCCCTTCCGTTTCGTTTCGTTCGCTGCTGAAGTCTGACCATATGACCCCTCCCACCTTAATCGAAGGTTTCTGGAAATTAGTCATCTCCTCAAGCTCTTGGCCTTGTCGCCGAGATTCAAAGTCTCTCTCACAGGCGCTCCCGGATTTTTATCTCGCTCAGCTCGAGACGTCTTGAGTTGGGATTTCAAGCACTCTCTCCCAAGGCCTCCAACTGACGAGTATTGAATGCCATGGGGCCACGTCAATGGCGAAGTGAAAAAAATGAGTCCGAGTCTCGGACCATGTCAGCAAGATTCACAAATGACTTACGTACGAGGAAAAAAACAGAGGTAAAAAAAGATGCAAAAAAAGAGGAAAAAAGAAGAAAGAAAAGAAAATTCGGCCTTCTTCCAAACTGGCGACCTCGTACTCGATGGTGGGACCTTGCTTATTTATCATGGTGGAGTGTCTGGACTCTGCAGGTGCAAGAACCCCGTACCTTGCCAGTACAGAGGAGTAATCCAATTATCCAGGATAATCCTCTTCATAGGATACGTGACTCGGGAGTATTTTTAGTAAATTGGAGAAGGAACCGAAGCCGGACTGTCAAACCCCCACAGAAAATCTGCACATCAGATGTGCCATCACGTGACCACACAAAAGGCTCTGATATTTCACAGCTAGCACTGGCCAGCTTTATCATCAGAACGAGAAGGCTGCGTCCTCCGGAATCGAAAATGCAGAAAAAGAACCCCTATACGAGGAATCCTTCTTGGTGGATCTCGTCTGTCGTGGACGGATTTTAGACATAAGCTCTGAAGAAGTCCCAAAGCTTCGATATAGAATTCTGATTATTATTAGCAACGTGTACCTGGCTAAATAGTGGATTTCTATCGATATCGAAGATATAGGCGGCACGCTTCGGCGCGCGGCGACAATTAGACGGCTGACAGTCTGGGAACCGGAAATGAAAGGAGTGAAAGGACGTGGAGAGCTCGTGAGTGACGAAATCCTTATAGGCTCATGTTCACCGTCTCCCCTCTGTAGGCTCTGTACTAAATGTTCTTGAGGCTGGCGGAGCTTCGTTACTTCGTATACCTAGTAACAAGACTCTTCCTTGTTGTAGAAAAACGACGAGATCCACAGTTCCACTTACCGCAATTCCCGTACTCTCATGCTTGGCAGGTACGCAACTCATCGGGTTGTTTTTGTGATGACAAGATCTTTAAGTTTGGTGCAGCGAGCGCGTCCTCTGTTTAGGGGTTCCCAAGAAGACGCGCGATTCCCTCGAGATGTTCAGCCCACGATGTGGCATGTTGGGCATCTTCAGTGCCGGAAAAGAACGGCTGACGTTGTGCTCATTTAACGTGACTTTGATCTAGATGGCGATCGGCCAATGGGAGCTCGCAGAGATAGACACTGATCGCCCGAGGCTTGAACCTTGGGATCGCGTACGCCCCGGCCAGTCTTGCTATGCAAAACTTTCTTTCAACGCGGTGGTCGAGAGCTTCCAGATTCAAGCAATGTGGAAGTTCCATAGCTAAAGGCTGCAGCTATTGACATTAGCGGATAAGTGACATAATATGTCAATATTATGATGCCGCATTGGAGGGAATGCGAGTCAAGGTGACTACAATCCCACTCCAAGTCCAATACTCCTCGCAACCAAAACAAAACAAAAATGTAAACAAACTCATGACAACAGCTTTCGCGCCCCAATTCGGCCTCTCTCTGTCTCCCACTCAGCTGCGGTTTTGCACACAAAACCTCTGTATTTCATAGATCTCACTCTCACACACACACTCTCTCTCTTTGACTTTTCTTTGGCGCACGAGCTGTCAGGTATGATCCTCTCCCCAGCACCAATGGCGATCCTCTTGCTGTCAGCAACTCGCGAGTTTGTACTACCTGACACGGCCCCATATCTTCCACGCGATTGTGGTGGCTAAACATGCCTTGGCCCGTACCGGCAATTTGGTGTTGCTGCTAGGATCTCTGGACAGCCAATGATGCAATCTTATACTCTGGAATATAGCCTTGATTCAGGGAAGTCTCAAACCCCGCAGGCAGTGAAGCCCGGCTCTCCGGCTGCAGCTAGGTACGATCTTGGAATACGCGACTATCTCGCGTTGAAGCTGGGCCGGGGCAACAAGTATAGAAACTTATACGTATTCCCCCCTCCCCATTCTCAAGCTCTTCGTGTCTCCTTCTTTCTTGTTGGCCCAAATTCCTTCACCCCCAATACTTCATTCTTTGATCTCTTTCATTCAGACCATATTTCTTCCAGAAACTTATACTCTGATTCATTCTCCATCATTCGTCATTCTCTTGCTCGGTTTTATATAAACAAATCCACACCAACATCCACGAGGAAGAACCCCGCCGTGTTGAAGACCATATTTGAAGACCATATCCAGATTACTGGAGGAATTTGACAGATATCATAATTTACCCGACATCGCCAGCGGCACCATCAGATATTTTCTTTCGTCAAGTTGAATCGTCACGCGCTTTCTGTCTTTCCCTCACACTGCAAATACCCGAATGATATCCATGTCGACGGAATTAAGCAGCCTCGTCTCAAACATACCAGGCTGCAACCAACTCAACGACCACCGCTTGTGAAATCTGAAGGATTGTTCAGATAAACCTAATAGAAATTGGTTGAGAGTGTACGGGGGAATTGTGGGACGAGTCGATATAAGGAAAAACACAACATCTGCCCAAGGAGGATTGGTACCACTGGTGGAACTAAAATAGAGGTGGAAGGTTCTCGTTGAGAGAATCAAGACTGAGTCTTTGAAAGACGGTGTGGCCATTGACGGGTCTTATGGGAATTTGGTATTGGTCGAAGGTTCAAGACATTGTTTGCTTTTCGTCGCTCGTTTGAGCCCACGACGCCATACCCGAAGGACTGGCTCCGGAAAACCTTATACGCCCACTTCCCGCTCTTGGCTTCGTCCTACACGCCTTGAATCGGTTGCATTATTCTCTTCGATAAGAGGCGCGATGGGAGCCTCGAAAGAAATGTCTCTCGTGTTTGGGACGGTGGCGGCCGCGAGTGATACTGCCGTGGTTATTCTAAATATCATCTTTGCCGTTACACTGTTTCAATCACCATCGCCAGCGAGTACGAGGGCGACATCAATCGTTGCATCAGGGATCAGTTCGGTGTCTATGATTTCAGCAATAGCGTTGCTGATCATGCAGATTAGGCATCGGAATGGAGCGCATATCCAGGATTATGAACATGGAAAACAACACAGATATCTCCTGGCTGGGTTTACAGGAGTCTTTTGCATTCTATCGGGTGTGACCTCAGCAATGGTGCTAGGGTTTATGAGCACCAGGCTTTCGGATATTCCCAAAAGAATTGTTCTTTCATCGACGAAGAGTATGATAATCGGGGGATTCATTGTATGGGCAATCTCGTTGATATCGCAAGCGATATTTGTGATATTGACGGTGATCATCCAGCGAAGGGATTCCCAACAGCAAACACAACCTTACCGTGCGGAGCCGGAACCGCACAGCATGTCGGAAATACAAGAGGTGATGAGACCACGAGCGCAAAGCGACCAAGTGTACCGAGAGACAGATTCCATGGACTTGAGATCCCCGTTATCATTGAGGGAGAGATCGCGTTCTGGCTCGTACACAGTGTCCTCGTTCCAATCTTCGCTGAACCATGTGGTCCGGCCAGTAACGTCCAAAACCAGGCTCATAACTCCCAAGATGCCACGTCGACCGGCGTCTCTTGATTTCAGTGGTCGAGATGCGAGAGGGTCCATGGATGATGGATTCGATTCTTGGGATACTTCGACCGTGGATGCCCAATCACGGCAGGCAGTAGAATCACTCTCACCAAAACCTGCAAGACTGCTAGGAACAATCCCAGCCAGCCCTTCAGCAAGCAGGAGTCCGAGCCCAGGTTATCCGCTAGATCTTGATCTAAAGCCTCCGAAACAGCGACAGAGGAGTCGCAGTGGGCCTGCGAATAGTCACAGGGATCGTTCCAGAACAGTAACATCAAGCTCAAGTGAAAGTATGAGCGAGGCTCACATCCACCCCCTTTTCAGGACAGATTCACCTACACCTCCTCCACCCATCACACCCGGTACGATGGTCATAGCCGCACCTGGTGCAGGGTCAGTGATCTCAGATCGTTCGAGCATTCGATCCGTCCGAATGCGGAATGGCAGTCTGCCTTCGAGCCCCCTCATACATAGTAAGAGCATGGAGAGCATGCGAGGGGCCATCGAAAAGGAGGAAAGACCTTTTAACCTAGAGGAGATCGTGGGGGAGCGGAAGATGACGCCGCCGATTCCTGACTGGATTATGACCGCGGGTATGAGAAGTAGCATGACGGGATACAACTCTAGGAAGAAGACGCAGATGGGATTGGGCAAGGTTGGAGAGGATGGGGATGCATAGGTTTCTTACCAGGCCCACGGCCAGACGAATTTCCTTGATCATGTTTGAATAGATACCACTGATGTTAGCGCGGCGCTGGGTTTTGTAGCAAATATACCTGAATAATGCAAGAAAGCAACTAAGCACTTCAAAGCCAACAGCTGGTGAATCCGATGCCTCTCGATGCAATAAGCGCAACGGTATTATAGATGGTCGTTCTGGTCATATAGGCAAGTTGACAAGGCTGACCGTCTGCCGACCCCGCATATTGACTGACCAAGTCTTAAGAGAGGCTGGACACTTGCGCCTTCAATCTCCTGCCTCAGCATCGACAACGAGAGGCGTCCAGGCCAGAGCCAACAAGGGATAATAAAATGCGTAGAGCAGAGCAGGTAGATGTCAGAAGTAAATGGAGAATGCTGGACTGATGGAACCGCGTGTTCATGGTGACCTGGACCGCTAGCGCCCTTTATTTAGACGAGCTTTTATAAGATCCGCCACTTCTACGGAGGGGAGATACCGTCGGCCTTGTTATTCTTCATGCCCTGGCCACAACCAACACAACCAACCCCCTCCACCACATAACAGAACAGAACATCCATCTGAAGAAATCGGCAGAGAATACATCTGCCCGAGATATCGTCCATTTCATCAACCTTGCCGAGCGCCCCAGGCACAGTCTCTCCTCTGACCAGTGTCGCAGCACTCAAGCTGTGAATCCGCCAAGATGCGCTTGACCTTCAAGGTGGGAATGCCCCCATCACGTCCTGCTACATATGCCGGCAGAGCTGGTTCGCATGCTGACGGCGCCCTTAGGATCTGAAACAGCAGAAGTTCGTGATTGAGGCCGAACCCACAGAGCTCGTACGTCCACCTTCATTCCTCGACTTGCAATCTGTTGCGCCACTATCGACCAACAAACCCCTGAGGAAGCGACGAATATCTGCTAATATCAAGCTCATATAGATCTCTGATGTGAAGGAGAAGATCTCAAAGGAGAAGGGATGGGAGGCTTCTCAGCAGAAGTTGATTTACTCTGGTACGTGCCATGCCATCTGGCCTGGAAGAGCAACCTGCTCATCAACCATTAGGCAAGATCCTCCAAGATGCCAATACCGTTGAGTCCTACAAGATCGAGGAGAAGGGCTTCATTGTTTGCATGGTATCGAAGGTACGTTCCTGACTGTACCCCATCTTCTATTAGACTTCTAACAATTATCTAGCCCAAAGCAGCTCCAGCTGCGGCTGCCTCTTCTTCGAAAACCCCTTCCACCCCCACCCCAGCTACATCGGCCACTCCTGCCCCTCCAGCGGCTCCCTCACAATCAAATACATCCGTAAATGCCGTTCCCGCTACACCTTCACCTGCTGGTAGTGGTGCTGCGACAGCCGCTACTCCCGCTACCCCAGCTTTCAATGAAAGCTCTGGTCTGGCTATGGGCGCAGAGCGAGCTGCACAAATCGCAGAGATGGAGGCCATGGGTTTCGAGAGATCTCAAATCGAACTTGCTATGCGTGCTGCTTTCTACAACTCAGAGCGTGCGATTGAATACCTCTTGACCGTAAGCCAGTGACTTCACTCTGAGACACACAAGCTAACTATTTAGGGAATTCCCGAAAACCTGCAGCATGAAGGCAGATCAGCTGCACCAGCCCAAGGCTCTCCAACGCCTGCCCCCGAAGGTGGTGAGGAGCCAGTTAATCTGTTCGAGGCCGCAGCCCAGGCTGGTACAGGTGGACGTGGTGGTGCTGCTCGCGGCGGCGCCGGCGCCGGAGGAGCTGATCTTTTTGGAGCTGGTGGTGCAGGAACGCCTGCTGGAGGTTTGGGAAACCTCGACTTCCTCCGAAATAATCCACAATTCCAGCAACTCCGACAAGTTGTTCAACAGAACCCTCAAATGCTCGAGCCCATCCTACAACAAGTTGGCGCTGGGAATCCACAGTTGGCTGCTCTTATCGGACAACACCCTGAGCAGTTCCTACAACTTTTAAGTGAGGATGGTGACAATGATGCGCCACTTCCACCAGGAGCTCAGGCCATCAGCGTCACTGAGGAAGAACGTGAAGCTATTGAAAGAGTAAGTCATCCGTGACCTATGGAATTCCCCTGCTCATCAAATTAGTTATGCCGCCTGGGTTTCCCTCGAGACCAAGCCATCCAAGCCTACTTCGCCTGTGATAAGAACGAAGAGCTGGCCGCCAACTTTCTCTTTGAGCAACCGGAGGACGAAGAATAAGTCTCGACATCACCAATTTCGAATCCTCTCTTTTTTCCCACCGCGATCTCCAACCCAAGGGTTTTCCTAGTCTGCAAGGAGCCAGAAAACACACATGTAAACTGCGCATCTTTGCTTGGCTCTTTATTCATGCCGATTCACGGATTCGACTACACGCAAGGGTGGATCACTTCATGCATATTATCTCCCCATGGAAAGGATGGCGTGTAAATGGTATGGATTACTGGTACATGTGACTTATGAGCCAGGATATCTGTGCGTGATTTCGTAATGGAGAATTCAAGATAATTGAATTAAAATCATGACCTGGCAAGATTGTGAGCTGCATCATTTGCTAATAATTCTCAAACTTAAATATCATATGGTCTTGAATTTCTGCAGATAGAGTGAAGGAACCCCCCGTAGAGCAGCATAGCTGGGCAAGGCTGAAAGGTGGCGAACCCCACCAGCCGAAGCCTCGCGACCTCAAGGACTGCTTTTCTTTCCACACCAGAAATCTGTCCTCTCTACCAGCTGAATTACCTTTTAAGCCGCAGCTAAATCATCAACTTGGCATATTTGAAGCTCTATCTACCCCTCCCAACGCCTCTGCCATAATGCATGCATAATCGTAAAACATAGGAAATCCCCGAAGCGTGAACGAACAGCACTCGAACGACGCCACAATGCATCTTCCACTCCTCCCTACTCTCCTAGGCCTCCTGGCGCTCACCGGCTCCAGCAGCGCAGGCAGAAACCCCAGGATTCCCAAGGATGCGATTCTGCTCTCGAACGTGAAATCGCTGACTCTACGCGCCGATGCAAAAACCGCTCATCGACGTCTCCCTGCCATCCCACAGTACGTGCCTCCCATGATCCGCGCTCCCAGTCCGCGGTCCTCTCTACCCGGTTTCCATTCGCAGCAATGTATCCGTTACTAACCAGTTCTTCTTCTTCTAGATTGAAATGTAAGGGCCCGGGCTGCAAATACTACAAGGTGGATGTGATGCGCTGTACGAACCAAGGCTCGGATTACGATGACGAAGACGTACAATGGAGCTGCGTGGCCAGCCTGCCGCCCGAGTTCAAACTCGGCAGCACAGACGTGATGTGCGAGGGCTATGATTCTGCAGACGACCCGCGGGTGCTGAAGGGGAGCTGCGGTGTGGAGTATCGTCTGCTACTCACGGAGAAGGGCGAGGAGAGATATGGTTCCGGCGACTGGTTCTCTTCTTCCCCGTCGGGGGAGGCCTGGGCTGGCTATCTCTTCGCACTGGTTTTCTTGGCCGTGTTGGCTTGGATTCTATATTCTATGTTTGTGGGCTATCGAAATAATGTACAGCGTCGGCCCGCGCCTAGAGGTGGCAGATGGGGTGGTGGATGGGGAGGAGATGATAATGATGATCCGCCGCCTCCGTATCCGGGAACGTCCCCTTATCCTGGGAAGACGTATAGGGGCGGGGCGGGGAATGCAGGCCAAGGGGGTTGGGGCCCTGGCTTTTTGGCTGGGGCGCTCGGAGGCGCGGCTGCGGGATATCTGGCGGGCAGTCGAAGGGGAGGGAGACAAATGCAGCCAGAGGTTCCTCGTGGTGGTGGATGGGGTGGAGGCTATGATGGTGGTGGGTTTACAAGGACGGGCTCAAGTGGGAGTTCTTCGAGTTCGGGAAGCAGTGCTAGGTATGAGAGTACGGGTTTTGGTTCGACGATTAGAAGATAAGTGCTTGCAGACACAGGATATAGAGTTTGGAGTGCACGAAGAGATGGTAGCATTTTTAATTGGTATATTCTAATTCTACAAGACACTATAGCCAACGCTATTGGGGCAATCCAGCGGGAATGTCCCAGCGTGTCTGACGGAAAAGTAAAGGGGACGCCCTATGAGAGCTTGCCGTCGAGGAGTGGTAAAAGAGAATCTCATCGTATTCGAGCCGTGCAGAAAGCCATTGCCCACCCTCCTATACAATCATACACAACCATACCGTCTTTGGAAACGCCTCTTGAGAAAATCCAACAAACCCAGATAGCAACGCCAGCGTAGACTCTAATCACATGTGGGCAGTCATTACGTCCATTTTGTCGAAAGCCTTCGCGCAATTGGGGCACTTTCGCATGCGGTTCGCAATGCGGTCTTCGACACAGTTGTTGCAGAAGAGATGTCCGCAGGTCTTGAGAATAGTATTCTTGAAATCCTTCCGACAGATGGTGCAGAGTGCAAGAGTCTAGACGGGTTAGCCATGTCTCTAGAACCATAGAACGGGAAACATACTCTAAGCATTTCTTCTTCCCCTGATTGGTTACTCAGACTCTTTGCCTTCCAGGTATCTCTGTCCTTTTGCGTTTGTTCATACCGCGCACGAAGTTGCTCCAATTCTTGCTCCATTGATTGAATTCGTTGCTTATTGCTCGAGTAACTTGCATCCTTGGACTTCAGCAAATTGGTGAGCTCCGCAACTTGATTCTTTAGGGTTTCGCATTTGCTGGTTGCTTCTCTGGTCGTCGTCTCCAACTTCTTGTTCTCTGTCATGACTGTAGTGTTTGATTGTCTCATATCGCTCAATTGCTTCTCGAGGTTGCTGAGCAGAGTCCGGTTCGAGGTCTCAACATCCTTTAATTGTGCAATGATCTCCGAACTCTTCGCATTTTGGGCCCTTAATGCTCGCACTTCGCCAATACGGGTATCCATATCCTTCCGCGCCGCGAAATACTTTTGATCCGCCTTGGACTTTTCTGCTGAAAGAACCTGAACCTTCTCCTCGAGAGCAGAAAAGTCCATAACTTTCTTGGTCGACAAAGCTTGCACTCTCTTGTATGCGCCTTGAAGAGCTGGCAGTTCTTTATTGATAGATTCGAGCTCTCGCTCCATAGTCTCGTACTTCCTTCGTAATTGTTCCATGTCCAGAGCATCTATTTCCGGTCGAGGGGTTGGTTCGCATGCTTGCTCTTCAACTCGAGATCGCAGACGTTCGACTTCAAGTTCCAAGGCTGTAATGCGGTCCTCTTTTGCGCCCAAGAGCTCTTTGAGATGTTCAGTCGCAGTATGATCCTGGTCTTGGGTGGCCTTCCGCATGCCAACTTCGGCAATCAATTCATCCCGGGCAGATCGGATTCTGGTAAGGTCAGCATCGACGCGTTGTAACTGGCTTTCCAATTCGCCCGTAAGGATATCGGATTCGTTCTCGATTTGCGTTCGGTAGGCTGTCCGCTCGGCTTGGTACTTTTCTGCCTCCTCCCGCAATTGAATGTTTGTCGCCTCGAGATGGTTAATTCTTCTGATGACATCCTCGTGTTGGATTCGAAATTGTTTGAAGAGTTCCGTCCGTGCATAATCGTCTTCATTCAAACTAGCGAGTCTCGTCGTGGCTGCCGTAAGCTGCTCTGTCAGGCTTTTATTCTCTGCCGTTACCGCCTCAAGCTGCTCTTTTTGCTTAGCGACAACTGCAGCAGCCTCTTTGTACGCAGTTTGAGACGCGGCGCTCTCCTCCTCGACACCATTGGCCATCTCGACATCTCCATTTTCGACTCCACCAATACCACTACCAGCACTGTTGCCTGTACCTGCAATGGCTTGTTGTTCTAACTTTGCGACGGCTGAGCTTTTGGCTCTATCTAGTCGCTTCTCCGCCTTGATATATCGTAGAGAAGCGGTTTCCAGTCGCTCGCTGAGCTCCTCTTTTTCTGTCCGCAACTTATCAAGCTTAACCATATACTCTTTCTGGGAAGCTAATAGCTTGGCGATCTTTTCTTGAAGGTCCTGGACATCTGGCGAGGACTTGCCACGGGACCCAGCGAGATTCGTGAAGAGGGAGGTAAGCTTTGACTTAATCTCTTTCCCTTTTGATTGAAGGTGTTCCGAAAAATCCTCGCTACCCTTGAAATGTAGTGATGTGGTGAACGTTACTGCCCATCGTTAGATGATGCGAGTCGAACAATGGTGGGGAGGGGGGATACTGACTATCGGCATCTGATTCGGGGACCTTGTCTTCTCCGAGCAGTCGGACCTCGTCCAGTAACTGGATCTGTCAGCTCTTGTCAAGGTGTACGTGGCAGTACGAATTACCTGCGACCACCAAGCATCGATAACACGTAAGTGATTATCATGATCAACCGATCTTTTTTGGACGTCTCTCAACTGTGACTCCAACGTGGCCTTCTCGCGCTTATACTCAAGCATCTGACGATAGATCGCATCCTTTTGATAGTTCTGCAACATGACTTGTCAGCATGCCACCCCTTATTTGATTGCTCTCGAGGAAACGTGTGTGGAATTTGGGGACGAGACATTGTGGTATGCTGATGCTGTTGAAACATAAGGTCTGCAGGCTAAGCACGCTGTCGACAGCAGGCTGCGCATTAGCACCAGCCACAGATATCACGAAGCAACATCCAATGATCAGATGGAGCTGAGAGATCATGAAGAAAATGAAAACTTGCTGGGGGCGTCGATAATAATGGAAAATGTTTTGATGCCGTGACGCGGACTCACCTCAAGGTCCTTTGCCCATGGAAGGTCGGAATCAGCTGAGTTCCTGCTACCATTGACAGCCTGTCTCTTTGTCGGAGGCGCGAGGTCATCCTGAGCGGCTGATCTCTTCCTATCCTCCATTTTAATGAAGGACGGTTGAGACACAGCGGGAGCCGCAACAGGGGACATTCAGACTGTGAGGGCCGTATGGCACATAAATATGCGGCGGATATTGAGGTGGTAATAGAGGCGCTGCAGCGATTGCGGTGATTCTGGAAGTTGCGGGGTTGAAGAATGGTGGCGATTTGTTGTTGCGAAGATACTTGACATGAAGTTGAAAGGGGAGTTGACGAAGGAAGAATTTGGGAAGAACCACGCTAGCTTCGTTAGGCTAGGTCGGCTACACGCGCCTAATTTTAGCCGCAATCGATATCGTCGAGCCCGCATTTTATTTTCAAGGATTTTTGATTTCTGATCTAGCATTCCAGCCACACCTCCCACCTACGACACTAATTCGACGAAAACCCATTCTTACTACACGGCAGCATGCAATGAAAAAGCATAAACCACCATAATGAGTTTAAGGATCAAGAAAGGATCAAAGGTCTGGGGCCCAAAGGCCCCGGTAGTCAGACGACCAGGCGGGGTTCCATCGGTGTCATCATCAGCACGGCCCAGTGTCGAACGTCAATCACAAACTCCAGGTCCAGTTCCGAAACCTGCAGAGATACTTACTGTATCTAACGTCGAACAAGCAGTCTCGGAACAGACCTTGATTGTTGAGCCTAGCACCACTACCGGGCCCAATGACCCCGCACCTACTGAACCATCCGCCGTCGTTATAGACACCAACTCAAATGTGCAAAACAAAAACACAACAGTCACACAAGGAACGAAGGAATTGAAAAGGACGGAGCGTACAGAAGAGGAAACCATTCATATATCTGCAAAGCGGACAAGAATAGAAGCACCAATCCCCCCTCAATCACAGCCAGTGAACCGGCATTCAGTTGAACCTCTTTCCTCTGATTCTTCCAGTCAATCACAGACACCAAATTTACCTTCCCAGACATCGTCCACTGATACTGTCGCTCAACCTCAAACATTAAATCAATCAGTCCTCCCATCCTCCTCGGATTCTTCTGCTAAAGACCCGAAACCGAATCATTCGGTACAACAACCCTCCCCTGATCCTGTCGCCCAATTTCCCAAACCGATTCAACCAGTTCTCCCATCGCCTCCTCATTCTTCTCCTGAAGACCAGACACCGAATAAACCGACACAGCCGTCCTCCAGTTCTTCCGATAGACCACTGGCAGCGAGCCCACAAGCCACCCAAACATCGTCAACTCCATTTCCTAGTCAATCAGAGGCATCAGCGGCCGAAACACAAAGCTTTGAAGATGGAGGAGTATCCAGGCCAGTTCTCGAAACCAGACAAGACATTGCATCGAGTATATATCCAGATCCAGAGCTCAGTTCTGGCCTCGGCCCAGCAGGAAGTATTCCTTCTACCGCCAGTGGAATACCGCAAAGTGTTGGGCTTGGTGCAGCAGGGGAGGAAGGATCAACTGCCACACAGATAGCACAAGCGCCTCAGATCGTTACAACAGCGGCGCTAGATTCCGAAGCAACCCCAGTTGATGCTGCCGAAGAGCCAGCTGCCGGAACCAAGAAGAAGGTTGTCAGACGTAAGAAGGTACAGCCAGCTGCAGAAGAAGATGATGATGTTAGGGCTACGATTGAGATGCAACTCAACAGACCGCGGCGTATCGCCGGTGCAAAGCGAACTCGTAAAAAGAAAGAGGACAAAGACAAACCGAAGGGCAGGCGCGGTATGACGCCTGAAGGTGCTGAACAGGAACAGATCAATCCCAGTACCATGAAAATGGCCGACTTATGCAGGGACATAAGAATCGGTGTCAAATCAAGCAACCACGACATGATTAAGAGGAGAATCATGGAGAAGAAAACCAGAGCTAAACTAGCCAAAACCAATCCTGAGCTTATACCAGTCGTCGAAAGCACAGAGCCAGCAGCAGAACAGGCCGAAGAGCCCGTGAGTTCTGCCCCTAACGGTCCACGAATGAGGATCGTTGATGGCCAAATCGTACTCGCCGAGAGTTCCCTCCAACTCGATCGTCACAAGCGCGCAGAAGCTGAAAGCGAAGTCATGTTAGAAGTTGAAGAAAACGAATTCTCGCATATGACTACGTCCGGGTCATACATGAAGCGGGAACGAACACAAGCGTGGGACGACGTTGACAACGCGACTTTCTACCAGGGTCTTGCGCAGTTCGGCACCGATTTCGAGACGATAGCTAAGCTATTCCCGTCCCGCAGCCGAAGGCAGATCAAGTTGAAGTTCAACAACGAAGAGAGGAAGAATCCGTTGAAGATAAACCAGATCCTCATGGGCAAGCCGCAGAGCATTGATCTCGTGGGTTTCGAAGAGATGAGCGGCTTGAAGCTGGAGACCGTGGAAATGATTGAACGGGAGAGGGCGGAGCTTGCAGCGGAACAGGAACGGGAGGTGCAGGCTAGGGAGAGGGAGAAAAGCGAAGCGGAGCTCAAGAAGAAAAAGGATATTGCGGATAGGAGTGCTGCTGCGAGGAAACTTTTGAACGGGGTGGACGATGACCTGGGAGCGGAGCTCGGAGATGGTAGTGGTAAAGAGAATCTGAATGGGCGGAAGAAGAAAGGCAAAGGAAGGAATAGGAATCCGCATGGCAGGGGTGATGGTGGAGAAGAGATCCAGGTTTTGGGTACCGTTGAGTAAGGGTCAATTACTCGTGAGGTTTAGAATTGCGTCTACAAAGACCGGAACGGCGTACAAAAAGGCGAGGACAGCTTCAGATAGACATAGAGCTGCGGATATACCCAATGATTGATTTCAAACCCCCCTTCATTCCATCATGATGAATTAAATCATCCATCCACCTATATACTCGCTTCGGGATTCTCCTGATCAGCAGCTTAATCTTCCTTGATCAAAGCCTCAAAGAGTGGCCCAATTATCTTCGCGCTCTTTTTTGGGTACCTCTTCTGACCGCCCTCATAATCCACAAAGGTAACACCAAATCTAGTCTCATAGCCATCAGCCCACTCAAAGTTATCCATCAAGCTCCACGCCATATAGCCTCTGACATCCACCCCATCCTCACTGACGGCTTTCGCCAACGCATCGATATAGCCCCTGAAATACTCAGCGCGGAACTCATCATCCAGGATCTGCTCACGGGGCAGATCATTCTCGCCTTTGACCGAGGTGCCGTTCTCCGTGCAGTAGATCTTGGGGTTGCCATAACGTTTGGATATCCAGACGAGCAGGTCCCGGAAGCCTTGGGGGTTGGGACGCAGCCAGGAGGATTGCGTCTCGGGGCCGATGCTGGTGCCGGATTTGCTGGTGAAGAGGGTCTCGAGGTTGCCAAGGAAGTCGGCCGGGTCGGGTGCGCTGGTCTTGTGCCGGATGTAGTTGGCAGTGTAGTGGTTCATACCGTAGAAGTCGTTACTGCCCTGGACAAGCGCGGCTTCTTCAGGTGTGAAGGTTGGCAGCCGTTCGCCAAGTTGTTGGATCATGGACTCGGGGTAGCGGCCGTAGTAGATGGGGTCGGCGAACCAGGAGATGCTGAATTCGAGTTTACGTTCGGCAGCTTCAATATCAAGGGGATCTTCGGGGTCCCAGGGATAGACAGCGTCGCCTTGGGTTTCCTTGTTAGGCCTGTGCTTTGAAAGGGAAGCGGGGTTCTTACCGTTCAGGGTGATGCCAATTTCTCCGCCATCTTTGGTCTTGAACTCCTCTCTGTAGATTTTCACCGCTGTTGCATGAGCCAGGAGCAGATTATGCCCAACTATCCAACACTCACGGCTACTATCCCCCACAGGACTTTTTGTTCGGTCACTAGTACGTCCAGGAGCAAAAACCCCAACATTATATCCCAAAATGGAGGAACACCATGGCTCATTGAAAGTAATCCAATGCTTGACCTTTGGCATGGCTTCGAACATGGTCCTTGCATAATGGGCATAATCTGCCACAAATTCCTCCTTGTTCAATAACCCACCATATCTCTTGTCTAAGCCATCAGGTAAATCCCAATGGAACAGTGTCACAAGCGGTACGATTCCCTCAGCCAGCAAATCGTCCACGAATTTCTTGTAAAAAGCAATTCCTGCAGGGTTGACAGGATCATTCCTCCCACCAATTGGAATAATTCGGGACCAGGAGATCGAGAACCTGTATGCTCTCGCCCCAGTACTCTTGAGGAGTGCGATATCTTCCGCCGTGCGGTGGTAGGAATCGCAAGCTACATCCCCTGAGGAGCCATCGGCTATTTTGCTGGGTATTTTGCAAAATTCATCCCAGATGGAGGGCCCTCTTCCATCTTCTGTTGGGGCTCCTTCTATTTGGTAACTATGGATGTCAGCATGGAACGGATAAAATGCTGGTAAAGCTCACCTGGCGGTTGCGAAGCCCCAGAGGAAATCTTTTGGGAGGACTGCCTTCGTCATCATGTTTTGTATGTTTCTATTCCGGGGAATTCAATTGGGATCTTTAAGAATCAGGCTCAGAGGAAGGAGCTGATACATATAGGTGAGCTGCAACATTAGCCTGAATAGATATAGAGAAGAAAACCATATAGCAAAGGCAGCTTGCATGCGGACCTTGGAGACCGGATCATATCGTATCCCCATTAAGACGCGCGACAGATGTTCCGAACATATTTATGGAGTATAGCCCCGCCATACTACATGGCGGGGTTGATATTGCTTTTGCTTGCGGTAGCACCCTGGACTGGATGGGCTTCTTCGGAACGAGATCAGCGACGGGGGAACGTCGGCAGAGTTTCCATCACGTGCCCAGATATTAATGTCGTGAGATGTCAGCAACCAGCTTCACTTGTTCACATGAAGTATCTTGATGTGGGACGTCAACTACGAGGCCCAACTCATTCCTGGTTGAGGCGGAGTAAGTATCTCGTGCAGTGAAGTATCAAACTGCCTCAACAGCCTTCTCTAGATCACGTCGCGTCGGTGACGAGAGAAGTTTGGCATCATCAGATCTCAAATGATTATCGGAATGTTCGACAACTGAGTCATGGCCAAAAGGAAATATGCGTACAGCACGTGCCCAAAATATTCTTCCAAGTTTCAGTTGATGGAGGGTATGCAAATCAAAGTCAACAAGGCCCGACGAGGTAACAAATGGCTACCCGGCTCCATTCGAAGTATAGCTGTAGTTTTGGGGTGCAGCGTCGAGTTCCTTTCTACCCATTAAGGATACCCTGGAGTCCAACTCCATTGCCCCATCTAGTCAGATAGTTGGCAAACACCGAGAAGTCCACTCTCTCATAGGTATTTGAAAGAATAGTAAGATATGAAGGGAAACTAAAATGAGATGCAACGATGCTCAAGTTGGCGTTTTGTATAAATAACAGTGTAATATTTAGAAAACAAATGACGATCGATATAAATTCTGTGCAGTACAATAGTTATTACATATACTTTAGACTCTAATCCCAAGTGCAGAAATGCACATCTTACCGGCCCCGAGTTTACCTCTAACACCATTCCCCATTGATCAACGTTCTCTGTATGATATTAGCCAGTCTCTTTGCTCAGAGCGCACCTTTCATGGTTGCATCAGCACCAACATGCTCATCCTCATCATCCACTCCCAACTTCCTCTTGCCCGCACTTGCAGGTCTCTGGCCCTCTATTTCCCGTCCAGTGTCATGTGATGCAGAACCAGAAGCGTCGTCACCACCCCACTCGACTACCTCCCACTCCACTGACCATCGCCCACTGCGTCTGGCTCCCAACGATCTCCGCATCTTTCCTAGCCTCGACCCGGAAACCATACTCTCAAACCACGGAACTCCCTCATCCACCTCAGCTGTCTCACCTCCGCCCTCTAATTCATGTGTCCCTTCTGGCAACAGACCCAACTCTTCTAAGTCCCGTAGATCATCCTCCAGTAAGCTGCCTAGCGTTAAAGATATAAAGTTGCTTTCCTCCCGTGGACTCTCGGACCAGTATGTCAGGGGAGTGCCACAGAAACCACAGAATTGGCGCAACGAAGAGGGATCGCTAGGCGAGGTGTACACGCGCCGAATGGCACGCGCCGACTCGTCGGGGAAGTACGAGTGCGTGGTAGATGAATACCATGTGAGAGGGATGCGAAGGTAGGTAGGAAGCGGGTTGGAAAGGGCGTGTCCTGTAGGTACGTTGTCAGTTGCGTTTCTGGGTGAGGGGCAAGGGGTCAGAGAACAATAACAGGGAATTGAGGGGAGAGAAGGAGGGGAGGAGATGGCCAACACATACGGTGAGCATGGCTATTGTCATAAAATACCTGCGCGACTCCGGTAGAGTCGGGAGGGATCTGGATTGTGTATCTATTTCGGCCGCAGGCGCAAGAGCCAAAGAGGGGGCGTTGGCGACTCATTGTGCAATTTTATGACTGACTTGCAGACATGGAAATAGAATTGAGTGGATTGGGAAAAGGGAGACGTGGAAGTCTGAGAATGAGACAGAAACTTCGGAAGCAGATTGAGATGAATTGAGATCGAGGTCGAGGTGGAGTGGTTGTGGTGTTGGGGTGGGGTGTGACGTATCAAGTTCCATAGAGCCAGGACTTGTGATTGGTGGCGAGGGTAAGACAGCACTTGAGTGGCGGCCAGCTTCTCACTTCTTATCATTATCAGTGAATTGAAATTGAGCGCTGGATGTGAGAGCTTACCATGTCTTTGGATTTGGATGCAGTAAATGATCCAAATGAATCGAGTGATTCAGAGAAGTCAGCTGAGTTGCTGTCCCGCTCCGTCAAGTGAAGCACCATATCCTCGCAAGCACCACTGAGGACCCTCTCGTTTATCTATGAGCTTTTACCATCCTTTTTCAGTTCCAACCATTGCCACGTTGGCGCATGGAGATGCATAACGTCTCTGTTCATACATCTCTGAAGCTCTGTTGCTGGCAAGAGTGTTGGAGGCCGTGGCATCATCGCTCCCCTGGCATCAGTCGCAGACATTAATAACCCATCTCAAAGATGATTTTCCTGTAAAAACAGTTTGCCTATACAGGAGACTATCATGATTTTGGAATTGAGCGTTCCTGATTTAGTACCTGCTTCGTGAAGTATACGGAGGAGGTGCTACGTCAAAAATCCCAAAGTAATCGCGCCCCTAGCAAATCTGATAGATCACCTCGCAAGATCATCTAATGGTTGGTGGATTGTTTCCATCCCCCGAGTATGGTACCACGTTGTCTATTGATTTTAGAAGCAGCGGCATGTCTGTGAGATGTTTAACACGTCGTCGCAGCCGAAAAGTTGCAGTTGCAGGACAGTTTGGCTGAGGAGCGAGTAGCCAGGACGTATGGGCACGTTGAAATAACCTAGGAGGCCTGTGATTTGTGACGCGTGCGATATCGTATAGGCATCTGTGATCCTCCCTTGAACCTCCTAGAGAACATGGTGCTAGTGATAAGTTTCCAATGGGACGTTGTACTGGAAATCCTGTTGTGTGTGCCATGGGGGTTTGCTCTTCACTGCCGGCACAGTAATGTGCAACGTAATAGATACCGTCAGTTTGGCCTTCGGGAATTGCGAATGCCGCTATGCCGGCAACGAAAATGAGGGCTTGTGTGGGTTGCATGCCGGAATTGACTGGAGATTGCTGTGTAGTTATTTGGATTTGATCGAAGGTCGGCATGGAGAGAGAAGCTTGTTGGTGGCTCAATGAGTGGCCCGGCAAAAGAAAATGACGATCGATCTGAGTAGAACTTTTATATTACGCTTTCCTGTCTGAATAATTGAGATACAAATATCCCACAGCCTTGTCCAAGCGTTGCGGTTCTTGGTATACAACGTTCTGTTTCGAAATATTTTTTGCTGGTACATACCAGTACTGAAGTAAAATGAGACGGTTTCGAAACTCTGGTGTAGCGCAACAAAGCAAGACTTATAGGTCTTGGGTTCTAAACCTACTTAGTTGGCCTTAGGATTTCGAGAATATTGATTCACAGTTCCTGTGGCAGGTAATTTAGTGACAAAAAGTTCAAGGAGATGCTGCGGTATCTTATAGAAGTCGCGCAATCGACCCACCGTCATGGACTCCATTTAGGACCCAAGAACACAAATTCGCAGTGGCACTATGGGCATGACAAGTGACAAAGGAGGTAATACCTCCTAAATGCCACTCCTAGGGCTCTGTTGTGTCACTTCTGGCCTCAAAACCCATCACTTGTCAACCAGAGCCATACAATTGCCTTCCATGCATAGACCTACCGGGATCTGGCCCCCAAGACGCTTTCTAGATCAGCCATCCTGCAATCGTCGATCCGGATAGACGGCAGGGGACGCTATCATTCAGTGCCTATGCGAACACTGGGCTGCAGCATTGGTCGAAGGAAGCCTTGATGGTGATGGAGTCTTAGGAAAGAAGCGGTGAAGATCCTCATCGCCTAGCCAGGCCTGCGATGTTGTTGGCTGCGACTGATACAGTGCAGAAAGCTGATATGGTGAGCGGTTAGGGAGAGGTCGAAGGAGCCAGTGTTGTTGCTCATCCTGGCGGCGGTGAGAATAATCGACGGCGCAGGATGTGATGCAGAGGATGCGATGCAGAGAATGTGATGTAGAGAATGTGATGCAGAGAATGTGATGCAGGGCCAAGGATGCATCTGAATCTGCTTTTTGAGGAGTGTCGTTCGCCTTGGAAGGGATGATAAGGTTTGCTCTTGACTCGGAGAGACAGCCGCTCGAATCCTGTCCCTTATGCTGTGCTTTTATACCTACCTTACTGTACCGTAGTAACTGTGCTTACCTCTGTATCGTCCAGGTCGAGTCGTTCTGGTGTCATCCTCTGATCAAGTTGCCACGCCTTCCGGATCCAATACCCGCCACGAGCTGCAAGCCATACGGATCGCCATCTTTCGACCAGGTTCAAAGGGACCAAAGCGATTGTTGTGTTAGAACAGTTAGAGGCCCCGAGACGGCCCGCTGCGACCCTCCCGCGGATTATTGGTTTGGAATCATTGTAACGATTGGATCGAAGTCGATCGATCGACGCTGTAGTTTGGTCCGGCAGCGCTAGACCAATCTGGATAATCATTAGTCTCACTTTTGCCCCCAAACTGGAAAAGGGAAAGCCTGCACAGGCCCGGGGTCACGTGGTTCCCCGCATTCCCGTCAGCATTCACGTAGACCCTTCACCAGGGCGCTTTAAAGCTTCAGTCTCCTTGGAGGTCGAGAACCGCCCCCAACTGCCTCCAACCTCAACCCCGAGGCTTCGATCAGCACAAAGGCGAACTTCGTGTTATACCGCAAGTCCGGATCCACTAACTCACATGGCTTCCCCTCCTCCAGCTCCCCCAAGCACGCGGCAGCTGCTGTCATGTACGACCTGCCATAAGAGAAAGGTAAAGGTATATCTCACAGAGCGCTTCCTCGAGACAGGAAGAAGGCTGCTGATAATACCTCAAGTGCGACCGAGTTAAGCCATGTAGAGCGTGCTGCCTTCGCGGTACTCCAGAGCAGTGTCAGTTTAACGGAAACGTAAATGTCCTCAGCCAGGCGGAGGAGATCAGGCGCTTAAGAAAGAAAGTCGTCCTGCTGGAGGAGCAGTTGCGGCTCTCGACCAGCCAGGCACTTCGATCCGGACCACGAGAGCTTATAGCCAAACCGAACCATAGCAAGCTGCCTCTGGTCCCCAAACAATACTCCGTATCCGTCAAACATAATACTGAAGGATCCACGCCACCGACTATTGACGAGGCTCTAATCTCACATTTTATCGAGACGGTTTGCCCGTCACCCTCTGAATGTCTCAGGGTCTGGGTTCGCTTTCTTGCGGAACGCAGCAGGCAGTCACCAATGCTCTGGAATGCCTTGTCGGCACTATCCTACCTTAGCCATGCCCGCAACGACCCAAGCGACTCTTTACTCTTCCAAAGCCAACGCCGATATACAGCCACTATCCGCCTTCTACGCGGCGAGCTTGCCATGGTTAATGGGCACAATGCTCCCGGTGCACTGGATACTATGACGCTACTAAGCATATATGAGGTCCAAACCCACTGCCCACGAATCCAGCGATTGCTAAGTGTTACAGATGAAATCGTTTCAAAATCCGCTCTCTTGGCTCCTCCACATCGATGGTGCAGCAACGTTTTTACAACAACGAGGATCTTCAATGTTTATTGGGCAGGTATCGCAACACAGTTTCGATATCTTCCGTCTCCTGGAGGTAAGTCTGAATGCATCTCGTTCGTGAGATTGCTTTGGTTTAATGTGCCTCAATAGGTCCTCATCAAAGTAGTACGAAGACGGCGGACATTTCTTGCGGACAAAGGATGGCAGTCGACGGAATTGAACGTACCTCAGTATCAAAGAAGCCCCTTAACGTGTCTCATCGATATTATAACCAAGTTGCCAGGGCTTCTCGAAGAAGCAGACTCGTTAGAACGTGACATGCACTCGCCTGTACCTATAGCGGAAAAGGTGGCCCGGCAGACGTCGTTATGGGCTCAAATAGACCAGATGGATGCGGCCTTGACCGACTGGAGAAGGGTAAACGGAGTCTCAACATCTCCTATACCTAAACAAGGCGAACTTCCCAGTGGGACTGGCACAGAGTCTCCTGGTAAGGATGCGCTCGCTGTCTGTATCAACCTCGCATGCCGACTCATCCTCTCACGAATCGACACCAGACCTTGGCGACCTCCCGCCGAAGACCTTATTCAAAAAGCAACGGCACTCTGCGGCCTTGCCGCCCAATCAACTCGAGGCCGCACAGACTTCATGTCTATACTAATCCTCCTCTTCACGTTGCGGCCTGCATACTACACATTTCCCCCGACCCACCCTGGACGGCAGGCAATCCAAGGCATGTTCGCGAATTTCTCCGCAACATATCAGCTTCCTGTTGCAGCTAACATTATCACCATGTTCCCGCCTCCCGGCCCGGTTGATCCGGCTCCGTGAGCAGACCTTGTATATGTCTTCGAGGCCATGCATTGCATAGGCGTTTTCCCGTAGGAGATTGCTGCACTTGAGACTCGGTGATCTCAGAATATGCATCGATGTGTATACCTCTGTAAGCAAGCGTTCAAGAAGTATGGAGTAATGCAAGGAGAAGTTGATCTTCCCGCTACAGCCAATCTCCACAACCGTCCCGCGTTCTTGACTCTCTTCTGTAGAGCGTGCTCCATAGGTCGTTGGAGTTGAATTCTCCCAAACCTGTTCCAATGTGGGTTAGGGGATTCGGCCACCATGCAGATCATGACCTCGCCTCCCACCAAGGACCTCCTACATATACCTAGGAAGTCTTCCGACTAGCTCAGTGGTATTGTAGGCATGCATGATCCTGGCAGGCCGTGCGGCACGGACCCCTACTCTTCACAAAGGGTCTTGTTTGGGGATAACCAACCAACTTCTATATTCTTTCGGAAGGGCCAAACAATGCGCAAACATCAGAGAGCAAGTCTATACATCTAACGAAAAGAAAACCAGGGTCGTCTCCATCAGGATGGGGCCAAAGTGTAAACAAAGCATAATCATCTATCATCTCCAGGTCCGCTCTAAGCGATGCTAAGAGGTCCAATCGGCGCGCCCAAGAGCGCTGCCAGGGCGCCAACAACTAGTTCGCCAAGCGCCACGATTGCTGCTGGGTCCTCCAGAGTCGAGATCACTGAGTTCGTCGAGCAGCCAGACGCAGCAGGCGTTCCGTTCATTCGGGCCTCCAGCCAAACCATAGCCTCAGGCGCCCCCGTGACAGCGAGCGAGCCATGCTCCGACAACAGGTCTCTCTGGTACTGGACTGATGCCCCGCCAGCGCAATACCCGGAGACAATTTTGTCGGTATCTGCGATTGGGCTGACCTCGTCATTGATTGATTTGTAGAAATACAGCGGGGTCGTGGGGACATGCTGCCCGAGGGTATTCGTCTTCAAAACCTCCTGCGGGATAGCGCCCTGGATCACAGCGTTGCCGGACTTGAAATAGGAAAACATGTCGTTGAACGCGAACTCGATAGCCGTCGCCGGCAGGCACTGGCCACGGACCGACTTGAACTTGGTTTCTGTCGCCGGCACGAATTGCTGCTCAAGGTATGCCGCTAGGTTGGGATACTCGTTGTACAGACCCATTACTCCGGAGGCAGAGAGTCCCGCGAACGGTCCGTTGTTGATAGTCTCCATGACATTCTGGATATTTGGGATCGCGCCGCCGATGGCCGCTCCCGCAAAGCTCAGCTCCGGGGCATAGCTGGGCTGTAGTTCAACGGCCCAGTTACTCGCCAGAGCACCCCCGGAGTAGCCCCATAACGTAACGGTGGCATCTGGGGAGAGCTGTGAGAAGTTCTGCGATTGCAGGGCAGCGCGGACCGAGTCCAGTGTCGCATGCCCGGACTGAATACCAGCGACGTATGCTGACTGCGGCCCTTGGTAGTCGGGGGTCACGACGTACCAGCCCTTATCAAGCGCTGCTTCTATAAGTAAGAGCTCTGCTTGTGAGATAATGGCTCCCGGCGTCGACAGGAGTTGTAGGACATAAGAAGGTGCGCATGCAGTGTCAGGAGCATCCTGGGCAATCTGGTAAGACAATAGCTTCGAGGGCTGAGCATTGTGTGGGACCAGGAGCGTGGTCATGGCAGCCTCGGGATTTCCATGGCTATCCGTCGTTCTGTAAAGAATTTGATACGCAGCCTCGAGGTTTGCTGGCAAAGTGTTGAACGCAGCGATGGGGAACGGGACTGGTCTGGAGCGGAGGATTGTGCCCGGAGCTGTAGCATTGAGCCCCGCGGGAGCAGAGTAGAAGGAATCTTGGTCCGGAACAACGACGAGTTGGCGAGCATCAAGCGGAATCGCGCTGGCGGTTTGCAAGCAAGCCAAAAGCCCAACCAGGCCTTTCCTGAGATTAAAATTCATTATAGTAAGGTAACGATAACGACAGTGAAGGGTTTGTTTGTTCCCCTGTAAAGACCGGACGACGTCTCTATTTAACCAGAATCGAAGAACAGGCTATTAGTATAATTACAATTACTCTGTAAAAAGAGACAGGTATGTACATGTGAGACTGAATATATATTATGGGGACTAGCAGTGGCCAACAGTGAGGAAGGGAGTGGAGATAACCGAAGATCTCCGTGCGACACGAGCCCATACTATCGGAGAGACGATCTCCTACTCCGTGAGTATGCAGGGACGTGTTTAAGAACCATTTATACACTTAATGCTCTGCTTCCGGTCCCTCTTCAACCCTCGCTATAGAGCACCTAGCTAGGCAAGAATCCCGTTACTCGCTCTCCTATAAGAAGTGCAGCAACGGCCGCTCTCCCAAAAGAACGAATAGAAGCAGATTAATCCGGCGGGCGAATCGGCAGCCCCGACAACAAGGGCAGGGCCGAGCATTTCCGCTCCGATCTGCAGCCTAGACTGATATCTCGGGGCGGGTACCTGGCGGTAAGGCGGCAGATCCTTCAAAGGGGGTGTTACGCCTAGTTACGGGTGCGTGTATTCTGGAGATTTGAATAGCGGGATGGAAGAGACGCTGGTTAAAGGGATATTTAGGTATATGGGCACGTGTCGAGAGCGTTTAATTCAGAGTTGGAAACGGCTGTATCTTGAGTTACATGGCTCGCGAAGACGTTGGGTATAGGGGGGAATTGTCGGGGGTTGTATACGCCGTCCTCCGTATGTAGAGGTGATCGGACTTCGTCGTCGTGATCCTTGGTACTGCTCTGAGAGAGTACCTCGTGGTCACTGAGGCATGTATTCCATGTGACCTGGCCGTGAGTTAAGGGCTAGAGTGCAGCAGCTCCACAAAACGATAAGTAAATGGCAGCGCATCTGCAGGACTGCGGAGATCCGCTATTGAAAAGGGAGGGGGGGGGGGGGTTGCTGAGAAGTATAATCAGTGACAGCTTAGAGATAATGCCACAAGTACTATAGAGAGAGCGAGGCTTTGCTACAGTGTAGTTGTTAATGTTATATTATAAGAGGTGAGCTCTTCCAGTCCTGCTTGTTACTTACAGTTCGGTGTTTCGTTTTACTGGCTGTTGTGTTATTATTGATTTGCGCAATTAATGCAACTAACTGTCTATGCCATTGCCTGCATCAAATGAATCTGGTGCAGGTCTCAGCGTACAGTCAGTCCATCGAGACATCAGCATTCATAGCGTCAAGTAAGAATTCACAAAAAGTATCCATGATCCAGTGGACTTGACTGGAGCCATTGCATACATATATTGGAGGTTCCAGATTACAGATCCAACTGGATGGCTGCACCAGGCGTACAGACCTGGGACTGCAATTGAAGCACAGCTGATCCAACTAACTCATTGAAATGGGATGGAACGCCCCTCCCTAGGGCGTATATACTGAGGATTCGAAGCAGCTCGACTCTCTAGAGGGATCAGGGTTACAGTGGAGTATTTAAGGATCATTGTTGAAACAAAGAGTTAAATCTCCCTGTACTGGTTCTGGTAAGTAGCCACTGAATATCTGTACTTGAGGACCCGCGCTGAGCTGAAAGCACGGTGGCTGGTATATGTTTTACATTTTTCGTAGCAATTCTGAGTGTTTCATGAAGTGGGATATAACCTAGTTAATCAAGCTACGTAGCTTTAACCATATGCTTTGGTGCATTCAATTTGAGATGTACTGTTTTCCCTTCCTCGGCCTCCACACATGACAACGCCGCCGTAATTTAGAGGGGTTTGCTGGGATCGCAGGTGAAGATGCTAGCTAGGCGTTGGGTTGATAGATCGGTACCGTAGCACTGGTGTGGACGAACCCTGTCTCGTACTCAATCCTCCCGGGAGTCGCCAGATATCCACCAGGGCACGTTTGTGATGGGGTGTTTTCTGCTGCGATTTGCCTGACCAGATATCGTTGGTGATATCGATCCACACCAGAAGGCTTGGAAGCCTGGAGGCAGTACTCCAATCCAAAACACTGCAGAAATCGATGGATAGTTGACATCCGGTCGTAGCCACTATCTAGGTCGGGCCGCTGAGTTTATTTCAGCTACTTAGCATGAAACACCCACTTGGGAATGCGGACTCGGGAAGCGCCCAGTCTCATGTTCCGTCGTCTGGCTTATATCCCTTGAGTTAGGACAATCAGAAGTCATCATCACTGTCCTCGTCATCCCTCGGTTTCAAATGCTTGCTCATATATGGCCCTATATCTGTTAGCTGCGAAGTCACATGAAAAGACATTTGCCTACCATCTAGCCAATAACCCAATTTCCGGTAATAGTCCCTGGTTCCAACACCAGAAATCACACTGATCTTGGTACTGCCATGTTCGTTCCTCGCAATCCGCTCAGCCTCCTCCATCAACAACGTACCATACCCTTGATGCTGGAACTTTCTTGGGTCACGAGCGTGAACTGGTACTGCAGATCCATATACATGGAGTTCGCGCACCAGGCTCGTGGGCTGTCCAACAAGCTCAGGTCTGAAGGTGTAAGTTGAAGAGCATTTTCGTAGTCGAAGGAGACCGATGAGGATATCCTGCTTTGGGTCTTCGTATGCCAAGAAAGTCTCCCAGCCACCATTTGCGGTATAATCTCGACGAACAAGTTCAACTTGAGATGGTCGAATTTTGTTCTTAACCTCGTTGATACCAACCTCTCGGGTCCGTACATCTCGACAAGTTGTACCAAAATCCTTCATTCTGCTCAGGGCCAATTCCCGCAAGTTACCATTCTCAACCCCAGAAGTAACAAGGGGCATGGGAATATCTCTTTGAACCCGATAAATTCGAGTCCAAGGAGGGACAAGTGCTAGAATGCGAGCAACGATATCGATGAGCGCATTCGGAGTGTAGTTCTTGTATCGTCCAGTGCGCCATAACTCGTACAATCCAGTGCCGCGAATGACAAGCGTCGGATAAATCTTTAGCCCATCTGTTCGAAATGCCGGGTTTTCAAAATACTCTCGGAACTGGTCCAGATCCCTCTCCATTCCAACATTTGGCAAATCCGGCATCATATGGCTGACAACCTTGAATCCCGCATCCTTTGCGAGACAGAACGTTTCTGCCACAGCAGCAACTGTGTGTCCTCTATTGGTATCTCGAGCGACATCCTCGTACAGAGATTGCACACCAATTTCTAATCGAGTACAACCATAACGCAACATGGCAGATAAATGTGGTTGCAGGCAATAATCCGGGCGAGTCTCAATCGTTATCCCTACACATTTGATGTTGCTCATCTCTCCCGCCTGGACAGCTTCATCCACATTGTTTCCTTGATACCCACTAAGCGCATTATGCAGTTGCGAAATGAATCCGTCTCGATAACTCTCCGGAAGAGACATGAATGTTCCTCCCATGATAATGTATTCAACCTTGTCCACACTGTGACCCAGAGACTTGATTTGATCCACCCGTCCTCTTGCCTGCTCAAAAGGGTCATATCGTGCTCGAATAGCTCGCATCGATGTGGGCTCGTAGCCAGTGTAGGATTGGGTAGAGTATTCGAAGTCGGAATCTGGACCGCCAGGACAGTAGACACAGATGTTGCCGGTATAGGCAATATGAGGACATCTGTGAGGCTTGCACATGACTGCGACCACAGCGATACCTGATGCGCTTCCTGCAGGACATTAGAAACAGAAAGCGCACAAATTTTGGAGGGTGGCGTACTGATAGGCTTTGCTATGAGCTTTGGCAAAATGTACTTCTTGTAATGCTCTGGTATTGCAGCAATAATAGCCGTTAGAGGAGGTATATTACTCAGTTTATGTTTCTTTGACATCCTGGCCCGCAGACTGTTCAGATTAATATCCTTTTTGGGCTTCGTAGGATCTTGTAGAGCTTCATGTTCTTGGACGAGGGCGCTCGCAATGTCAGAGCAAGCTCTCAAATACCGCTCGTTCTCTGGAGGTAGGTTTGCATCCTTTAGCTTCCTATGCCTCTCCGTCAAGGTTATCGTCTCAGTCGCCATATTGTCTATTGTCCCCGAATGCGTGGTGTCGATGGCTTATCTTGAATGTTCAGATGTCTTTCGAGAGGCTGTGGTGGGGTTCGCATCAAAATTATTATTTTGAGCCTCGCCTGGAGTATCAGGATTCGCGCGCCGCGGTATTTCCCGCCAAACCCTTTGCCGTAAACTCTTTGCCGTAAAGGCAACCCGACATATTAGCGAGATCCGACTTGAGGACAGAGCTTGAGGATATTGAGAGGACAACCACAATTCCAACTCCAATCCCTCTCTGACATTCTTTTTTCCTAAAAATCTATTGTCTTTTGCCTTTGACGAGATGCAGGCCTTCTCAAGGTGCGCCAGACCGGTTTCTCAAGCCGTTGTTCGAAGACAAGGCTACGCTACGGCTACCAGTGGGTACGCTGCTACAGGACAACACTTGCGGATCAACAAGGACACGCGGGTTATCTACCAAGGCTTCACCGGAAAGCAGGGAACGTAAGTACAAACTGAACAGTCTTGCTTCGATCTGAGACCGTGTTGCTGACTATTCATTAACCAGATTCCACGCGCAGCAAGCCATTGAATACGGTCCGTGTTCCCCGAGGACAGTTAACTGTTTGGATCGCATCTGATAGGGGTTATAGGTACCAATGTCGTTGGAGGCACAAACCCAAAGAAAGCTGGCCAAACACATCTTGGGCTGCCTGTTTTTGCCAACGTTGCAGATGCAGTAAAGGAGGCCGGTGCTACCGCTTCAGCTATCTTCGTCCCGTATGCGATTCCGTGGGTTATTCATAGAAAGGTTCACTAATCATTATTCCAGCCCACCGCTTGCGGCCGCTGGTATTGAGGAGGCGATTGCTGCTGAGATTCCTTTGGTAGTATGGTACGTATCAATCAATCTATATTTGACCGGAGAAGAGCTAATATCCCCAAAGCATCACTGAGGGTATTCCGCAACATGGTTAGTCTGCCCTTCGCCATTTACGCCCTTGCTACGCCGATTCTCTCTTGCTCATTATTTTTAGACATGGTTCGTATCACAGACATCTTGAAGACACAACAAAAAACGCGTCTGGTAGGTCCCAACTGCCCTGGACTTATCGCTCCAGGACAATGCAAGATCGGTATCATGCCTGGATTCATCCATAAACGTGGTCGCATCGGTATTGTCTCTCGATCAGGAACCCTGACCTACGAAGCTGTCAACCAGACCACCCAGGCCGGGCTTGGTCAGTCACTCGTTGTTGGTATTGGTGGTGATCCTTTCTCTGGCACAAACTTTATCGACTGCCTGAAGGTTTTCTTGGAAGATGAGGAGACCGATGGAATCATCATGATTGGTGAAATTGGAGGATCTGCTGAGGAAGATGCTGCCGAATTCTTGAAGGAATATAACACCGCAAAGAAGCCAGTGGTCAGTTTCATCGCTGGTATCTCTGCGCCACCTGGACGAAGAATGGGTCACGCTGGTAAGTCTATATCTTGTTTCCGTTCTGGTGTCCTCTAACGTTGTTAGGTGCCATCGTCAGCGGTGGAAAGGGAGGTGCGGACTCCAAGATCGCAGCACTTGAAGCTGCTGGTGTTATCGTGGAACGAAGCCCAGCCATGCTCGGAAAGGCATTGCACGCGGAATTTGTAAGACTGGACATGGTTTAGAGACTTGTGGATTAGATGGTGGGACCGCGAACGTTCATGCATTGTTTCATGGCTTGATAATACCAATTTCGTGTACAGCTAGCAATTGCCATGATTATGCTTTATTTCACCCATCTTCCTTCCCGGAAGAAGAAGCCAACGAGATTTCTGGCTAGCAGCAAAGTCAATGGGATTTGATAATTATAATAGCTTTCAAAGATGACCCATAAGTGCTGCACGCTCATGTTTACTGTAATGAGGATTGTCCCCTGGACCCCTACTACGTAGGTCGGGAGAAGCTTCGCCGCATCTTCCGCTTAACTTAAGCATTTGACGAGAGAAAGCTTCCCCACGCCGACTTTACCTGCATCTGCACCTCTCCTTCATCACCGGCCTCTCTCCACCCCGCGGTCAAGATGCTGTCCGGCATATTGATTTTTAACCAGAAAGGGGAGAACTTGATCTTCCGTGCCTTCCGAAATGACTGCAGACCGCGCCTCGCAGATGTCTTTCGCATCCAGGTCATATCAAACGCGCAAGTCCGATCACCAATCCTTACGTTAGGGAGCACGACTTTCAGCCATGTCAAACACGAGAATATCTACCTGGTGGCTATTACGAAGAGCAATGCCAATGCCGCGCTGGTGTTTGAGTTCCTGTATCGGTTGGTTGCGCTCGGCAAGGGATACTTCGGGAAGTTCGATGAAGAGGCAGTGAAGAACAATTTTGTGCTGGTTTACGAGCTCCTAGATGGTGGGCAGACCCTCCTTGATTCTGGTACAATTACTGACAATATTTCGCAGAGATTCTGGACTTTGGATACCCTCAAAACACCGAAACAGATACCCTGAAGATGTACATCACGACGGAAGGTGTGAAGTCAGAGCGGACAATGGAGGACTCGTCCAAGATTACCATGCAAGCAACCGGTGCACTGTCATGGCGAAAATCAGACGTCAAATACCGCAAGAACGAAGCTTTTGTCGACGTGATTGAAGATGTGAATCTCTTGATGTCTGCTACAGGTACTGTTCTGCGCGCAGACGTCAATGGTCAGATTATCATGCGCGCATATCTTTCTGGTACACCAGAATGCAAATTTGGACTTAATGATCGACTTCTGCTTGACGGAGACAGCTTATCCTCTCTCCCATCTGGCAATCGAATGGGCACGAAGGCCACAAAGGCTGCAGCAGGGAGCGTTACGCTAGAGGATTGTCAGTTCCATCAATGCGTGAAGCTAGGAAAGTTTGACGCAGACCGCATCATCTCTTTTATTCCTCCAGACGGAGAGTTCGAACTCATGCGTTATCGAGCAACTGAGAACGTCAATCTGCCGTTCAAGGTCCATGCCATTGTTAACGAGGTTGGAAAGACCAAGGTCGAGTACAGCATAGCTATCCGAGCGAATTACGGCAGTAAGCTATTTGCCACGAACGTTGTTGTGCGAGTACCAACACCATTGAACACTGCACGGATCACGGAGAGATGTACACAGGGCAAAGCCAAATATGAACCGAGCGAGAACAATATTGTATGGAGGATCCCTCGATTTACGGGACAGAATGAGTTTGTATTGAGTGCGGAAGCCACTTTGACGAGCATGACGAATCAAAAAGCTTGGTCGAGGCCGCCGTTGAGTTTGAATTTCAGTTTGTTGATGTTCACGAGTTCAGGTTTGTTGGTGAGGTACTTGAAGGTCTTTGAGAAGAATAACTATTCATCCGTGAAGTGGGTGAGGTACATGACGAGGGCTGGGTCTTATGAGATACGGTGAGTTTGTCCCAAAACATTTCTTGAACACCAGCTGATGTGAGATTAGATTCTGAACAACGGAGGAAGTCATGGAGTTCTGGTACATAGCGCGGCATTGTGGGCGTTAGTGGACATCAGGGGTTTACAATAAAGGCCTTTATTCATGTTATAGAAGTCATGATCATGAAGTTTCAAACCGGGTTCTTTGGACTTGACCTAGGTAAGGATGGTGTAACATGAGTTGATGAATAGAAGATGCCGCAAAACACACTGCAGATTGTTTAGCCGTTAGGCCATTGACCAATATCCCCCACTGCTGTACTAGACTAATTATCTCGCCACTCAAACAGCTTATTTTCCAGGTCTCCTCCAAGAAGTCTGTGGAAGAAGGACCTTCGATCGACTCCTTTATGCCCTTCGAAGCCCTAGGATAGGCTTTATCAATCCCTTCCCGTCTCCAGCTTACATCTCTCAAATTCAGAACAGATTATGTTACACATCCCTTACTGAAAGCTTCCCAGTTGCGCCATGCAGCTTGTCCATGATGCAAAAGAAACGCCAAGCATCTGCAGCCTCGACCCCTCTTCCGGTGCCTGCGGAAGTCATCCGTGAACTGGCGGGCGCCTGTTTCCCCCGAAGGAACATTCAGAATGGTAGTCAATCAAGCAGCAATCACAGGTATTTGCAGACCAGGCAAGGCTCGGCTTTATTGACTTAGGATTCTCATGAGCATTTGAATACACTGATGGGATGCAGTGTAGTTGATAATATGGATATCTTGGCTGCCACATCTTTTGTGCATGATGGGCAGACTTTCAAACGTACAGCATTCCCAAAACCCTTGGTATAGCAAATAACACACTTTAAAATTCTGACTTGTAACCGGCGAGGCTACTCACTAATGTAATTCTACAGGTCGACCCCTTTTCCTCGGTTTTTTTGAATTCTCCCCCCTTAACTCTCTAAGGCAGGGAAGTATCGGGGGTAACGTCTCGCGAACCAACAACTGGATTAACTGTCAGCTTCCTCTAGAGAAGCGGTATCATGGCTAGTTTGGTTAGAGAGATAGTGTCTTTCTAACTTATTTGAAAGTCTTGATTCCCCTGGCTCGGATTACTGTAATACCTCGAAATCTAGATCTGGCGGCAAGTCATCGACAACCAAACAGATTCTCTCTAAGTCGGTATCTATGTCGCAAAATATTCTTAGTGGATTTGTATGCCGATCCGTCTAGGTAGTTTCGTAAAGTCGAACTTTACGGATAAGATGGCGGTAGAAGGTAGTCTTCTTTCTATCGATTGGAGGATAATGGCCATAGATTCTAACTGTTTCGTTAGGATCTTACGGTAAAGGTCCTTTTCGCGTTTCAAAAGTCTGAGAAGTTCGACAATACCCCTCTACTATCGTCATACTGTGAGCATTCTGTCGGTCCGCGATATCAAGGCACTTAACTTCGCAGGTTAGGAACGGGAAGTACGTGTAGTACGTGGCCATAAAGCGAGAACTATCTGTGAGCTCGCCCACGAAAGGTTCAAGCCTTTTGAGCCGATCTTCCGTAAATGCCTCTCGCCTCTAAAACACAAAGAACGATGTAGCATACGTTTGCGCATGCGACTAGAGCCTCTTGGTGGGAAGGAGAGATCCTACAGAGTAAAGTACTCGGGCTGCGGACGTGTCTTGGTCCCTGGGATGGAATAGTTCCAGCCTTCGTTGACGCTTTCGATCAAAGTTTCAAGTTGTTTTGTGTCCGAATATCGCTAGAGTTTCCGCAGAAGGGACAATCGATCGAGTGATTCTTGTGATTCTTGTGGCACCGTCTGCTCCTTCTCAACTCTAGTTCGGCAAAGGCTTTTTGCTTGTATCTGCGATGCCCAATTCGGATTTGCCCATGAAGCTGCCTTTAGTCGCGAGGATAGTTCTATAACGCAGATCTTGATAGGGGCGCTTTTGACAGCCTTGGCTTCTCATCGCAGCGGAGACTTCGCTGGTGACATCAGTTGGCCCTCGGCTAAATAAGGATTATTGTAGTTGGTATCCAGCGGTATCTTGTTAAGGTAGTCGATGCTCTCCTCGGTCGTCTTTATCCTCGCTCACTCAACTGTGACCCGCCCTTGTCACAGGTATCAATTTTCGCGCACCTCCTTAGTGACCTCGATCTGCGACCCTTTTGGATGCTTGCAGCATATTGGCTATTCAAATAGAGGTTGAATGGCACTGGGATGCCTACACAGAAGAACATGAAAGGGCCGTGTTACCTCTTGTACCTACCTTATATGTATCCTGGCCTTGGTCAGCCTTCATAGTAGACGACCCACTGATCCAAACACGACCTCGACAGACTCGCTCTACTTGGGCGCCCAGCCTTTTGGACTGATACAGGAGCAAATGCGACTGTAGTCGGATAGTGTTGCCATGTTCCATTTGTGTATATGAGCGGAAAACATAAGATAAGGTCTATGCTAGCGAAAAGCAGTTGCACGTTTGTGATTTGATAAGTTGAGGTGTGATGTATAACGTATGAGGTAAATAGCACCCCCGATGGGTTTTCTCGTGTGTGTGGTCTTGTCGGAGGTAGTCTTTTCGTCTTTTGTGCACATACTTTCTACGATCACCTTGATTAGCTTGTTTCTTATCCGCGAAGAATAACTCACATTCAGCTTATTTGTGTTGTACGACTCCAGTAGTACATTCCATGATTAATATTCATCTCGTACTTACCTATTTATTGTCTTGCAATCTGGACCCTGAGTGCTCGGACAATTCGTTATGATCCACGTAGCCTGTCGGATGCATCATCGCGTCCTAGTCCTGGGCTTGCTTGCTCGCGTTTTGTTGTCGTCGAGCTCTTGGGTCAATGAGTCTTGCTTGTATTGTGAGTAGTTGGTTAAGACACTGCTGGGTCTAGGTATAGGCTCAAGAGGTGAAGCTACACTCTCCCCTTACCAAGTCTGCTACTCATTAAGCTCTCAGTGAGTGGTGAAAGGAGAAGGGAGAAGCCTAGCGTGCTACCGTGCTTAAACAAGGCTGCTCGCTGGGAGCACGCCATACTATGGTCAGCAGTGCTTTCAGCAGGATGCTTAGCAGGATGAGTTTGACGACGAGGTCGAGCCGAGAGGAGAAGAGAGGATACGGTAACGCTTCGAGCCAAAACACAAATCGAGGCATCAGAGTCGCACACTATGTATCGGAACGAAGAGAACGAAGATATTGATATCGCGTCTTAGGTTCGTAGATGTAAATCGAGGTGTCTAAATCGTGTACTGTGGACCGGAAAGGAGATGGAGCAGATTTCGATATTGGTTCGAACCCAGGTAAACAAAGATAGGAGTATCTATACATCGGAAAGAAGAGGAGGAAGACGTCGATGTCGATGTCGATATCGTTTCGAATCTAAACGCATATCGAGATGCCTATGCCGTATACTATGTATCTGAAAAGGGAGGAAGAAGATTATGTTATTGCTTTGAGCCTGAAGTCCAGACAGAGGCATCGATTTCGCGTACTATGCATCGGATAGGGGAGGAAGAAAACGTCGATATCGCTTTGGACCTAAACACAGACAGAGGTGTATATGCCGTGTATCGGAAAGGGGATGAAGAAGACTTCAACACTGCTTCGAACTCAAATGTAAATCGAAGTCTCTGTTTTGTGTACTTTTAGGTATCGAACTACCGCGTCTCGATACACGGCACACAAAAGCTAGCCCCTTGCTCGATCGGATAGGTATCACGGCTAAGTTACCGATGAGTTCTTGGTCAATAAGTCTTGTATTATGATAGAAGCCTGGCTAACTCCCGGGTATAGTTAAGTAGAGATACATATAGGCATGAGGTAACCCTATGCTTTTTCTGTAGCACCTTCCGTGTCTTTCGTTTGGTATATTATCATCGTGAGAACCGGATGTAGCTGGAATTCAAGCTTTGAGTCGCTCCTTCAATCCTCCGTCGTCGTTAACTTGGGTGGCTTTGGGCAGATGACTGTGATTGAAAGTTGCTTCTTATTTCAGGGGAAAGGGTAGGAGACTAGGAGTAGACCGAGAGATTGAAGTGGGGGATAGAGGAAACTTTGATGGGCGTTGGTGGGGAATCCAGGCCGGAGTTGAGACTGGTTGGGAGTTGGGGCTTCGTGTTGGAGAGGCACAGAATCTCGGTGTCTCCTTGTATCATTGGACTGCATGTTTGAGGTGCTCTAGGATATGAGCGGCGGAAGGAGGTTGGCCGCGTGCTTTAGGACGGGTTGTGTGATACGTCTATAGGAATACCAGAGCGCGGAGGAAGAATTTGGAATACTGATGGGGTCTTCTGAGTTTCCACTATCCAGCCATGCTTCAGAGTGGGAAGAGCTGAAGGCATTTCACCTTCTCAAACCAATTGGAGACAACATTTTATCGCAAGTGAAGAAAGAAAGCGGCTAGGAAATGCAACCATCAATCTAGCTGCCCGCCCGTCTCATCGTTGGCACATCTTCTAGGTTACGAACTTACGCAGCGCTGTACCGAGAGGCTTAGGAGGCTTAGGAGGCTTAGGAGACTTAGGAGGGGACCTCGCTCTCTCTAGTGTGTTGGTTGACGATAAAGCGGCTAAAGGGGCGCTCATCACCGAGGACGATGAAAGGCAGCTACACATATAAGAGTTAGATATATTAAAGGGGTTAAGGGGAGCGAAGAGTTGAGCTCTTGAAGATATATGGATATATGTACTCCTTTTAGTTGTTGACAGGAGCTGCGACCTCCAAGCCTGAGCAGCATGTTCATGCTCAGGAGTCAGGAGGTACCTTACCACCCTCGTACCGGTCACCAATCGAAAGGATAGATGGATAGATGGATGGGCTTGAGAGGAGCGATCATTGGCCAAAAGTCGTCTTCTTAGAGGGTCGGGCGTGGCCCCTCCCGTAAGCTCATAGGTCCCATCCCGCAGCCGCCCTTCCCGCCATGCTATAGACTATAGACACAACAGCGGATCTTTTCCGGCTTTTCTCGAATCTGCAGCTATATCCACCCCCAAGCGGCGATCAGAATTTATACAGAAACACTTCTCACAACGTTCCTGCGCATTGTCAGTTTCAGGGAGATATCAAGAACTTCTGGAATAATGATACAACCATACAACCATACAACCATGTGGACGATGTCTTAGACCCTCGTGCTTCGAGTTGCTGATCCCACGGTGCTTATGAGCTTATTATTCATCAAAGGCGGAGTATTAGTTGTTGTCATATACCTTACACGCGAACAACAAGCATCCTGCGGCCGTGGTCCCCTTTCGCGGTTCTAGCGCCGAAACCGAAAAATTCCTATGGGACCGTGGCTTGGTTGGGCGACCATAGACCGGCTCTCATCCCCTCTTGGGACGCCCCCCCACTGGGAAGACAATAATAAGATTGAAACTGTAATTATACAGTTATTAGCACGGTACGCACTCTGGTCTCCCAACGGCTCTGCAGCTCTCCTTTTCCTTCGCGACTGTCCGTATCGGGGCATCTGTGGCTAATCGGCAGTACAGAAACCCGGAAAACAAGTCAAGGCCATACTTGCGGTACCCGACCCAGGGGCTTGGGAAGAATTGTCCCAAATAAAGGCATTCCCAGGGCTTCATTCGCCCGGGGTCAGCCGCTGGAACCATCCTGCCGGCCGCCCCTATCCCTGCTCTACGGGAGATGGCGCCCTTGGCGGGTCAATACCCAACACGGAGGTACTGTGCACGCCACGTACCGCCTACCCGGGCCCAGAACCAGTGTGCTGGCTCAACCCAGGTCCCCAGTGGGCCTCCCAGTCCTTGGTCTTAAATCCACCCGACCCGGCGCACCGGTCGCCCCGCGCTGTTCCCGAGTCCTGACTCCTGGGACGCCTTGGAGAATCGTTTAACTCTCTCTCTCCCGAGACTTTGGGATGATACTGAATTTCATGTTGTGTATTCGAAAAGTATCTGTTCGGCATCATGGATACCTCTGGGCAAGCGGTATGACAATGCTCCATCTCCAGAAAATCAATGGGGAGAGACTAGAAGCTAATCAACGCCCAGGCAGCAAATGCATCTGATTCCTCTGGCTCTGGCTCTGGCTCTGGCTTTGAAGTGTGAGCAAAACCGTCACCAATATCTTGAGTCATCAGAGCTGACCAGACCATAGAGCAGGGGAAACAGTTTCGGTTGATGCTAGTATCACAGCATATCGAATGGAGAATGGTAGACGCTACCATGCGTACAGGGACGGAGCTTACTGGTAAACTCGTCTCGAATCTCGAGTCATACTGACTCATACAAAGCTAACCTGCCGTTATAGGGCTCCAAATGACGAAAAGCAAAATGAAAGCCTAGACATCAAGTAAGTGTTCGTGAAACTCAAGAAGGAAAGAAGAAAATTGACACCCGGAAGCCATCACAAGTTCCAGAAACTTTTAGACGGGAAATTGCATCTTGCCCCCATAGCGAAGGATATTGAGGTCAGTTAACGGTGCCTTTTCAGCTCATTTTTGCTGACAATGTCATAGAGAGCCCTTGACCTCGGAACAGGCACTGGCATCTGGGCTATTGATTTCGCCGACGAATATCCTCAGACAACAGTTCTGGGGACAGATCTCTCGCCTATACAACCAAGCCTCGTGCCGCCAAATCTCAGATTTGAAATCGACGATGTTCAAGATCGATGGACTTACCCTCGGGATTATTTCGATTTTGTTCACCTCCGCGGTCTGTTTGGGAGTATCAAAGACTGGCCAGGCTTATACAGTCAAGCTTACCGGTCAGTCCCTTCTCCCTTTAGATAAGTCGCCCTAGCCTCTAACACAGTTAAGACATCTCAAGCCTGGAGGATGGATTGAACAGCTAGAGATATGCATTGATTTCAAAAGCGACGATGGAACTATCAGGGAGGATAGTCCTTTGAGAACCTTCTCTGGGGTATGTAGCTAAGTTCTCTAGTTGGTCAAAATTTCTTCCCTTATCCGCTTACTGGCAAATACTAATTTCGCATGAAATAGCTCTTCAGAGAAGCGGGTGAAATTACGGGACAGACTTTCACAATCGCAGAGACCATGAAGGAGGAGATAGAAAATGCCGGATTTGTGAACGTCGTTGAGAAGGTCTACAAAGCTCCACTAGGACCGTGGCCGGCAGATCCAAAGTTACAGGAACTTGGTCGATGGACCCTCTTAGGATTTGATACTGGTCTTGAAGGCTTCGTCCTCGCAATTCTGACTAGAACATTGGGGGTGAGTCTTCTTCTGACCTGAAATACTATCTACGAATGAGCATTCTTGAAGATAGAAGCTAATGACTCCCATTTAGTGGAATACTACTGAAGTACAGGTACTTCTGTAAGTTATTCCCTCTGGTCCCTTGTGTACACGCAGCTAATGTGGTTACAGGGCTCAAATACGAGCGGCTATTCGCGATAGAGGGACGCATGCATACCATGAGATACGTGTGGTTTATGGACAGAAGCCTTCAAGATGACACCGTGGAATTAATTAATATGATACCCAGCCTTCATTCCAATTCATATATTGTGAATGATGGCTTTGCCGCTTGTACCTCTGCATGTCCGGCTTATACTTTTAGTAATAGGTATTATATAGTCCGTATAAATTTCCCTTTGATGGCCATGAATTTTCCTTTGTAATACCTTCTTGGTGAGAGACGCTCTATTTGACCTAAACGCTGATGATGATATCTTCATAAGGTTCTTTCCATCTTGTGTCATAAGATATAAGCGTGTTTAAGATGTGTAGAATGGCCCAAGGCATCCTGATCTGCCAGAGAGTTTTAATCTTAACGGCAAAGTCAATGGACGTAGGTCGGCAGCCAATCCCTCTAATGCAATGTACTGACGGCCATTTAGCCAAACCAAAGGGTGGGATTACGAGGAATCAAATAAGAGGGGAGGCATCACTTTAATCGTTGATCATGACTTAGGTCAACAATTACCAAGCTGACCATGTACTTTGTCTTGAATCAGACGGGCGTCAGTGGTCAGTGGCACATCACGGTCTTATCATTCCCCGTCAGATACGGCAGCTTGGATTTAGCGATCAGTACCGGCTTCGAACAAATCCTCGCTATTTCAATACCACTCCCAATAACCCTTAAGGTAGTATTGCAATTGGTCACTTTGTGCTTGATACATTGAACTTAGGTGAGGCTACCTCTTAGACGGGTACATTCAGGGCATTCTTGCTTTTCAGATTCTAAGTATATAGCTGACTCCTCTTCGCCTTAGTTCAGAGTTGTGTGGGAACCCAACCCCGCATAACCACGTCCCTCTGTATTCGGCATGGCACAGTGGCCGCCATATCATAAGATCCACGAGATATCACGATCACCACGTCCTCCTCTTCGGAGTACTCCGACGGGCAAGCTGGTTCCTATCTCCTCCCAACCTGGAGATGAGTGCGGAGAGCCTATCACGTGCCGTTCTGGCCGTATTATCCATCCTCCATGCCTATCCAAGAGTGGGATCCTGCATAACATGGGAGCAAGATACCGTCTCAATCTTCGGAGTCGAGCGATGGCACGGGAGATAAGGCTTCCTACAGCAGATATATACATAGCATGGAGGTTATCAGAAAGAGTAGTTTCCCATTGTCAACAAGATCTTCCTTCCAGAAGACATCCTCCAAGAATACTATTTTAGATCTCCAACGTTGCCAAAACCTTTAAATAACAATGGCGCCCTCCGCAACGCTTCCGGAGCCAGAGCCCGAGTACATTGTCGTCCACGGCGGGAAGGGGACCATCAGGCGCGCTATCCTCCATGGGGCGAACCAGAAACCCACCTTCTCCACAATCCCGCAAGTGGACTTCTCCCAGATGTCCTCCTCATCTCTCAAGGAGAGGAAGGCCATAGCCGAGCAAGTAGGAAGTGCGTTTCGAAACAGCGGATTCTTGTATGCCGTGAACCATGGGATCTCGCGCGATTTGCAGGACCGATTAACTCGGGTCATCCAGGAATTCTTTGCCTTGGATGAGGAAGAGAAGATGAAGGTTCGCGAGCGCCAAGTCCCGCTTTCTGCATCCATGTCTTTGAACGCGGGGAAGTTTATGGTGACTTACTGGGAATAGATCCATGTCAATAAATCCGAGACTGTAAAGGGTTACGAAGCCCTTCTTGAGACGAAGTTGGATGACAAGACGCGTGGGGGTATGTCTACCACCTCACAACACCTTCCAACTTCAAGATGTTCTGACTGGATGAATAGATTATAAAGAGGCTTTTGCAAAGGGCGATGACCCTTACGATGAAGAGCAAAACGCGCCCCCGGGTCTCGACATGTCGCGGTATCCCAAGAACGGCAACCAATGGCCGGCGTCCCCGGAATTCCGAAAGGTCTTCTATGAATATAACGCTGCCGTCCAAGCCTTCAGCAAGAAGCTTCTGCGCATAGTAGCACTAGCCCTGGATCTCGACGAAGGCTTCTTCGACCACATGTCCGACTTCCCCATGGCCAGTCTCCGCGCCGTGCACTACCCGCCTCAGGAAACCAGCGCTGACGTAGGCATTGGCGCTCACGCTGATTTTTCATGGTTCACGCTGGTCAACCAGCTCACCGACACGCCTGGGCTGGAGGTCCTGAACCACAATGGGCACTGGGTGGCGGCGCCGCCAATCCCGAACACGCTCGTGGTAAACGTCGGGGATTTCTTGGAGATGGCCAGTAATGGTGTGTTTGTGTCAACGATCCATCGCGTAATTAACAAGACGGGTAAGGAGAGGTTATCGATCCCCTATTTCTTCAGCCCTAGTGCGGATGTCATGATTGAGACGTTTCCCACGTGTATCACTGAGGAGAAGAAGGCCATGGTGCCGATCAGGGCGGGTGACTGGCAGAGGGAAAGGCTGTTGAGAGCTAGATATAAGCACCCTAGCACCATTGCTGCAAGGGCGAGAGGTGAGATTTAAGGGCTTTGTGGTGGAATTCGCCTTCTTAGCATCGGTACCTGGACGAAGAAGACGATTGAGGAGGAAAGGATCGGGGTAATTTCGTACTGGATATGGACCTTATAACTCAGGCTTCAGATTAGTCATTCATCACCCCCTATTTTTCAATTCAAGTCCTTTTCTGCCATCTCAATTCGTATACCAGTTTGACGGTTCGACCAGGTTTTTTTTTTAGATCCACGACCAGGTCCTGAATCCTGGACCATGTACATGCGACTTATGCTTAAATCACACCGTTCTTCGGCCACTTCAGACCTCTTCTTATATTTACTGGGGAATGGATTTCTGCTTTAGAGAAATGAATCTTCAAAATCTATTCTTCCAAGGAAGTTTATTGTATCCTATAAGTACCTTTATGATAACGGCAACTTTTCCCTTCTTAGTCCAAAATACTCTCATACATGCCCTTGGTTGCCTCTTTACTGGGTAATGGGGGTGGCGAGTATCATTACCCTCTTTACTAGCAGATCACGGATAGCCAAGACTCCAAGAGAAGATTGAGTTAGATGGCAGGCAATGAAGCTTATAACCATGTAGGTGGAAATTGGAATATTAAGGGTGTTACGTAAGTACAAGGGCGCCAATAGAAAGTGAAGGATCCAAGGATCAGGTGCACTCAGTGCTACTGTAATACTTGACATATACGTACAACATGAAAGGAACTCCCCTCTAGGCTCTAGTAGGAAAATTCTTGTGTGTAAAAAGAGTCTAAGTCAAAGGATTTCTCACTACAAGGGAGCACGTGCATATCACGAAAACCCTCTCTCTGCCTTTACCAAGACTAAGAGGATAGCTGATATGTAAAGATGATTCGTAAATTACTCGCTACTAGAAAGGGCAATAATAGGCTGCTACAAAATTGACCTTGTACTCCACTTAATCTCTCAACAAACAGAACGCCGAAAATGCACTATGAGGGCAAGCTCGCTATGATAATACACTGAAAAGACCAGCAATGCAAGCTCGTTAGCTGTCATGAATTATACTCCAGATGTAATGCTCGGTTCATCATTTCGCGGATTGCCCATAAATCTCCCATACCGATTTTGGAGGTTCATACTCTCCTAGACTGCTGGCGCTCTTGTAATCGATATCAAGACTTTTATACGGCGTTAGCAAGAGAATAATCTTTGGGGGACGAAGAAATAGCCGCGGAAGAAGGGGGGAGAAACAAACCCGAAAGCCCTAGGTCCGCCCATCGCCAATCCCTTTTCAGATAACCACTCAGGAGGACTGCGAAGTGCAACTACCGAGACGCGCAATCCATATTTGTAGTCTGAGACTCCTAGCGGTGCGCCGTTGGCCAGGTCGAGGAACTATTTAATATCTTGTTAGCAAAGACACTGGCTGAGGATGCACCACGAAAGGCCGGAGGGAAGGAGGGAACTAACCGTAATCAGATCCGGACAAATGGCCAATAAGCTGTCCTCCTTTCCTTTCACCTTGAGGACCGCATTCAGATTCTCATTCTCGAAATCCACAAATAGTTCACGGGGTTCGGTCTCTTTCCCTTCATTATTTTCCTTTACACCTGGTATATCATCCCTTGGGATCTCAGCCAATAGCACGTTGCCGCGAGTGAAGCCTTTCGAGACATATCGAGTGACAGATATTATTTTTCCGGTAAAGAGAAGGGTGCCATGTTGGGAGGAGAGGAGTGTAGAGATAGGGTCGAGCTTGAGGGAGCGGGAAAGGGCAATGGAGCGGCCGATGGTCCATGCTAGAGAGGATATTAGCTTGAGTGAAGGCGAGACGGGGAAAGGGATAAACGTACCCCAGGAGAAAGAGTTGGGTGGTAAGGATTTGGCTTCGGTGCCAAACACAGGGTTAATGCAAACTCCGCCAAGAGAGCCCAGATTTACCGCTGCGTTTCGCATGACATCTTCTGAGGTCAAATCGTCGAGAGCATTTGGGAATACCTGGAACATCTCTTGTTAGTATATCAAAATCTGGTTCTATTGGTGAAGAGACATGCCTCTTCCCTGCCACCCCCATCAGCTAAGGCGGAAGGAGTAACAGAAACACCATTCATGCATCGAACGGTCTGGTAAATCATGGGATATGCCCGTGCTACAAGATCTGTATCGAGGGCGCTTTTCCCGAAGCGATGGGCTGCAAGTATGGCTTCGAAGGCGTTCAAGCCACCAATTTCATTCGGAATAACGGCATCAAAAGTCGTGAGGCCAGTTGTCTTCATTAAGGCTTTCATGGCATCAGTGACCCTGTGAATTGTAAGCTGGAATTCAAACATAATCCGTCAAGAATTGGTATATACTCATTCAATCCTGGTATCCGCTCAATATAAACGCTGGGTGCCCCCTATTTCTACTTTAGCAGCGCACACCATAATGCTCCGAGTGTCTCTTACCATGTATCCGGCAACAAGGACAACGGCATCATCAGGCAGTGTGTCTTGTCGTCTGACTGTGAGATCTCCTCCATTCCGAAGTACCTCTAGAAGAGCAAGATAGGTTGGATACGGCTCTCCGCAACTCCCAACGCCAAGAATCCCAGTCCCATCTGAAAGGAATTGCAGGTCGATTTCCGAGAGATACCATAAATCACCCTCGATCCGCGGACGATAAGTCTCTAAGTTGATGTGTTCAATAACGTCGTACGATGATCCTTTCTGAATATCCGAAACGCCGGTGGGTATCGTGAACGTCAAATCTGATCTGTGAAAGGTTTCGCCATGGAGAAGATCCTCTGGGGAATCAAAAGTCTCCTCATACCCCTCCACCAAATCCCCTATTACCCGAACATAGAGCTGTGTTGCCCCATTAGTAACATAGGATATGGGCACAACTTCAACCTCGACAACTTCGACTGTCTGCCTGTTACCACCAGCTGCAACACATTTCTCTGTAGCAAGGGCCTTCGCATCTTCAATCTCCTGATCGATCGTCTTATCACCCGGAATAACCATCTTCTCCACAGCGCCGCTGATCTTTCCAATCTACAAAGCGTTAAGAGAGCTGGAGAGACTTGTATGAAGGGGAAACGTACTGCGGCACCCACTGCATTTGCGACTTCGAAATATTCTGGGCGTATGACTTCCCCAACTCCAGCTATATGATCACCTACGATGATACTGCCACCTCCTACTAGAATCACTTTTGCATTTCCCTGCTTCGTCTTGACAAAGTCAACAGCCTCCTCTAGGATGCGTAAGATTTCTTTCAGTCCCGAGTCCTTGATCGTCTGCGGCACGAGGTTTTCGTCTTTCGAGAGAATAAGATCCGTAGCCTGGAATCATTGATTAATACAAGTATTTTATGCTGTGATTTATGAACGTACTGTCATGGTGGTCCCGCCAAAAGCGATACTCTCTACCTCAAGCCTAGCCCCAACAGAATCAGGCCCGACTGAGGTTCGACCGGTTTGACGGATAATAGATCCGCCACCGAGTGCGATGCTGTGGACATCTGGGATGGTGAAATTCGTTCGTACACCGGCAATCTTAACGAATGCAGCGGATTGACGAGGGTAGCCTGTCTTCAAAAGCGCGCAGATATCGGTTGTAGTTCTATAACTTGTTAGCCATCGGGGGCTTGTTGAGAACGGAAAGTTCTGGTGGCGGAATCCAAATCTCTAGGGTCAAGGAATAAGAAGAGTTATGAAACTTACCCTCCAACATCTATCACCAGAACTTCCTTATCGTCTGACTTCTCTGTTAATGTCTTTGCCAATAAAGCTGCACCCCTCGCGCTGTTAGTTGGTCCAGACCGAAAGCACTTGACTGGATATTCCGCAGCAGTGTGAGCTTTGCTCAAAGTTCCGTCATTCAGGGTGATGTATAAGTTGCATCTTCCAACTTTCTGGACAGCATACGCAAATCCAGCAATTACATGGCGGGCAAATCTTCGTAAGCTGGCGTTCAGAATACTCGCATTTTCGCGCTCAAGGAATCCAAGTCGTCCAATGGCATGAGAACAGGAGATATCGTAACCAGGGCCTAATCTGGAAGCAAGAATCTTCTTCGCTTCCTCTTCTTGAGTGGGATTTGAAGGCGAGTATATCCCAATGACAACTATGCTTGTTATTGATTTTGACTTAATGATTTCGGCCTGTTCGTGCAGCTGTTCCACATTCAATTCGGAAATTGGTGATCCATCGACTGGAGAAGTTAGTAATATCTCAGTGATTAAAAGAAACAAGTCAATTAGTAAAAGTGCTTAGCGCATTTTTGGACACCGCTATTTTTGAGGGGACACAGAAATTTCTGGTCGATAGTTGTCGGTAATTCAATAATGGATTTTTTTAATTCAATTGTAGAAGTAGTTGAAGGATGGAATACGACTTAGAAAGCCATGACCAGGATTTCCTTTAGATTTTGGGACGGGTAAGGAAAATGCATACCTTGATAACCACCTTGGACATACCCAAAATGTCCTTCCACCAACTTTCGCAGTGTGGGAGGAAAATCGACTATTCAAAGGTCAGTATTCATTAATGAGTTGTGTGCCAGGTCATAGCTACCGAACGGTGGAGAGCCTTGCGAGTATGGGCCACATAATCGAATGACAGCAACTTTATCTAATTTGCTTGCATCTTGCTCGAGGACAGCGTTCACAAATTGCTAATCAAAGTCAATATTTTGCAGGGTAACATAGCTGCAGGCTGGCTAAAGAGGGAAGAGCGTGTTGAAGTGCAAGAAGCCACCGTGCTCACGTTGGCTGCTTTTAACAAGTCCAATCCACGAAGACTTGAACTGTATGTTGAAAGTAGGAAAATTTGAGGCTCTTACCGTTGTTCCAATCTTTACAGATTCCACTTGGCCTGTAAGGAGTTCTGACTTCTTCACTACCGCTTCAATAGCAAGTTCAACGCCCGCTTGGATGTCTGGGGTCGTTGGAGTCTTATGCCAAGCTAGAACTCGGTCATTTTGAAGAACAACCGCTATAGCCAAAAGTCAGTCTCTCTTTGCAACGATTTTCTGTTGGGAAGTTTTCTAAAGCGGACTGACCATCGGTGTTCGTCCCGCCTACATCAATACCGATCACACAGGGAGAGCGTTTTGAAGAAGACATTGTCGCTATTGCAAAATCATGGGGAGAGAGGGGGGTTGTTTCTTTGTCAAAAGGGACATCAGCAGCATTGTGGAGATAGTTCAATTTCAAAGGCAGTCGGCTACTTCTCTCAGTTCGTACGGAAAACACCATAACCTACTTGTCATAAAAACCCTCCAAGGCTTGGATAGACCGTCAAGAGACTTACCCGTCCGCATACAGGCAGATCGCGGGGTGGCAAAACGGTCGCTACGTGAGTCAAGGCCCGCACGTGGACGGCTTCCTACTGGCCAGGACGACGACGTGCCGAGTCATGCGCGTTTCATGGGAGCGAGGGAGGGATGCGGCTGTTTTGATTGGCGATGGAACGTCGGTCGGTAAGATAACAGCGGGCTTCCATGCTACGCCCAAAACGGTACTTTTTGTCCGCCCCAGCGGGTATCATTGTGGGCGTGGACGGGATCGACTACTCGACCGAGGTTGTTATGGGGATATGGGTGTATTATTATTTGCGGGCGCCCCCTTACTTATTACTGCTGTGGCCCTGCTGTCCTGTGGTGCTGTGGGTGTATTGTGGGTGTACTGTGGATGGCTTTCCCTCCCTTTTCCACCAATCACAGCGAGGCCCGGCTCAACCTCCGGCAAAGTTTCAGGTGTGCGCCGTAGCATCTACCTTACCTACCTAGGACCCCAAGCAAGCACTTACACTGAGACTATACCAGAAATCATGGATGTTAATATCCTACTCTGGCGACACCTGCGCCCTGCCGTTTATTATTATCATTACTATTATTCAAACCCAGACGGATAGCGACGTAGGGGGGCTCGCGCTCTTATACTTAATAATCGCTCCGCCGGTTCAGACCCTTAGTTTCGACTTTTCGGGGTCGCCAATCTTCCTACCCACCCGGATAGCTTTTCAGACGAGACGGCCCTCCTCGCTTTTCGCGGAAACCCGAGGAGTGTTCCACTCTTTTGTTGAACGTCGTAACTTCCGCGGCTCCTCAGTCCCGCCAGAGACGCGACGATTGCGGAGTACCAGTGCTCTGCCAACTATCATGGCCGAGCTCGCACAGGAGCAGGATCATGCCTCGAAGCTGCCCTTCACCGCCGTAGCTGCCCCGGAGTATGGGGGCTCCAATGGCGATTCCAGTGGCGAGTCGACGGGACCTCGCGATCTCGACGACAGCGACAGCTATAAACCAATTGGCCCGCCTGCGACGAGAAAAGAGGTCTGGTCCTACTATGCATACTACGCTGGGAACAATGGCATCGGATCATATCAATAGTACGTCTGGGCATCTCCCACTCCGCACTTTGTTTTCAATCATCCAGCCGCTCACGCCATGCGAACAGTTCCAACCTTCTCTTCCAGAACCTCATCTACCAGGCAGGATTCAACCCGAATGTACTGCCCCTCGGCAGCGTATCCTGTGATGTCGATCCCAATGCTCCATGCCATGTCTGGTGGGGAGGTGGTCATCGACATAAGTCATACTCATCCGTTATCTTGATCGGAAATGGGTTGAGTTTCCTCTGCCAAGGGCTCATCTTTCTCACAATTGGGAGTTTGGCGGATTATGGCAGTTGGAACCCATGGATTGTGAGGATCTTCTCCGCTATCTGCTGGGCGTTCGAATTTGGATTTCTCGGTGTCAAGACCCCGTCCAAATGGAGAACTGCAATGGCCTTGTATATCCTGAGCAGTGCGTTGCCTTCTCCCGTCTTCACACTTGGTTGAGCCTTATGTCTAACTTATCTCTTGCTGTACAGGTGTTACATGGTGGGCTTCCTACGTCTTTTTCAATGCCATATTCCCTAAACTTGCGCACGACCTACCCGAAGCTCGAACAGCCAGAGAGAAATACCTAAATGGCGAACTCACTGCAGAGGAATACGAATTCAAAAACTCCATGGCGCGATCGAAGATCATGAATATCAGCTGGGTCTGGAACAATGTTGGGTTTTGTGTCTGCTGCGCCCTGTCGCTTGCTGCACTGTTCGGAGTTCACGCGAATGATTCGGTGCAAAATAACAACTGGGGCTACTCAATCTCCGTCGCTATCTGCACTGGGTTTTGGATCGTTTTTGGTATACCCTGGTTTCTGTGGGAGAAGAAGCGCCCTGGGCCCAGGATTCCGAAGGGTGACAATTATGTTACCTTCGGTTTGAAGCAGACCTGGTTCACAATAAAACAGGCATGGAAGCTGAAGCAGACATTCTACTACCTTGTAGCCTTTTTTCTGCTTGCGGACGGGATCGGAACGACCACTAGTCTGGTTTCCATTGCGCAGACGCAGACGGTCGATTTCTCCGCTACGCAAAATACGTATCTGATTCTGGTCCAAGGCGGATCTGCAATCATAGGCGTATCTGCAGTGTATGCCATTCAACGGCGCTTCAAGATCAGAACCAAGACCATGCTCCAAATTACAAACTTCGGATGCATTTTGCTTCCTTTATGGGGGATGATTGGGATCTGGACAACGAAAGTTGGCTACCATAATCTCTGGGAGTTCTGGTTCTTCGCTGGCCAGTACGGCTTCACATTAGGCGCACAGTTTGGGTATGGCCAAGCGTTTATGGCTGAGCTAGTCCCGCGCGGCAGGGAGTATATGTTCTTCAGTCTTCTGGGAATTGTTTCCAAGGGATCGGCTTGGATTGGCCCCATTGTCTCCAGCGCCATCGTCGATGATACTGGTAACCAGTGGACAGCCTTCCCATGGGTGGCTGCTTTAACCTTTGTTCCTTGGGTTGGGATCTTCTTCATCGACGAGGTCAAGAGCAGGAAGGAATGTGCCGAATATCTTGCGAACGAGGCCAAGGATCTACGGAAGGTGAAGCCTGGTTCTCAACCTGAACCTCAGCCTGAACCGGAACCTGAGCCTGAACATGAAAAGAGCGGTTGATGTGAGCCTGCAGTTTCGAAGTGGGCGAAATCCTTATAATCTGTTGTCGTTATATATACATATAGATTATTTTACAGTACACAAGGAGCATGTAATAATGTCTAACGTAAGGTAAAATCATCGTTCATCTAATTCTCGGCCTACTTACTCTGTTCAGTATAAATCAATACCAACACAAGCAGAGCTGCGTTGCCCCCTACAGTATCTGTGTCAACACCCTGTCGAATCCCCGTACACGGCGCACCTTGCACTCTTCGTGGACCTCTCATTGAGTCCCGTCTACATGCGCTTTCCTGTTTCCGGGCGCACCATGCACTTCTCTGCCGCTCCCATGGCGTGACCACGGTGAGAGCTGCTTAAAGGAGTTTGGTTTGCGTTGAGCCTTGATTTAGAGCCCGGTAGATGCATACACCATCCTCCATGCCATGAAGCGAGGATCGCAATACTCCATAAATGTACAGGAACATGTGGAGGTATATCGACGATTATACGTACGGGAGGAGGTATAATATCCACGTGATATAGCATCCCGTAATTCATAGCCAATCAGAAGGAGACGATGGTAGGGTTTCGCCATTCTGCCGACCTCTCCCTACGGACGTAGAGTTCCTGAGGTACTCCGAGTGCAACGGGACGGTTTGCAGTTACAGAGCACATAACATTGCTGATCAGTGCTGTAAGTGCAGCGCATCACACACACAGTATCCGGGGGTACGCAATACGGCGTAGTAACTGTACTGAGCACCCTACGATATGGAAGTCTAGAGAACTCTCGGCACTCGTATGGACCCCGGCAAGTCCCGGCGATCGACCGAGCAAAGGCACGGTAGTTGGAGCCAGCCGCCAGCAACCTCACTCCAACAACATCACCTCGTTTGCAGACCTCACTGATTGCACCTCCTCTGCTATCCGCCCAACCCGTGTGCCTCGTGCCGTTGTGCGAGAGACCTCGACGAGCTCTCGTCCAGAGCACTTATATCCGGAGTATAGATGCTGCCATGGCCCCAGGAATGGGCATAAAAGCTCCAGTTGCGCGTACCCGAACAGGTTTCCCTACCCCTCTTCATACCGGCACACGCGTCACTCACTAACTCATCACTTCCAGGCTGCTTGACATGTCGAAAACGCAAAGTCAAGTGTGACGAGCTGAAGCCCAATTGCGGGAAATGCCAACGACTCCAACGCCCTTGCGTCTGGAGTGAGGACCTCCAAGCACTCCCACACTCGCACGCCCGGTCGCACCAATACTCCCTCCCCCCATCATCTACACGCCCTGGCAGCGTATCGTTAAGCCGACCATCAGGGCAGAGCTTTGTCGTCGAGTTTCCTAATGTGAATAGAGCTACTATTCCGTATATCCATCACTTCGTTACGTTCTGTTGTCGCTTCCTAGCGTATCCGAATGATAGCGAGGGCAATCCGTTTCAAGAAGAGCTGGTGCCCTTGGCGGTTCAGAGCCCGGCGTTGCTGCATTCTATGGCAGCAGTCGCGGCTGGACATCTAGCGAGGAGTCAACGGCAGCATCAATTAACGGCAACGAGGCATTATTCGATGGCCTTGAGGGGGTTGACGACTACATTGAGCAATCCGGTAGCTGCCAAGAGCGACGCTACCCTGGGAGCTTGCCTGCTGTTATGTGTCTACGAGGTAGGCTGTAACTGTCTCATAGCATGAGGTCTCACAGCTGATGGTTACAGATTTCACACTCTGAGAGTGGTCTATGGCTACAACACCTCCAAGGAGCTAGAGATCTCATTCTTTACCGGGGAGGCCCGAGGACTACAGATTACTTGTCTCGGTTCTTTTCTCTGCTCGATGTTTCAGGCTCTTTGTTTGCTGGTGGTGGGCCGTTGCTTAAAGGAAATTATTGGCTCGAGGATAATGTTGCCAATACGCCGGAAGGCAGTAAGCAGAAAAGTGCGATTCCGAACTGGCCTGCTTATGACCCAGATGGAGTAAGTCTTTATCAGCAGGCTCCTACCTCGCAAGTGACGATTTATTAATATCATCTAGGAGAACGAAAACCATTTCCACACCTTGATGACTTTCATGGCCAGAATGTCACGTCTCTCATCGGAATCCATGGCCAAGGATGCTGATCCAGCCTATGTCCAAGCTACCGCTGCCAGCATCCGGGATGACCTCAACCGCTGGTGGCAGTCTTGCCCCCCAGCCCTCCGAGATCAACCCACCGATTGGCGACGACAGATCCGGCCACGAAAACTCACCGTTCCCGAAACTCTGCAAGAAGAAGGCATGTCCAGTATCCGCTCGTGCTTATTTGGGTGCATCATCTATCTGAACCACATTCTCGATCCCGTTTGCCGGGAACCCCGAAAACCTGAAGTGACCGAGGCTATTGTGGAGATCTTGGACATTGCCAAGGAGACTCCAGAGGGATATGGGTTGGAAATGGGCTTATACTTTGGCTTATTCATGGCGGGAATCGCGGTTTTTAACGAGACCGAGACAGAGGATCTGCTAAGGAGAAAACTTAAAGCGGATACCAGCGTCAGTATCTACGTACGTATCACATGTAAAAGTCAAGGTATATATATGTAAGCTAACGTGTTGGCAGCATGCGGATCGAGCCCTTGAACTGTTGGAGGTTCTCTGGGGCAGACAACATCGATATGGAGTCAAGTACGACTGGCGCCAAGTGCAAACACAAATGGGTATCCAAGTGTATGTTTCCGTCTCACATTCCCTTGTCTTTGAATAAAGCTTTCAAGGAAATATACTCACAGTTGTTGCCCCGTGTAGGTATATCTTTGCGTGAGGCAATATCCGCTAGCGGTTCACGAAGATTGTCAACAGCCGGCACCAGAGAATGGCGTTTTATAGGGGTCCCCAGAAGAGCAGGTCTCGTTACGACTCCCCCAGGCTTCACCAATCACGTGGCACGTTTCCTCATGCATCATATCACAAATACCTTATGGAGTATAGGTTTTGAGGTTGGGCTAGCTTGTGGGTATTTCTTCTCTCAAACCAGGATATCAAGGTACAGATGGGCTAATAGAAGGCATAAACAAAGACTTTCCTCAGAGAAGGGGCACTTCCGAGTATTATGAAGCAATCCGATTGTTAACGGAGCGGTAGCGGAAGGCGGAAGAGGGAATGATCATATTTATGAGCGCAGAGGATATCGCAATCGCAGCCGTTCTTTCGAGACCTCGTCGATATCGCGACTATAACACCAACCACCCGATCCTCCGCGCTTACGACGTGGTGGAAGTCATGGATGAGGGTAAAAGTCACATACCGAAGTCATCAATGCGAAATTGGATTAACACCGGTGGATCATGGGAACATGTGTTAGGGAACTAAAGGTGGGATCGGGCAGCAACATCAAGAAGCGCGCGAGAAGAGGATTGCTGCCGTGGAGAAGGTCTAAAGAAAGAACCCGAGGATACCGGAGAGCCTTGTGGAGAAGAAGTTTAGGCCAACGCGCATGTGGTGTGGAAATAGAGAACAGATGGATCAGTGAAAGATGGCATGGTAATATTTCATTGGAGAATGTAGGAACATTTCTCAAATCTAGGACTAATATGAGTTAATCTAAAGAAGAGATGCAATAATCGTAGGTCCTCTGGGGCCCGTTCTGATTATACGTGAATGCCTACCACGGCTGAAGGGGTGCAAAAGTGGAGTTCGAAGACCTTACGGAGTAGGTACCTACCTATAGTACGATTATATCAAGTCTTTCCAAACAAGATCTCACGTGAAAAACTTGGGACTGTGCAAGTAGTCGATTGAGCATGCTGCTCTTCGAAGTTGACCTCCGAGTCACCATTTGCCACTCTAGTCATTCATACCTTAACCATCATCAACCGTCCCACCTACGAAAATAATGTCCAGCATCCAACTTTCTGTGAGAATGCGCGAGACCAGCTGCAAATGGTGCGAGCTGAACGCCGCCGTCCATATCTTCGAAAACGCACCTCTCTGCTCTGTATGCCCCTTGAAAGCGCTTGATGCCATCAAGCATCTCCGACTCTGCCCTCGACGCAAATCCCTCTTTCTTGATCCCGAGGAAGTGAGGGAGCTTCTCGGCGATCGTGGAGTGGCTCTGGTCTGTAAAGAATCTGGATATTACAAACCGTAGGATTTTCATCAATGTCAGTCTGTTACATGGGTATATATAAGGCACTATTGGTTCCGTTGGTGATACTCTGGCAACACAGAAGCAAAAGTCGATGATTATGTAATTCATGGATGGGATAAAGGGGGTCCCTTAGCCCCTTAGCCCCTTACCCCTTTATCGCTTAAACTGTCTAATGAGGATCGCCAACTTGGAAGTACCGGGTACAGCAAGCTTCTTGACCACGTGTAGATTGTCACATGATTTTGAAGTTCTAGGTAATCACCGTTTTTCTGCATCTCTTCCCCACAAGCTCCCCGGGGCATCAAAGTTATCCATGGAGCCATGCATATGGCTACGTGCATTCGGTATGACAAGGGAGAGCTGCAGAGTAGGCTTATTCATCACACGAGCCAGCCATGTCCTGTACACCAACTGCCATTTTAAGATTAGCTTTACGGTGCTCGCACGAAGCTCTGCAAGGCGTGATTCACGGTATCTAAGTCCTCTTTTCCCTTTCCATTAATCTCATTCCACTTCTCTCATTTTTCTGTGATACTCATTCTTCTCCACAAATGAAGTTAGGAATCCTATTTCCGGTCGTGTTTGCTGGCATTAGCCGGGCATTTGCTTCTCCCCTTGGGAAACTCAGCACAGTGAGATATCAGGATGGGCCACTTACGCGCAGGGAATCCGATCAATCTTATCCACCTAATACTATAGATATGCCCGTTAGTCTTAAATTCCTCACGTCTTCTGTTAGATCTAATAGTCATGTAGATTGATCATTTCCCCGAGAGCCCTCGCTACGCACCTCATACGAACGCAACTTTCAAGCAAAGATATTTCTTTGATTCGTCCTATTATAAGCCCGGAGGGCCAGTTTTTCTTTACATTGGTGGTGAAACTTCAGCCGAATCTAGGTTTTCTAACTTAAAAACAGGCAGTAAGTCCCTTTCAAGGCGTTGACTGGCCCTTTTTTCAATAATATTTTGGCAGTTATCCAGATCTTAATGCAGGCTACAAATGGCCTCGGAGTCATTCTGGAGAACCGTTATTATGGAAAAAGCTACCCTTTCAATACAAGTACGACAGATGAATTAGCTTATATGACGACGGAACAAAGTTTGTCAAGCCTACCAAAGTTGCCGTATTCTTTCTGATTCTCGTACTCCAGCCATTGCAGACAATGCCTACTTTGCTCAACATGCAGTGTTTCCGGGTGTTGAAGGAGATCTCACAGCACCAGGCACGCCTTGGATCCTGTATGGAGGAAGTCTGGCTGGTGCACAGACTGCATTCTCAGTAAAGACGTATGGAGACATTCTGTATGGAGGTATTGCTAGTAGTGGCACTATCCAGGCTGTATTGGGTTATCCTCAATGGTGAGTCAACCTAGATTTTCTCCTACGTCTGCTGATGTGCCTATGCAAGGTATGATCCAATTCAAAAATTTGGTCCTTCCGATTGCATTGCGAGCATAAATTCCATCATCGACAAAATGGACTTCCTGATTGCCTCCAAAAACGAGGAAGCAGTTCAGAAATTGAAGGCTATTTTTGGACTTGAAGCTTTGTCTGATAACAGAGACTTTGCAATGACTATAGCATTTCCACGTACGTCTCCTAGCACCCGCGTCTTTAGGTGTAGACACTGACAATGAATTCGAGTCGGAGGGCCAATGAACTACCCAACGAATACCTGGCAAGAACTCAATTGGTATTCTGGATATACCACCGACGACTTCTTTAACTTCTGTTCTAATGTGACCAATATTTTCGCACCGGAAAACGTAACATCTGTCGATTATATCCTGGCCGAATATACTAATGGCGAACCGTGGACCAATCTTGGTAACTACGCCAACTACGTCAAGAATACTCTATTACCACTTTGCGATGGCGTCGACATCGATAGCACGGCATGTTTCGGCACTCAGAATGGTTTGTATTTCTTTGCAATTTTCGGGTTTCACTGACAAGCTGCCAGCAACCTACTGGGCGGATCCCACAAACTCTGGGGGCCGCTCTTACTTATATTCCAGTACGTTTCCCTAATATTGACCCCCCTTTTTCTAAGGCAAAACACTAACTAGGATACATCAGCATGCACAGAGCAAGGAGCATACCAGGTCGCCCCTGAATATGGACCATCATTGGTGTCCCGGGTCTTGCAAGTTGACTATACGTAAGAACAGTGATAACCACTCCAGAATCATACTGAAAATAAAGCTTAGGCAACAATGGTGTAACTGGGCCTTTCCTCCCGGCAAGTATAATTCCATACCGCCCACCCCAGACCTAGACAGATACAACAAATACGGCGGCGTCAACCTCCGGGCTGACCGTCTTGCCTTCATTGATGGTGGTAAGTTCTTGTTCATTTTGTCTCATGTAAAGCTTAAGCATACTGAAAGATCCCTAGATTCCGACGTTTGGCTTGATCTTTGCTATCATTCAAACCTTGCCCCGCCCCGCCACTCATCCGACTTACACCCAGAATATCTAATTGCAGGCGGCGGTCACCATTGGGATAGTTATGGGATACTGGATCTCTCGGCTGAGCCTCAGTATATTCAACAGGCCCACTTGTGGGAGATTAGAACGGTCCAGAAGTGGCTTAAAAGCTGGAATTCAACGAAGGGTTTTCGATGAGTTCTTGCTCTGAAGTTGACGGGGGATTTAGACTATTTGATAATCAATCATCTAATGAATGAATGTGTTGAAAAGCTTCACTGCGAACTGCATAGGTGCGTTGGTTCCCTCGGACTTTCTGCTAGAGGGGTTTATTTCACGCATTATCTACCTGTCTTGGGGCCATACCCAGCTTCTATATAAAGATCATGGCCTCTTATATTGTGTGGTGCTCGTATACCAAATTATTACCAAGTAGATCTGAATTTGAAGGGTTTCTGAAAGGCAAAGGTCCTCCAGAGTCGATTACCCCGCTATCCCACTTACCGAATCAGGCTAGAAGGCTTCACTCCTATCTCCCTCCAATGGCAGAAGCAGAGCCTCTAACCATAGTGAAGCCAGACATCAGTATCGACAATCTTCTGGGCCAAGATGACAGCGCCCTTCACAGAACCAACGACAAATTACTGGCAGGAAATCCTCCCAGAAGGCCCAGATACCCCTCCACCATGGAAGTATGGTGTCCCAGCACGCTTACCCGACTCAAGAATCCTCGTCCTTCCAATCCGACCCCTGAATAATGCTGCTAATGATGCTGTCGCTTCTCTCCTCGTCAATCAAGCCTCGCTCGATGTAGTCGCAGAGCTGGGAAACTTCCTCGCAGAGCGTGTTCGCCCTTTCCAACCCGAGGTTATCATTGGGCTGCCAACCTTGGGCTTGAGTCTCGCTCCAATCGTTGCTCAAAAGCTGGGACTGAGTGAGCTTCGCTCTGATGAAAGTGTAACTACTATATACTGATGCCAAGTCAATTGATCAGAACGTTATGTCCCTTTAGGATATTCACGGAAGTTTTGGTACACGGACGATCTCTCGGCAGATGTTTCATCCATCACATCTCCCGGACTAGGTTTGAAGAAAGTCTATCTCGATCCGTATCAGCTGCCGTTGGTCAAAGGGAAAAAGGTCGTTATCATAGATGATGCTGTGAGTTCCGGCAGAACTCTTCAGGCGACTTGGGATATGCTGGAGAGGATTGGGTGTGATATTCAGGCGTGTGGGGTGGTTATGAAGCAGGGCTCAAAGTGGATGGGTGTTCTGGGTGAGGACAGGGTTTCCAAGCTGGTCTACGTGCTGGAAAGTCCACTGTTGCGAGCTGTAGACGGAGGATGGGATATCCGGCCGTGAAGTCGGAGACCTGGGGTTGGGACCTTGAATTTTCAGATGAAAAGATACTCGGACAGTTCCCTTGCCAGAGCATAACTCGCTGGTACGTGAAACCTCGATTCCAGAAACCGAATCAAATCAAAACGAAAGGCAAATCTGAACGACTTTTATTATCATTACAGACCACTTTCTCAATGTACCGATTGACAATGTCGAACAACATTCGGCGTCTGACGGCAACCAATGATTCGCTAAACTCGGACTTCGCCGATGTTTACCCCACATTTTGTAAAACTCGCATATGACCGGAAAACATTTCTACCTTATACTAGAAAATAGACCGAACTTTTGCCGAAAACAGGGGTATTTTTTTACATTCTTATTAGCCCGCTTCTTACCTTACTACCTTAGGCTCTACAACGCGCCTACGCGCTCTCTTACCTTCCTACCTCCCTACCTCCTACCTACTTATATATTTTTTATTTAACGCCTATCCTCCTCTTACCTCTTCCTTACTCTTTACAGATCCTTTTGTTTCGTCTGTTTTAATCCGCTCTCTCTTTACTACCTAGCTGTTCTACTTCTATTCGTAATAAAATCCCTTACGCTAACCCTTACGCTAACTCCTACGCTAACTCCTACACTAACTCCTATGCTAACTCTTACGCTAACTCTTACGCCGTCCTCTCTTATTTAGTACTAGACCTGTAACAAGCTCTGTCCTACTGTCGACTTTACTATTAATAAGAACAAGGCCTGTTACAAGAAGTGTTTTCGCTATAAGGTATATAGTTATAGCTTTTTATAGCGAAGCTAACCTTTTTATTACTATATAGGATCGCGTAGAGCAGACTGTACTTAAAGATCTTAATCCTAATACTAATAGGGCGCGCCTAACCTGTTAAACCGCTACCCGGCTAGCCTCTAAGGCCGAGCTTACAGATACCCCTACTCTAAAACGTACCTATAGACGCCCTTGTTAGGGTGTTGTTATTTAGCGTCTACCTTTACGACAGCTAGGACGCCCTTACTAGCCTCTAATAAAAGCTACTCTAGAGCGTAGAGGTTTTATAGTATACAAAGACCCTGTTTCTAGACTGTCTCTAAGTCTATAGGACGCTGTTATAACTAATATTCTATACTTACGGCTTTCTATAGACCTACAATCCTCTAAGTTCTACGACCTAAACTTTACGCTACTATTAGACTCTAAGCTCTAGCCTTACGACCCTTAACTCTCTCCTAATCTCTCTAATCCTTTCTTAACCCTATAGTCCCTAGTTATATACCTCTTATAACGGTCTAGTAGTAGTCTATAACCCTCTATACCTAAAGACAATCCTATACCTAGTAGACACCTAGTAGCGTTCTTGTCTTACTTTAACACTATAGTAGAGGCCTATAATTTAGGCTATATAACAGACGTCTGTTATTACTATTACGCTTTATAGTAGGTTAATAAGGGTATTTTATACTACCTTAATAGGGAGGTAGAGCTCTTATGTATTACAGACCTACTACGCTTTTTATAGAGGCTCTTAGATAAGACAGATACTTATAGCCAGGACTTTATAAGAAGTATATAAGTATATAACTTAGTACTTATACTTACCTCTTATAATTTTAAGAAAGACACCTGTTTTAATACTACTTAAGGTATCTACGTCTTTTCTATCTATAGTAAGCTTTACTACAGCTAGGGCCTGTTAGAGCCGCTACTAGGTAAAACCCCTACCTTTACCTAGCTATTTATTTACGACCCGGATTATGCTGACTCTATTTAGCTATAGAGGTTTATAGGTTTAAACCCTAAGGTCCTTTACGAGCTTTTAGAATAGCTTTATAACAATAATTATTTTGTAAAGCTATATAAGACAGCTAGTAAGCGGCTCTATAAATAGTAAGGTGATTTCTAGGTACTATTAAATCTATAAATACGGCTAGTTCTAGAGAAGGGTATAGACTATTATAGGTACAACCTACCTACTACTAGCGACAAGCTAGTAGCTATTATTACGCACGAAACAACAGAAGAAACACGCTATAATATCGTCCTTATAGTCTATAACTTAGGTAAGAACGGCCGCGCTATTTAGTAGATTAATCCTACGACTATAGCGTATATACCTCTTTACTACGTACTTCTCTTTCTATATAAGGACTATAGCTAGTACTATAGGTTAACTCTCTATAACTAGAACAGTACCTGTTAGTAGACCTGTCTATAATAGCGCTAGTACTATTAGTACTATCTTATAGCCTATAAACGCTAGTTTTTAATCCTTTACTACTCTAGACGCCTGTTTTAGTAATATTATATTAATAGTTACGTCTGTTATAAGTATACTAATCTCGACTAGATTAAACAGAACTAGCCTAAGATACAGGCTAATCTTTACTAGGGCTTAGTCGATATAATAATCTATAAGGATATTAGCCCTAACGAGCTTAGCCGTAAGATCGTCCTCTCGGCTACTTATATAAGTAGTAATAAGAGTATATAATAGTAGTTTTAGGATTTAATAGCTATCGTCTATTACTTTAGTAAGCCAACCCTTTTTATTACCTTTATAGTAAACCTAGACTAGCTAGAGATTAGGGAACAGCTATTATAAGGCTAGAGTACTAGTGATCAGCCTAATATAGTAGTCTGTATCTTCTGCTAGAAGGTTAATAAGCTATTAAAGGACGTCTATAAGGGTGTTTTTAGGCCTTATAGTACTTACGTATATACAATCAAGTACTAGAAACGCGGCCTACTATACATGTACCTGTTGTTGTTCCTTAGGGTACGTACAGATTACCTTACCCCTAATTAGATTAATTAAATCGTCTGTACTAAGCTTCTAGACCCTTTATAAGACCTAATAAGTAAGTTAGTAAGCGTCGTTACGGTTTAGATAGCCTATAGCCCTTATAAGAATAATAATCCTAATAGTCCTTACATATAGAGTACGACGCCTAATAGCCTAAAAAAGTACTTAAAGTACTTCTTAAAGGCTTTTACAAAACAGACAATTGTCTAAGAGGATTTGTACTCTAAATACTAACGCTAGGATAATAGGTATACGTTTATAGTCCTTAAACTAGGCTACCTTAGGGAGTAAGTAACCTGTAATAATCATTAGGTAGTCCCTTATAACCTGTACCTACTCTAGAAGTTCTACTATTATATTAACGTTAAGGTTTGTACAAGTATTACGGCTGTTAAGTATATGTATAAGTACGTTTATAAGGGTTTAGATTATACGACTATAGCTATTTTAGAATCTATAGACGAGATTATATAGTATATTTAGGCCTGTTACATAAGTACGATAGAGGCGTACTAGCGTTTGTTTAAGTTTAGGTATTACTAAGAGTACTTATACGTAGAGCGTTTAGCCTTATACCTAAAGGGTTAATAGCCTGTCTATTATAGTAAAGACTTAACCTCCTCTTAGTTAGCCGTAAGGGCTAAAACAGCTAAGACAACCTTAATAGGCTTCTTTAACTATAACACCTGTTATAATCTAGATCTAAAAAGACTGTACTAAGAGTTCCCTAACTACTACGTATAGTACAAGAAGCTAGGGTAGTAGCGCTTATAGTAAAAGGGGTAGGGTATTAGGCGTATATTCTACTATAGCCCTGTTATAAGTAAGCGTTACTACTTACGGCTCTTACTTACTGTTGTTCTTAGTCTGAAATCGTTTAAGGAGCTATACGATTTTAAGGGCAAAACCTACTTAACGTATTACGCTACGTATATAGTACGTAGGTTGTACAAGAGTGATTAGGAGTAGTTTTAATACTTTAATAAGGCTAAGGTCTTTACGTCTAGAAGTAGGTTATAGGCGCTTTTAGTGTTAGGTATCTGTTACAAGGCTATTACAGATCTAACAGCTCTATAGGATTAGTTTAAGGATGATCTATATAACGATCTACGCTACTAGCTTAGACAGGCGCTTACTAGCTCTTTTCCTTTCTTGTTACTTAATCCTTACTACGATTATAGACTGTTTCTAATAGAAAAGGGGCTTACGGATTAAGGTAAGTCTCTAGTAGGCGTACGGTTACCTAAAAACAAGTTTAATTAGTCTTAGGTAGAGGCCGTAACAAAACAAGAGTACGATCTTATAATAAAGGCGGCTCTAGTTAAAGAACGAGTACTACTATTAAACGTAAGCTAGAAGGAGTACTATAATTAGGTTGTTACAGCTATTTAAGATAGTCTAGAAACAGCCTACTTTTATCTCTAAGGCTCTAGTAGCACTAGTAAGACGTTCCTTTACTAGACTCTTTACTACTACTTCTAGGGCTTAGGTAAGACAGTTTTCTATATTACCTCTATAAGTATTATAGCCCTCTTGCTCCCGGGTAGCTATACCTCTTACTCTTTGTTTAAGATCCCTGTCTCTATCTATAAGACGTCTAGTAGTACAATAACTAAGACTTTACAAGCTAAAAAGCTCTTACAACAGGCTAATTTAATTATCTAGGATAAGGTTCTTATATAAAACAAGTACTGTTTTAAGGTAGTCTACTAGCTGTTTATAGACTTATAGGGTACTACAGATAACGTTCTCTTTAGTAGTATACTTGTTATCCTTAGTAGGGACTTTACTTAGATCCTCTTAGTCGTCTGTTACGGCTTACGGGCTAATATCGTTATAGTATCCCTTTAGAACACGTAGATCTAGCTATAGCTTAGGTAGTTATACTTACAGACTAATATACAGGTAAAGGACAGTCTATAAGATTAATAGTTTGTATAGTAGATTAGTAGCCTGCTGTACGACCCTACCCTTTATAGCTAGGTAACAATACCCTTATATATCTCTTAGCCTTAGACTATACGTAAGCTTATTAACTCTGTTTACTTACAGGCTTTATTAGAGTAGGCTATTATAGACCTTACTGTCTTTTATAGTTAGGCGATCCTGTCTGCCCTAAACAAGACTATAATAGAGCTAAATCACTTAGTCTTTAGCCTGTTTAATCCTAAAGGCGAGTTATAGACTTATGTAGTAGTTAACTTAGTAGACGTAAACGATACTAATCTAGACGTTATAGTACTACTAGTTAAGTACTTATAGAGTATCGATCTCCTGTCGTTACCCTTATTAACCCTAAAACTTAAGGAAGGCACTCTAATTATAGTGTTATAAAACCTATGCCCTTAGGAGAGGCTGTATAACAGGTCGCGGATAGTCGTTACTAGGCTATAACAGTACTATATTAAGGCCTAGTTTATTAGTAGTAACTTTAACAGGTAGTTATAGACGATCTCTTACATTAAGTTGTCGTCTACTAAAGAGGATTCTCTTTCTTTTACCCTAATCTATAAGTAGTTTCTAGTCTGTCTAAGTTTTGCTATAACGATTAACAAGTCTTAAAGGTAGTCGTTTTTACGGATTAGGCTAGATTTATAGTTCCTTGTTTTCTCTTACAGTTAGTTCTATATAGCCGTCTTCTAGGTTACGTCTATAGTAGGCCTGTCTGTTCTTTTACTAGAAAGAGTAAGTACTACTACTAATGTCGTCTACCTAGAGGTGTTACAGGATATTAATCTAATAAAGTAATCCTTTACGGTTTAATAGCGTACGGCGTTAGCTATATACTTATAGCGTTATCTATTTTTATAATACTATATATATTATATACTATATATTGTTCTTCTATAAGTATTATATCTATACTTTATAGTCTGTTTTTACTGTTTATAAGCGTTAGAGAGGTTTTAGGTATATACTTTAGTATAATTATTCTAGTTCTATTATATAACCCTTATAAGGGTGCCCTTTACAGGACTTAGTAGTCTATAAACTATACCTCTACTCTTTCTCTTTGTTATCGTCGTCCTTATCCTTTACCTTAGCTTAGGCTAGGACAGTAAGCTTAAGCTAGATTTCGGCCTAGTAGCCTACGATTTTAGCCCGGCCTAGGGTTTAGGCTTTGTTAAGAAGTTAGGTAAAGTAGCTATATAGTATAAGTAGTACTCTAATAGTACTAGTACTAGGGACGGTAGAAATAGGGCCGCAAGGGCTAGGGCTATAGTAAGGACAAGGGCTAGTAGTAAGGTAGGTAGTAAGTACGTATACTAGGGCCGGGGCTAGTAGGAAGGTAGTAGCTATTACTAGTTAGTTATAAACTTATAATTAGGATGTTATAAGGCGTTACTATTAGTGGCTAAGGTAATAGTAGAGAGGGCTACTATATATAGTAAGTTTTTTGTCTATATATAATAAGGGTAGTACACTTATAGTAACGTAAGGGACAAGGGCCTAAGGCCGGGGCTAGGGCTACTAGGGCCGTAAGCATAGCTCCTAAGGCCTATACTAGTAAGACAGGTAGTATAACAGGCGGGCTAAGGGGTATAGGCGCGGCCGTAAATACGGCGTTAATAGTAGATATAAGGGCGGCAGATAGCGTAGGTACAAAAGTCTAGCCTACGGCCTGTTAGTTATAGTATACCCTAAATCTGCCCTGTTAAGTTAACTTATAGAGGGAGTAACAGATCCCCTTACTACTATAGTAGTAATTCGTACAGCTCTAACTTAGCCGTCTAGGTACTATAATACACTCTATCTATAGGCCGGCACTATTTTAACAATAGCTATAGCCTAGAAGGTTTACCTAACCTACGATATAGGCAAGCTCTACCTTTAGGTTACTAGCCCGGTTTTAGTTTAGCGGGTTACGGCCTAGACAAAGAGTTACCGGCCGCTATAGTACTATAGTAGCGAGGGCTGTTATAGCGTAAGTAGCGTTCTAAGGAAGGAGGGGAAGGGTAATAGCCCTAACAGACAGGTTAGTATTAAGGTACGCTCTATATTTAGGGTCTTTAGCTAACTTATAGGGCGGTAAGGGCGGCGGCTATAGTAGTAGTAAGGGCGATAGCCCTAATAGACAGGTTAGTATTACTATACGCTCTATATTTAGGGTCTTTAGCTAACTTATAGGGTAGCGGTAGTAGTAAGGGCTAGGGTAATAGCGGCCGTAACGCTAGCTAGAAACACGGCTTTAAAGCCAGGAGGAGAGGAGCTAAGGACCGAGCTAGCCTAACTATTAACAGGCCGTTAGCTACGTATATAGTAGTCTATTATAGCTAGAGGTAGGTAGTTACTTACGTACTAGTAGAGGGGTTACTATTATAGGCGAGGGAGGTTAGTGGCCTATTAGATCCGTTAGTCTCCTTACTCCCTAGATCTAAGGGTTAACTTACTATAAGCCTCTACGAATTATAGTACCCTTAGCGGGCGTAAGAAAGTCCTTCTCGAATCTATCTATCTAAAAACAGTCTGTAAGGTTAAGAATAACAGGCCGTAAGTAGGGCTATATACTAACTTTGTCTTTAGTGTTATAGTTATAGTTAAAGTTAGAGTTGTAGTTATAGTTAAAGTTAAAGTTAGAGTTAGAGTTAGTAGTAGGTAAGATAAAGGATCGTTAAGATCGAGTTTCTATATAGCTAACTACTACTATTGTCTCTTTTAACAGTAACAAAGAGATTAATTAAGCCCCTTATAGCTAATAAGAGTACTCTATCCGTAAGTAGCGATTTTGATATCACGTGCCGTTACTATTGTCGTCTACAGGTAATAAGGGGCTTAATTGTTCTGTACTATACTTACTAATCAAATATTTTTAGGTCACGTGACTAAGCATTGCACCCACGCGAGCGAAGCGAGCCATTGCATCCTAGTCCCAAATATCGTGGCCTTCAACTTTCGTCTCAGGAATGGTGTCATCTGCGAGCAGGCAATCCGCTACGATGCCCTCCCTTGAGAGCTCGATCAGTCCCAACTCCTGAATTCCGCCAGGCTTGGCGTGTAGACGTATTCTACAATGACTTCAAGGAGCAAGACGGGGTGGTGAGTCCTCAAAGTGGCTCTGGATGTCTGCCCTTCCCCTCCCACTAACCTCACTTCCTGGTTCCTAGTCAGTTTTGCCGTATTAAACACTTGAGGTGTAAGCACACAAAGCCTCCTATATTCACATATATACGGGGAACCCGTTTTCAATACAGATGTTAATCACTTGAACTTCCAGGTGATCAGGATCTTCCAGCTTGCGGTCGTTGCAAGGCTGCTGGAATTGCATGCATCAAGGGTTACACGTACAAGTTTTGTTATTGTACAGATTCCCTCTATTGCAGTCGACGAGTTGGTTCTGATATTTGAAGATGATTTCGCGAAAGATCAGAAGTGGCTGTCCACACCAAGTGATTGTAAGTTCTGACCACTGATCTGACTGGCCGGTGTCTGTGGATATCCGCTCGTTCGCATCTCTTCATGAGTGACTTCTCTGTACTTCATATTCTCTGGATACATTGAAAATCATACCATTTGCCCAATTTCTCGAAAAGACTAAGCAATCCATCTGCTACTCAAAACTGTCTATAGACTCCCCAGTTCCATGTTGACTTGCTGCAGTGACTTTCATGGATGAGACAAACGATGTTGCCAGCTTCTATGATAGCGAACCTCGTCCTGAACGTCTCATTCCCCGGCCAGAGGGAAGGTCCAAGGATCAATCCATTCCCCGTGAATATGAAGGCCAACAGTTATTATCTCAAGTCGGGCTTCGATCATCATCAGAAGGGACGCAAAGTTCTACTTGTTTGGCCTCTCAAAGAACCAGTTCTGCCGGCAAGCCTTCTACTGAGCTCATTCTCTTCTCCCAACCCTTGCAACCACAAGCTCCGGGTCAATCATTGCCATCCTTTGATCATCCATTAACTATCGAAGAACTGATAGACCAGGGAGCAGCAGGATCCTCACATCCATCCAGTTCTGAAGAATATGTACATAATCAACTACATTCATTACCACCAATATATTCCAACACCCCTGTTTGGCCTCTGACCGACCCGTCAGAGGCTCTTCTATTGCGCCACTTTGTGCAGAATCTTGCAATTTGGGTACGACGAACTCTCGCCTCCTTTGGAGTTGGCTAAGAATGCCTGCTGATTCAACATAGCTGGACCTCTGCGACCCAAAGCAACATTTCCAGATCGATGTTCCTCAAAGAGCCGGGACATGTCGGATTTTGCTGAACGCAATCTTTGCGTTATCCGCGAGACACTTGAATCGAATCGGTAACTACGATTCGTTTGCATCGAATCGGTATCATCAGGAGTGTCTCAAGTTTCTGATTCCCATGCTGAATGATACTGCCACTATATCGGATGAAAGCCTTTTTGCGGCGACTATTATCTTACGTGTGCTTGAAGAAATTGACAGTAAGTAATCGAATAGTCCTATTCGAATAAAAGCTAAGGCATCGTTCAGTGCCGGAAACAGAATCCCAGGGCCACCTTCTTGGAATCCAGGTCTTTGTTGGTGCTCGAGACCCGTACGCCATGGGTGGTGGGTTGGGCGAGGCCGCTTTTTGGGTAGGTCTACGCCAGGAGATCTACAGCGCAATGATGAATCATAAATCCATCCAGCTCAATCTCGAGCATTGCATAGTCGACCGTTCTATTAAACCAGCCAGCGATTACGCATGGGCCAATCGAGCAGTTGTTCACTGTGCCGACGTATTGAATTGCTGTTTTGGCGAACAGGGAGTTCTGACTGTGCGGTGGAGAGACCTCTCGGAGTATAATGAGCAATGGAAAAAAGCAAAGCCGTCTTCCTTCACGCCCGTATATTATCGAAAGCCGGATCGTGAGAAGAGAGAAGTGTTTCCGGAGATTTGGTATTTCCAGGCTTGTCATAGTAAGTTTTAGTCTGAGGCCAGAATAACCTTGCTCACTATCAAGTTAGTAATTGGCATCCAGCATCATCTACTTGCACAGATGATTCTTGCAATCTTTGATCCTAAGCTCCCTCGAGTAGGAGGTAATCGAAGTGCCGCTGTCCGAGAGATGGAGGTACACTGCCCATCCCGTTCTTGTGAAATTATACTAACATCTCGCAGACTCAAGTACAATGCAGTCTCAGAGAGTTATGCGGTATTGGACTATACAACAGATGGACCCCACCGGGAATATTCACCGCTTCGATGGGCATTGCAATATGTGAGTGTCGAATTGATAGGGTACTCATTTAAATGGTCTTGGCTAAAAACCTGTCATAGGTGGCGATCGCTGCTCTGAACGAATAGAACAAGAAGCTTTGCTTGACGTTCTGATCAAAACAGAGAAGGATCACGCACGTCCTACAGCAGCAATCCAACATCAGATGAAAGAATCTTGGGGTTGGACCTCGAAAGGTTGAACTATGTGATCATACGGTCTGATACGTCGTTGGTTCAACTTACAATTATTGTCAAGAAGTGGACGATGACCTAGTATTCACCGGCTCTGCGAAGTTGAGATACCGACTCTAAGGAAGAAAGCTACTCTGAATGGTTGTTTCAACAGATTTGCTTATCGATACTTGACTGGCATCTGTCTGTTTTCTAGGCTTTAAAGTCTACTACGATGGTCTTTGCAGTGAGGTTACCAATTTCAAAATCGAACTAAGATCCCATAGATGGCTTGAGAATCTCACATCCGGGCCCTGATGAGCAATTCCGGGTATCTTGGGAAGGAGGAAAAAGAGTCATATGTCCAGCATATTGGACTACAATAGTCATTCTGATCGGCAGCTTGTATATCATCCCAATATCCAACGCAGAATGGATATAGCTTCGCTGATTTTCGACTTCCCCCTCCTGGTCACCTTCGGGCTACTCAACTGAAGGTCTGTAGTACGAACTTATGCTGAGCTTACACTCTATAAATTTGGTGCTTATTAGCTTTCGGGACATAAGAAGAGTGTCAGGGCCGATCATCAGAATCTTGGAGGCGCGTTACTATACGCGGAGGGAGGTTGGAAAAGGGGTATTGACGTCGACTGCGAGGGCATCGGATCTCTGAACGCTCTCTGGCTACCAAGAGGGCAGGAACGTTAGCAGTAAGAAATGGAGACGGAGAGACTGGCCCGGACTTCTATTTAAGTGGACTTGAAGCAATGAATTATCATTTAAGTGACTTCCGGATCTGCTCTTCAGACAGTGAGGTAGGTAGAATAGGAAGAAAACGAACAGCTCGTCCGATAGCTTTGAGTCTGATTGAATAGTACATTCAATAAGAGATAAGAAGCAAATTAAGAAAAGAACTGTCATTCATAGCCGATTCCTGTTCACATACCTTGTTCCCGCACCCACATATCTTTCGAACAGTAACCCTCCTACCCATTCCAGCCTCACAAAAACTCCAATTCATGTACCAAGGAAACAATCATCCTAGGGATCCGCTACGACTCCCCCTCATGCACTCTAATTTCCCCCCTTCACCTCACTCTTCACACCCGCCAGCCCCTCCCCACCCTTCGTAACCACCGCCTTCTTCCCACTCGGCAGCCCGACCTCCGTGTTCCCTCTCACGCTCACAGGGAAAACATTATACACCCATCTAGCGATCAAAAAGCTACTCACGGCCCACACCCAGAGCGCGATGCCGAGAGACACGGTTACGAAGAGGGTCGGGATGAGGAGGAGCAGCGCGATGCCGGTCCAGAAGAGGGAGAAGAGGAGAGCGGTGATGAGGGAGAGCGCGAGCGTGCCCGCGACGAAGGAGAAGAAGAGGAGGAGCGGCGTCAGGGAGAGGAGGAATTGGATGCTGAGGAAGGCCTGGTTTTTGAAATTAGCTTGGCTTGGATATTGAGGTGTTGGTGAGGAAGGGGACGGACTGCGAGGATGGGTTGCTCGTGGGCGAAGGTCGTGATGTTGGTATAGAATTGCTGGCGCGTCTCGGGCTTGATGACCATGTTGAGAAGCGATTGCGCCCGAGTGATAACGCCGGATGGCAGATCTCGAATGCCCATTTTGTAAGGAATATAGGAGTTTCAATTGGTATGGTATGGAGTTGGGAGGAAATTATGTGGGCAGCATTGCTTGTATTTGCTGGATTCACAGCTACGAGAGCGAGATGAGCTCCAGATGCTGTGCGGGAGGGGAGGAGCGCGGTATGACGACGATCACGTGATATGTACCTATTTCGTTGGGGGAAGGGAGACATTAATCTTTCTCTAGATATATTGACATATTGGACTCATCGCCTATAGATCAGGGTGAGGATTCAGTTCAATTCAAAAAGAGGATACAAACGTTTCGGATTTCTGTACAGATGAAGAAGTTATTTTGATGTATCTCATCAATCTCGAAATGCATTTGGATATGGGGGCAAAGGTCGCGGCAGAGATGGCAGACAGGGACTGGATTGAATCATTTCTCATTAAAGTCTAGGTAAAGAGCTGTACAAAGCCACGGCCTTCTTCAGTTATCGAGAGCGAGTTAATAGCTACCAAGGCAACTTCTTCCCCATTGCTTCGGACTTCCAGAATGTACTCGTCATCGATGTATAATCTCATCTATCCATACTTTGACCTTCTCCGCCATGCTTTCGCTTTCGCTATGTCCTAAGTTCTTTTAGTTAGCAGTCCAATTATCATTCATAAGAAGAAACTCACGAATACAAAAGCCATGATCTATACCATTCTCATCAATCAACATAATCGGCTTCGACGATAGCTTCCCCTCTTCCCTTCCTCTCGAAGCGATCAATGCGTCCCGAGTATGATCTGCGACCCAGTGGTCCTAGAATATTCATCAGCTAGAACCCAAATTCCTTGTCTGGTACAAAAACGTACATTTTCCCCGAAATAGAAGACGAGTTTCGGAATGTCCACGACACTTCCGGCATCTTCATGCTCGATGCCCCAGATATCCTCGTCCCACTTATCCTCCGTAATGGTTTCCATCTCGTCCTTAGCCAAGTGTCTAGATGATGATTAACTTCTGTTCAAACGAAACAGGAGAAAAACTCACAAGGCTTGCCAGATACCCATCCGGCTCCTCAAGAACCGCATCGTCACTTCCGTAGCATCCTGCGGCATCCCCACCACGACATGAACCAACCACCTCAATGCTGGGTCAGGAACCGGCCAAAGAAGAGCCTTCGCAGCGAGGCTTGCTCCCCGCGGAAAGCCCCAGATGCGGAAGAGAGCGCTGAACTTCGCTCCGTTTGGACTTTTAGCGATGTGGGTAACGGTGGGGAAAAGCAGGATGCCGCCTTTGACATTGCAACGGGAGGATTTTCGGAGACGCTGCAGCATCTCGAGAATGATATAGCCACCAACCGAATGGCCGACTAGAATAATGCTATCGTAAACTTGGCCTTGCCGTGGTCCGCTTGGGATGCATTGATCTTCGAGACATTGCAGCCGACTCTCAATTTGCCCCTCCAAGCTATGAGGCAATCCCGTGGTCTTTGAAGGAGTGTCATTGTCTTCAAACCCTGCCAGCGATTGGCCGAAAATGTGAAATACGCCTGTTTCTGACTTCTTCTCGGATAAGAGTTCATGGAGAGTCCGGAGGAAGGTATCGTAGTAGGAAATGAGACCCGGGTTCCCGGTTACGAGGAAAATGAGGTGATAGGAAGCGGCTGGATTCTCGTGACTGGGGGCGAATGAGATTCTGGAAGACATGTTGGCCTGTAGGAATGCAGTCTATCAGCCGTATGCTGTTCCGGACTGAGGTGATGGAGGCCATCGCGTCGCATTGGCGGGGATAAACACGGCAACCACAGACCCACAAGCCGACCCGCCTTTTCATGTCGTCCTTACCTCTGTAATAAAGCTCAGGGAAGGGGAGAGTGAACACTCGAGGAGTGGAAATGTTTCTACTCTGTGCTCTTGCAGAACGAAGATGCTTCAAACAGAAAATGTGTATGGTTACAATATGTGGGGGCGTTTAGCCAGCATCCGGGACGAACCTAGGAGGCACACAACTGGCCCCCTTTTATGGATTATCGTCATTAATCGGGTGGTTGGTTGGTAGGGCTGACCGCTAGGGTCGATGCGGGTTTGTAATGGGGGAATCTCGTACAGTATCTGTGGACCTAGATACTGTACATCTATTCTGGGGCTCTATTTGTACAATTTACGAACCAAATTCTAATCAGGTATCTTATACACTCATTTTTGAGGATATACGTTCATAGCATACATCGCTTCGTCTTCTCCCAAATCAACAAAGTTACCAATTCAGTTAGCTGATCTTTCTCTCAAAGGAACTGCCTCATTGCCTTCTCCCTTCCGAGAACCGTGTTCCGCCACCTCGATATGAAATCGTCGCGATTTACTACCCAAATTAGCTCCGAAACATGTTCCCGGGGTGGATGCACAGGACTTACTGTAAGCACCGCACATCCTTCTCTTCCCCGTAAATTGACTCCTCCCATGCAGCACTCTCCAATTATCAAAAATTAACGGCCGACCAGGCTTCAATTGCGTCCAATACTGCATACTTTCACTCTTCAAAATCTCATCAAATTTCCTTGCGGCCTTGTACCACCTGTCGGCCACAGGAATGTGATTGTTAAAGGCCGGAACCCAACCTCTATCGGCGTTGTTCCACCTTATCTGGAGCAAGTTAAAGATGGTGTCCGGGCCATCCTCGACTTTCAAATTCAGGACGGGGAATCGCCGTGACGGGGTTATCGTGATGCCTGGATTGCCAGACGCGTGCCAGACGACCGGCGTTGTTGCAAGTATTTTGTAATCTCTCGGGGACTCCTTAAGCAGGCGGTTGGCGGCGTTGAAGCCGTCGATGAGCACAGTTTCTCCGCCACTACCTTCCGTGTGCGAGAGCAGGTGAAACATTTGGAGCCCGGCCGGGTCGGTGAAGTAGGTTGTATCGGTATGAGGACTGAGAGCAAGGTCAGTGTAGGCTGTATCTTTCATTGTGAGGTCGGATGTAAAGTCGTAGAATCCACCTTGGAACGTCAGTATATTCCTGCCATGGAGAAGGGAATTGTTACCGTAGTGTGTTTCGCGAATGAAGGCGATGCGCTCGATCAACTCTTTTGTTTTCTCAGGTGATACAGGGCAATCATCTACATAACAGAACCCGTACTTTCGCTGCTGGAGTTTAGCTCATCATCTTGTTATCCAAGGAGGGGTCGTACAATAAGTGCGGTCCATTCCGCCACCCCATCCTCACTTGCCATTATTTCGTCGTAAGGAACTGATGGTTCCATATATTTTATTCGTTCCGACCAAAGAGCATGACTATTACTGTGAGAAAGGGTTAAATGTACGGGTAATAGAAGCTCACTCTGGGATCTTCGGTGCCCGCACCTGTCCTCCACTTCGGATGGACCGCTTCTTAATCCACTCCCACGGATATAGACTAACATGATCAGAACTAATCCCATCGTAGTCCCCTATAGTAAGTCAGCAAGACTAGGCTATGAAATGGGTTTGACGCACATGTTACTCGAAGGCCTTCTGGCTCAGTCACCACCTCCTTCGGCATGACCTGGGGTGAAAGCTGCATCATGTCAGACCTTGAAATTAGACATTCGCAAGAAACATACCTCAAAAGTATCAAAAGATCTCTGCAGGGTGTCCGGATTCACACATTTGTTACACCGGCAGTGGTCCCTGGAGGATCGTTAGTCACGTGATTTGAGCTGGATCTTCTCCCCTGATCTACCTTAGCCAGAGGTTCGGCCTACTCCCGTATTAGCTTCGATCAAAACCCGTGAGGACTATCAGACTCACATATTGAACAGTTTGTCACCCTTGGAAGTGTAGATATAGACCGGAATACCCCACTCCCCCCACGTCCGTCTTCCTTCATCATCGAATTTATCCTCTGGCGAAATACCCCGCTTCAAATGACCTCCGACCTCATAACCTTCGCCCAGTAGAGGATGAACCGGAGAGTCTGGTGGTCTAGTTCCTGGTTTGACTGATATGTGGCGGTACTCCCGAGGGAGAGGATTTACTTGACGTCCCTCCCGTTTGCGGTTGTAGGGCCATTTTTCTGCTCGTGGCAAGTCATGTGCATAGCGCAGATTCTCATCTCCTCTCCCAGGGCGCCTGTCAAGTTCTTGTTCCTCGGCGGTCGAGTCGAATATTCGAGATGGATGATGGTCAATTTCTGCGCTGGACGGCTCCCCCGTTGATGCAAACCGTTTGATGACGGCTGGGGTAATTCTACGCCCCTGGAAAGAACGAATAGCGCGCATGTTCATCATCGTGGCCATATATGAAGGTGACAGATGCTTGTAGGAGAAGCTGTCTGACAATATGGAGCTGTTCAGTCACGAGATGAGGTTCTGAAGAGACCATGCGGCACTACCGTAAGCGGCCTAGTTTATATAAGGTAATTGCCGGCTCGGCCCCTCGGCCCTACAGCGCAAAACAATTGAACGTGCATCAGGTACGGTTTCTATACCTATCTTACACATACACGATATGAATGCGTATTAAAAGTATCTAGGACATCTTCCCTTGATTAAGTAGTAACAGACACAGTCAAAAGGCTTGTGCCATGAATTTTATTACTGTACTCGGCTTGTTTTGATCTTGCTCTTCTGATCTTCCAGAGGTTATTGCTCTTATTGCTCTTCTACTACTTCCAAACTGAAGTTACTCTGGATACAGAACTTAGAATTTGAAGAATCGGGTTAGTAGCTAATTGTAGAGCACATATCAAGTGAAGCACCAAAGTTGAAAGCCAGCAACGAGCGAGCCGATGATTGCCCCTTTTACTCTCAACAACTGACATCTTGTTAGAAGCTACTTTATAAGCCCGGAAATGTGGTATCAGATCTATTTACTCAAAGTTACAACTTCACTGTCTTCCCAGTCCGCGCGCTCTCCTTCGCCGCCTCAATAATCTTCAACACATCTCTAGCTTCGCTCGCCTTGACGGGCACAGCGGCCGCTCCGCCCCCCTCGATTGCCTTCTTGAACCCTTCATAGAGAGTAGCATATGTTAGCGGTTCCACGTTCTTATGCTTCCTTCCAACAGGCTTGCCGTCCTCATATACCACCAAGTTCCCTGATGCCGCATCACTCTCGATGCCGAATCCACTATCCCCAGGTTTCAGGCCAGCCTTCAATTGATCTTCTTGTACATCCAAGTGATACTTTTTGAAACTGCCTTTGGAACCTCGAACCCAGTATCTCAACTGTTCAGTTTCGACGCAGAGCACTCCCGCTTTGGCAGTCACCAGCGGTCCATCATTTCCATAACTCAGTAACACAGTTATAGAATCCGGTTCCTGGAAACCATCGTTCCTCTGATTCGCAAAAACTCCCACCACGCTCTGTGGCATACCGAACAACACATACGCCTGATCGATTAAATGTGTCCCGAGATCATAAATCACTCCTCCGGCTTGATCCATGCCCAGCGTCCCCTTCCAGGTAGCTGGCCGCTCTGGTTTATAGCGATCGAAATGCGTCTCGAATTCCACTACGCGACCCAGTTTATCTTCCTTGATCAGCTGCTGCACAGTCAGGAAATCCGTATCCCATCGTCGATTCTGGTATACGCAAATCAGCTTCCCAGTCTTCTCGGAAATATCAATGAGTTGTTGCGCTTCGGCAGATGTGGGGACGAAAGGCTTCTCGACAAGTGCGTGCTTGCCGGACTCGAGGGCAGATTTCGTGAAGTGGAAGTGGGTGTCGGGCGTAGTGGTGATTACGATAATGTCGATTGAGGGGTCGGCGAACATTTCGTCAGCGGAGTGGTATATCTTCGCGGAGGGGTGGTCTTTGGCAGCATCGTCGTTGGGCTTGGGGGTTCGCTGGACAATAGAGTGAAGGTTGAAGCTTGGCGTGACTTGAATCAGGGGGATATGGAAGACCTTGGCGGACATGCTGAGAGGGAATCAGAGGGGACTTGAGTGAAGAGGGGTATGGAGAGACGTACCCATAGCCTATGACGCCCACGTTGTAGGTCTTGCTGGCCATAGTGAAAGATTTGGGAAGTGGATATCGAGCAATTCAGAAGGATTAAGGTAATGACTGAATTAGAGAAGAAAGAAAGAAGAAGAGAGCGGGGGAGGGGTAAGAAATGTGTCCACTTACCTCGACCTACCTCGTTGCATACATCCCCACCAGGAACCTCAAAACCATAAGTAATACCACCGGAATAACTCCGTGCCGGGATCACTTGGCATCACGTGATTGGTCACTCTGGCTTAGGTAATCTTCGTTTAACTTTACTCCGGGGATAGCGTACGGGAGCTGAAATTCAACCTCGTACAAGTCCCTACTGTCCAGGATTTGAAGGAAGGCCGAAGCGCTCAGTGAGGTCTTTTATAAGCCGAGACTAAGTAAGTATATACCATCCGGAGAATGGTCACAACGAATGGCACTCGTACGGTAGGTATAGGTTGTCTCTGTCTTAGCAGGTGGCACACAACTAGAGGAGATGTCAAAAGCAGAGTCCGTCGACGAGCGAGGGGACGAAATCACACGCAGCGATATTCCCAACTCAACGCTGGAGGTGGTGTATTTACAGATTGCAGATGTCATCCTGCAACTTTCAGAACTTGATTTCGATTGGATAGGTATTAGGCTCATTGTCCGTCGATATCGATGATACTTGGACCTTGGTCGATCGGTTTGGGACCTCTTACATTCAACATGAACAAATCGGCAAAGCGTGGAGATACGTAGGTGGAGCCACGAGTTTACTTAACCACTGCCAACTATCTACTTGATATTGCGGAACAAAACATTTTTCATCTCGAAAGGAAACGGAATAGCATTAGTAGTACAGCAGATCCTCGACTGAAGTATCCAGCTCGCTATCTGATCCGTGCCATCACATCTGATTTCGTATCACGGAGGTACAACTGAGGTCCCTTCAAATTTTTCTGCTGCGACGATTTCTGGCCGGGGAATATCCTCGTAGATGATGATTCCTTCAAGATAACCGGCATCATCGATTGCGAATGGTGCCATGCCGGACCTTGTCAATTTACATATGCCCCGCCCCGCTGGCTGTTGCTGAAGGATCCAGCCTATTGGAAATTTATTCAGACAAGGAACATACTCTGAACGTTTACATCCCGAAGCTTGAGCCGTTTTTACTTGTTTTAGAAGACCAGGAGCAGGAGCATTTCCGTCGGAGCCTACCACGCCTTCAACGGGGTCCGAGTCTATCAGAATTGATGCGCCGGTCCATGACAGACATGCCTTTCTTGTCCAACAAGGCAGCTAGGAACAGCTACGCCTTGAATCGAATCCACTGGTCGCGGCTTGATTCATTTTGCTTTGGTCCTGTACGCGACCGGGCCGAGAGGTCCGACTACTTCTGCCATGCAGATGTCAACGAGGACTTGAATTCATTTCTTGATCGAAAAGTGGAGCATCTTTGTTGATACAAGTTGGAGTTAAGGTTGGACAGGACTGAGGAGTCTGAAAGGGAGAATGTTTAAGATCATTATGAACTTATAACAATGGGCCAGACCTTGATCCAAGTCAGTTACTATCATATGGAGGAAGCTGATGTTGCGATAGAAAATCCCCAAACTGAGATCCAAGAGATCGTAGCCGTCGTAGCTCCATGTTCATTCGAGTAGCAATTTCCGTCACGGTCGTAACGACTTCAGTCCATAGAATTGTATGACGACAATCACAGCGGTGGGAGGGTCATTGACCTGAAGCGTCGCGCCACTCCTCTGTTTTTACATCAGCCTGCTCGATGACGGCGGGGGAGATCTCTGATGAGGATTTATATTTGGGAGATGTTGAGACTCGAGAGACTGGCAGAGAATGAAGGTACAGAGGAAAGGTAAGAGGAACGGGTCTAGAAAGCTGTGCAACGTATGCTGACCTAGCCACCAACATTGGGAAGCTTTTTTTTGTTTTTGTCAAAGTGTCCAGGGGAAAGCTCACGGTACGCATAATGAGGTAAGTGACCATCCAGGGAAAAGTCACAATTTGTCTCGATGGCAGTCCTGTAATATTTTTCAACATCAGCCTCCAGTGACTTGCGAGACCAGCAATGCCAAGAAGGAATGAGTGGCTCTCAATGTGAAAATTTCAGTTCCTATCTCCCGACCTTGTGGCATTTTCTGAGGCGATTTCGCAAGCATATACCGGGATAAGACCATCGTTTAGGCTAATCAGGGGCTGCCCCGGGAACAACCCGCAGGCTCGGCTCGGCCCGGCCCTGAAGGTTCAGCCTTCCCTAACGTCATTGAGATGTGGTCCGCGGATCATCATTCTCTACCCATGTTTTGAATATTACTGCACCTATAAAGGGCCATAGAAGGAGCAGGAAGTATATTACATTATAGGCACCAATAAAGGACCGCGTTATCGGTAGCTTGCCAATTCCAGAATGAACAAGAGAAAGATGATCCGCAAAGAAAATCTATTAGGTTTCCAGCACATACATGCTCTAGTATCCTATGCAGCTATGCAGCCTATGCTTATAGGTCTTTCAGTAACGCCTACATCCAATATCCGCCCTAATTCATTAACAATCGTTCATAATAACAGCTGTGACCTGTCAGTAATACCCGAGGCTTCCCTCTCTACGAGTCCCCCGCTCTTGACTAACGACTAGACAAGCGGTCGGATGAAAAGATCAGAAGACCCAACAGTGTCGACAGCTAAATTGGGTCGTGCTCAAAAGTCATGGGAAGCGGCTCAGGATCCATGAAAAGGCTCCGGAGTGCGTAGGCCGCTTAGCTTCATTCTCTCAATCCAAGAGGCGACTATCCCCATCATCGAATGACTCGAATCATTGGCATGCAAAATGTGGGAGGACAGAGCGAAGTGGAAAAGTCCATCGAATCCATAGAACGACCCAGCTGCCTCTGAAAACCAATATCTCCCAGATGATAACCCAGTTTTCATAATATCTGAAAGCCTCATATCTGGAAATGCAGACCGATGTTCCTGGAAACGCCGATCCTCCTGCCTCTCGAAGATCTTCACAAACTGCTCATAGCGAGATTTGAACCGTCTCAACCTGTCCGCATCCCGTACAATCACGTCGCCGCATACTATACCACTGAGCCATACAGGTGGACCAATAGCCTGTATAGGCCTGATCGAGGTCCACTCCAGGTCCAAGATAGCTGTAACAGAGCCGCTTTCATTGACCAAGATGTTCTGAGGGCTCAAATCTCCTAAAAACAAAACGAACGGGCCATTATCCCAGCGATTGTCCACAAAGTTTCTCATAGCCCTTTTAAAATCTACCCTGTTCGTAAATTTGAAATCCCACTCTTCTTTGCTCTCAATGTTATTCCGTTGATGGACAAGCATACTCATCTGAAGATCCGCAAGCGAGCTGAAATATTCGGTGGCTTTTCCAAACGTTCGATGTGGAGGAATTGCCGAAGATATGCTTACGCCATCCAGCTCAACGTTATTGAACTCCAACATTAACGGTCGCGTCAAGTTCACGATGTCGGGCTCCCCATCCTCCTGTAGTGCAATAGAACCAATTCTTTGAAAGGGATGATTCCATAGTTCAAGAAGTATATCCGACAAGCTAGAGTATAATGTTTCGATCCGTTCCTCTGACCATTGTGACAATTGTGATAAATCTCTGGCCAGTATGTCTCCTTCGGCGTGTTCCATAATCATGAAGTGATCACCTCCAGGGTGCGGGCCGTTCGAGAGGCCATAAGCAACGAGTCGAGGAATAGGAATGGCAACATTAGCAGATAAATATCTGTGTTGTGGTCAGCTTTACAGGCATTTAGCTAGTTACTGACGTAGTATACTTACTTCATAGTGGCTACCTCTGATCTAAATTTCTCATCTAACAAATCCCCACCGTGTTCTCCCGGAATTGGAACCCGCAAAACCCATTTTTTCGTCCTCTCGTTAGCTGATGTTATGTCGAAGAAGATGCAGATGTGGAAGCCGCCTATAATTGTCCTGGTCATGGCGCAAAGGTCGTCACGAGCGCAGACTGACCGGACTAGCTCAATTGCATAGCCATGTACCCGTTCTCGAAACGCATCTTTATTGGGCTTGTGGCGAGCTGCCTCGCTGCGAAATTGCTCATTGAAATCGAGATAGTATTTCGGCATCTGATCGCAATGGTTGGTGTAAGTATATGCTACGACATCAATATGGGTTACTGACATACGGGAAATCATTTATCCGCCATTGACCCCGCTTCCCCAGACAGGTAATTGATCTCATGCCTCAGGCATCAATTGCTCATGTCAAGCTGTCATGGCCCCATAACCTTAGGAATTGAGGCCTCAGATACAAGGCTCTAATTATACAATATCCACGACATCTCAGAAGACTTTTGATTCCCTTTCACCAACTTCCCAAAAAATGCTCTCCCTCACTTTTAGAAACCCCTCCTCATAGCCCATCATGTCAGAAGATGAGCGATATCGAACATCGACCCAATACCGCCTGTGGTCCTTCACGCCCTCTTCTCTCTACGCGCTTCGCAAAACCACCAACCTCAACGCCGCAAACCGCGTCCGGGCCGCTGTGCAGCGCCTACGAGAAGCTCAAGCCGTCTCCTCTACCGAGGCATCTGAAGCTGAAAATGGGCGGTCTACCAGTACGCTGCCAGAGGGGGAGGTGGATTGTTTGACTGTGGAAGAAGAGCTCAAACTCGTGGCTTTTTACTGCCGGCAGACGATCCAGCTGGGTGATCATTTGAAAGTCCCTACCGACGTCAAGGTACATCCTCTTCTTGTTGAGATTCTGGTGAAAGAGTAGGACTGATAAGGGTGATTTGAAACAGGCAACTGCAATCCAGTACATCAAACGCTTCTACATAACGAACAGTCTGATGACCTACCACCCCACCGACATCCTGAAGACCGCCCTCTTCTTTGCCACGAAAACCGAGAACCACTATTTCCGCCTGACAAAATTCGCCGATGCGATCGGGAAGACGAAACCCGAGGACGTGCTCGCGTCTGAATTCCTCTTGACCCAAGGGCTACGCTTCACATTCGACGTGCGCCATCCTTTCCGCGCGCTAGAAGGCGCCGTTATGGAGATGCAAGCTCTGGCCCACGCTGGGATTCCCGTATTGCCAGGCGGAGCGGTAGTGGAGGACCGGCCCCCGAATATGGACAGGAGGGTGAAAGATGCGCATGGCAAGGCGCGGGAATACCTCAAGACCAGCGCGCTGCTCACGGACGTGTATTTCCATTTCACGCCGAGTCAGATCATGCTAGCGTCCCTGACAATCGCGGATCCTGAGCTCACAAAGTGGTACATTACGAATAAATTTCCGAAGAACAATAATAACACTGCGGCCGCGGATATGTGTGAGAAAGTCCTTGGGACAGTGCAAAAGTGTGCGGATATGTTAAGGACGGTAGAACCGACATCTGAGCCCTCGGCGCTGGAGAGAAAGGAGTTACAAGCGCTGGCGAAGAAATTGAAGAAGTGTCGCAACCCAGAGAAGATAGATCTGGTGGGGCTGCAGAGGGCAAAGAGGGAGGGGGAGGGGGAAGATGAGAAAATTATCAAGAAGAGGAAGATGGAGAGGGAGCAATCTGCCAAGGAAGGGGAAGATCTATTCGGGCCGGAAATCAAAAGGTCTTAGGGTGGGCTGTCGGGAGGGTGTGATATTTAGCAAGGCGTTTGGGCTGATTGCATATATGGTTGGCGTTTCGGGAAGAGAAAAGCTTTGGTTATGGAAGGTCTAATCTATGGATGCATGGAGTGGCCCAAGGGAGAGCAACTCAGTGTAATAAAAGATATAACATAACAACCGAAGTCGTTTCCCACGTCGCCCAACAGTACCCCCATTCCCCATCTCCACAACTCAAAACACCCAATCCATTCCCCATATCATCCCATCCCATCCCCTCCCTTTCACCACCCAAACAATAACCATCAAAACCCCAATCTCCATACCATGATTCAGAACCCCACAAAAAGAAAATCCCACCAACCAAATATCAAAATAAGCAACCCGCCTATATGACATATCAAGAGTTAAAGCCTCGCTGGGAGCCTCTTCCTTAACTCTCTATTTACATTTACAGGTTCGGGAGATTTATCCTATGATAAATCAAACCATGGAAAAAGCAGGAAAGAGAAATGATGAGGCAGGCTACGTGGAAAAGAGAAGAAGTTAACGATATCATATGAATATCAGACTTCATTACATTCTAGAAAAAAAAGTAGATAGAGAAAGCAGCTAGCTCTCACTATCTACCTACCTACTTGATTTCATCATCTTCAGATCTTTTTACTTTTATTAATTTGTTTGAAAACTGCACCGCGGAAGGGGAATTAGGAAACTTGTAATACATACATACATACATACATACATGATACATACATACATGGTATTTTTCATGCTTCTTCTTTTTTTTTCTAATTATCTTACAATACGTTAGTCTTCAACTCCTCCGCTTTTCTTTCCTAGTATCAATTTTCCTTAAATGAAAATCGTTTCATCTAATATAATCTAAAGCCCTCTTACCTACACTTCAGATTTCGATCAGACTACATCTTACATGTTCTGTCTTGTACCTCTTTCTATACAAATCCCTTAAGTATAATATATAACCAGTCAAGATCCCTATCTAGCTGGATTTTCACTTCCTTGATAATACCTAGGTACATAGGTAACTCGCTAGCTATCTATAACTGACCTTACTTTATTTACCCATTACCCATTACCCACTACCCTTACCCCCCCCCCCCCCTTTTTTCCCCAGACATAAGGTTTTACGATCAAAAACACTTAGTATAATAACATACATACCTTACATACCTTATCTCAACAACAATATCTTTCTCTTCTCTTCCTCAGACATGTCATTAATCAGATTCAGAAAAAAAGAAACTCATCGGTTGCCGCGCGGCCGCCGTGTGATGTGCGATGTGCGATGTGCAACGAAAAAACTTGTGTGGAAGGTATTCAAGACCCTAAGTCAGGCGATGGGATAGGTTGATAATATAGATAGATAGATAGATCCCTTCTTTGAGATTCAAATCTTTACCTACCTTATCTTACCTTAGGAGTTCTACCAGGGCCCAGGGGATTTAGGTAAGGTAAGCATTTTGATTCTTGAATCAATAGGAATATATCAAATAATAATACAGAATTCTCTATCCTAGAAGCTGAATGAAAAGTAAAGCTAGGTATACATACATGATATTTCAATTTTCAGGAATCGTGGATAGGTACATAATGCGGGGTTTTAAATGCCCTCGCACACCCCCCCCTTCCCCACAACCCCCGCGTCAAAGAACGAGATTATCAGATGAGTTTCTTTAATGTAAGTTACCTAGGCATATGGTGGGTAAAATATGAGTCTCTTCACCGGCAGATTGAGAGGCCAGGGAAGTGAGATTTGTGTATTATTCTTTTTTTTTTCATGTCAGATACCTAACTATCTGAGTACGTCTCAACATGCTTCTGCTCTGGATTTTGCGAGCTGTGATGGACGTCAGTGATACTTGCAGGGATGAGACACAAAACCCGGGAAAAAGAAGCGAGCACGTGATTAAAAGTGATACCAGGTGGTAGGCAATAAGGTATGGCTGCGGTGGTATAGTGGTAGGAAAGTAGGTGTAGTAGTAGAATACAAGTTTTCAGTTATTGCATAGGGCGCGCCTCGCTGCCTGCAATCAATTCCGTCCGCAATGGGTTATCTCGGGGAAAAAAAGTTGGATGATAGAAAGACGATGACGAATCGACGATGACCCAGACCCTCGCTAACCATGCAACGTTCCAAAACGCCAGAGGAAGACACAAAAGGAGATGTAGGTGGTATCAGGCTCTTTTGAAACCGAAGAGATCGGAGCTATCGACTAAGGGGGAAGGGGAGCGCGAGCGCGAGCGGGCGCGGCGGGTAGCGGACGAGCTGAGCCAGAGGAGGTGTGGGGGGAGGATACCGGCCCAGACTGCGAGGCCAAGGAGGGATAGGAGGAGGAGCAGGCTGAGGCCGAGCATCCAGATACGGACGTTGAGACGGCCCAGGGAGACTATCAGCGCGGCGTCAAAGGAGTGCCAGGAGGAGGCGCCTAGGTGGTGGAAGAGGGGGGTGATAACGTCGCCGTTTAGGCGGTGCATGAGCGGTGATTCTTTGGGACCCGAGAGGATCCGTAGTTCGGATCGGTTCTTCTGGAAAGTGTGGATGACGCTGGATCTGGGTTAGGGGGGAGATGGGATATGGGGGAGGCGGGACTTACGAAGCGTAATGGCATCCCGTGCTGAACATGACGGTTGCGTAGGGGAGGCCGAACCAGTTCAGATTGAACCGGGGAAGGTTGCGCACCAACTCCCCCACAAACGGATGTTGCTTGCTCGCCATCATCATGCCGTTGGAGAAACCGACGGGGTGCGCCGCCGGTGACACGAACCCGAATCTGCGCAAGGGGCCCATCGACCTCCGACAATCCAGATCCATATCCAAGACGACACCTGTCGGGGGGAGGTCAGCCATGCCCGGAACATCTTTAGGGGCGAGTGCCACATACCGCCATACTCATACAACACCATATACCGCAGGGCGTCGACTTTCTGGATGGGGAACCTGTACCCCTCCCACATCTCCTTCAGATGCGGGAACTTCTCGGCCACCAGCGCGTGCGCATTCTCATCCGTCCAGAAGTGCGTCTCCCACCCCACGTGATGCTGCAAGCAGCTATTCCTGGCCTCGAGCCATTCGGCCTTGGGGCCCCGCCCCAAGGAAATCTGGTGCAGGATGGGTGGGATGAGGTCTGGGTATTCGGGCTGCGCGGATTGCTGGTGGACGGAGTAGTTGGCAAAGGTGACGTCGAAGCCGTCGCGCTCGGCGGAGATCACGAAATCGGACGACGAGGTGGCCCACGTGATGGGGAGGGCGAGCGTGAGGAGGGTGATGCGCAGGACGGAGCGGAAGTAGGTCAGGGTGACAAGGAGGAGGGCGACAACCAGCAGGATCCTGTTGCGCGGACGGAGCAGGGAGGGTTGGGACGCCATATCTATCTGGCAGCGCGCGGCATCTGAGGATTTCCGTCTCTGTCCAACGCAAGGCGACGCGACGGAGAGGGGTCTCTTGTCGTGTCTCTTGTGTTGACGAGGAGGGGGAGGGGGAGGAGATGAAGGGGGAGGAAGAGGAGGAGGGAGTGGGATAGAAGAGCCAAGAGGCTCAAGAGGAGAGGAAGATGCCCAGATGTCCTTGGGCAACCAACGGGGTCGGGAGGTTTGTAGGTGACTTGTGGGAGCCTAGAGAGGCATATCCCCAGGTAAAAGAGGAAGATCCCTAGGCAAAAGAGGAATAGAATCAAATCCTATGGAAAGAGAGAAAAGACCCGGCTCTCGAAGTCCAGAAGAAGAAGAAGAAGAAGAAGAAGAAGAAAACACGGGAAGCATAAACGAAAGGCCGGGCCAGCAGGGCGTCCGAAGGCCGAGTGAAATCAATCCAGTCTGACTGATGGATCGGCTCCTGCAGTGATGAGGCGGGAAGAAGAGAGATGGGGTGAGTCTGACGGTGAGTGAGACGGGAAGCAGGGATAAAGAGAGGACGGACGACAGTAGAAGAATTAATAATAATAATCTTCAGATTCCTCTTCGTTCTTTCGTATAGGACCTAAGCTGGCCAGACAGCGGCACATTCTTGCGGCGCTCCTGGCCAAACACCGCGGGGCTAGGCTGGTGTTGGTGTTGGTGTTGGGTCTATGATTGCAGGATTACAGGATTACAGTTATTGCCGCCTAGGATTTATGGTATTCATGCCTGGATTCTTCTGGCGAGTCGAGTGAGCTTAGAGCTTATGGACCTCATGGACCACGGTCCAGGTTCTCTCCAGATCTCGGCTCCTCTTTCTGTCTCTCGTCTCTCTCCTTCTCTGCCTTACCATCGCCCCTCCCGTCCAAACAACAAACATCCTATCCTCCCTCTTAATCCCTCACATATCCGTCAACTCACCTCCTCCCCTCCTCCTCTTCTCTCCCTTCCTCCCTCCCCTCCCTCTCTTCCCGCCCATCTTCACCTCTCTCCTCAAACCCAAACCCAGGTCCCTCTCCCGCTCTCCGCCGGCAGTCCGGAGGAAACTACTGTACGGAACTGAAAAGCTTGTTCTCCCCCCCCCCCCTGCTCCGCCCTATCTTACCCCAAGTCCCGCCCCGCCCCGCGCCATGTCCCAACCCGGTAAGGCTTCCCCTCTCTAGCAGCGCTCGCTACTGCACCAGTGACATGTCCCTTAAAATAGAGTCCTATGCGTGAGCGCCAGTCTGACACTGCACCCGTCCGATTGGTGCTCGGACTCTTCTTTGCCCTTTTGCCTCTCGTGCGCCTTTTGCGCTTTTTCTGCGCGTCTTTTTTTTCTCTTTTCCGGGTGCGCCGGCTGACGGATAGAGGGGGTTTTCGTCGTGGTTGCGCAGATGTTGAGGTTTTGATGGGGAGAGAGAGGCAAATATATCTCTCTATCTACCTAAGGTACGCAAGTGTGTAGAATCGGCATCTGAGAGACGGGAGACGAAATACCATTAAGCTTAATCCAGGTGCAGGCTTGGCGGTGAGCTTCTCCAGCTCTCAGCGTCGGCGATTGCGAACAAGTGGCTTGGCGGTGCCAGGTACCGACTGCCGAGGTACCTTATGACATATGTAGTATCGTGTACGTTGTACCCTACCTATCCAGTAACCCAGCGATCATAATAATCATCTATCTCTGCATAAAAAGCACCGGCTACATCATGATCCTTATATTATGCTTAATTTCTTTCCTTTTCGCTCTTTGCCGGCCCGTCGAAGGATCCGAGGATCACGTACAATAATCCTGCAAAATACAACGCTGTTCGCTGCAAGGCCCAGTACCGTGCCTCCCTTCCTAATCCTGCCCCCCTGTCCCATCAAGCTTTTTCCAGGAAAGGCTTGGTATATCGAATCCTTCTGGCAAATGTTTGATTACCCCGTGCCTGCCTACAACATGCCTACTACCAACATAAGATACTACCTTAAGTAAGGTGGTAGTAGGTGCTGAACCGAGTCATATATGACGCCGTATCAGAATCCCGATCCGACATGACTGAAACGCACCTTTCCTCCCTTCCTTCCCTGATAATCTAATCCAATCCAATCCAACCCAACCAATCCTTCCGGGAAAAAAGGCTGCCCTTCTTCCTTTGACATCGACAAACGCAGGACCGCAATATAAGCTTTCGCGCACGTGTCCTACGGACGATCACTCGTTGGTGCCGGCTTAAGGTACCTTGTCTGGCGTCAGCGCCACCTTGCCCCAAGATCCAATAATCCAATTGCAGTTCCAACATCATCTTAATAATAAGCTGGAGTATAATCATAATAATCATAATTTCCTCAACGACGGATGATGGATGGATCCCTTTTTAGGCACCGGCTAGTTGGCTCCTGGATGAGAAGCGTTGTGTTTGAACTCTGAAGAGGCACCAATGATCGCGCGACACGATGAGGCAGGCCCTTCTGGACGGTGCGTTGTGACGGTGGGATAAGAGTCTGGGCTCCCTCCTCGGCTGAGGTTGGGTGAGGTCGGCTCGGGTTGCACCTTTATGGACTGAGCGAACGGACAGGGCAGATCCCGATGATCAGTCACGTGGCCAGGCTGAACAAGGCAGATCCCGATGCAATGCCGGTCATGTCACGATTCCGAGGGTGACACGGGGGTGTGCAGTTAACATTATAATGTCTTATTCGTGCTTCATTACTACGTAGACCGCCGGGGCACGCGACGCAGGTCGTTGAACCAGACCTGCCGGGCAAGCACCATGTACAGGTTCCGGTCCCACGAGTACTGGCTCCCGTGCGAGCTGAACGCCATGCGGGTCTTCAGGTAGGAGCTCCAGGTGTTCGCGATGAGCGCCTTGTCATCGTAGCTCTCGTCGACCTCGGAGGCTCGCGAGAAGAGCGCCTGGAAGATGCGCCATGAGAAGGAGAGGGAGGTCAGTGGGAGGTCGCCGAGGAAGGTGTACTTGCGGATAAGATGCACCGAGGAGAGGAGGTAGGTTGGCGGCGCCTTGGCATCGGTTGCGGCGTAGTTGCTAGAGCGATATCTTCAGCAATGACGGGGGAGGAATCGAACAGAGATCTCATACCTGATCGCAGCACTTACTGCCCTATGATTGATGTGTCCCGAAATGCCTCCACTATCAAATGTAAGGATCTGGAGCTGCGTCAGTAAAATGGCCAGCAGCACTCCAAGGCGTGTAGACAAACGTACCGCATCAACCTTCCACTTCTCCACGTACTTCTTCACGGAGCCAATGATCACGTCCTCGTTCCACCAGATCCTGGGGTTGTCTTGGAGATCCATCCGGTCCAACGCAATGCATCTTTCGGCATTGATCCCCAAGGCCAGACACGAGCCATGCAGCTCCTTCTTTCTCGTCTCCCCCAGCCCATAGTTGTTCCCTTCCACACGTTAGAGGAAAAGTCATGTGACCATGCAAACACGCAACTGACCTGTTGAGAGGACGACGAGGCCGCCTACGACGTCTGGGTTGGCATCCAACACGCCCAAGATACTCGGGGAGAAGAACAGACACTCGTCGTCCGGGTGCGCCGTGACGATCAGGACGTTCTTCGCGCGTCGTAGAGGCGACGGTAGCAATCGGGGGTCCTTGGCGACGACATACGCCAACAATATCTGCAGCAGGACGGGGAGGATCACGACAAGAGGGAGGATACGGAAAAACAGCAGTCTTCGAAGGGCTCTGCTTCGAATCCACAGCGCAAGGCGGGGTCGCGTGAGCGACAGGGGACCCATTTGGAGTTGGGAGTCCAAAGGGGGGTTAGTTGAGGCGGACTTCCGTTATCAAGATCTTTAGCCTTGTATCTGGATCTCAATGCAGCGTATAATATTAGAGTGAATAGCCCACGACTTCGTGGCGTTGGAGAGAGAGATCGATGGCGGTGCTGTTTCCACAGAGTAGGGAGTACGGAGTAGGGAATAAGGGGGCGCCGGAATACTGCGCACTGTGCACGCCGCCGCACGGAGTAATAATAATACGGTATTACGGAGGGATATGGAGTGTGGATTATTATTTGTGAAGGCTGTCTGAGTCTCTGACCCGGACTCAGGAGAGCCCGGATCATCCGGAGTCGCGGTAAGCTTTGCACTATTCCCGCCGAGCCCGATCGGGTAAGGGCGCTTCTTCAGCCTTAGAAGTGACGGCCGGCCGGGGTCAGGACTAGTGTCATTGTTGCACTAGTCCTCTTCCGGAGTTGTGACCCAGGGATCAATATGCCCTAGCTTCTAAAGGTCCTTACAATGGCACAAGCTACCAGTCCATACCTAGGTACCGCGCAGTAGTATTACTACACCATCGACTCCAGCTCCGATGCTTTGAAGTTGGCATTGCTCTAGCACTCTATCATATCCGCGAGAGGCAAAGAACAGAAGACCTCAGGATGCGGCTGGTTCCCCATTATCACCGCTGGTATTCGTCCTCGTCCCTGTGACGGTCTGGAGCGTAACCTTTCCACGAGGACTCGGCCCCGGGATGGCGTTGAAATCATCATACGGCATGCCGAACTCAATTAACCCCGGAAAGAAATACTTCTTCCTGCTCATTGTAAGCTGCCCCGGATCACCCCAACCGCATTGTATATTAACGCCCTGCACAGCTTGTCCTTCAAAATTCCGCCCTCATACTGGTAAAAAGTATTCCTGGCAGAGCCAGACCTCGAAAGTACTAACTGGGATGAAACCTAGACGTTGCACTACACTAGAGTCACTCCCGTTGCTGGGAAGGGTCGCTACCTCACTTCAACCGCCATCCTCCTCGCCGAGGCGATCAAACTCGTCGTCAGCCTGGCATTCTCACTGTACGACAGATCGCGTGCTTATCCTTCTACCTCCCTCCTCGGGCACCTCAAGCCGCTATGCAAATCAGTGTTCGCCGGCGACAGCTGGAAGCTCACCATCCCTGCGCTCCTCTACACCCTGCAGAGCTCCCTTCTCTACACGGCCATCAGCAACCTCGACGTTGTGACTTTCCAGATTAATTATCAGCTGAAGATCCTCACCACCGCCCTCTTTAGCGTCAAGTTCTTGGGCAGGCAGCTCTCGTCTACCCGCTGGCTGGCCTTAGTTCTTCTCGCATTTGGGATTGCCATTGTACAGATTCCCGAACCCCGGCAGATCTTGAGATTCCTCCATTTAGCTTCTGATGCCCCGAGAGTATTCGAGCGGGTGGAGGGCTCACAAGATGGAGTCGCTGAGAGGCCACTCATGAATGCCTCCAAAGGATTCGCTGCCGTGGTAGCTGCATCGGTACTCTCAGGTTTGACGGGGGTCTACTTCGAAAAGGTTGTCAAGGACTCCGCAAACTCGGTATCGATATGGACTCGAAATGTGCAGTTGTCATTCTATTCCCTATTCCCGGCACTTTTTCTTGGCGTCCTCTACCGCGACGGCCACGAGATCCGCGAGAACGGTTTCTTCGTTGGATATAGCGGATTGGTCTGGATGACGATCATCCTTCAGGTGCTGGGCGGGATCACGGTAGCTGTGTGTGTCGCGCATATGGATAATATCATCAAGAATTTTGCTGTGAGCATCAGTATTGTCTTCAGCTTCTTGATCGAGGTCTGCTTTTTCAAAACATCCATCACCGTCAATGTACGTTCCTATCGAAACTTCGTGACAGATCCAAATTGCTGACCAGTGCTAGTTTGTATTCGGTGCAGCAGCGGTTATACTGGCAATATACCTGTATAGTAGACGAGCCCCGTTATTGACATAATGAGATACGAATTTAACGATGGCAAAAGAGATCAGATCTTGGTCTTGGCTTTGAAAAAGGGGGGACGTTAGGACTTGCATTAGTTGCATTCTAACCCACCACAGTCACCTTCTGAAGACCCGAGTTCCTCCTTCATCCAGAACTAAATAGTGGGATCATGGACCAGGGGAACAAAATCCCTTGCACTCACAGGCTTTGAAAAAAGCCCGCGCTCTTGATCCGCAAAACACCTAATACCCTTCATTTCTCCCCTTCTTGGGCTCCTCCTACCCCGAAAAGCCCCGTCCGCTACCTGCATAACCCCCTAATCCCTTGTACCATTAATGTAAGTTAGTAACTCAAAGATTCAGTAACTGGGCATAGTTTTGACTATCCTGGTCTCCTGTCCCTATTTTGTGATGCCTGGTAAATGGATATCGAATTGGGATCTATTATAGAGAGAGTTTTGTTGCATATCGCAGTTTGGTTATTGTCTCACTTTGACGTCTCTCTTTTTTTTGTGTAGTCAACTTTAAGAGTGAATAGCGACAATTAGGGCTTTGTTGCACATCGCAATTTGGCTTTTATCTCACTTTGATCTCTATTTTTTCTACCTGAGGTAACTCTTAGAGTGAATAGCAGGCGCTAGAGTTTTGTTGCACGTCGCACTTTGGTTTTCATCTCACTTTGATCTCTATTTTTTCCAGGTACCTAACTCTCAGAGTGAATAGTAGCCGCTAAAGTTTTGTTGCACATCGCAATTTTCAGAATTATCTCACTTTGAGCTCTCTCCAATTTTAATTGTCTGGTGAGTGAATATTCACCTCATCTTTGTTTGTAACTAGTTTTGTTGCACATCGCAATGTGGTGATGGTCTCACTTTTGGAGTTGTGTGTCCAATTCTCATAGAGTGAATATCACAACTCGAGTTTTGTTGCACATCGCATTTTTCAAGAAAATCTCACTTTAAGCTCTTTCCATTTTTAATTGTCTGGTGAGTGAATATTTACCTCATCTTGGCCTCTGACTGGTTTTGTTGCACATCGCATTGTGGTGATGATCTCACTCTTGGAGTTGTTGTGCCTAATTCTCACAGAGTGAATATTTACAACTCGACTTTTGTTGCACATCACATTTTTCGAGAAAATCTCACTTTAAGCTCATTCTATTTTTAACTGTCTGGTGAGTAAATATTCACCTCATCTTTGTTTTTAACTAGTTTTGTTGCACATCGCATTGTGGTGATGGTCTCACTTTTGAAGTTTTGGAGTTGTTGTGCCTAATTCTCATAGAGTGAATATTTACAACTCGAGTTTTGTTGCACATCGCACCTTGGCTCTCGTCTCACCTTTGGTCTTGTCTTGCCTTTTGCCTTTTGCCTTCTTTTTGAGTTCCTACAGAGAGTGAATGTTTTCTAATTAGAGTTTTGTTGCATATCGCAACTCCACATCTCACTTTAGAACTCCCTTTCCTGTATATCTCTCTCTCTCTTATAGCCATATCTAACTCGCCGAGTAAATGTCAACAACTATATTTTGTTGCATATCGCAATCTAAGATAAGATCGCTTTAGAACCGCTTCCTGCTTCCTGTATCTTACAACTATAGTTTTGTTGCATATCGCAATCTGCGATAAGGTCCTCTTAGAATCAATCACCTGCTGCCTCTTATTACAGCCATAGTTTTGTTGCATATCGCAATCTGCGATAAGATCATCTTACTACTACTACCCGCTCCCTCTTATTACAACTATACTTTTGTTGCACGTCGCAAATTGGGAATAGCCTCACTTTGCTACGTTCCGCTTCTTTTTTTGTTTCAATTCATAGCAAGTGGATTTTCACTACTACCCTATGGTTTCGATTCGCATCGTAGCTTTGGAGATCTCACTTTGGTCCTACGTCCCTCTCTTAGCTCCCGTTAAGTGAATAGTCAAGTGATTTCGTATTAGGTTTACAACTAGAGTTTTGTTGCACATCGTAACTTTGTTATTCTCTCACTTTAGCACTGCTCCTGATTCCTGTATCTTGCGAGTAGGGTCTTGTTGCACATCGCACCTTAGCAACAGCAGTCATGACATTATCTCTTCTCAACTCCTGGTAAGTAAACGTCCTACAATTTGAATTTTGTTGCACATCGCGGTTTTGACGTCACCTCATCTTAGGCCTCTCTTCCGCATCCTTTCTTGATTCCTAGTGAGCACCTTACTAGAATTATTGCGCATCGTAGGTACCTAGTCTATCCATAATTTCATTTTAGAGTTGTATCCAGACTATCAGGGAGTAAATATCTACAGATGGAGTTTTGTTGCATGTCATAGTCTAGGCAACCTCTCTTTAGACCTTTGTTATTGTTAATTTGCTAGGTATTACTAGGCTGTGCAGGAAGCCATGGGGTGGGTTCTAGATATTATGGTTGAACCCATGGGTCTAAAAGCCCAACCCATGGGGACCTATTGCAAAACCGATGTCACAGTATTACTATGTCGAGCTGTGGAAATCACCTACCGGGTTACGGATCACGTAACACGTTCCCCCTAATCACCAACTGATCCCTACCGTATGGTAACAGGGATCGTTAACCCTTACTGTAATACGATATCCAATATTCAATAAAGAGCGAATGGCTCCGACTCAGGCTATTTTTTCCAGAAGAATTGGCTGTCTCCTGCATTCCTCTCTACCGAGACCGAATCCACGAATCCTTGTTCAATCACCTGCCTCAGGAGGTGTGTCTATACCACTCAAAAGTGAACCCAATTTGCTCAGGCTCACCTAAAGAAAGCAGCTGGAGAAGTCCACGCTTCTCCAAGTCCTGACAGAATGCCTTCTTCAAAGACAAATCCTCGGTCGAGTGATCTTGATCCACATTATCACAGCTGTCGCTGTTGGTTACTTCAGTAAGGAGCGTCTTTGTGTGTGCGGCTAATTCCGCAACCGTGGCATATTTGTTGTGCCAACACCTGTCAATGATATTGTCAATCATTAGATCACCATCAAGGTTTGGGAATTCCATGTTTTGCAGTAAGTCCACCACTTTAGGTCCATGCTCCTTAGGATCCTCGGTAAGGCATCGATCTCCGTAAACCTCAAAGCCGTAGTTTATCAGGTAGTACAAGGAACCGAGGGCGAACTGCTCTGTTCGAGGACCCAAGAAGCCGGAAGTTCCACATCGCCCTTGGCTCGTCTCGTTGCCACTGAGTAATCTTCCATACGGGGCGATGCAAGCTTCGAAATCCGTCCCGATTTCTGCCGTACAATCAAAATCAGACAGTTTCAGTCGGTCACGATCAAGAAGAATATTTTCAGGTCGCAGGTCACCATGAGCAAGGTTGAGCGATTCTAGGAAAGCAACAGCTTGAGCAAGGTCGTTCATCCATTTCTTCCGCAGGAGTAGAGGTTCCAACTTTTTGACTTCAGTAACAATCTTGGTTTGCTGGTCCCGGATATGATTGTTTTGTATCCTGGAAGAAAGGGACACATCTAACAGACCTGTTAGTAGACATAGCTGTCAACTTGCAGTAGGTTGCGGTTGCACCTCTCATGTACTCAAGGAAGATGCCGTTGTCTGTGTAGAAGAAACATTGCACCACATAGGGGCAGGGCGGACATCGCGAGAAGATCTCATAGATCTTGACTTCTTTTTGAAATTGCTCTCTCTCAAACTCTCCGGACTTTGGAACCTTGACCACGATGCGAGGATGGATCTCATAGACGAATGAGATGCCTCCTCCCCAGATCCAGTGTACACTAGGAAATTGGTGTTGGATATCCATGACACGAATACGATGTAAGATAAGAGCAGGTTCAGAAGAAGGTGTTGCACCCTTTACAAGAGAGGTTAGCAAAGACAAAAGTCGGTCAGGGGGAAAGTAGTGTCTGATTAGTCAGCTTGTTGAAAAATCTCACCTAAGGCATCAACTTCTGTGATACTATTGATACACAAAAGGAGATTCCTCTAGAAGGCTTAGAATAAGGGAGATTATATGGAGAAGTGTACTAACGTACAGTCAAAGCCCAATATATCAAAATTGGTTAATCGACCGATGGGAGGGATGATGGTTAAAGACTCGCGCGTTCTTTAAGGGGTATACCTATTAGTGCCTTGTTTTTGAGGCTGCTACTCTCCCCTTTTTTATAAGGGGGGAGGGTCAACTCTCAAGTGACCAGCCACTACTTATCTGAATTAGAACAGTATTCTTTTTAGAGGAGATTTGTGGTTGACTTTAATGGTATGTAATATTTTTATTGGCTTTAGAAGGTGTGTTGCTGATGAAATACCCAAGTGTACTACAAATTCCAAGAGAAGATGAATTCATTCTCTGCACGTCTCCCTAAGACATCATTACGCACCCAACCAAGAACCACGTCAAACATCTCATATCACACACCCCTCTCCCAAAGCTTTATCTACGCAACACCCTTTTCACTCACCTCATCCCTCTCAACCGTCGCCTCGATCTTCTCCGTCATCAACTCCCTAACCCCCTTCAAAAACACAATCGCCAACAGCGCCAGCACCACAAACGGAATAATACTCGCCCACGCTAACCGATACGCTCTCGCATACAACAGATGGCTCTCCCTCAGCGCCGCGCTCAGAATCCTCTCGTTCATGCCCGGGACTTCACTGAATCCCGTCCCGCTCGAGAACGCGGCTAGGAGCGCAGGGATCGAGGAGCTAGGGAGCCCAGCAGTGAGCGCGGTAGCGCTCATGTGCGGAGCGTACGTGGAGGCTAGCTTGCTGTTGTAGATGGTGGCGAGGACGGCGGAGCCGAAGGCGCCGCCGAGAGCGCGGGCGGAGAAGCCGAGACCGGTTGCGGTGGAGAGGTAGGCGTGCGGAGCGGTAAACTGGATCAATGCTACCAGGAGGGTAAGGGGGCCGCTCTGGCCGATGCCGCCTATGCTGGTTAGTGATGTTCTTGAGATTGGGAGGGAGGCGTGGTGTACAGAGAACGTTAATGCCGATTTGGGCGTGGTTCCAGCTGGGTTTGATGTTGGCGTAGAGGATTGTTCTATAGGGTAAGCCAGAGCATAGGGGTAGGGGAGAGAAACTTACGTGACGAGGAAAAGTAGGAAGGTGACTAGAAGTGGGGATTTCAAGTCCTTCTTCCAGGTCGAGTATAATCTGTTCCGGTTATTAGGGAGGCAGCAAAGAGCAGGTGAGAAAGCGTACGTGATGGGTATCGAGGCCAGGAGATTAGTCAAATTATACGACAGCTGACGGATGGCAATTTTCCAAGATGAAGACGAGAAGCCGAGATTGAGGACGATGAGAGGTGTCACGCTGTTAACGGCGCTATAAAAGATCCATCTATACTTCTGTCAATACATGGCAATGCCGAATTCAAACGGGAAAGTGTTGTTACCCTTCAACAGCGAAAGCAAAGACTGAAAGTGCAAAATTTGGTCCATCTCGGAAGAAGACATGTGCAACTAATCCGTCGTCTCTCCCTCTCCATTCTACGATTCAAAGTTAGTAGGTTCTCTCCTCTCGATTGTATAAATGACAACCCACCATAAAGAGCAAACAAAACAAGAGATGCAAGACCAATAGTCAGTGGAGCCACCACATGCGCATCATGCCACGGATAGACACCACCAGCCCAATCCAAAGCCAACAGCATCAAAGTCGCACTGACGATAAACAAGAAAGAGCCGACAGGATCACAAGCCCACACGACCTCCTTGAACGACATCCTAGGAAAATCAGACCCCCGTTTTGGGTGGTAGAAGAGGAGAAGGCCAATGGCACTGGCTGCGAAGAAGCCAGCCTGGATCCAGAAGATGTTGCGCCATCCTCCCGCACCTGCATTCGTGGCTGCTCCTGCACCAAGACTCCCTACCCTTCACCCTCTTTATCAGTCTTCAAGTCTCCATCAACAACTAAATATCCCTCAATCTAAGCGTTCAACAAATAAAATAGGGACTTACAACCCGCCCACCGATCCTCCAAGGAATGCAAATCCATTAGCCAGTACTCTATATTTCAAAGGCAGCACCTCAGACGGAATAGTCTGCACGATCGAGATCGTAGAAAGCGTCGTCCCGATCAAGACCCCTCCACCAATCAACATCGTCATGGACGTCGCTCTCGCAGAGACCACAGCGCCAGCGAAGGAAATCAGAGGCGGGATCATAGCCATATATTTTCGGTCCAGCACATCTGAGAGTCGGCCTATGATAGGAGAGAGAACACTTTGCATGAGGAGCGGTCCCTATTCATCATATTACTTCATCTCCTTTTCCGCGCGGATATTGGGATCAAGATTTCAAATTAAGAGGCCAGAAGTAGGACATGACAGACGTAGTAGTAGACGTACCTGAATAATCCACCCCGAGATAGCAGCATCCCCCAAATCGCGAACGATGAATCCAATCACTGAACCCGCAGCCACCACCACAAACGTCTGTGTCATAATCCTAAAACCTCTTAGGATCTCTCTGTACTCATCAGGGACCGAGTCTTACGCAAAGCATGTAACGCTGTTTTTTCAAAATTAATAAGCGCTGTCTTCTTTTCTTTTTTTGGGGGGGGAGGGGATACGCACAAAACTACCATCCAAGATCTCCATGTTAGATTAATATGATGACTGTCTCTATACGAATCAATCTTGACGACTGGCACTGGTTCGTCGCGCGTCGCTTCCTCAACTTGCGAGATTCCAACATCATCATCATCTTCCGTTTTCGTTTTCGCCATGGCTATAGTACCAGAAATTCCAGAATCCTGTCGCTGCTCCTCAGCCATATCTTCCCTCTCCCTCTCTCTCTCTCTCTCTCTAACAATAGAAGATACCGTCTAGAGTCCCTTCGAAAACAAAAAGGCCACTCACACACTAGAAAGTCAAAGTAAGTTCCCAAGAAAGCATTTGCAAAAGAGTCTTACCAACCACCTATAAACCCTCAGAACCCCAATCTTAGAATCTTAAACAATCAAGTTCTAGATCAATCAACCTCTCTATTTCCAATTTGACAGGGCAAGGGGAGGGGATCACAAAATTCTGGGGTAAGGTAACAATGGGCCTATGCATGCATGCATACTCCACTTGCTGAATGAACTTTCTGCCCCCTCCTCCCCATGGGGACAGGGACGGGACGGGATTCCTCCCTATCTATCTTACGGTCTTACCCCTCAAATGCAATTAATCCAATCCAACCCCCGCATAAATATCCCCCTTGTCAAAAAGAAACGTCAGCTTTGATCGGCAGTTCATTCTTCTTCTCTTGGATATTGTGTCGACTTTGGATAGATGAGTAATCGTTTGGTGGCTTTGTGGCTTTGGGATGGTGATGGGATTAGATAGATAGTGTTCGGTGGTGTGAAGATTAGGGATTAGAGGCTAGATGGCGGGTGAGAGGAGGAGAGAGGAGAAGGAGGAGGAGTCTTTGTTGGGGGGGGGGGGTTGAATTTATGCACGAATTAGAATTTAGAGAAGCTTGTATACTATACAACAAGTATTCTATATCGTCTTGACCCAACCAGTGATTCCACAAATCTCCTGCCGGGAAAACTACAAGCTATATATTCACAATCACAGCAAAAAGCCAAATATTTCTTATTTTCCTCAAGTGAACTAACTGCTTCATCCATGATGAAAGACTGAGCTAATTTTTCATAAGATTATTCAGAATCTGGTTCCTCGCGATCGCACTCCTCAGTTTCTTCCCAAACACCCACAGCGGGAGCGTCAGAGCGACGACGGCAATGAAACAACTACCTAGCACATTAAAGACCGCCAGAACACCGTCTTTCTCCAGCCAATCATTCACAAAGTACGTCAGGCCGAAAGTCAGGAAGTTGCGGGCATTGATAGCAATGAATGCTGTTTATTATTACGGGTTATTATCAGTGGGTGATGTTTTCCAAACCGGGGAGTGATTGGGGGAAAATAAATAAATACATACCTTCTTCGCTCAGTTTCTCGTACGAATCTATCACGTAGCCAAATACGCAGCCTGACGCGAACGCCATGGCCATATTTGTAAGTCCGAAGGTGAGCACGGGACCTATCCAATGCGTCTGGTAGTGGACGGAAGCGCCGAAGCCGAAGAAGCCACTGATTCCAATAAGGAGTACGGGGATCATGAGAACGAGTCGGAATTCTGGCTCGTAGATACCGCGGTTCCTTTTGGTTAGGAACACGCAGATGTAATCGTTCAGTGGTCCAGATACTACCTCGCCGACGACGGTTAGGACTAGTGGCGAGATGCTGACGAGTCCAACTTGGGAGACTGTGAAGTTGTAGGGTGGGAGTGTAAAGATCGATGCGTTGACGACGCTGAACACAACAATCCAAGTGAGCGTGGTGCCGTAAACTAGGAAGGCCCAGAGAACGGCGGGGTACCAGAAAATTATAAAAGGGCGAATGAAGATCTTCAAAAATGGTGCGTCTGAGTAGCGTCCTGTGAAGATGCGCAGACTTCGCAGAAAAGAGTCTTTCTTCTCTAGCGAGCCTGTGGTTCTAGTAGCAGTGTTTTCATCCAAAGAGACCTTCAGTTCCTCCTTTTCAATCGGCTTCTCTATATCAGAGATACGAAGGGCTATCCCTCCGTATCTTTCCTGTATAGGGACGCGATTGTAGGCAGTTTCAGGAACGAAAAGGAGGACCAAGAACATGAACACGCCGAAAAGGATAGCACAGATTCCAAATGTCCACTTCCAGCCGATGTCCTGCCCAGAGCAATATTAGCAGACTCCAACTATGATCAAACACGCGGTGACAGGTGACTGACTTGAATGATATATCCACTTATCAGACTCCCTCCAGCAATGCCACAGAGCAGAAACAGGTTCCAGGCCGCGATCCTGGTGGCTCTCTGATGCACGAAATACATGTCGCCAATCGTGCATTGAACAAGGACTTCATAAGGTGCCATACCAAACCCAGATACGATGCGACTCGCGAGAAAAGAGCCGTAGCCCTTTGCAAACGCTCCCCAGACACTACCTGCGAACATGATCATGATGGCAACTATGTAAACTGGGCGTCGCCCCCATACTTTGGCTGCGGGGTTGGCGATGAATAACGAGAGGCCGATGGTTAGGATAAGCCAGGCTGTAGATTGAGAGAGTGTGTTGACACTGATCCCCATCTCGTGCGAAATTTGTACGAATCCCGGTGACAGCATGGGTCCGAAGGCTCCTACCACCGCAGCAGAAAGACCCACTATAAGAAGGATTGAATCTTTCTTCCAAACAGGCCACTGAGGGTGATTAGCAAAAGAATCCGTAGCTGCAGCATTCACATACATTCAATGGATCGTTTGGGGAATCTGATGGCTGCGGCACCAAGATAAGATGTGATAGTCGCCCCGTTCCATGTTTCAGCAGCTCTCGAGGAATCTGCTCATACTCTCGTGGAATATCAGACTGATCATTCATGCAAGCTGTGAATAGAATCAGTCAAATCCTTAATTCTCACCTCAGATGTCTCTCACCTGTCCCAGGGACTAGCTCCATGTGGTGATCTTCAAGTATCCCGAAGGGCATGGTGCTGCTGCTACTGATCTCTGGATTTCTGAAAGGGAATCAATCTGGGACGAGCTCTGGAGAGATTGATCCAGCCCAGCTTTCGGCATATATACATGCACCGTGCCTTGGAGCGTAATCGTGACTCGGAGACAGTGTCCATCACTCATGTTGATAGGGGCGGCAGATCGGGTGAATCGCATTGCCGAAATCGATGCTGCAGTTGCATTTACTGTGCAGAAATTATCTAAAGCACAACGGCGGTATTTTCTGTCCACTCACAAGATGAGGTTGGTCATGAGGCGGCATGCGGCGTGCTGACCCTAAGCTGACCAATATGCACCCCACGACAGTGCGGCGGGACCGAGAGGATGGGGAGCGGGGGAGCGGGGGAGCGGGATAGTTCTTTGCGAACGCGGGGGAATAGCGAGCCCACTTCTGCAGCTGTCAGCACCACGTCTTACCCCCGTCATCGCACTATCCTACACCAATTCCAGCATAGGTCCTCCCCGAGGCTTGGACATATCGTCTTGATACCACGTTGTGATCATCCAGGCTCTAAAACGGGAAATTCTCCGACGGTGGTTGGCAAGCCGTAACGACGGTCAAAAGTAACGTAATTATTAAATATATCCTAATGCCTGCACTTGTTCTTTTTAGCACTGCACCTTATCATTTGGAGTTGCCTTTATGTTTGGAATCATGGCTACAAGCAACAATCTTCCTGCCTCGGGGATCCGTGTTATCGTTGTCGGGGCAGGTTTTGCTGGTCTTACTGCAGCAATCGAGTGTCATCGCAAAGGCCACTCAGTCCTCCTCCTCGAATCCTTCCCAGAGTTGAAGCTCCTTGGCGATATCATAAGCTTCGCTCCCAACTCTGGTAAGATCTTCGAGCGCTGGCCGGGTGTGGACGCAAAGCTCGATCCCATCATCCACAAGAGCGATGGTTTGCTTTACAAGACGTATCTCGGAGAAAACCTTTTCAAGCAGACTTGGACCGCCGAGGAGAGAGCATATGGCAAAGCGTATAATGGACACCGCGGTGAGATCCATGAGATCGTATATCAACATGCTTTAGATATAGGAGTTGATATTCGCCTCGGTCACAAAGTCGAAGATTATTTCGAGACAGAAACCGAAGCAGGTGTGATCGCGAATGGTGAAAGATTCGTTGCGGATGTAGTCCTGGCTGCCGACGGTGTGCGTTCGAAAGGGCGAACGATCGTCCTTGGCTATGAAGATAAACCGAAATCTTCAGGATACGCAATATGGCGCTGTTGGTTTGATTCGGCAGAACTTGCAAAGGATCCAGACACTGCTTGGATGGTTAATGATGGTGATAAGCATTGCGCATGGCTTGGTATATGAACCTCATCCAGAAATTCGAGATTTTGTCTCTGATTATAACAGGTCCTGATATCCATTTCATTGCTGCATCTGTAAAGAACGGGAAAGACTTCAGTTGGGTTTGCACTCATAAAGTTAGTTTTCCAGTCCAAAATTCCGCGACGGATCTGACAGTGGGTAGGATGACGCAGACATTGAGGAGAGCTGGCAATTCCCTGCTCCACTAGAAGACGCACAAAAAGCCTTGGAAGGGTGGGATCCAGTACTCCAAAAGATTCTGAAGGCAACTCCTTCGCCACTTATCGATTGGAAATTGGTGTATCGAGATCCACTTCCCACCTGGATCTCCCCAAAGCGGCGAACTGCTCTGATTGGAGATGCGGCTCATCCTTTCCTACCAACTTCCATCCAAGGTGCTAGTCAAGCTATGGAAGACGGAGCTACGATAGCTGTTTGTTTGACGAAGAGCGGGAAAGCAAACGTTCAAGAAGGCATTGCGGCATTTGAAGCATTGCGATACGAGAGAGTGAGAGCAGCACAGAAAACCGGAGAGCGAACCAGGAAGACTTGGCACAAGGCGAATTGGGACGAGGTGAGGAAGAACCCGGAAAGCATGAAATTGAAGAGAGAATCATGGCTTTTGGGCTTCGACGCCGAGCTATATGCAGAAGAACATTACGCTGCTACGGTGGCATTGTTGAAGGATCCGTCAAATAATGTGACTGCTGCAAGGGAGTATAATATGCCTAGAATGGCAGAACTCGCTGCCTCGCTGTAGATAGAGCTATACCCTAGAATATGTACGAAGTAAAATTGAAAGATCTGATCCCTTGATCATCCACAAAGTCGCCATGTATGCCAGTATCTGGGGTCCATGCTGTACTACAGCCCGCTCACGGCTCACCACGTACAGAACTTATCATGCTTGATTCAAGCCGCTGAAAGGCACCCACTTACGGCGATCAGCTGCCTTGTTCGATCTTCACTTGGAATATTTCCTAGAGGATATACTATCCGTAGTCGATATTGATATTATTCCGAGGGAACAATTAAGAAAACGGAACAATAGGACCGGTCATGGCGCTATCTAAGGCTAGACTCAGAAGTTTCGGCCGATGCAACGGACGACCCCGCATGGGGCCGTGTTCCCCCGCTGTGGAGGTGGAGAATTTCCAGCAACCAGAACGTCTTTATGTCCCGGGGTGGATGCGGGGGGTGTTCGGGGAGGAAACTTCCACAACGCGATCCATTCTGTCCAGACCTCCAGACACACATCTTATTAAGCACCAGTTTCCGAAATGATTTTCGATTCCCGTCAAGAATCTGCTTGCGCTACGATGAGACTTCACCATGTCGCTCTTTTCAATCCTGAGCTCGTGGTATCTTTTGGCTGGCATTGCACTCGTTCCACTCTTGATCCTGATCAATGATATCTGGAAATGGTGGCGCATGCCACCTGGTCCAACACCTCTCCCATTCTTTGGAAACAAGCTACCAACTTCGAAGCCCTGGATACAGTTCCAAGAATGGTCAAAGAGATACGGTCCGATCTTCACGATATGGGTCGGCCGAAGACCAACTCTAGTCATTTCGGACCCGGACATCGCCGTCGATTTGATGGAGAAGAGAAGCAACAAATACTCATCCCGACCTAGATTCGTGGTCATGGGAGAGATGCACTCATCGAACTCTGTCCTAGTGCAACCCTATGGAAAGGAATGGTCTCTGAGACGGAAACTCTTGCATCGTGCTCTGACTCCAGCTGCGCTCCGGACGTATATGGCGCGTCAGGAGGCCGAATCAACTCGATTGGCATTCAAGGTCATGCGCGATCCTGACAACTGGGAAAGGCAGTTCGACCGATTCACAGCAAGCGTGGTCTTTTCGATCGCCTACGGCCATCGGATCGACTCCATGGACTCCCCAATTATCAGACAACGGCTGAATTTCATGCAATTCGTGGCCTCTCTGAACGTTCCAGGCGCATACCTAGCTGAGTCTTTCCCAATCCTGAAGCACGTACCGACATTCCTAGCTCCTTGGAAGAGAGAGATTCTCAGCATGGCAGCCGCGGAAGCAGCTGCCAACATGGAGCTCGTTGAGGACGTGACCAGAGATCTCCGGGTCGGGAGGGAGAAAGGGTACGAAATTGCCCCTTCCCTCACGCAAACTCTGCTGGAGGTTCGGGACACCGAAGGGATCCCACTCCCTGACAAAGACTTCTCGTTCGTGCCTGCGTCCTTGTTCGGTGCTGGATCCGATACCACAGCGTCCACGATGTGCTCCGCCATGCTAGCATTCGTCACGCACCCCACCATCCTCCAGACCGCGCACGCCGAACTCGATGCCGTCGTGGGCTTCGACAGGACTCCCAGATTTGAAGACGAGCCACATCTACCCTACATCCGCGCGCTCGTCAAAGAAGTGCTCCGATGGAGACCCGTGGCGGTCCTCGGAGGAACGCCCCACGCATCATCAGAAGACGACATCTACCAGGGCTGGCGAATCCCCACCGGGACCACCATCCTTGGAAACTCCTGGGCGATTAACCTCAACGAGGAATACTACCCCGATCCCCATCTGTTCAACCCTGCTCGGTTCCTAGACCCGGACGACCCGCGCTACGTCCCCGAGCTGAGGGGTCGGAAAACCCATCCGGCAAAAGCAGGACACTCCTCGTTCGGATGGGGCAGGAGAATATGTCCTGGTGCGGATCTCGCCGCGAACTCGCTCTTCATCGCGCTCTCGAAGCTGATCTGGTCGTTTGATATCTTGCCGACCAGGACATATGATACTTTCGATTACACGAACGGGTTCAATATCCGTCCTCAGCCGTTCCAATGTCTGATTCGCGTCAGGAGTGACGTCCATCGGAGGGTCCTGGAGAGGGAAATGATAGATGCGGAGATAGAGATGGAGAAGTTTCCGGCGTACGAATGATGGGGTTTTCGCTTGGCAGTCGCTAAATGGCAACGGTAGTCTTCTTAGAGGACCTCGAAGCTTTAACCATTCACTTCTTCACACACTTCTTGAAACGTCAACGGTATAAGATGAATCGCGGATGCTCAAACGCTGGAAGCGCAATAGAGAGCAAAGAAAAAGGTCCGTATATCTAGATATTCGGCCTCCTCCGGAAGTCCGGAATCTACACCGAACAGATCCGGTGCTTTTGTTGAACCTTCAATCATGATCTTAGCAACTCTATGGGGTAGATCTACATGCAATCCAGTCCTTCAAGCGCTAACCAACTCCTAACATTTAATCACAACTAATTTATTCTCAAATTTAAACAGGCATAGTCAAACTGTTCCTTCTCGAATTCGCCCTCGAGTTCACCCTTGAATTCGCCCTTGAATTAGCGGCCGACATGTTCTTCTCACCACCTATGCTGTTCTGTCTCGAATTTACGGGTCGATGTGAGCCAGCGTAGCTGTTCTGCCGACTCCCCAGATTTTGCCGAATTCTAAGGTTTTGTTGCGATCTGGCAAACGAGTTAGCCCTCGAGGTGGGCACCCTCGCCAAATGACCACCCGCTGATTCATGGCGAGCATCGGATAGTTGTTGGGCAAAGGGTGAGCGCTTCCGTAGCTGGGGTCCGTAGAAGTAAATCACGTATACAGCGATAACGAGGACGAAAGAGATACAGAACAAAATGGTAGAGGCATTCGCAATTTGGTCCTTGCTGCCAATATCTATTATCGTTAGTTGAAATCCACACACGTGATTGATTAAAACTTACTCTCAAAGAACGGGGTCGCAGGTATAGTAAGGACACCAGCGAGGAAATCACGCGACCATCCATTACCACCAGTTGCGGAAGCCGAATAGGGACCATAAGCACATATCATATAGTCAATCGTGGCCATATAGATGCTATAGTTCGCGATTCCGACAATGGCTGCTGCAATTGAAGAGCCGATCCAGTGGATTGGCGGTCCTGTCGAGGTCCAAGCGAAAATGATGAGACCAATTGGCAAGCATGGGGCAGTAAACAGAAGCCACCAGAGGCGGGATTCGTATTGGGCCTTTTCATCGTCAGGCTTGCTCTTCCGCTCTTGGATGTTGCGTTTGATGGCCGGGAAGAAGGAGAACCAGGCGATGAAGTAGCCGACGAGAATAGGAATGAAGGACAGACCCAGTTCAACGGTACCGAAGCCCCATTGCTTATACACGAGACTGAACGACTGGATGAACATGAAGATCAGGGCGTCGCTGAAACCACTAAGAAGAGACAGCGTAAGGACGATCGGCTCTGTAAGGTACATTTTGAATGGTCGAATCCATGTGAGCAAAACCTCCTTGGCGGAAAATCTCTCTCTGAATGGCACAAGCTCATTTGGCCCATAGACATTAGGGCTATGGCCACTCTCGCGACGCCGCTTAGCAATCCGATCCATCAAGACTGTAGTCCTCGTCTCCGGGACGGTGAAGAAATGAAGGGCTTGTACAAAGCCCCCGAATATGAGCTGAATCCAGATACACCATCGCCAATTGCAATAAGCCTCAACAAAACCACCGACCACGGGGCCGAGAACCGAACCTCCCACCGAAGAGAATACAATGAAGGCCACCGCATACTGCTGCTTGTCGGGCTCGAAAACATCGGCAATCATTCCCAACGTGACCGAGCCTCCAGCGGAAGAAAGACCTCCCAGCGCACGGCCAACGAGGATCGTGCCGAAGTTTTGGGCAAGCGCGACAGGAAGCTGCCAGATATTGACCAAGAACAAACTAGCTTGGAGGATGGGTTTGCGGCCCAATTCTTCACTCCACGGTGCCCACAGCTCACAGCCGAAAGCGTACGTGATCAAGAAGATCGCAGCTCCGACGCGAGCTGCTTGCGCACTGACATTGAACCGCTCTGAGATCCCACCGATGGCATTGGAGTACAGACTGGTGTTGAAATTCATGGAGACCTGCACAATGAAGATCACCGTGAGGATCCACCACTTCTTCCACGCCGGGAAACAATAGCCAAGCTCCTCGTAGCAATCATCCTCGGTGAGCTCGATCTTGTCGTTTGTTCCGGTCTTCTCGATCTCATGCGTCTCGGCGATATCGTGAGTCGGGAAGCGCATGTGACGGGCGGGTGGAAGGACATCACTCTCTTCATCAAGTTCAGACGATGTGACTGGATCATTTACAACATGAGTAGCTGGTAAGGTCTGGTTTGGCGGAAGGGACTCGTCCTTGTCTTCAGCCTTGGATTCGGGGATGTGCGCGAGGCCACGATCGGCCCCGTTGGTGTCCGCCATGCTATTGGTCGGAGGCGGCGCACACGATTGAGATGGAGAGAGATTAAGGATAAGGCAAGTAAGTGCCCGGATCCGTGCTGTGGTTGTGTTCTTGGTGTAATCGTCGTTGTTTCTGTTCTTGTGGGGTTATTGTGGGGTTCTTAAAGAAGATCTTCAGATCTTTAAAGAAGGGGCCCCAGGTAAGAAGGCGGTAAGGCAGGATGGGGAGAAGGGCGGTAAGAAGGGCGGTAAGGAGGGCGACGAGATGCAGAAGGTCTGAGGTCTCGGAGGGAAGTATGTGTGTGCATGTATGTCTTGGACAAGAGAAAGTTTGATTGACAGACTGACAAGTATAAATGCCCCCGAGAAAAAGGGCGCGGGGGAGGACTATAAGGACGATCAGGGAACGGGTTGGCCTAGTGCGTCATCATTCCCCGACGCTGGCAGAGTAGTAGTTCCAAGGGATTGAGAGGGAAGATAGCGGTAACCAGACGCTACTTTCTCCACACGAGCGGTGGTAGTACCACTCTGCTGTGGAGTCGGTACGGAGTAGTGTCTGTCTGTAGCTGTGCTTCCGTCCTGGCGCCGTACTCGGTACTTCTTACACTTGTGGTCCATCTGTCAGACTGAAAGCCCGAAGAGCGACGCTCGTGTGCCATGGTGCCTCTGGGGTCTGGCCAGTTCGAGTCCTGAGTCGTGCGTGAGCAGCAAGGACGGGGGCACGCGAGAGTGAAGGAGGGCAACTTACTCGTGCGGCGGGAGCGGAATGCGCGGCAAAACCTGAGGCAGTGCTGAGTGCAGTCTGTCAAGCACGGCGATGATCGCCAGGTGGACGGAGGAAGAGTGGAGCGGGTTGAGGTTCTGGTGTTTTACTCTTGGTTTGGATCTGGAGTGCCGTGGGCCCTTCTGGCTCGCGACTAATCGGGCAGATCAGCGGCCGACAATGGACTGGCGGGCTGTGACAACGTGACAAGACAGGTAGTGTGCATTTTGACAAGAGCCTTGACGGGCGGGAGCAGAGAGAAAAAAGCAATTGACCGTGAACCTCGATCTGATGTACACGGTACCCGGACGACGACCAGAAGACAAAGAAACCAAAGAAGACTGCGCCTTTGACGTGCGCAGAAAGGATCGGCGCGGATGAAGCCACAAGTGGAAATGACATCATCAGTGCGGTTCTGGCTGCCCCGTCCCCTGTGATTCCTCTGATCGACCCGCGAAGGGCAAAATAATAAGGCCGAAGGAAATGAACTGTCGAAAATCAAGGAACCAAAGGACTCCGCGGGGACCAGGGACACGGAGAGGATAGGAAGAGGAGGAGGGGAGGATGGTCAATCACGACAATGATAGAGACTTGACTGCTGTATCTATCTACCTGTCTCCCGTCCTATGTCTTACCTTGGGTATAATACATACAGTTCAATTCAATACATAAGGTACCATACAATATAACACAACACAACACAACACCAACATCCCACTTCTCCCTCCCCATTATTCCCCCATTTCCCCCATCTCCCCGTGCCCCGGGAATGTCGAACCGAGGGCTCCGATACCCTAACCCCTTCCCGGCCTAGCGTCTTCAGGTGCCCGCATCTCCAGCTTCGCATCATGACAATCATAAACAAGAATAATGACAACTGGGTAACGTGCCTGCTGCCCTCTGCCATCCCGAGACACGGATACATCCTCTCCCGCAGCATCATGGGCTCTGCAACTCAAACCTGTCCAATGCCCTATTACTCGGTACGCGTGTGCCGACAACTGCAGTATAGTCGTGTGTCTATTAATATTTTCGGGGTATTCTCCATGAGTCGCGTTTCCCCCACACCGGGGAAGGGGAAGCGGAGGAGACGATGGCAGCTGATTCTCACGTGACCTTGCTTTTTCCCTGGTACGAGCGCAAACCAAACAAGTCATCAGAAGGCTATTGTACCACTGCTAGCTGAACCAGCTGAACCAGCATCATATTGATGAAACTCGATACGACGGTAAGCTAAAAACCTGCGAGTGATGAGGGCATCCCATCTCTGACCAGCTCTTCCATCTCTGCTCCTGTCACGCGCTTCTCCAACCCCCGCCCCGGTTCGAGCCGGTCGTCACTGGTCACGGCAATTAATTACACTTACATCGACGCGTGCCGGACCCTTCTTCGAAAAGGCAGAGCCCTACGATACAAATCCTTGGAAAAGGTAGGTCACGCGGCTTACATAGAAATGCACGAACCTCCAGCGCTGCACGAGGCTACGCGCCTTCCGGCAAGGCTGAATATGATGATGTCACCAACTCGACTTTTCTTCTCTTCTATTCAAGCTACATCTCCCCTGATATCGTCAACGTTTGTCTCTCCTCCTCACAATGCTTCCCGCAGGAGGCATCGTGTTATATGCAATCTTCTTATCCCAGTCTCTCGCTGTTCCTACGGATGCCCCCCAGCTTCCAATTGCCCCTCAATCCCATACCCAAGACTATGAATTTGACGCTCTTCTCCACCTTCCCGGAATCAGTCCGTATTTCGACGCGATTGGGTCCGGACTCAATCATGATGCTCCCTTGAACTGCGAAGTAACGGCCGCATCCTACCTGGTGCGACATGCCGCTATCTATGCCAACGATGCCGATTACTACAAATACATAGAACCCTTCCTGCAGAAGCTCGATTCTACCTATTCTTCTTCCTCTGGCAAGCGACGAAGAGGCTGGAGCGGGCCGTTGTCATTTTTCTCGAAATGGGAAAATCCAATCGACAATCCCAAGAAGCAGCTCGAGAAAATCACACCTCACGGAATCAAAGACTCAAAGAAAGTAGGAAAGCACCTCCTTTCCAGATATCCAGCGCTCGTCCCTACGATCAAACACATATATACGGACAAGAAATCACGAACCAAAGACACGGCCGCTGCCTTCATCGAGGTCTTCCCCCAAGATGTCGAGATCATAGAACTGAGACCCGGTCATCCAAGCTTCCAGCACCAAAATCCACACAAAGCCTGCAAAGCTTTCTCCAAGGAACCGGGAGATACAGAACAAAGAGAGTTCCTATCGCATTACACCTCGCCCATAATCTCACGTTTACAGCCCTTCGCCCCTGTTCCCTTGTCAGAAACCGATATCATGGGCCTACAGCAACTGTGCGGCTACGAGTCGGCGATACGGGGGAAGAAGAGTGATATCTGTGATGTCTTTACGGACGATGAGTGGATGGCGTATGAATATGCTTGGGACTTGAAGTATTCGCATATGGTGGGCCATGGCAACCCATTGAGTCCGTACCTTGGCTTTCCGTGGTTGAACACCACGGCAACATTGTTTGACAAGTTCCATGCGCCACATCACGGTGATGAAATGGAGGGGGATGAGGTACCGGATGATGATGGACAGCGTTTCTTTCTTGCCTTCACCCACAGAGAGGTCCCGCCTTTCATCGCAACCGCCTTGGGATTGTTCAACTCGTCGAATTCATACAATGAAGAGTGGCCTACGAATCGCATCAACTGGAGTCGGAGCTGGAAGATGGCGGAGTTGATTCCCTTCCTAGGACATGTGGGGATAGAGAAGTTGACTTGTGATAGAATGGGGGTGGGTGGGGAGAGGGAATACGTGAGGGTCATCGCGAATACGGCACCAAGGCCAATTCCGGCTTGTCAAGATGGACCGGGGGCGAGCTGTAGTTTTGATGCATTTGTGGACTTGGTAAGGAGGGGCATGGAGATTTATGGGGATTTTGATGGGGTTTGTGGTAACGATAAAGAGGAGTAGGGGGAGCTGGGGTTGTAGATGGGAGATGTAGATGGGAGATACGTATAGACTCACGAATATACGTGACTATTGTATGCCAACAAAATTCGTGCCTGATGATTTCATTTCCTTTTGTTCCCCATAAAAACCTTATATGCCTGTTGAATGCCTATGAAGAAGTATTTTGCCTCCCCCTGATCACGTGTAAAGAACTTTCGGGTCAAGAGCAAGCGACGTCAGTCCAGGTCCAACAAAAAGTCCAACTCCGCCTCACAACCACTTGATCCCTATCAGCGCCAAGAACCAATTACATCCTCCTTACAGTTTTCCAACGAACATAAATTTACAGTTTTCTTAGTCTTTGACACGGATATGAAGTCATGTGCCCACCGGTTCTGATAGGTAGACTAGGGAGGCTGATGACAAGTTGCCCCCCCCCCCCCTACCTACTCTCGCCCCCTTTTGACATCATCAGGGAGACCTGCTTCTCTGGGATATCTTACCTACATATAAACAAGCTTTCTAATACGATATTTTGCTATACCCAAGCAATAGTTCTCTACTCACAATTCAAGAGTCAAGAATTAAGACTTATCACGCACAGTACCTACCTACACATATACAGCAGACAAATATATCATCCGCACACAGCACCGCTCAATGAGTTCCTTCCCCTCGCCCAGCCACAAAAAGTCGTCTCGGATCCACAACAGCGACTGGCATCCCGAGCCCACGAAATCACTTCCTCTAAACGCAGCTCGACAAGCGCTCGTGAACGATATCCTAGCGCTATATAGCTGCGAGCCGACAGTGGACAGGATCAAGAGATATACGCCGGACTGCGTATACGATGATCAATTCGTGTTTGTGAATGATCGGTATAGGATGGCGGGTCAGTGGTTCGCGTTGCCGAAATTGTTTAGGGAGTCGAGAACTGTGGCGTATCAGGTGGTGAGGAGTGATGAGGAGGTTATTCAGGTTAGGAATAAACAGGTATTTTATATCCGCTCTTTTTCTTACCCTCCAGCCCTTTTATCACTTTCCTTGTAATATATCATACATATATGGTATCTAAACAAGTGGTCATCTAACTAACAAAAACCCGCGCATAAAAGTCCTGGACATTCCAAAACCTCCCCCAAAAAAGCGCCACGATCAGCTCTCTAATCACACTTTCCCTCGACCCCGAAACGGTGAGTAGTGATTTCATCAGGGTTAAACATCACAAGGACCAAGCGAACGAACAGGATTACAGCCATCATCTCCTAAGCTTCACCTTTAAGAAATGGCAGGCTGGTCAGGTCGCTAAGCATATTATGGAGAGTCCGGAGATAGAGACTTTTAGAGAGGATAAGAGGGGGGGAAGTGAACAATTGGGCGAGAGGAAGTATGGGGAGAGGAGGGATGAGGAGGAGCATGAGGAGTTGGGGTTTATTATGGAGGATTGCTGAGTGGTTGGATTTTTTCTTGTAAGGAGAATTGAATTGAGTTTATTCACGTTGCGAGGTTTGGAGGTTTAACTGCTGGTTTGTCTGTCTACTTAGGTCCTGTATATATATAGTTCATAAGAGTTCCAACCGATTACTCTACATAACCCCCTCCATATCCTACCATTCCACTACCTGATCACAAACTATCGATTCCTTCCAAATTTATCTTCCAAACTCTACATACAAATCTTCTTCTCCCCCTACACTAACCTCCCTCCCTCCCTCCATCCCAACCAGGGCACTCATCACTCAACCCCTCTCGCTCCGCCCTACAATTCAGGACATGATTAGCGAGAAGTAAGTACCATGTATTATCTCATCTAATAAGATAAAATAAGCGAAACTATAGCTAAATAAACCCAGGACCGCTGGCGCAACGGTAGCGCGTTGTAAGTAACCACTACCTTACCACGCTGTGTCTGAGACAGACACACTAGGGAGAAGCATTTATTAACAATTGTTTAAAATAGCGACTCCAGATCGAAAGGTTATCCGTTCAAATCGGGTGTGGTTCAATACCGTATCTCGGGATACTTTCTTTTGAATTTTTGCTTGGATTTTTTTTATTTTTGGGTTTAGGATGGATGTTTGATGGTTTTCTTTGAGCTCTTGGGTAAAGTGGGAAAAAAGAAGTCGATTATTGCTAGGTAGCTAACAGCAACAGCAAGCATACTTCTGCCTATGCATGTATGTCTAAAAGATTAGCGAGATTTAGAGACTTACAAGTTACAAGTTTCTAGTCTTCTTAACAGGGCCGGTTGAGCTGCTTACTCTGTATTGACGAAGGTCAGCACTGGATCTAAAATAGAAATCCTCCGTAGTATTGGGAGAGAGCTGTCAATCAATAGATACCTAGGGATAGACCCATCACCCCAAGTAGTAAATACAGACAAGACTGACCTGGCCCGTTTATTAGAGACGTCCCGGATATATAAACGTCGTTGCCAGATCTGCAGAAAACCCCCTATGCTGTGCCAACACCATACCAAATCATCCCCATCACGCCGCCCACAATAATAACTACTGGAGCAGGGACGTTGTTGAACCATCGACCTCCAACAAAGGACGTCGCAGTCACAACCACCCGTCCAACCCAAGGTCAGAACCGGAGGAGAAAGTCTCGCTCGCTCCTACAAGCGGTAAACAGCTGCTGTATATATGAGGTCTACAGCCACCACGCAAGATCGAGGTGAGTGAACCATCGGTGATTGCGCAACACCTTCTACAAACCCATCGTCCTAGTATGCAAGGACGATTCATAATTTCATACCCGGAGCGAAGATCACTACGTATCTATTAGGGACTTAAAGGGGTAGGATTAGGAATGCGCGGGCCCTGCGTACCTATAGGTACGCTAGGGCTACTTAGGGTTCTTAGGTAGTACATATATATCTTAAGGAGTAAGGAGTAAGGAAGGGAGGTAAGAATTAGTTTAGATTTAAATTAAAGTATACTACGACTTACTAGTTACTTAACTATAATTCTCTACTATATTACTTATAATACTAATCTCTAACATTCTAATTCTTCTTCTTATTAAGGAAGTAGCTTGTTATAGTTATAGTACTTAGTCGTTTAAGAAGAGATACCTAAGGGACTCTTATAAGAAGAGCTACTAGTAAAGAAAACCTTAGTAAAAGAACTCTTACTATAATATAGACAAGCTATATATGTTACGGCAGAGCAGTGCACAGCGCACAGGACACAGTACATAGCGTACAGAAAGGAAGGAAGGAAGGAGCGTAGCGTACACAGCCTATAAATAGCCTACATCTTAAGAAACAGGACAATTATAGAATTTAACACACACAAAACGCGCTATAAGTAGCGACTCTACGTAATAACCGTGACATCTAGTAGTAATACTACTAAGACTAGCCCTGTCGCTTAACAGGTGTACTAGTAACACTACGTGTCGTACTAGTAGCCTAGCTACACTATTAGGGATCAAGGACCTCTGTCAAATTAAATTATCAAGAAACACGTAACTACCGAACTTACATTAAGGATCGATTATTATCAGGGATTATTACAGGATTACCGAACCGGTCGAACAATACAATCATTAAGTCATTAAGACAATCGAGTAATCAATACACGCTAGACGTCTATAGCACTATTATATATACTACTAATTTATTAAATCAGAACTACATAACAGTATACTATAGTTAGTAAAGAGACTGTCCTCCTTACTAAACAAATCAGGAAGTTTATAGAGGTAAGCGACTCCTTTATAAAACAAGTCCCGGCCTTAACATAACAAATCGTTAATTACGTTCTTAAATCTATTAAGGACGACTTAATAGTTATATATCCTAACAAGTAGGTAATAGACAGACTAACGCTACACTAAGTAGTTAAATATTTTAATAACACAACAATAAACATTATAGTAGAATTAAACATTAAGTACTGTAGTAGTACGTTAACAACAGCTTTATTACGAGCCTAGTCGAGAGAGCCCCTCCTAAGAATTAGAGAAGAAATAGCTTTAGGTTCGAGAACAAATAGAGGTGTACTACTAGCTAGCCTATTAGAGGCAGATCAGGAAGTAATCGCTTAACGAGTTGTACGTCTCCTTAGTAAGCAGAATTAAAGAGGTAATAACAATAATAATAATAATAGAGAGGCTCCTACTACTAACGCTAATATCGATACCTAACGTTTAACTACTAAAGTAATAGGATTGTTTGACCTGTTATTTAACAGTAAGGGCACTAAGTTAGGCATCGTTTAATAAGGAAAGTATATAATATATACAGACGTTTACCTTTATACAGACCGACTTTAATACCTTATAAAGTAATACTTAAAGAAGGTAGTACAAGATATATAGACAACCTGTTTATAAGGCAAGGCGTTACTATAGTACTCTATAGAGCTTACAGAACTTAAGAGAGAGTTTCTAATAGACGCGAGTATAGATAAGATCTTTAAAGAGATAAACTAACGCTTTTAAGAACGGCCTAAGGTTACGCGTGTAGCGTTAAATACAAAAAGGTTTACGATAGTAGACTTACGAGATAGTAAGTCGATACGTGCCTTTTTAATACAAATGTTCTGTCTAGTACGATTATTAGGAAGCGAATCGACCTTCTAGAACCTTTTGTTAGTATAGATAGCGCTTGATCTATAGATCTAACTACACGTATCCTGCCCTATAGAGAACACGTTAATTAAGAGATTTTACGAGAAGGTAGACTTAAAGACAGTAACGTTAGTTAATTTTACGAGTAGAGTACGGCAGCTACCTACAAACTAGTATACAAATAGAGGCAGGCCCTTGTTTCGTTTGTATAACCCTAGACCTATAGCCTTATACCCCTAGGCCTAGCGTTTATACTAGCTATATTAGTACCTATTGTAGTAGGGTCTATAACAGCCTTAACAGCCGTAGTAATCGTAGGTACTATAGCCTATATAGCGACTACTGTTCTAGCCTAGCGGCTCTTACGGAAATAGGCAAAATTAGGACAACTCGTAAGGCGGATTTACTAGGAATAATAGCTTTAGTAAGGGCTAGAACAAGAACAACACAACTAACTATTAAAGTTAGACCCTATATTAGAATTAACCTCCTAGACAACGTAGACAGCTATAGATAACTATAAGAAACGCCTACGTAAGGAATAGTAACGAGTATTAATACTAACTACAACTAGCGCGGGCTTATTAGGCTATAGCTAAGGACGTGCTAAAAGATAAGTATATAAGAGCTAAAGCGTATTATATACAAGACGATTTATAAGCTAATATAGTTAAGCCGCTACTTAGTTTTATAGAACAGGATTTTATAAACACATATTACGTACAAGAGGACAAGTTCTATAACGATCTAATTACAAACTTTACAGAAGTTAATTTTACTAAAGTAGACAGCCCTTAACACTAATATAAGAAGTGTAAGGAACGATTTAAAAGTACTAACAAACTCTTTATATACCTTAAAAAGGCTTACAGGGTTGCCTAAGTAAAGACAGGTAGTAGTAAGTCTATAGTAGTAGTAAGCTTTATAGAGCCTATAGTAGTCTTAAATTCTATAGAGGTAATAGTGTCTTTAACGATCTCTGTACTTAATAATAGTACAAGGTACGGCTTCTAATTATAGTACTATATAACAATTAAGTTAGTATTTAAGAGTATAATAGTAAACTAAGTCTAGGGGTACCTTAATACAAGATTAACACTAAGTATAGCCGGTAAAGTATAGCTATACAAATAGTATAGCGGTATTTAGGTTTAAATATAGGCAAAGCTAATTAGTGTTAGAAGAGTAGGTACTAACAAGATATAGTCTATAGAATACGTTATAACAGACATGTTCTTACTAGGAACTAAGACTAGTAAGACGGCCTAGGCAGTAATATCGCGCGAAATATACCTTATTAACGCTCTTTCTATAAACCTTATTATTAGTATAGACATTATTAGCTCTAAACGTATTAATATTTTAGTATTAGACAAAAGGGCACTTATACGCTTATACAGCGTTATAATCGAGATTAACGTCTTGCTAAAAGAGAGACGCTAGATACCTGTAGTAGCTAAGGAGGGCACTACTATCTTACTGTACACTATAGTAACTATACTAGTAGTACATAACGTAAAGAAAAGCGGTTAGGACATACTGTTTAAACCTAGTAACTCTTAAGTTAGCTTGTTTACGTATCTTACAGACTAGTAGTTAACATTAGTTATAGTAAGAAACAATACAGATAAACTAGTCTAAGTCTAGAAGGACGTAAAGCTTAGAGACCTTGTTAAGTTTAATTATAAGGACTACTTTTAATTATTAGACGACGTAGCCGACTTATAAGACCTTGTATTACAAACACTATAGAGAGAGAGACTAAGACTCGTCCTAGACATGACTTTTATAGAAACAAAGTACCTGTATAGTACAACTATATACAGCCCCCTAGATTAAGTTAAACAGCTTTCTTAGTTAATAGATAAGTTCTTAGACAGCCTCTAGAATAATAAGGGATTTGTTAATATACCTAAAGATTACTAGATAAAGGTAG